TTCCGGCACTGCGGCGAGCAGCGCTCAACTGGGAGCGAAAAGGGGTAGCCTTCTGACGATTGTTTCAGCAGTAATGTGGTTAGGAGCGTTGCGAGCGGGCAGCTGCATGATGCGAAGCGCGATAGGATACCGCCTTGTCGCACGGTGATATTTGCTCGGTATCGGCGGGCAGATGGCATTGAAGAAGGAAAGAGGATCTGCAGCGCATACTGCGTCGCAATCCGTCCGGGCTCGTCCTAGAGCCGCCTGTTCCGTTGACGAAGGGCTGCAGCAGTCAATGGAGAAGCAGGCCGAGTGATTTGAACCTCCACAACGTGTCAATGGGCAGAAAAGAAATGGAGAGCGTTGGGGAGAGGAGCAACAGCTGTGGGAGCTCTGACCAGGCGCGGCAGGGGAGACCCATGGCCGGTGCCCCGCGCTGCCGTGCCCCACTCCCGCGTCGCTGCGCATTATTTCGCCTCCATCCCACTTCACTGCTCAAACCGTCGCCTCGCCTGGACCGTCGCTGTTGCACCAGATCCTCTTCAAGTTTCGCAAGCCTACACCGCGCCAATCTCGACCGCAATGGCTCACTCGCATTCGCACGATGGCGGCGTCTCACACTCGCATGCCGGCGCCGATCACGGCCACACCCATGAGATCCTTGACGGCCCCGGCTCGTATCTGGGGCGGGAGATGCCCATCATCGAGGGCAGGACCTGGGAGGACCGCGCGTTCACGATTGGCATTGGCGGGTAAGCTTGCATTGACTGTGCGCAAACTTTGACGTGAGCGCTGACAGCTCCCATGCAGCCCGGTAGGCTCCGGCAAGACCGCCCTCATGCTCGCCCTCTGCCTCGCCCTGCGCGACAAGTACAGCATCGCCGCCGTGACCAATGACATCTTCACCCGCGAGGACTGCGAGTTCCTGACCCGTAACAACGCTCTGCCCGCCGAGCGCATACGCGCCATCGAGACGGGAGGCTGCCCCCATGCCGCTGTGCGTGAGGACATTTCGACCAACTTGGCTGCCCTGGAAGACCTACACCGCGAGTTTAAGACGGAGCTACTCCTGATTGAGAGTGGAGGCGACAACCTGGCTGCCAACTACAGTCGCGAGCTGGCCGATTTCATCATCTACGTCATTGACGTGAGCGGCGGCGACAAGATCCCGCGTAAGGGCGGCCCTGGCATCACCCAGAGCGATTTGCTTGTCGTCAACAAGACAGATCTGGCTGAGATTGTGGGCGCTGATCTCGGCGTCATGGAGAGGGACGCGAGGAAGATGAGGCGAGTACTGAGTCTCATGCTGGAATGTCCACAACTGACGCATTCTATAGGGAGGGTGGTCCGACCATCTTTGCGCAGGTCAAGAATGGAAAAAACGTCGATCATATTGTCAATCTCATCCTGAGCGCGTGGAAGGCCAGTGGCGCCACGCAGGCAGCAAAGAAGGCATGAAGGCAAACTTATAATGAGACAATGTTCCTTGCCGGTCCAGATCCCGATGGAAGGGGGTCGTGGATTCTAGGCGCACGTGCAGGCGTGTTGTTACACAGTTAGAGCCCGTCGTTTGTGCTGGCATTCGATGAAAGATGTTGATATCCAATCAGACCCTTGCATACTCCAAAAACTTCCGCTTTCGTTCAGGAACCGATGCCAAGTTGTCGCACCGCGAAGCGCCAGCTTGCTGCTCTCCCTCAAGCCACGGCGCCTGGCAAAATCGAAACCAGCATCATCTACATGCCTTGGCGTGGAGTGCGCATTGGCCAAGTCTCCCCAGACATCTGTACCTTGCTTGGCTCAGGCACAAAGTAATCCCGATGACCTGTTCCTGGACGTTCTCTCCTTGCCTCCTTCTTTCCAGCATCCAGTATCAGCAGCATTCTTGGCATGAAGCGGGACGCCGGACATTCCTCCGGTCGACCCGGGGCTATCTTGGCCTACGCCATCCGCTCCGAGGTCCAGTCCAGACCCAACAACATCGCCCTCACGACGTATTGCGTACCGGAGTAGCTGCATCCCTGGTGGCGTTGCGCCATTTGTAGCTCTTTCTACCAGAGCCGTCCTGCTATCGTCACTCGCAGCACAGCGTAATCTTTCCAGACGTGACCTCACGAGTGCTCAAGGGTGCATTGGCACGGAAAGTTATTCTTGATCCGCTCATTGGATGCCGCCAGTAGTCTTGCGCACCACCGTCGATACGAGAAAGGCTAACCTTGGCCTTTAGAATTCTCGCCAAGGCAACCCCGCTGCGGGCCCATTGCTTTTGAAATTCTTGGACTATCTGCCGGGAAGACCAGCCATCGTGTTTCCGTCCCGCCTCCTGCGTGAATCTGTATCCATGGGTTGCGCCAAGGTGCGATACTCGCGACTTTCATCAGTCTCGATACGACATTCGCCTTTAATCGATGTAGCTGGTCCTTTCATCTCGGACCCGAAGTTAATTTCCCGTCCAAATCTTCGATGGGCGCGGTTTGAGTCAGCCGCTTTGCATCTATTATTGACGACTGCTGAAGCAACATTATACGTATACTTTGCCATAGGGCTTCCTTCACGATTTCTCGAATATCTCAAGGGACCCCAGAAGAAGAATGTGAAGAAAAAAAAGTAGAAAGCATACTGCGACGAAACCTCAGCCCTCACCATGGCTTCCCTGCGACATCTGCCGCTCGTTGCGGTCTCTGTGTGAGCCAAGATGGCGCTGCGAATGGCCATAATGGTGCAAAGTCGTGCTATTACTTGGCCGCTCGTCGTAGACTTGGCCTGGTCGATAGTGCATCAAGCATAGCAGCAGCAGGCTGCAATTTGGGGAGTTGATGAGCGCCTCAGCACTACCGTTGCTTTGGTCACTACGCATTGTCGTCGGGAAATACGGGCTTGGTGTGCCGAGAACGCTGTTGTTAGCCGTCTTGCAGATTCACATGCTCTCTCTCTTCTTTAATCCCGGGTGGTGACGGCAAATGAGCGATCTGCAGCACAGCTGGCGCGCGCGCGAGTAATTGGGTCGCAGCTGTATATGCTTATGAGGTGTTACAACTAACCCGCATCAGCATGTCGTACTGCCATCTGGGCGCTTTTGGCGTGTCTTTTTGGTCTGCCAAGCGGCCGACGGGGTCTTGGTGCAAAAACGGCTGAGAAGTGAAAGAGTCACAGGTGACCTTCCAAGAAACAACCAAGACACGAAACCCCCTCTTCCTCTGCTTGGCAGGCCAAGCCAACCACCGCCTCGCAAAATGCAATCGAATGAATACAGAGATGATCAAGGGTCCCCCGATCGATTTAGCTGGGTGGCGACGAATTAAGCTCTGCTCTTCTGGCTGTTGTTTCGTTGTATCACTCTAAACCGTTGGCGTGGGCCCCAAGAGCCTATTCTCTCCGCCATGGCGAAGAGCAAGCAGGAGCGCGAGAAGATAAGCAAGATCGTCGGACATACCCGTAAGATAGAGAAGAAAACGGGAAATCGCATGCGAAAGCATCCTTCGAAAGCAGTAGAACTTCCGCCAATCCCGCTCATCTTCTCCTCCGCTTGCCTTGGCCGTTTCGACACCCCCTCCTAATTCCGTCTACTTTTTTCTCTTCTGCCTAGGCTTACCCGTGTGTCCGTGCACCCGTCTTCCCAAGACGTAGAGAGACCAACGGTTCCAAAGATTGGACCGCAACTGCTCGTAACCCACATCCACGCTGACGGGAACCACGGCGTCGTCCGATTCTCGCAGCGCCGAGCCAAACAACCCCTCCATCACTCCTAAGCACGCATCACACGCGCACCACGGTCGCCGAGATCGGGTGGGTCGGCACCCATGCACACATGCCTTAGTCCTGCGTTCCTCTATACGCAGCATGGCCATGGCCCATCGAAATCGGTGATGGCGCGTGAAGTGCTCTGACATTACCAACCAATAGTACACCCACTTATGCTTTTTTTCCCACCTGCTTGGCACTATCCTCTGTCCTTGGGGGCAAAAGAAAAAGAAGTTGGTTGCTTGGTAGCCAAGCAAATAAATCAACCTTTCGGCTGTATGCTCTTTCTCCCGCTGCAGCCGAGGATGGGTGGTCTTGATCCTGGTGTCTAGAGCCGAGAAAAGAAGGAAGTACGCGTCCTCATCCCCGAATGTTGGGATCGAAGCGAACTGCCTCGAATATGTGAAATCAGAAACGGAAGATACGTGATTGCTCAGAGGTAAGCCTAGCTTATCAAGTGATTACGTCGTACAGAGTAGAAAACGGGAGGTGCGAGCAGAGGCTCGGCTTTCCCGAGCGTCCCAAGTTATGCTGCTGTCTTGGTAAACATGACCAGAGTGGAGCCGACCCGGCTTCGGCTGCACGCTTTCTGCGCCTCTTACTCAACCAACCATGGAACGAAATTTTTGGAGAGAAATGTAGTGTTTAGCTCTGCCATCTGGCGGCTTTGATATCTCGGGTAATAAAAACATGACCTGCGCCTTTTTTCTTCGCTGCAAGTACAGGGCGTACAAATGTTCAAATGCACCAAAAAAAAATTTAAACACGCACAAGCTGGGTATAAACCGGTTCCCGCACACCGCCTTTCCTTAGCCCGCCCAAAGTCCCATTCACAAATAGACCAAATTCTTCGCTCCAGGTCATATGGAAAAGAAGAAAAAATTGGTATCGGAAAAAATCACCGCCAAGATAACAGAATAAGGTCCAGATGGTTTCCTTGTGGCCAGTCCGCGATGGGGTGCCGCCGTGGGAGACTGAGGGCTCCACTTATGGCGGCGGTCGCGTTGCCCAGAAAGTAGACCAATCCATCCGTAAAAATCATCAAACGCCGAATCCCGTGCCTCGCTAGCTATGCATCGTCGAAGAGAGGTAGAGAAGAAGTGTGCTCGTAGTAGAACAGCCCCGCGTCCAGTGTGGAAACGGGGTGGAAGTTATGTGAAGGTCCCTTGAAATTGCTCGAGTCGCTTCGGTCAAGGTCGAAGTATATGTTCGTCATATCGTCATGTATTTCAAGCGCCGTGGTGATGAGGGGAGATTCGAACGGGTTGCCGTCGTCTTCATCTCAGTGCGCGGAGGAGCCAGGATTCCCAGTACGAACGGACGGTGAGAACCGCCTCGCGGCCGTCGTTGTGGCCGTCCTTGGGGCCTGGGTCGCCGATGATGGCAGCGTAGATCCAGAATGACGCCGAGATCCAGGCAGCAATGGCAATGCCAATAGCAACGAAAGGCGACAGCAGACAGACGAGGAAGAGTAACGGGGTGTTGTACATGGACGACAGCGGGGCGCTGTAGATGAGACGGAATTGGAGGCACAGCGACGGGCTGAGGAACTTGACCAGCTGCTCGCGGTAGTCGGGGCGCATGCTGCAGAAACGCAGAGGCTGCAGCAGGGCAGCAATGAAGACGGCGAGCAGAGTCCACAGCGAGATGGCGAAGGAGACGAGGCAGGCGAAGCCAGAGAGATGGAGCTATGAGACGGGTTAGCGCGGGAATGCTAGCGCTTTCGGCTAAGACATACGAGGATCCTGAAGGCCTTGTCCTCCAGCTCGACCTCGTCCGGGTCAGCGGGAGCGTACAGGTCCTGGGGGACGGTCCTGGCGGAGCGGCGGCTGTGGGGCGCCGGCGAGTAGCTCTGCTTCTCTAGGTCGAGCACCATGTCTCTGGAGCTGCGGGGCTGGGTGGTGCGCACGACGGCCGGGGCGGGCGGCGACAGGGCGGCCTTTTCGTCGTCGTCGGCGACGGGCAGCGACTGGGCGAGGCTGTGACGGGCATCGCGGCTGGTATTTGAGGTGGAGCTGTGCGAGTAGAGCTGCTTGGGCGAGCCGGGCGTGGAGATGACGGAGTCGTGGCCGGAGGGTGGGTACGCGGCGGGCGCGGGTTTTGGCGAGGAATGCGGCGAGCCGGTCGGGCGGGGCGCAGGGGCGTGCGAGAGCTCGACGGCGGCGCGCAGCTTCGCAGGCTGGCAGGCGGCGGGAATGCGGTCGCATTGCGACGACAGGTCGCTGCCGGGCGTGCTGTCGAAGGCGGCCGGGGCCGGGCTGGCGATGGGCGTCGCCATGGGGGGCAGTCGGGAGGTCTTGGCAGCGCTCAGAGGGCGGTCATGGGCGGACGCGGTGTGCTTCTTGTACGGCGGTCGAGGGGCTCGCGGGGTGTGGGCGTGTAACGTGGTGCCATGACATATAAGAGGAAGGGGAGATCCCCTTCGGGAGGAGAGCGAGGACGTGGACTACATGATGATTGATGTGCTTGGGGTTGCGGTCTTGGAGACTTGGCTGTCCACACAGTCGGCTTGGCGGGCGCCGGCGGCCAATCAGCGCGCGCGCCCGCGCGCTGCGTCCGCCGCCCAGCGCTGATGAGACGCTGCCTCTGGCTCGGTCCAAGGCGGAAGATGCGGCACCCACTGGCCCAGCGCGCTGCCCGCGGGCCCCTTGGCCGCCATGCGACTCCCAAGCGCTTGTCGACCTTTGTGCCAAGCTGGTTCTGGTGCGCAGCGCCGCTCCGCCCGCCGGCAGCGCGGCATGCTGGATGCGACACAGGGGCGTGGGCCGATCTGTTTGCGTCCTCAGCAGCCCGGCTGAAACGGCGCTGTACTTGTCCACATCGTCTCGCGCCGCGCTGCTCACGTGCGCCTTGGCAGCGACCGCGCGTCGATCGCTGCGTGCCCGGAAATAACCTGTCTCGCCCACCACCAACGTTTGCGTGGGCTCGGCCTGCCGCGCGCGGCCTCTGCAGCTCCACTGCGGCGCTGCTGTGGCGGGCCCGGCCACCGCATGGGGCCCAGGGCCAAGCCGCGCTGCCTCCCTCACGCCGGCGGAGCTGGGCGGCTCGACCTGCTGAAACCGCCGCCAAGCCGCGCCGGCTGCGCGCATGCTCGATGCGGCTCTCCCAAGACCCCAAGGCCGCCCGCAGTCGTTTGTTTCTCTGCGTGGTGCAGCCTCGCGTCGCTTCGTTGCGCACTGTCTCCGCCGGGAGTTGGCGTTACGTCAAGCGCAGCCGGGAGCCGCGCTTGGCCTGCTGCAGCTTCCGCCGTGAAACCCGCTCAAGTCACTCGCCGAGCAATTGGCACCACCACGCCCGCTGCCCATCAGCCGAGCGCCGCGGCGATCCCCATCGCAAATCTCCTGCAACCAGAACTCCAAGGTTTCAGTCCTGCATGTGCCCGTCTCGTCGCCGCACCACCGCCCGCATTCCACCGGCTACGCGGCACCGGCGCAATCTATGGGGTGTCGTCTGGAAACCGTGGATGATCGACCCGCAATCGTGCGACAACCACATTTGTGGAGATGCCGGTCCCTTGAAAGCCATCCCGCGGCCGCTGCGTCACAGAAGTCATCTCCACGGCATTTCTCTTCCGCGCGGGTGAAGTTTGCCCTGCGTGCTCCCAAAACCGTCGCGACTGCATTGACGACCGGGATGTGCATCCTTCATCTGGACATCGACTTCTCCGATCGCTACTGCAGCGAATCGACGTTGCGCATGTGTTTCAATCCCGCCAGCAGCCTATAACCTGAAGATTGCCGATCCGCGCGGGGCTACCCGAACCCCCGGTCCAACACCATGTACCTCTATCCGACTTTCCTATCCTGGAAATTATCAACGAAAATCCCTCAACCCCAGTCCATCCAGTAAGAATTCTCCGGTTCGCGCTTACACAGCTGTCTTTGGGTCGACAAATTTTCTATCTGTCCTCTGTCGTATGCTCAGCGAAACGAAGAAAGCAACACATAGCTGACGCCGCTTGCCCATGCCCACTCTGTTACAACGCCATTCTTCAACCACGCCCATGTGCACCAAGCGGACGATTACTCCAAACATTTGCTTTTCCTGTTGCTGGCCCAAGACACATCACCCCCGCTCATGATTATTTAATCCCTTCAACGCTGTGAATATCAACACTGAGGACCCGTGGTTTCCTGCGCCAATGTGGCTGTTGTTCGCTTGCTTTAACTTCATGTGCTTTGCTCCTCGTCATCGTCGGTTTCCTCCCCACCCATTTTAGCCTCGTAATCGCGAAGTAAGCGCTCACGACGATCTGGTGGTAAGCACCACGCTCCGAAACCGTGGTCGCCCATGGTCATCAGTGTGGCGGCAACCTGTTCGTCCTCGCTAAGTTCGCTCATCGTATCCAACGGTATCTTGCGATTCGGCTCCGGCGACTTAAAATCAGGGTCTTTCTTCGTCTGCTCAACACGCCTCCGTTTCGACCCAACACGTGGTCCGAACACTGGCGCATCCTTTTTCTTGTTTGGGAAATTCCGCTTCGTGAACACCTCATCTGGCCTTGCGCTCTCCTCTGAAGCCTGTCTCCTTGGATCCTCGTTTGGATTCGTAGCTGTCTGTCTCCTCCGCTTTCTCCTACAATACCTCTCGGACTCGTCGTCTGAACTATCCCTTTCGTCGGGGGTGTCGTTGTTCATTACGAGAGACCAGAAGTCGGATGATTGGGAAGCCCGGTTGTTTTGGAGACCTTGGTCGTTTTGGGGTGCTGAGCCCGCGCTCGGGACTGAGGGAGAATTCATATTCGGCGTGTCTTTGACTTTGCTGCTCGGATTGGTCAGAAGGGTCTTAGAGTACCGAGCGGTAGAACTTTGTATTTCCCGATGCTGGTGCTGAATTAACTTATGTCGTGCCGTTGTCGTCGTCTGGCGGGATCTGTGCTGAAAGCGCTGCAAAATATCTATGATGCAAAGCATATGAGGCGGGAGGTTTGTTTTTAAAGTAGTGATGGTGCTGCACCTCTGGCCCAAGGACTGTCCCATGGGAGAGCGGTTGACGCCAACCACGAAAAAAAAAGTGCTGTACACTCTACCATGAAGTTTATAGTCAGAAGCTCCATATTGTTAGGTAGCAAGCAAACAGCACAGACTTTTTCTTCTTTCTTCTCTTTCAAAATTTGTTTGGAAGAAGATTGGGGCAATCTTCTGAAATGATCTAGTGTGTAAAATGGTACTCCAGAAAGCAAGATTGATATGGGTTGTTGTTTGATATGACCGGCTGAAGTGTTCCTTGTGCGCGAGGAAGCGCTGCGCGATGGGTTGCATGGCGGGGGGTGGTAGGGGTAGCGAAAATCGAGTAGCGAGTTAGTAGGCAGCTAGATAGCAGGCAGGCAGGCAGGCAGGCAGGCGCGAGCGTGCGCGCAGCGGGAGGGCGGTAGGACCTTCCATTTGAATAGCCAGCTACGACATTTGTCCTTCAAAGGACCAACCAGGTACGACTGCAAGAGCAGTAAAACTACAGCAAATCAGATAGGATCGAGAGTTGTAAAGCTGGCAATGGCCGTATACTCAAGCACTCCCTCACGCTTGAGGGTCAACAGAACTATGGCCCATGTTCGCCGGTTGGATTGTAAACAGCTGGCTCGGACGTATGTTACTCGGTAGGGAGCGCTAAGAACAAGAAAGTAACTGGTTTGTTAGACTGATTTTACTGGTTGCCTAACGTCACTCTCACTCCGGCTCAGGGTAAAACAGAACACGTAGTAGACAGCATTTTTGCTTCAGTAGATCAAGTCGAATTGTTACGCATACTCCTTCATACAGTCACATTTGCGGCGATTATACGGGGATATTCCATCACTGTAGATGTTCACAGAAGATATCTTTGCCTGTAGGGATTTCCTGTACTTTATCTTCAACTGTGGACATCACTGGTTAGAGAATTCCGACCAACTAGACACGTGGACGTATTCCTTAAGAGTTTCTTACGAGAGCCCTCTGCGCCGTTCTGGGAGCATAGTCCATAACAGTGACATGGTTTTTGGCTGGCTGGTGCCTCCACGGCGATGCCACCTTCATCATATATCTCAAAGTCAATTTCCAAGAACATCCTTGGGCGGTGAGTGGCTAATGTGTATGGTATTAGAAAGGATCAACTGGCATCATGTTGGTGCTCAAGATCGGACTGGTTATTGGTGCTCTTGATAGTTGTCTGTATCGAGCTAAAACACGATTCTGTAAGGGGGAAGGGAAGCCGTCAGGTTGCTGCGATGTAGCTAGCTTGGTGACCATCACTTCTGTCACCAGCTGCTTTTTTGACAAGAATGTTGATCATGCACACCTCTCATGCAGAATTTGGCGCATCAATAAGCCGTAGCGAGCAACAGAGCGACAAAGCAACAGATCCATGCTGTAGTGCACCTCAGCAAGGAGAGCACGTGGAATTGGAAGGCAACCATATCATACTCCGCCAAACACAGACGAGCAACCCCAAAATGGCAGTCGACGAACGATGACGTCACCAAATTCTCGCCGTGACGGTGGGAACTGCTCCCGGCCAACCATGAACAGCATGTCCCCACACCTTCCCTTCTCCCCCCTGCTCTTTTCAACCCATGCCCTCGCTTCCGACCGCACTCCCGGTTTCTTCAACCCGATCCAGATGCCGATCACGTAATACATGACACATGCCAACGACCGATGAGTCCGTTTTTCCCGCCATTATTGCTACTGTGCGGTGACGGTGACGGTGACACGTAAAAAATTTAGAGAGCAGTGTCCCCAACCGCTCGGAAGAGAGGGGCAACTGTGGGTTCGCCGATGTCGGCTAAGCATGGCGTATCGATAGTGCATACGCACTTCAATGTCGTGATCGGGATCAAACAAGACTAAACGATAGCAGCGAGCTGTAAAAAAAAAAAGTAGTAGTGCGATATCACAATTGGAATGAAAAAAGATTATAATCACGTGGAGACTAACTTCTTAGCGTAGAGGGGACGGAAATGTCTAGAACGAAGACAGCAAAAGAATCTACTTCTCTTCTCTATTAGATGTCCAGAAAACTCCCCCAAGCAAGTCTTCCATGACTGTGGCACGCAATACGTAATGATGGAGTAATGACCAAGGAGACACGCCAGCTGCCTTTCCCCGCTCTTGCAACCGTAATCCTTCCACATTCCTCTTGTTAACCTTCAATCTGATTGGACACGATCCCTCCGAGAAATCCGTTTCCTACTCCCGGAGAAGGATAGAGAAAGATGTGCCGTCGACAAGCGCCAATCAGAGTGATGTGCGTTTGCCGTAAAGAAATGCTTGCCTACCTGCCTGTCATACAATGTATTCCATAAATTTCCCAAGCTCGCATTACCCCAACAGAAAGAGAGTCAAAAGCAACCTCGGGCACCAGCCACATGCAATTTTTTGTCTCTTCCAGTGATGCTGCAAAGCCGACCAAAACCCGACCAACCAGCCTTCCATCCATCAAAAATCCATAATCGTCCTTGCTACCGTGATCCCTGTTGCACCCATCACCAAGCGCACCCCACCTACGACATGCCGACCAAAGAGAGTTGAGGGGTGCATGACATCGCCCTCCAATTAAACTTGAACGCCTCCAGACGTCTGATCTGGGTTGAGAAAGAGTGCTGCTCCATGTGTGCATGTGCTGCGATCGATGATCCTCTAAAAACGTAACGATCAAGACGGTATATGCCAAGAGAAAAACGTAATAAAAAGAGGAGGTAACCGGGAAATATGAGAAGGGATAAACGGCCAACCTTGCGCTGTACAGAGGTAGCTCACATCTTCGCGAGACATGGAGCCGAGGGTTGTGTTGTATACCCAGAAAAACGCCAAGGATCCAGAGCCCAATAACGACCATCGTTACGCGTGATTCGCATCAGGGGCCTCGGGAACATCAGGGGACTCCTGATGCTTTGCGCTGCTACCCTTTGATCTGAATGTGCTGACGGCAGGGATATCCGCCTTGAGCCTTTCCTCCTGGGTGGAGTATGCCTTGGGCGTAAGCTTGATGAGCGTGTGCAGCGGGACCTCCATCCACGGGCTACGCTCCTGAGGAACGTTCATGAAGTACGCGTAGATGCAGCGAAGGATGGCCTGGTGGGTGACGATGAGAATGTTCTCTGAGCGCTCCAGTTCCATGATGATGGGCTCGAGACGGATGACGACATCGCGGTAGCTTTCGCCGCCGAGATAGCGGTAGTTGTACTTGTCCTCATCACGCTGCTTGAAGTCTTCCGGATACCGCTCCTCGATCTCGGCGTATGTAAGACCGTCACACACGCCCGAGTCGAGCTCGTCTAGCGCCTTCCACTCCAGCTTCTCGAACTCCAGGAACCGGGCCGTTTGGATAGTACGCTTTAGTGTCGAGGTCCAGACCGTGAGCTTCCGTCCGTCGCCCACCGATTGCTTGACCAGCTCAGGCAGCTTCCGCGCGTACAGCTCACCGCGTTCCGAGATGTCGGCGTCACCTCCAATCTTGCCGGAAAGGTTATACTTCGACTCGCCATGCTGTAGAAGGTGTCAGAAAAAAATTGCAGGGACACCCCCAGTCGGAGCATAACATACTCGTGAGAGCCAGATGGACCGCGGCTTGATGTGGAGGTTCATCAGGTAGTACACAACACGACTCTGCAGGTAATCCCGGATCTTGTTGATGATGACCTGCTTGCCGACGTCGATGAGCTTGACGTAGGTCAGACTGTACTCATCCTCGTCGATCGTCTGGTAGACCTTCTCGTAGTTGCGGATGCGGTTGCGGAAGTCCTGGGCCGCAAGCTCGGGGTCCTGGCCCTTGTAGTCCGGGCTCGTCGTCTTGACCTCCAAGATGTTCTGCATTATGAGCTCCTCGTCGTCGCATTTCGACTCGACAAACAGCGTCTGGATGCCCTCGGCATCGCAGCGCTCCTGGATCCAGCGGCGGCGAGTCTTGGTGCTGTTGGTGGCGTCGAGGATGGCAACGACGCCCAAGCCCTCGCGGAACCACTTGACCATGTCATTGACGGCAGCTTCGGCGGCGGCCTTGCGCAGGCGCTCGCCCTCCTGGTTGCCCGTGTCGAAGAAGTCGGCCGAGGGCGTGGGCGTGTTGGTGCGGCGGTACTGGCCGACATTGAACGTCTTGGCGCCGATGGAGAGCCAGTGGAGGTATCGCACGACTAATTCGCAAGACAATTGCCCCTGTCAGCCAGTATTCTCCGGAGGTCTCGCGACATGAGCTGAGGCCCCCACATTCCTCATGCCACCCCCAGCGCCTCCCCCACCCGGCTCACGAGAGCCCCGCGACCCCAGGCTCTCCAGTCTCCGGACCCCAGGAACTCACCTTTGGTGGCAATCAAGCTCTTGCCGCGCGCGGGCAGGCCGACCATGACGACGCAGATTCTCGTGTCCTCGGCCTGGACGCCATAGCCGTTAGTTTTTCTGTTTGGGCGCGCGAATTCGCCCGGAGGCACTCTGCGCATTTCTTGTCTGAAGACGCCGTTTGTCTCTGCCATGGTGGGCGGGGCGGGGGGCGGAAAGCAGAAGGACGAGATGTGCGAGGGATTCAGAAGAAGGCAGCGGTGCAGCGAGCTTAAGAAGGCGCGGCGGCGAGGAGAGAGCGGCGGGTCGATGTGTAATCAGGAGACGGCGAAAGGAGAGGTGCGGCGGGCCGAGCTGGGTGCGGCTGATGGTCCTGGGGTGCGTAGGGCAGCTGCTCGACCCGAGACGCTCACGAGGCTCAATTGAGGCGTGCGCTGGGCTCTAGAGACGTGGATCGAGCGGGATTGCGGCCGTCTAGCAGCGGCTTGCGTCGACTGGCTGGGGGCTGCGGCGGTGGCGGCGGGGCTGGCAGCGCGGGGAGCAGGCGCGATCGTGAAAGGCGGTAGGCGGGAGAGGCGAGGTGGAGAGAAGGAGAGGGCGGGCGGGCGAGGAGCGCTTCTGCGTGGAGCTGGTGACGGCGTTGGTGGAAGATCGATCTAGCTCGGCATTACAAGGAGCGGCGGGCGGAGACTCGCGCGCGTGGGCTTGATCGTCCCTTCCACATGCTCACGCTCACCACCTGCAAACCGCTGCATATCCGCCCGACCGCCTGCTGCCCCCGGCCCCCGCATCCCCGGTCCACAGCCGCACCGCTCGCTGGCCCGGTGCGGCGACACGCGCCTGCCGCGGCTGACTCAGCGGGGTGTGGTGACGCAGCCGGGCGATGTCGCAGAGTTCCTGGACCCTTCCCGCGGTGCTCTCGACGCTGGCACGGGCTGGAGTTGCGGTGGGGGCGCCCTAGCGCTGCATCATTTGTGTGGGACTGACGCTGCCCCTTGGCCAGGCCTCATCGTCGACTGTCGATATTTTTTCTTTCCGGCGTGTCGTGTGCCTCGCAAGCTTTGATCGACCAGTTGCGCGCCCGCGCGCCCGGCCATAGTTCGCCGATTCTCGGGACCGCGGGCCAGCCCAAGTGCAGAGCAGCCCACCGCACCCTGACGCTTCCGGCCGCCGCTGGAGGGAGCAGTCCACAATCCGGCGATCTCGTCCCAGGCCGCCGCATACGAAAATAGTCACTGGAAAGCACTCACCATGCTGATGCTGTAGTTGATCACCCCCGAATACCCGCGGCTGCCCGGCCTTGCCGTTGCGACTGTCATCTTCTCCAACGCTTAGGACTTTTTCCGCAACTCGTTTTCCGTTCGTGTCGGCCCAATGTGCTCGTACAGGGCTGAAAAGGGCGGGTCAAAGCTCTCCTCCCGCCGGACGGTGCCTGGCTGACCGGCTCGTGTCGTCCCTTCCGCGCCTGCTCTTCCGCCTGACGCGCCGGCTTCTGTTTCCAGCCGTGCCTGGGCAAGTGATGCCGTGACTGCCGCTTCCTCTCAGGTCAGCACGCGGGGACGGCCTGGGCCCAGACGCGTTGGAGATAGGGGCTGGCTGCTGCGGGAGAACGGGACAACTCAACGCCCTGTCCACCGCCTTTTCCTCTGCGCTGTGTCTTGCAGTTGCTAGCAGGGCGCCGCCGCCGTCGAAACCAGGGAGATGCGTGTTCGTTGCCGTCGAGAGGTGAGGGAGGTTCGTCGTGCGGGCTGGAGGCTGGAGGGAGGTTGTCGGCGGGTTATCTGGAGAAAATTAACCTGGCAAATCGCTCTGACGCATTGCGCAACCCAGTAAACATGTGGATGACCACGCTGCGCTTCTCCTCGCTTCCACCCTCTCTTATCGCCCAGCCCAGCACGACGTATCAAGCTTGCAGAAGGCCAGGCACCCCGGCCAATGGGAGCCACACGATGGCCGCGCGTGTCACAACCAGACGTCAGCCTGAACATTCTTGTGCGAGGCTCGCAACGTTCCCAACAAACTGCACCGCTTCTATTCCCATCACACGTTGTTCGCCACCCTCAATGGTCGGCTCAGGGTTCTTGGGTATTTAGCTATGCTATTTACAGAATGCCTTGCTTATGGCACGCGCGGAAGAAGCAAATCAGCTAGCAACTGCTAGACTACCCACCAAGGAACTAAAAAAAGAAAAAGTAAGAGAAGAAAGACCAATACGCATCATACATCGTGCATCTGCCTGACTCGCGCCTGAAGAAGATACTAAGCAATACCATTACCTTTGGCCGTGGCTGTTGCCGTTGTCATGAACTCGTCCAAGCGATGAAAACACATCGCACGTTTCAGCCAACGCCCCTGTGTTGAACCGCTACTTTTTGTCGTAAATAACCTGGCCTACCCCTCCTTCAGGCAACCGCCTGCGCGTGGCCCATCCTCATCCCTTGAGAAACATCGCCATCGGTCCCGTTACTATGCTTCCCTCCACCACTGGTCAGCAGCGCCACTAGACTTTGAGCAGCCGCCAGCCTTTCTCTTCTTGCTGCTCCGTTGCGTTCTTCACCTCTCCTCGTTGTTTCGTCATCCACCCATTCCACTTTGTCGATCTTGTAGCTGTAGCCTTCGTGCCGCCTCCGCGTGTGGCTCTTGATGCCGTAACATACGCTCCCCTTGTACTCAGTGAGGCATGGAAGAATCGTGACCGTCACATGCGCGTCGTATCCGGCTGGTGGAGGTGCTGGATGAGATGGTTTCGACGTCAAAACTTGAGACGGTTCGACTTCAGGTGGCGCCTCGCTACCACCGTTGATGCGCGGGTCGAGCATGTTCACATCGACATCCTCAGGCCAAGCACCACGAATCCAACCCGAATGAATTGCTGCAGCAACCACGTCCGAGTCATGCGTGTAGATCTCTGACCCCCACAATTGCCGACTCATCACTATCACGTCTCGCTGCCGCTCGCTCAAGTAGTACCGCGGAATACGGACGGTCAGAGTGCAGTTCTCTTTGCCGGAATAGTTAGGTAGGGCCGAGGGGATCGATCGGAACCCATATCGATCGTCAATGCTGGTATTCTTAGATGGCGGTGGTGCCGTGGTTGCTTCGTACACAACGCTGCCCAGGTGGTAGCGAGGTAAATCTTTGACCTTCTCGAGGACAGCTTGGCTGTTGATCTCAATGATCGGTTTCGTTGCCGGGACCGGTGGGAGATTGCTGGCTACTCTTGGAGCGTGATGGTGATGGTGGTGATGGTGTGGAGGATGAGGAGCATGATGGTGGTGGTGGTGGTGATGTGTTGGTGGCACAATGGGCGGCATGTTCGGGCCTTGGACCCCATTTACTTTGCTGAAAGACGTGGGTGTGGTGCTCGTCTGCTGGTGTGCCACCACCATATTCTGCTCCTCCTCAGGACGGTGATGGTGACTGCAGATACATCAGTTGCAATTTCTCTCTTCAAACACAAGGGGACATACTGGTGGCTGTACAAGTGGTGATGGTGGTGGCCTGGGTGGTTATGCTTCGGACGCTTCGTGTTCCTCTGGCCTGTGAGACTTGGAGTTATCCTGCCATCATTACTGTCACTTTCGAGCCTTCCATCTTCATCTTTCACCTTGCGGCTTCTTCTCGCCCCACGAGAACCAGTCCGGCCAAGAGGGTCCAATTCACCCGACTCCCCATGGCTCATTGCGTCTCTGTTTTGAGGGAAGGGGCTGCCGCGCGTTGGTGTGGCTGACCCGTGGGGTGCGCTGACTAAGCCACTGCCCAACCCCGAGAACATGCGTCCGAATTCATTCTTGATGGTGGGATCTCCACCATGGACAACTGGCTGAGCCTGTGCACCCTGCACGGCCTGGGGCAGGGGCGACGCACGGCCAGTACGTCTCGCCTCAGGACTTACACCCAAGAACGATCTAGACTTCTGCATCTCCTCGCCTTGCGGCTTCGGATGGTACTCGTAAGACGACGATCTTGGTGCGTAGCCATTGTGACCCTGCTGTTGGCTAATCTGGTCGGGTCTTCTCCGATCCATGCTGCTCGGGTCTGACGTCGGTGGGCTTTGATACTGTTCCGCTACGCGCCTGGCCTGATCATGGCCAAGGGTATATCTCTGGTGATTGTCAGCCGCCGAGACATGGACCCCCGTTGCTCCCCTGTTGAAGCCCATCATCGGGCCTGAAGCAGCGCCGGGTGTGCTACGAGCTCCGTGCTGGAACAGATCCCGATGCTCCTCCACAGGATGCTGTGCGGTCTCCCCCGCAGCATGTGACCTGGGCTGCGGATGCCAGAATAAGCTCCTTGGCGGCTGACTGCCGGTTGGCTGAGCCTGTCCGATGCTATTTCGTTGTCTATCGGGGGCATCGAAAAGCGAATGGGATAGAGGTTGCACTGTCGAAGGCCGCTCCCTTCCACCAGTGTCCAATCGAGAAGTGTCACCAGCATTCAGGCTTGCATGCCGTCCGTGATACGCATGCTCTGGAGCGGCTCGTCGATCGTCCTCAGGCTGTCCAAAAAAGGTTCTCCTAGCGGCAGCCGGATCGTATGCATCCCTAGGTTCGCCTTGGGTGGTGGGGGGAGGATGGCTGGGTTGGCTGTTGGGCCTTGGCGGTGCAGAAGAGGCGCCTGGACGGGGATCTGCACTGTTCGGCTCGCTTCGGGATGGCTGATGGTGGTAAGGGCCGCCTGTCTGTAACGGTGCTGGCTTGTAAGGCTGTGACGATGGAGGTAACCCTTGGCGTTGGAGCTCAGGAGATGCTGTTGGTGGCCCGGCAAACGACCGAGGAGGAGAACCGGGGGCATAAACAGGGCGATCCGAAGGCCTGCTGGCTGGGGGATACTGGTCCGGGGTCTCCGGGCGGCGATACTGGGAATAATCCATCCTGGCGCCGACGAGGCTTCTGCGAGGTGAAGGCGGGTGCATGGAATTCAGGCTCGGAGAAGGTGCAGTGGCGGAAGTTGGAGGAGAGTATTGTGATTGCGACTGGCGTGACGCAGCGGCTGACTCAAAGCCGCCCATCAGGGAGGAGATGGACATGTTGCTGCTGGGCCGCGGGGGTCCCACCAGGCCGGGCAAATCACGGCCGGTGTGGAAGGACGGTGGAGGGGGCCCTCGCTGAGAAGCATAGTGCGGCAAAGGACTGCTTTGCTGAGGAGATGAGGGTGGCGGCATGTGCCGATTGCTGAAGGAGGGGGGCGGTGGAGGCGGATCACGTGCTACTGCTGGGTGAGGATCAACATCGAGTCGAGGAGCTGGTGCGGATCAGGGGCTGTGCGACAGGACACCTACCAGCATAATATTGCGGAGGACTGCCGCCGCCAAGCGATCGCCGCCGCTGGGAGTCGAAGGTGTAGGGGACGTGCCCGGAGCCATTGGGGCCTTGACTGAGGTTGGGCGGCGGGGGCGGCGGTGCGGAGTTTTGATGTGGGCGTGTAGAGCTGGCAGCGGTCGACGAGGGCTGTGGTGGCTGCTGAGCACTCTGTTGATGCTGGATTTGGGCGTCGTGGGCGTGGGGCGTTCCTGTTGCGTCCGAACTTAGCGCGAGATCTCATCCGGCGGAAGCATGCCTAGCGTGCGCAGGGGTCAGGGCCTAGCGTGCCGCGCCCGCGGGTGTGGGAGCACAGGAGCGAGCCAGCTACGCACGCTGCTCGCAGCGCCAAAATCGCCGCCACTGACTCTACAGCGCCCTCGACCGGGTCCGACAGGTGCGTGCAGACGGCCAATGTCTGCATTGTGCGGCGTGCTGGGCGTCGGCAGAGCGGGGAAGCCAGGGGCGTGCGCAAACAGCTGGGGCCCAGTGCTTGCAGCAGTGAGAATCACCCACCGCGGCGTGCATGCAGTGGAGCTCCGTGCCAGCGCAAGCTGCAGCCTGGCACCACGCGACCTCAGAGCCGAAATGAGCTGTCTGTTGGAACGTTTGAGGCGCGTCGGGCCGCCGCAAGGCATTTCTCGCGATGCTTGGCGGCTCATGTTCAGATTTCTCTGGCCCAAACACGACCACAGACGTCCCCATTGTCGATTCTGAGTCTGTTGGGCTCGAGCCGAGGCCTGGTGCACCCCGGCACTCCCGCGGCGGCGCGGGTTTCGTGCGTGTTGTGTCCACCCCAGAGTCTAAAAAAAAATTCAAGGAACCGTACCGTTGTTGCTCCTCCATCCGCCTCCTGCACTATCTCTGCCCGACATGCCGTAGCTTCCTCTGCGCTGCGTCGCGGGCGGCATGAACGGGTCGTGGCGCTGGAACGGGTCGGAGAAGGGTGAGTGGATGGGCGGCTGCGACGCCTGCGGCGGTTGATATTGGGAATACGAGGGGTGCGTCGACGATGTGGAGGTGGTGGTCGGGTGGTGGTTCGGGTTTTGGATGAGTTGTGGCCGCTGCGGAGGACCTGGCTGTCGCGCGTCCATTATGAGCTGGGCGGTGGAGCTGGGCGGTGGGCGTGGCGCGAGGACGTATACGTTCGCTCAACGGAAGGCGTGCTGCATCGCGGCAGCAAACAACACGTGGGGCGGCAGTCGCAGGCTCGCGGCCGGGCGGGTGTTGGGTTGTGGTTTGGGGTTGACGCAGCAGTGTGGGCGCGCTTCCTGAGGAGAGAGCTTTGCAGGGCAGCCGCTAGGTAGTAAACGCTTGGGATGGGTCCGTGTTCCCCACACCCTGGCTGACCCGCTGGTGCATGCTGGGCAAAGCCGCCCGCGCCAGAGCAACGCAGGTCTCTCCATTTGTTTGTGACATGGACGGCGCCCCTGGTCCCTGTGCCTGTTGATCGCGCCCGGCATTGTGCCCGCTGCCTTTGCCCGCCGGCCCAGGCACGCCTCTGCACAACGTTCTGCTACGAGCGCAAGCGCCAGCCGGATCGCCGCACGCTTCTTCACCGGCGCCCGCTGAAGTGCGCGACGCGGCGCGTGGCCCGCACACCGCGACTCAGGCGGTCAGCCCCGATAACAAAACAACTTCCCCATAGCGTCCCCCATAAAAAGCTAGCCACGCGCTTCGCCTTCCGCTCCCACAGTCGCACCATTTCCGGACGCAGATGAACTAGCACTCAGGCCCAACCAGGTACTCCCAACATCTCACCGCATCAAATGCTCCCCATGCCCGGCACCCCAGCTGCGTCATGGGCCGTGTACAAGGCGAAATTCAAGTCCGTCTTTGAGGGCGCCGATCCACGTGTCTGTGCCGCCTTCTGGCTCTTCGGTATGCCGCGCATCCGCTGCCAAACCCGTGCCCAGCGTTGGCTGACTCTGCAGGCCTTATCAACAATGTTCTTTACGTGATCATCCTCTCTGCGGCCGTCGACCTGGTCGGGCCTGCCGTTCCGAAGGGTGTTGTCCTGCTCGCCGACGTCATCCCGTCTTTCATCACCAAGCTGATCGCGCCCTACTTCATCCACCAAGTCCCATACTCGGTCCGCATATGTGTCTTTGTAGGCCTTTCCACGGCCGGCATGCTGTTGATCGCTCTCACGCCTGCAACCCGGGACGGAGGCGCTATTGGCATACGAATGTTGGGCATCATCTTTGCGAGTCTGAGCTCTGGCGGCGGCGAGTTGAGTTTCCTGGGGTTGACACACTTCTACGGCCACTTCAGCCTGGCTGCTTGGGGAAGTGGAACCGGAGGTGCCGGCCTCGTGGGCGCTGGCGCGTACGTGCTCGCCACCACCACTATTGGCTTGAGCGTGCGCACCAGCCTGCTCGCGTTTTCGTTTTTGCCCGTGATCATGCTTGTCAGTTTTTTCTTGATTTTGCCCAGAGGCCCGTTGCAATCCGCTGCCAGACAGGCTGAATACGAACAGCTGGGAGGCGATGAAGACGCAGAGGATGACCTTCAGGATCCGCTTGAAGACGGCGATGGCCTTCTGAGTGGATCCATGATGTCGGCTTCTGGGCGAAGCTTCACCTCCCTCCAGTCCCGAAGGAGCAAGGTCTGGAGGAGCTTACAGGCTAACCTGAACCGAGCTAGGCATCTGGTCATCCCCTAGTAAGTTCTTTTTCTCTATGTCTGTATCACTGTGCCTATGCGAACTGTGACTTTTCGAATTTACGGGTAAGCCAAGGTTTTCCCTTGCTGATGCAGCCCCACGCAACACAGCATGCTCCCTCTTCTCCTTGTCTACATCGCCGAATACACAATCAACCAGGGCGTTGCGCCAACTCTCCTATTTCCGCTTTCATCGAGCCCTTTCTCCGAGTACCGGGCCTTCTATCCAACATATAACGCAATCTACCAAGTAGGGGTTTTCATCTCCCGAAGCTCGACGCCCTTTTTCCGCATCCACCACCTCTACCTTCCTTCTTTTCTGCAGATCGCCAATCTGGTGCTGTTGACGGCACATGCCGTTTGGGACTTTATCCCATCCGTCTGGATCATTTTCTTGATAGTGTTCTGGGAGGGCTTACTGGGCGGGTTGGTTTATGTGAGCACATTCGCCGAGATCACAGACAACGTGCCCAAAGCAGAGCGCGAGTTCAGTCTCAGCGCGACGAGCGTCAGCGACTCGGCGGGTATCTGTGCAGCAGGATTTCTGGGTATGGCGTTTGAGGTGTGGTTGTGTGAGTGGCAGGTTGCACATGGGAGGGATTACTGCCGGAGGACTTGAACGCATCTGTCACAGTCTCCATAGAAAACCACGTGTTAAACATTGGTTTGCCACGCACTCTGCTAGTTCGGAGGTCTCAAGCAAGCCTGCAGCGCCCGGTGTTTCCCCCTTATCATGACCGGACGCAGTTTGCCATGGTTGCTGTGGCGTTTGCAAGTCTGTTTCCCAGCAGAGGAGCTATGATGATGTACATGACTTGAGGGTTTCGACGCGTTTCTGATGTGCCAGATGATCGCCGTTAAGGCCCGTAGTCCCTTGTCAAGGATCGACAGTAGATGATATGATATCGACCAATCGGAAGACGGACATTTTGAGAAGGATCAAGTGTGTGTACGGAGCTCATTGGAGGATGCGGCAAGCCATATCTTGAACCTGAAGGTCTGCGAATGGAAGTGCGTCTTGAATGCCTATTACTTTCCTATTTACTAGCTCGCTAACTTTCAATTATCTAGATTATTCCCTCTACGAATGGCAATTTTCACACTCCCTTTGAGCTTATGGTCTCGTAATTAACCGGTGGCTGCTTCAACATTGTCGATGACGAACTGTTCGACCTGACTAAGTTTGAGCATCGAAGCGTGGTTCTGATGCTACATGCACGCCGTTCGCCCGGCTGATCCGCTATCTGGATCATGCATGCATCTAGGTCTCTAGAGCTATGCAGAGATGAAGAAGACGACTGTGCATGCCTTCCTCTATTCACTGCCGGTGCCTCTCGTGTTGTCTCTGGAAAACCTCTACTAGACACCAAGCTTACTATGCTCCTAATGATATTTCTTGTGCACTTTCAGTTCAAGTGCAGTGACCTGAAGAACCTCGTAATTAAGGAACGCCTACGTCTTGTCGTAGTTCCGAAGTAGTGTAAAGTCCAGCCGCTCATTTCGCAACTTGACAAGCTTCGTAATCACTCGCATATTTTCAGCCAGAGTGGACTCAGTGCTGAATTCTGGAAGAACAGCACCAAACCAAGTGATTTCCGGATACCCAGATGTGTTCGGATATAGCTTGGGTTACATGTAATGTTCGCACAGATTGTGGCTGTAGGTGGTGCTGGTGCTAGACCAAGCTCTCCACCTTTTACAATCTTCTTGAAAGCAAGCCAGTGACTCTTTGAGTGAGCCTAAAATGCAATTGGCTGTGTTGAGTTTACGGAAAGAGGGATTTCTGAGATGATGGGCTGCGAAGTCGACAGGTCATCGCAGATTCCGGAAAAGTCTTGGGATGCTTGAAGCAAACGACACTGACTCGGAGAGGGCGGAATTTCCATCAACAGTCACGAGAAGTCTGAAGCATGGCGAAGTTGACTAGCTACAAGCGAGATGCAGTGAGTGAGTTTGGTGTGGACGTTGTGATGGCAGAGGTGTAAGCAGAGAACAAGCTGAGTCGATAGTCTTGGCGTGCGGTGAGCAGGAGTGAGCTCGGGGCAGGAGAGCTGGTATCAGAAAGCGGCAGGCGGCGGCCGGGGCTTCCGAGGGTGGTGGTGAGTGAGCATCTGGAAGTGAGGTCGGCCGCCGCAGCACGGCCGAGGACAAGGCTATGCGGAAGAGAGTCGGACTAAGGCTACGGAGCAGACGAGACTAGCCGACGGGTTTAAACGAGTTCCCGCGGAGAGAGCAGTGACGGTAGGGCTGAGACACGATTTTTAGAGATTGGGCGGATAGGTCACAGCGCGCGCGACAGCTCGTAGGCTTGGTGGCGGGTGCCGGCGTACGGCCCGGATCATCGCTTCGCCCGCCATGGCCAGCACCTCCAGACAGCCAGCCGATCCCCATAGTGACAGGCACCCGCCAGCGAAAGGCGGAGAAAAGCGTGCACGTGCCTCTGGTCACTGGTAGAAAGCTCCCCAGTTGCTTGCTCCGCGGGCTGCAAACATAAAAACACTCCGACTCACCCAGCCCGACCAAAACTCTTCAACTCCCCAACTAGCACCTCACTCGCTCGCAGTCGCCCTCACAGACGCTATCAATTCCCCGCACCACCATGCCTTGCGACGTCGAGGACCACGAGGGCTACCACAACTGGCCCGAGCAGGGCGAGCTGCGCATCTGGCCGTGTGAGCGCGCCTGCGACTACTGCACCTTCCAGGCCCGCGACTCGTCTGCCCTTCGCGCCCACGTGCGTGATGTCCACCAGCCGGGCGACTTTCCGCTCATCAACATCTTGCCGGGCCTGAACCGTCCGCCGGTCTTGTGAGTAGTCCGCCCTCACCTTGCCGACCCAACACCATGACTGACGAACCGCATCCCAAGCAACCCTGCTCTCCATGGCACCTCGCCTCGTCCGCGCCGCCAGAGCACCATCAACGGCGCCCAAGCCGGCTATCAGCCCATGCTCAACGCCAACGACATCGACGACGTCGTCCAGCAGGCCGAAGAGGACGCCGAGGAGCCCATGGACGACCCGCCTGAGGAGCAAAAGCCCACCGACGACCCAGATGACGACGAGTACCACGACGGTCCCAGCTCGTCGGCTGCCCGCGGCCGCAAGATCCAGGCCACGCCCAAGGCCGTCGCCGCCGCCGAGGAGGCCAACGCCCGCAAGCGCAAGCGCGGCAACCAGCGCATCCCCGGCGAGATCTTCCCGGCCCGCATGCCCAAGACCACCCAGAGGTCCCTCATTCCCTACGGCCCGCCGCGCACCATGCCCGGCGGCGGTCGCGGCGGCCTGCGTCCGCGCGGCGACCTGTCGCCCGACGAGGAGGACGACCTGGTCTCGTGGTTCAAGAGCAACATCAACGGCATGTTCCACCTCGGCCACGCTGCCGGCCTGAGCCGCCGCGACATCGCCGTCGCCACCCAGGAGGTCGTCAATCACTGGACCTTCATGGAACTCGAGTAGTGAGGCTCCACTCTTCTTGGCTTCGTAAGTCCGCCGCCCGCTTGGTCCTTGCGTCATCCGCCCGCACTGCTGGGTACATCATGAGTGACACTTTCCTCTCTAGGGCAGCTGTGGCAACAACCTGTGCATGTCGGACTTACTTCGTCCGTTACCATCCCTCGATTCCCTGATCAGCGTTCCGGCGATATGGCACCCGCCTCGGCTTACTTTCTTGCTTTTGTTTCCTTTTCTTCACCATGGTAATCAACAAAGGAGCTTCACGCTCCACATTGCGTCGACATTTCATTTTGCAAAAAAAGAGCACACGGGCATTTGAAGGCGACTGGTGCACGGAGTATAATTGGCATTCGGGTACAGGATTCTGAGGGAAAGCATCTGGGATCATGGTGTTGTAGTCGCGAGCAGTCCTTCGCTCTGGACTCCACACGATGGCTACACACTACTTTGCTGCATTTGTTTGGGTTTAATGATTTTTTCCCCTGGACGATGAAAGACGAATTCTCGGGAATCTGCATTGAAAGGCAATCTTGGCAATCAGGCGATGCCGGTTTGGAGGTTCTCCAGTCATCAACAGGCTTACATAGCATAGCTGTTTCCTCCTTCTACTTGTTTGTGATGTGATCCTATCTGCACTCCCTTATCAGTCCCATTGTCTTGGAACGGAGCTCCTGGATAACATGCGTTTCTTGGTCTGCTTGGCAGTACGTCTAAGCCCCCCGAGAGTCGTGGCTTATGAGGCCGATTCAGCCTTACACATTGAATGAATATGATTGTGCGCAGTCAAAACATTTGGTGCTCGCCGTGGAAATGTTCAAGCCGGAAATTATTTCGTATCGTAGAATAGATGACGGTGATCAGCATGAGCCCCTCAAGTGATATAGGCAACTGAGGTGGTGAATAGCTTATAGATGGTGTTTCAGAAATGGCACATTATTCAAACACGGGGGGCAGGTACCTGATAGGGCGGTGTGGAATTTAGCTTTAAATAAGCTGGGGCTGTGCAGAGGAGGCGCGTCGTGTTCGCTTTCTCGACCAGCAACGTATAATTGGCCAAGTCCTCCCGCATTTGCAACACCATTTCCTCCTTCTTTCCACGAAGCCGTGACCTTCAACTCCGGCTAAATTTTCTTGCGCGAATCCGAAAGAATTATGCCGCCTACCAGAATAGGTCATAAGAAATCGCGTTTTGGCTGCGTGCGATGCAAGCAACGGCACGTCAAGGTCGGTTGGCCCAGGCATCCCCACTCGGCAGCCCTGCTGAATCTGGAGTGCAGTGTGATGAACAGCGGCCATGCAGCAACTGCGTTCGGCACCAAGCAGAGTGCAGCCTTGTGCTCTCCAGCCTAAGCCCAGGCGCATCCCCCGACTTTCCGAGACCTGCCGGTGCGCAGCCTGATCCGTCGCGGTCTCAGCCAATTCAAAGCACGTCCGGTATGCCAACCATCGTTGCTCTTTTTGAATGTCGCTGAACTCGAAACGTAGAAGCAGGCAATCAGTCTCCGCATTCCTTTGCCGCCCTCCCTACGCCAAGTACTCATTCACAACATTCCAATCCGCTCTCACCAAACCCGCGGGCTTCTTCAATCAAAGCCAAAGTATCTTCGATCCGACAGGCTCTTCTTGACTTGACGAACGAGGTCGAGGTGCTTGAGCAAAGCCACAGCGGAATCAACTCACCGCAGCTCGTGCAAGAAAACAGCTCGGGGCCACCATCAGACTCGATATCCACTGCCGACTGGCTCGGAGATATGGAGCTGTTCTCCCACTACAAGTCAAGTGACTGCTTGGGTTTATCAGAATACCGGCGCCGCGAATTATGGCACGACGTCATCCCAGAACTCGCTTTCACTCGTGTATGATCTTCACCACCTTGACGCCTCGCAACGCCCGCTAAGAAGCCGCCAGGAATCATTAATGCACGGATTGCTCGCACTGTCGGCACTGCACCTGGCCTACCTGCACCCAGACCGCAAGCGCGAGTACGCGGCCAAGTCAGCGCGGCATCAAGACGTAGCCCTCTCGCGCCTGCGCAACGGCCTGTACGAGATCACCGAGCAAAACTGCTTCGAGCACTTCCTCCTCGCCTACCTCGTCATCCTCCTCACCTTCTCCTCCATCGGCAACCCGCTCGACGACGACGACAACGACAACACCGCCAGCCCCGACCAAGCCACCCCACGCCGCTACGCCCCGCTCGACATCCAGGAGCTGGCCCAATCACTCTTCCTAGGCCAAGGCATCATCAACATGATCTCCTCGCCCGAAACCTGGACCTGGATGAAGCGCGGCCCCATCGGCGGCTTCTTCCAAGTCTCGCACCCAACACCCACGCCCTCCAACCTCGGCACCGACCGCGCCGGCACCTTCGCCCACCGCATCGCCCGCCTGCACGACGACGTCGTGTGCCAGATGGGCGGGTCCCCCGGCGACGCGAAAGTGCGCGCGTCGTGCCTGATCGCGTGCGACGGCCTGCGCCGCGCCTACGGCGCCGTCCTGCTCAACGGCCTCGGCCGCCGCGAGGCCACGCCCGTCTGGCTGTGGCTGACGCTGCTGCCGCCAGACTTCCGCGAGCACGTCGCCAGAGCCCATCCCGTCGCGCTGCTCGTGCTGGCGCATTACGCGGCGCTCGTGAGGTGCTTCGAGGACCGCTGGTACCTCGCCGGCTGGAGCGGCCGCGTCTTCGCTGCCGTCGACGACGCGCTGGAGAAGAGGCGGGATGAGGAGGAGTCTGGAGGTCAGTGGTGGCGCGCGTGGTTGGAGTTCCCGAGGAATTGGGGCCCCGAGCAGCTGGATGAGGCTATCAGGGAGAGTGAGGAGCGGGGGGACCACCTAAGGGACGTGTGGGAGAGATGAAAGTGTGGGGACGACGCCGTGTCGAACATGTTTACAAATCTTGGTGTTCTGGCCCTGTGGAATTGTTGGAGATATGTCATCACCGAGAGGGAGAGTGGTTGAGTACGAAGAGTTGGGATGGAAAGCGAAGAAAGGAAACACGCGTTCAGACGTTTAGACTATTTGACGCTTCATGAACCAGGCTGTCGGGAAAACAATGGTTCCTTCCCAGATATCTGGAAGCAACCAGCTTCAAGAGCTTAACGTTAGTAATTTTAGACTTAAATGCCATACCATGCACCGAAGTTAGAGCAACCCCACTTTTATCCATGACTTAATTGCGCCATTTAACCAACAAGCAAGTCAGTCTATAGTGATATACTTGCTTCCTTACTCGCCCATCGCTTAGATCTAAGCTCGATTCTTCATGATCGGCCTCACATTCACTGATTCACACCTTTATCGCGGACGGCTCCCCGCATCTTGTACAGCATTAGCTTCAACCGATCGCCACACTATATTTAGAAAAGTCATTCTTGGATCTACTGCCATGATGGTTTAGTGGATTCGATAGCCTTCTATAGCGGTCAAGGCAAGTTGAGTATGTAGAGTTCGAGGTGCAAAAGTTCATTGAGTGTGAGGTGGCTAGGTATTGACTTCAGTGACTTCAGCATGCAGCGAGCCACCAGGCAGTTACGGCTGGGGTGTGGGAAGATTTCATCCAACTATCTTGGTCTAATCGTCTACGGGTATCCTGGAGTGACCAACCGGCTGTAGATCAGCGCCGACGGTTGATGCGTCTACCTACGATGTAATTCATGTATCCAATTGGCCAAGTATGCATCTCTCTCCCGCCCTTGAAGACCCATCCTTCTATCTCTGCGGTGCCAGTCTCTTGGAGCACCCTTCTGACTGTTTTGGCCTGCGCGCCGTGCAGCGCAGCCTCCAGACTGGAGTCGATCAGAGTCATGACCTCCAAGAAATTCCGCGTCCTCAAGCTGCTAACAAAACCATCGAAAGAAAGTGTGAAGGGTAGAATGGGAATGATGTACGTGAAGAACATCTGCAGTGGATCATGCCAGAACCAGAAGATGGTGACGACGAACATGAGCCAGAAATCGAGAAACATGAGAAGAAGAGAAGCCAAACGCCGATCCTGCAGCTCGAGGATGGCGAAGCCGTCGGACGTGTTGATTGTGGACTCCAGCACCTTGCGAGCAAGATCATCTGGGAAGTGGTGGAATGCCAAGCAGTACAGCCGGAAGACGCGGGTCTTGGGGCCGTGGTGTGAATGTGCACCGTTGACCGAAGCAGTTGTACTGATGATAGCAGGCGGGGGATTAGTTGCGTCTACTGGCTGTGGAAAGTAGTTGAGATTTGCACTGCGGGACGAGGCAGCTATCCACGCGTCAATGTGAGGCTTGATGTCAGTCATTGTAAAGGGAATCGGAGGCTTGTTACGCTCCGCCCGCTTCTTGTTCACAAGTTTTTCGATGACGGGCACAGGGCCTTGATGCACGTGTCAACAATGGTAATTTTCTTAAGGGGTGGGGGGTGCATACCTCCACCGCCAGAACAAAAGTCCACAACAGTAATTTTAGAGGAAGCACCGTCGGCGATCTCGTCGAGGGCCTTGACGATTAGGCTCGCCGCCATGTCGGCCGGCGAGGACTGCTGGATGATAGGCAGGCGGTGGGTCCATTCGGCAGCTAACATTGCTTGGCAACGGCGTCGGAGAAATGGAGGGTAGCTGCGCTGTCAGCTGGTGGGTGGGGCGAGAGAAGGTTTGACGCACATGGACTGATCACAGATCTCAAAGAGCCGCCTGGGAGTGGTGGTGACAAGCGGGTTCAGCCGGTCCAGGGTCTCCAGCAGCCAGCGGTTGAGCTTTGCCAGGCGCGGGGACCCTGGTGAGGCTCCAACAAGCGGTGTTCGCTCGCCTGCCATGTCATCTGAATACGGCCGAGTCAGCCGGTTGTCGGGCTTCTTGACCAGATCACCGGGTGGAGAGCCGAATCCGGAGTATCGGAGAAGATGGGGCTCTGTCTAGTCCGAGAGAAAGTAGCTGTGGGGGAGCTCTAAGCGGTCAGAGCAAAAAGGCGCCCGGCGGGAGTGTCTGTGGGTTTGGTTTCTCGTACCTGCGTTGTATAGTATGGGGCTCGTGTCAGCTGGCGCCCAGGCTGCAGCGCTGTCATTCGTCGGCGGCGTGCGGCTCTGACTCGTCGCTGCCCACTGACGTCATTCAAAGCTGACTCATCCGCTACTCAAGCCAACACCAAACTCTCATCGACATGTAAAAATAGGAGTCTCCTTGTTTCACTCTAGCCCGAACCTCGCCAGGTGGCCCTTGCCAAGCCACTCGCCCGTTGTCTCCATCCCCCAGAGCGTTGCCATGACCAGAATGCCGAGCTCCTCCATGTCATTCGGACTGGCTTTCGCAATATCATCATCCCAATGCGCCAGTCGGACCTCGACTTTCTCGTGCTCACTGCACGCTGACCGCCACCCGTACTCTGACTGCGCGTTCCAAAGTGCTGCCTGTGCCGTGAAGCTCAGCCTGTGGTCTGACCCTTTGTCGTAGCCAAACTTCAAGAACTCATACACTGCTCGCACCATAAATGTGCTCACCACGGTTCGCCGTGTGCTCTCCTCAATCAGCCACCGTTGCCAGTCTTGCGGCCGGCTCTGAGTCGGAAGAAGCGCCCCGGCTGAAGCGGGCAGTGAGGGCACCAACTGATGCATCCGCATTTTCAGCTGATTCGCCCACATAACGAGCACTGCTTCGTCCGCCTCTGCTTGTGCTCTCAGCCGGATATCTCCATCAAAGAGTCTGATGATGTGGTATAAAAGGAGTGCCTGTACAGCCGCCAGAAGCTCAACCTTTGACGCCAGAAAAGGATCCGTCTGGGCGATCAGTTGCTGAGACTTGTGCTGCAAGTTGGCGAACACCAACGCTTGGTTCTCTGGGTTCTTCAGGCAGTACAGGGCGCAAGCGCTGAGTGCGTCCTGCAGTGCCGCAGGGCTCTTCTCTTGGAACAGCCGGCGGTGGATGAACATGGTCTGCGCCTGCTCAGCGAACATCTTAGGAATCGCTGTTATTCGCTTCGCCAGAAACTCAACGCGAGCCTGGTATATTGCCCCCGACATGATTTGCTCCACGTCGTTCGGGTCTTGCTGAGCCATGATGTCCTCGATGACAGCCGGGCTGAGGTAGTCTTCGCCGGGTAGGTGTGGAAGGTTGAAAGGATCGTCTCCAAAATTTAAGAATGCATCATTCATGCTGGGAGAGAGCGTTGCTGCCGCCCTCGCGGGGCTCCGTTGTAGCTGCAAGCTAGCATTGTCCTCCGCGAACAACTCCGCATACCCAGAGTCTGAATCTAGTCCGGACCCTGCGTCTTGAGGGGATCTGCGGGAATTCCGGCCCGCATACTCGCAATCGATTTTTCTCGCTATACAGCGCCGGCATTTCGGGAACGTCTGGTCGCACTTCCGCTTGGAGCGCACACAAGCGTGACAGGACTTTTGGCGTGACGAAGACATGCTATTGGATCGCAATCCGCAGGTCCAGGGCGGGGTTTCGGCCACGACTCATCGCAAAAAGTCCGCAGCCTTGTATTTAAAAGTCCGCAGGCTTGATGATGTGATGTTGCGGAGTTCCGCACCGTGTGCGGAGTTTCCTCGCTAAGTCATCCTTCCTCAGCGTTAGGGCTTACCTCCCCTGCACAGCGTATGGAAAACATGCGCAACTACATTTTCGTGTGACTAAACTCCGCAGTTTGGTGACGATGTCTTGCGGATATTTGCGGAGGGAATTTCAAGTGTTTTCAGACAAATGCTTACGCAAGTTGGTCGAGGAAGACGATATAAATCGAGCAGTACGGTCTTGTAGACAGCAGCAGCAACCACCACAACCACCAGATATCTACTCTCAAACGAAAACCGCTTCACTCACACGACGTATGCAATTGGAAAAGCCTCATTCCTCAAGAGAGTGTATACTGACAATTTGTTATCATAGCACAATGTCTGCTCAACTGAAGCCCCTTGGCGACTGGGTGGACCAGCTCCTTCACACCATCTTCTTCCAGCCGGACGACAACACTGCCATCAAAGCTTACACTGAGAGCGTTGACCCGAGCTTCCTCGTTAGGTAAAGAGCCTCGACCCCACAAGATCCAGCACAGACTCACCAGAACACACTGTCAGGATCAATCACGACAAATACAACTTCGACCAGTACAAGGAAGCGGTCAACAAGGCCCGTGCTCAGAGCGAAATCAGTCTGCAGAGCACCTCCGAAATCCTCAAGTGGGACGACGCCGAACAGAAGGGCGGCACAGTGGCCCAACTCACCAAGTTCACCGTCAAGGACAAGGCAACGGGCCAGGAGACCCACAGCACCAGCTTGATCCTCAGTGCAGTCAGGTGGATCGACGGCAAGAGGGTCCTGACGGAGATGACGGAGGTGACTGTGTGAAGTGGACTTCTTTGTCAAGATCCCTAAGCAAGCCTGCTTGTGTACACTCGTTTGCAGCTGAGGGCTAGCATCAATTTGATTACTTGCATCCCAACTCTCCACATATTGTTTCCTCATAAAGAAAATAGCGAACCCACTTTTACCTCCAACAATCAGACAGTTTGCTCATTGGACATGCTCGCCCAAGGTATGCTCTCATTGGCCGGCTCTGCACAGGGATTGGCAATATCGATACGACGTCAGGCTGACTGATCGACGGCCAGAGCGCAGATGCGCAGCGAGGTAGCATGCTGAGACACATGCAGGCACATGCTAAAAATCAACGTGTCTTCCTGCAATGCCACCTCTGAGAAGTGTGCAGTAGTGCTCATTAGCATGTCGTCGGAGACATCAGCGCTCACTGCTTCATCTCCGCATGATCTGCGCCGCGAACCCAGAAATAGCAAGTGGCCTGCATGAACCACCATGCTCCTTTCCCGAAGCGGCATGCACCTTGAGTTTGGTGCAGGCGAACAGCACACTAAAGGTCAGGGTCCCCCTTCGGAAGCACGTCAGCCATGGCCAATTGAGAAAAGAAAGTCAAAAAGCTGCGCCTGAGACACGAGCTGTGCACACGGCAGCCACAACCGCCAAGGAGCATCTGACAGCAACGGTGCCTGAATAGCAGCAGCCTGTCTCGCAAGCCGAGGCAAGGCATCCCAACTCGCCCATCGGACATGATGCCGGCTGACCCTGCCTTGGCGCACCCTCGATACCAGAGATGCACCGCGAGTCTGTCCGATGGATGCTGCCACCACACGCTGCAACCGTTTCCTATCTTCAGACGGCTATGCCAAAAACGGGCCCGACGCCCCGGGATGGAGACAAAGAAAAATAAAGAAGACACGAACCACTCGGCGCGCACAGATGGCCCCCCCCTCGTCTTTCGCTTCCGAAGAAACGAGTGATCGTCACGGCGAGCCGCCACAGTGGGGGATCCTCGTGAGTACATACGGCGTGAAACCCTATACGAGAAACGCTATCGGATGGGGCCGAGAAACGAAGAGTGGGTTTCGAGACTCGCAATACAATGCCCTTTCGCGTCACAGATGAATTACATACGAAGAGAAGAAAAAAACTTTTCCTCTGGGATTCGTATTGCGGCTTTCAGCCCGACGGCGGCGCCAGCCAAACCAACAACGCGCGGCACAGTAGCATTGTGCCTGACCCGGAGATTCGTCTTTCGGCTACCTGTCAACCCCACGTGGCGCTCGCTGCGAAGCTTTTCTCTCCCAAGTGGCGCAAGGGGCACAAGGTAGCGGACACTTATCTCCGACCCGCCAGCATCCGCGCGGCGTGAGCCACGGTCCCGGGAAAAGAGAAAAGAATGACCCAGGGGGACCGAACTAGTGTGGCCAATTTCAGAGGGAAAAGGTAAAACGCGGCGTGAAGAAGGTAAAACCTCGGGTCGTTTCGTGTCAGAGACGATTGCGCATACGATAGCACGTTGAGGTGGAGAGACGAAAGCTTAATGCGCGCGCGCGTATAGCTACAATCTACCAGAAGGCGTATTCGTTTTGCATCAGAAATCTGAAGCACCAAGCCGCATGAAACGAGCGATCAGCGCGTCATCAGAGAGGCGGTACATAGCACTCCAGCTAATGGGGCGCAGAGGCCAACCAACAGTCATATTCATCACCGATGATGCGGGAAGGATAAGAAGAGCCGGGGCCCATCGGCCGAGGCTAAAATAGGAAATAATGAATGAACCACAGTTGCTCTCATTCGACCTTTGTCTCCTGTCAGGGCCCGCAAAAGCAGCACGAAGGAGCGCGGCACTAGACCGGCAGCGGCTGGAGGGGACCGACGGGGCGCGCCCGCGTCTGACAGCCTGCAGGTGTCGGTGAGCTGTGGTTGGCGCGTCGAATGCAAGACACGATATACGAGATGATGGGCCGCGCTATCGATATAACGGATGCAGGCGCCAGAGTTGCACCAAAGGAAGGGCGAAGGAAGGAGGAGAAAAGAAAGAAAAAAAATAACGCCTTGCCTGCATCCACCTTCCCTGTCGCCCTGGCCCAAAGAAGACGCGGGAAGGGGAGGGGAGAGAGGGGCTGCGGCGCGTGTGCGTGCATCCGTGCGCAGCAAGCCCACCCACACATCAACCAACTATCGTACCCGGGCGCTCTTGAACCCCCCACCGGCCCCTGCCCATGAAACGAAAGACGGCGGCTTTGCCGCTTCCGGCTGGCGTTTCCGCACGGCTGCCGTCGCGAGGCGGCTTTTCCTGGTCGCAGCCCCCAAGGCTCGCGCAGGCCCCTCGTCGCCGAAAACGCTCTCGCTGGCGAGAGGGAACAGCAAATATGGCTCATTTGGTGCGCCTGCGCTGCTGAAATTGCGCCCTGCAAGAATAGACGCGGCTGCAGCAGACGCGACAGACGCGAGCGCAGCATCATGCACCGCTTCGTATCCACGCACCTCTCAATTCAAATTTTTCAGTCCACCAATTTCTGGCGATCTAGATCGCGATAAGGCTGATGGGTACGAGAATCGAGAACAGTCGCGCCTCTGCCACGGCGTCTGCCTCGCTTGCACCCGGCCGCGTCCGGTTGGTCATCATCACTGCACAAACGCCGTGGCGCGCAATCCATGTCCGCAACCCGCTGTTATTACATGTCTAGCTCATAGTGCGTCTATACAAAAAACCGCCAAAGATGGCTCCGTCCCGGAGCCGTGGTATCATACGAATATGAAACAGGAAAGCAAGGGATTAATAAAGACAATAACCAAAATGACTCCCGTGAATGATGCATGTGATAGGATAACGTCAGTCATGCGCGCCAGAACCCGTGATATGAATGCCCGGTAAAACACCACATTGTAGATGCGTCGCTAATTATGTCAAGTATCTTTTTTTCGTGTCGTCATCTGCGGTCGCCCTCGACGCTGCTGGTCGGGCTGCTGATGCTGCCCTGCTCGCTGGCGTCGCTCTGCCGCCTGCCGGCGAACTGGGCGAACCGCTGCTGGCAGGTCAGCCGATCCTGGTCGGGATCGCTGTCGACTTCGTCCTCCTCGCGGAGCATCTTGGCGTCGAGCTGCTGGCCATTGACTGGCCCGAGCGTCCACTTCCACTCGCGCCTGCGCTTGCGCCGGCCGGCGACGGGCGTCGCGGGACACGAGTCGCTATCCGACTCGGAGTCGGAAGGTGACTCGCGTTTTGCGCAGCGCGGGCGTTCGGTTGAGTGGTGCTGCGCAGTGGTCACCTGCACGAGCGTGGGCTTGGAGAGCTGAAGGTCGAGCTTGGCGGCTGTGCGCGACGGCAGCGTAGTAGTGGCGGTGGGGGCGGTGGCAGTGACATCCTCGCTCGCGTCCGTGTCGAGCGCTAGCGAGGAAATAGTCGAAGACGAGGATGCAATGTCCGAGTGGGCCATGGTGTACTTGGTGGTGACGATGTCCTCGGTGAGGTTGGTGCGGAAGCTCACGCGCTTGGTGGCCGGGAACATGGGGCGCGAAGACATGGTGCGGTGCCTGTGGACGGGCGGGAGAGGGCTGTTGGAGAGGATGCTCTGCACGTTGTGCGGGAGCTTGTAGGGCACCTTGGCCGAGTCGGAGCCCAGCGAGGAGCCCAGAGAAGAGCAGGACGAGGCCGAGGTGGAAGAGTTGAAGGTAGAGGCGGAGCTGGGGGTGTCGGCCTTGGACTCAGCCGAGAGGGTCTGCTGCTCGTAGCCGTTGCTGAAGGTGTTGCGGGCGGTGGGAGAGACGGCAGAGAGGGTCTCGAGGCGCAGGCTGGAACCCTTGCCAAAGCTGCGGTGCTGGACGGTGGCCGTGTTGAGCGAGAGCTTGGGACGGCGCTGAGCAGGCTGCGGTTGCACGGCGGGCGCGGCCTGGGGGGGTAATATGGCCAGAGAGGTGGTCATGCTGGGCGGATGCAGGGCGATCATGGGACGTGTGGGTGTGGATTGCTCAGGTGCAGAGTAGTTGCGATAAGTGCGAGGGGCCCGATAGGTATATGGCTGGGTGGGTCAGGTGACGGGGCGGAGCGGGGAAGAGAAGCACTCTGTGCGCAGAAGACAGGGCCGTTTAACGTCTGCGGGCGGGCGCGAAAGTTAATGAATAATGGAGGACGGCGGGCACTGGTGACGCGGCGCCTAAACCCTGCGCGCCGAGCCAATCCACCGTTTGTGCCTATAAATAAAATAGCAGCCATGGCCATCAGCGGCGATCCGTTGGAACAAGGAGCGCCAATCGCAGCCCTGCCTCGGGCTGGGCCCCGCCGCGACTCGCGCGCGCAGTGGCAACGCATCCTGCGCGCCCGTTTTGGCACACCATGCGCCCCCGGCACCCACTCGCCCACGCTCAACCACCGCATCTTCGCGATAGCCGCTCCCCGCCTAACACGAGACGCCCGCGGCCAATGACGTCGCCATGCAAGCGCCCCGGTCTGCTGCTCGCATCGTGCTTCATCTCGTGCGTCTCCCCTCGCGCCTGTTGGTGGCTGAGGCCTTCGTACCGCTAAGGCCGCAAGCAAACCGCACCCCGGGTATTTTTGTCGACTGACCGCCTTCGAGGACTACGACGCCTTCTACTGCGCCGTCGTCGAGGCCGCGCACCCGGCGCTCAAGCAGCTGCCGCTGGCCGTGCAACGCAAGTGCCCATGGCGTGCAGCGCGTGCATCGACGAGCTGACCCGCCGCCGCAGAGAAGCAAATCATAGTCACGTGCGTTGCTGCTCCCCGTCAGCGTGCGCGATCCCGGCTGATGGAGTAGCTGCAATTACGAGGCCCGCCGCCGGGTAAGCGCATCCTCTTTCGTCGGAGCCGCGCTGATGCCTCGCTCAGGGCTTGCATAAGCTGCAACTCGTCAAAGAAGCAAGGCGCCTCTGCCCCGACCTGGTACCCTCTCCCGTCCTGCAGCGCGGCCCGCTATCTGGCTGACGGGCGTGTCTCAGGTCATCGTGCTTGGAGAGGATCTGACCCGCTTCCGCAACGCCTCCAAGGACCTCTACCGCTTCCTGCGTCAGTTCTCGTGGAATGGCCGGGTCGAAAGTAGGTTGATGATGCTTCCTGCCGCACCTCGCGGCCGCGGGCTTACCTTGGAACAGGACTAGGTTTCGACGAAGTCAGGGAACCAACCTATGAATAACCGCCGCCGCCCTCGCTAACAGGGATGTCCAGATATGGCTCGACGTGACGGACCAAGTCGACTATAACGTCAATCTGCTAAATCAACACGACCTGACCAACGCCTACTTTTGCTTATCCAAGGACGACCCGACCCACGGGTTTGCCTTTGACGCTACCCGCTTTGCCGGCAATACGTATCCCGCCTCGGGCGAGCTGAGTAATGACGACTCGTTGCGGTTGCGCCTGCTGCTTGGCTCCCACCTGGCGCGCCACCTCCGAGCCGAACTGGAACACCAAAAAGGTTATACCGCCACCGTCGGCATTTCCACCAACAAGCTGCTGGCCAAGCTCGTCGGCAACGTGAAGAAGCCGCACGACCAGACGACGCTGCTGCCGCCGAGCGCCACCGAGTTCGTCGATGGCCATGACATCGGGAAGATCCCCGGCATTGGCTTCAAGCTTGCGCAGAAGCTTCGCGGCTTCGTGCTGCAGCGTCCCGCCGCTTTCTCCGACGGGCTCGTCTACGGCGGCACAGAAGAACGAGTGACTGCTGGTGACGTAAGGAAGCACGTGGGCGTCAGCGCCGAGAGGCTCGAAAGAATCTTAGGAGGCCCAGGATCGCCTCATGGGATCGGCGCCAAAGTTTGGGGGCTGCTTCATGGCGTCGACGACTCAGATGTCGGCCAGGCACGCGACGTGCCAAGGCAAATTAGCATCGAGGACAGCTACATCCGGCTGGACACCCTGGACGAGGTCGTCAGAGAGCTGAAGATGCTGGCCGTCAGCCTTATGAAGAGGATGCATCTCGACCTGCTCGAGAGCGACGACGGAGAGATCTGCAATTCTAGTCTTCTTCCCTCGGCTGCAGAAGCCCTTACAGTCAGATCTCAGCCAGCCAAGCAGCGCTGGATCGCACATCCCCGCACCCTGCGCCTGTCTACGCGTCCGCGCCCACCCGTCGACCCCGCCACAAACTCCCGGCCGCGCACTTTTGCGCGCGTATCCAGGTCCACTCCGCTTCCTAATTTTGTTTTCAGTCTCACCACTCCCGCCGACGCGCTTGCCGAGCGTCTCGTCGACGAGGCGCTGGTGCCGCTTTTCCGCAGACTGCATCCGGAAAAGAGCGGGTGGGATCTAAGCCTTGTGAACGTCGCAGTGACCAATATGGCAGAGTGTGCAGGCGACACAAAGACCAGCAGCGGGCGAGACATTGGCGCAATGTTCAAGAATCAGGACAGGGTACTGGCCCAGTGGAGGGTGGCAGAGGAGGGTGTCGCACCAGACCCCAGCGACGATCATGTCACCATCGGAGAGACCGAAGGTGGAGACGGCTTTGCTTCCGAGGCTCGCCATGATGAGGCTGATGAATCTCGCACAAATTTTCCTTCATCGCGATTTCTCTCACACGAGTCGGATTCCGCCGTAGACGCCCGTCGCACCGGCTCCGAAGACCTTCTAGCCTCCTCCCAAGACAGCCGCGCCACGCTCGACGAAGACGAGGCTGTTTGCTCTGACGAGGCTGAGGTCTGCGACTTCTGCGGCGCGCTCATGCCGGCATTTGCTATGGCGGCTCATGCGAGGTTCCATGCACTAGGAGAATAGGAAGAGGATGGCGCATGCACGCAAAGTCAACCTCAACGCACGGCGATAATACGGGGGTGCATGTGCATTCTCAAGAGATAGCATTTGAGTTTCTTCGCAGCATTGCAAACCGTTCCCGCCGGCATGGGTTTCCCCAGCCACAGAGGGTGGTGTTCGTGTCTCGGTTGCGCTATTTTTCTTTTGCTGAGCCATGCTGCCGTGTCTGACTGCCAAGCGATTATGCAGCGGAGCGCAAGAAAGAGTACCTATACATGCGACCCACCAGCCAAATAGACTGCTCTGCAACCCTCCCGCGCGGAAATGCTGCGAGCTTATTTCCAGGCCGCCCTATTCTTGCTCGGTCGTCCCACGTTTGATGCACCCCCCAGATGTCGCCACCATCATCTATTTTCCGCAGCGCGTAGTCATCCTGCCGGTCACCGCCGCCCGCCGTGCTCCGTAATTGCAGCCCCAAGGAACAAAGGTCACGACGTATCACGTGTGATCGTGGGGATGTCTCAGATGCCCAAGCATAAAGCGCATGACAGCGGGGAAACGCGTCATCCAGCAGCCAACCGCGAGCAGGCGCTAAATTCAGAAGAAACGACTAAGAAGATACGTCACTCTTACACCTCCAGCCTCGCTGTCATCAGCACAACTTGCACCGCATGCACGTGAGTGGTCGCCATGCGCAGCCACCTCTGTGTCAGAATCCCTCTCGCACGAACAAAGACAACGAGCAGTTGGGATCCCATGCTGATACAAGATCGAGAACGTTGGGAGGCTTTGACTGCCCGCCTGACATAACACCATGTGGCGTGCTGCGCTTCTCGCTTCCCGTTACGTCCAGGCTTCTGGAAGTCTGGCCCCTCGCGAAAAGTTGTTGCCTATGCCTCCTCCCTCTGCTCTCTTTCCCTGTGGCTGTGTCACAGACCAACCAAACCAGTGTGACCAACAGCTCCTTCGATTCGTCCATCGCCCATCGCCCCTTGCCCCACGCTCCGCCCATCCCGCGCTAGCCGCTTCAGGCAAAATCCAAATCCGCGCCCCACAAATCCTCCACCCCTGGCGTCCGTTCGTCACAGAACTTCAGCTTTTGTTGAACGCTCGTTCGCTCCGCTTTAATCTTCGCCTGGCCCGAGCCAAAGCCAGAAAATATTCTTCAAGGGCGAGCACTGACGCTTGTTACTATCTTTATCGTAGATCTTCCGGAGACGCCCCCGTAAAAACGCAGAGGCAAGTCAGTCGATACCCTCTTTTTTCCTTTTTATCTCGCATGCTCGGTCCGTCTGCGAACCGGGTGCTCGTTTTACGTGCATACTGGACAGATCATGCGGCAGCGCCCGTCGGAGGTAGACAAAGAATCAGCTTCACCGCTTTCTGATGACTACTGCCAAAAAAGAAAAAAGGAGGGATGCAGGCGAGAATACTGCGCCACACGGACCTCCCGACGACCAAGCTCGGGCGAAGCACAATAGGTGGCCGCAGCAAGGATGTTGCCACAACCACCTTCTCGCGCCAATCTCGTAGTTTACCTTTCGTTATCGTCGTCGTCGTCATCATCTTTGAGGCTGAACGCCGAAGGCCCCCCCTTCCATTTTTAACCTTCTTCCTTAGTGGCGCGCCCGGGCAAAGCTTGATCTGGCCCTGCAGCATGTGAAACCCCTGTCGGAACTTCCGCTGCGCTTGCCACGCGACGCGTGTCATCTGGGACGCTACTGTATGGACGAGCACGCGAAACCTGCATACGTGGCTCAGCAGACAAGATCTGGGACGTCTTACGATCGATCCGAGGCGGAGGAAGGAGATCTGTTGGTTCTGCCTGAGGCAAAATACGAACCTCCGAACTCTCGTGCTGATGTAAAAATAAGGTCATGTGCTCGGGAACGACATGGTAGTTGAGGCTATTGTCCGGACACGGATGCATGACTATTAATTGTACAGTCACGTTTAAATATGGGTTCGGCCGCCCATCACGAACACGGACAGGTATCCAAAACACAAGAAAACAAAGTAGTGCATACCCTCACGGCAAACATCCGAATGTATCATAACAAGCTCGAGATATTGTGCGGCGTGACTCAAGATACAACGCGGCTAGCCGCAGATGATTACAGTTTCGAGGGACCTTAACCAACTCACGAGAAAGTCATTATTCTGTCCTGTCCCGTATATGAGGCTTTTATTAGTATGTTTCTGCTACAGTTCCGAATATTAAAGGAACGCTCCAACTGAGGTACCTTCTTACTAATTCGTTCAGGACCTCGTTGCACACAAAGAGTTCACCGACGCGTCTGGAGCGGGATCAAAGGAAAAAAGAGTAAATTGTCCTACCAAGTAACAATGCTAATCATGAGCACAAATCATTCATGGCTATCAGTCAGCTCAGAGCTATCAGTCAGCAACAAGAATGGCAATCATGAGCACGAACAGGCAATGGGGAATCAGGCAGTCGTTGCAAGATCATGAGCACACACCAAGAATAGCTATCGGTCAGCAAAGAAACTCACTCACTCAGTCAGTCTCACTCATGCTTGATGTCACCGTAGTCCACTCAGTCAGTCTCACTCACGCGTAATGTCACCGTAGTCCAGCGCTCCTTCCTCCACACAGCACTCCGACACCAGAACTTAGAAGTCCTTGGGCGGAACCTGCGGCTTAGGCGGCGTCGGAGGCAGCGGGCGCTTGGTGTACGACAAAGGCAGCGGCGGCAGAGGCTTCGTGTAACGGCGGCGCGGGTCCTTCGGCGGGACCGGCGGCGGAGACGGGGTCGGCGGCAAAGGGCGGCCGTTGCTGTTGCTCTTGTTGTTGTCCTTCGGCGGGACCGGAGGTGCAGGCGGCGTGAGCGGAAGCGGCTTGTCGAGCTGCAACGGAGAAAGGCAGGCGCGAAGGATGCCAGAGCCTTGCGGCTGCTGCTCCTCCTCCTTCTTCTCCTCGTGAATCTGGTCGATCCAGTCGAACCATTCGGAGGAACGGTTGCTGGCGGCGCGGCCCTCGAGGGAAGCGAGGGTGTTGTAGCGGTGGAAGTTGGTGGTCTCCTCCGAGGCCATCAGTGGTTGCTGTTCCTGCATCACGGGCTGATAACGAGTCGAGAACAGGCGGCGGAGATGGTTCATACCGAAACGGTGCTTCGTCGAGTTTTTGTTGTCCTTGCGGCTGAGCAGAGGCATTCGCGAAGTACTGGATCTTCGTTCGGGTGAAACCGAGGTGTGTGGGGAAAAGGAGTAGTAGCGTAATATTGCAGTTCCTATATACACGTCTAGACGTGACGTTGAGCATGAACAATGCTGAACAAAGCCGTTGTTCCACGATGGTTCTCTTTGTCCTATTGCATATGGTGCATGTACAATGTTGGTAGTCATTGTTAAGATGAGTATACCACTCTAATTCCATCATGGACAACTTTAGAAGACGCAAATAATTCCAAATTCATAGAGCAATCTTTCGGAAAGGTCTGAAGTTGTCATGCCTTCGGGATTGCAGCGACAATTCAAAGCCTAAGTTTTGTAAAAGACAAGACCCTCACCATGGAGTCTCTAAGGTGCTTAACACTAAGGCATGGTTCAAAGTTGCTCAGAGCACATTCCAACTGCTGCAGATAGCTATGAAAAAACGGCACCGGCATCGAGGGAAGTTGTGCATGCTTTTAAAATCTTCACCATCGTGATTGGCAATGCTTCCCTCCACCATATTGTCACAGTTCCAAACACCAGGATTGTAGCGAAACGCTGCTGCGCAGACTTCACATCAAGCCCACTTTCTCCGGAACCCTCTCCAGTGCCCAGTAGGTGATTGCGATTTGACGGAAGGCGGCAGTGATGATAATGTTTGGGAGTGATTCAGAAACATAAGGGCTTTCAGCCCGTTGAGCAATCAATTTTCAAGATTCCACTCCCGTCAAAGCCTTTAAACAAGGCTTGAGAGTGGCATAGCAGTCACATGCAAAGCCTTGGTTGCAACAAGTCCAGGAATTATGAAACTAAGCTACCTTATCGAGTCTGACCTCTCATACCCATCTAGCTGTGCAGGTGTCAACGTAGAGAACGCGCTTTTACGAGCTAGCCTTTACGACCGCTCAATCTGTGCTGCACCTTTTGAACTCCGTGAAACCAAACAAAATGATAGCCCCTCCGGGTATTCCGCAAAAGAGCCAGCCTGGGACCCCGTCTCTCGTGTCCCTCCCAGTTAGCTAGCAAGTCCGCATGCTTCGTTTCGCCATGATTGTTGCTTCATGCTGAAGAATTGTTTTTCCCGTAGAAGAAATGTTAGTATCAAAGAACGCTGAAAGATTGGCACGCGTGGCAAAGCCTCGGAATCCTTAATCAAGCACCCACGTCGACCATCATGTTCGAAGCCTGCTCCAGAGGCTCCATCAACGAAGCCGCCACCGCCACGTCGAAGTCAGTGATGCCAGCTTGCTCGATAGTGTCCAGAGCTTTCGGAACGCCGATGAGAATGATTCCCTTGGGAACAACGACTCCTTCGACGCTGAAATTGCCGAAACTGACCAGGCGCTCCAGGTTGGGGCATGATTTGAATATTCCAGCGACAACAACTGTATCAACAGTGTTGCAGAAGGAGATATCGATGGTCTTGAGTTCTGGGTAGATTTTCTGGCCATCGAACACGTTCATGAAGGCCGTGTGTGAGATATGACGGCACGAGGCAATGTTCAAAGACTGGAGCTTTTCACCAGAGTGGTCCATGAGTGCTTGAAAGCCGTCTGACGCAAGGCCGATGGCCTCCTCAGGCCCATTGGGGTTCGAATTGTCGACATCTCGAGTACTGTTGAAGTCGGCAATGCGGAGCGGCGGATTAGCCCAGTCCGTGAACAGAGCAGCGAAGCCGCCGTCGGAGCAGTAGTCATTCTCGGAGAAGCGAAGCTTGCAAAGGTTCCTGCACTGAGTGTGAATGGCGTCAAGAACATCGTCATTCGCATCCAGAAAGTGCTCAAGTGAGAGTGTCTCCAATTCCTCACCAACGCAGCCAACCAGGTTCACAACACGCTCACTTGGAACCTCTGCGGACGTCTGGAGCGAAAGGTGACGGAGATTCTTGAGTTTGGCAATGTAATCGATGGACTTTGAGGTGATGCGGCGGCAAAGCTTCAGTTTGAGGCGGACGAGATTGGGGGCAGACTTGACCATAGTCTTCACAACATCGTCATCAAATGCCGCATCAAGCCATTGGAGCTTGACATCCTGCAGCTTCTGTCCCTGGCGCTTGAAGAGCTGGTGCCACACGTCGTTGGTGACCAGGTTCGAGGCATAGAGTTGCAGGTACTGGATATTCTTGCACTTGTCGAGCATGTACTCGACGTTCTCGTCCTTGAACTGGCAGGCATTTCGAAAGATGACTTTCTGAATGTGCGGAACGTTGGCGAAGAGCTCGTTGTAGTCCTCAGTCTCGAGGTATGCTGCGTCATGGACGGCAACGCTGTCAAGGTCGGAACGTAGGAAGAGTTTCAGCGTGCGCGGGGTGAGAACACGTTTCTTGGAGAAGATCTCAGCAATCCTCTCCAGAACGTTCTCGGGAAGGTCACCGAATTCGTCGATATCATTGTGGTGCTTCGCGACCTTCTCGATGCAAAGTTGTTCAAGTGTCTTGGCTCCCTGAGGCTTGTATGTCGCGTCCATGCGATCACTTTCGAGCTTGCGGCGGCGCGTCTGACCAGCGGGCTTCTTCTGCTTCTTCGATGGGCCAGCCTCGGCAGCAAGCTCTTTGCCGCAGGGTGTGCACAACAGGCCTCCGTCGGGGCCGGTCTTGCTGTATGGTGTGACGGTGAACCTCTTGTTGCAGACCTCGCAATTCTCGAGTTGGCCAGGCGGAGGCTGCGATTTCTTATACATGTCTTTGGCAAGAGCGTCGTCGTAGTCCGAGTCACTGTCTCCAGCCTGGGCCTTCCGCTGGGCCTTCCTCCTTTGGAAAGCCTTGCTCTTCTTGATCTTGGCCAGGTTCTTTGCCTCTGCAGCTATCTCGCTAGCCTTGCGCTTCCTGGTGGACGCGGAAGAAGGGCCCGCCTCTACCTCCTCTTGAGCGTCGTTGTTCGAGCTGGAGCCAGCGTCGGGTGTCTGTGGTGCGGAGTTCTGGGCCTCTCTCGCGGCTTGCTCGCGGCGGCGCTCGTAATCGTCGCGGATCTGGTTAGCAGAAATGTTGTTCGCCTGCGGAGGTCAGTAACGTGATCTACACCTATGCAAACGACGCACGAGGGCGAAAGCACCTACAGCTAAGAAATCCGTCAAAGCCGAATTCCTGCACGATGAAGTGAGAATGATTTCTCTGAAAGCGATCGTGCCAGCTTTATGCGGCTGGCAAGGGAGATTTGCACGTACGGGCCGCGGATGCGGTTGGCATTTGAGCGTCTGTTCGACCTGCTGTGTGTCAGTCGGGGTTCAGCGGGAATCAATCAGGCTGGCTTACATTGTGAGACGAGGGTGGGAGGAGCTGCGAGCGCAGTGCAGACGAGCGGTCAAAGCTAGCTGGCGAAAGACGAGAAGGTGAAGCCAGCAAGGAAGAGAGGCGACGCGGAAGAGAGGTGCTGTGAAACTGCGGGTCGTAAAGCTGCGGCGGAGGCGATAAGACGCGCTAGCGCCGACGCGAAGTCAGGTGGCAAATTCGGGGCGCGCTTTCCACTTTGACCAAAACGGCAAGCAAGTCGTCGATCGATTCCAAACAGCCCAGATAATCCATACATTGCACGAAGACTGAACACACAAACGAACATCATGCCAAAAACACCCTTCTAAAATTTGGATCTTATGTAGAATCCTTTGTCACAAAGTTGATGCGAATTCATTGAGAAAAAGCATAACAACCGTCACTGTGCAGCAAGGCCACACGGGCAGCCGCCGGAAATTGCACCAAACATTGTTCGAGAAGTTGATTCGGCAGCTTGATCAGAGTATTTTCATCGTAAAAAATAACTACCCCAAAGCGCTGTAGCCCATCTTCATCCGGACAGCTGATAGTGAATGTTTTCCTTCCTTTTTCCTCCTTCGACCAGCGCAAGACTTTTCCCCGTGTCCGTGGACCGCTGCCTCTCTCAAAGAAAGTTGTAGTAATTGGAGATGCTTGAATCAGAACCCTTGCCAAATCGAAAATGAAGAACGCAGCTATTTGAAATGTGAGCTGCTACTGGACGCAGCCCGGATCGCCTGAAGATTTTTCATCAATTCCTTTGCAAAACGCAAAGGCTGACCCTGAGCACCGAATGTCGAGGTGATTGCCCAAGATTGCTTAAGCATGGCGGGCCTTGCCCTTGTTGAGGGTGTACTCATCATCCGATTCTTCTTCATCACTGGAGGACTCCTCCTCGTCTACGTCTCCCCAGACGTCCTCCTCCTCTTCCTGCTTCGGCGTCGGGGTCTGCTTCTGTATGTTTGTTAGAACCTGCGCTCGATCAACAATGAATGAGACTTACGAATGCCTTGATCTTGGCCCAGCCAGAGCTCTTGCTGCTTGACGGCCTGTTCGTCTCCATGGAGTCCGCAACCGAAGAGCCAGGATGACCGTACTTCTTGGGGTCGAAGCTGCCTCCCCAAGGAGAGTAGCTGCCGTTCTTGACAGTAGAGTTCGACGACACGGAAGCGGCGTAGCTCGACGTGCGTGCTCCATAAGCACTCGCACCAGCCCTGCTACCACTAGCCCTGGAACGGTCTTCGACCGGAGTCCAGGCAACGCCGGTACCCGTCGATGCCGAGTCGTCAACCGATAAGTCATCGAAGCTGCCAATCAAATTGCCAGTGCCGGTCCTAGAGCTAGACTCTGCAATAGTTGAAGCACTATCGCCGAAACCACTGTACTCGTCGTCGTCGGAGTCGTCGTAGTCATCAGAGTCCGAGTTGCCGAGAACTTCGCCGTGATAAGTATGCTTGTCCTCCACGGCTTCGAACTCGAGCTGCTCCTTCATACATCCGTTGCATTTCTGTTTCCGAATGTTAGCCACATGAATGCATATTGGTAGCATTTATATCATACGGCATGGTCGGGCTTCTTGCGCTGTGCCTTTGCGAACTCTTCCAGGCCCTTATCCTTTCCGCACATGTAGCATGTGAGCTCTGTGACTTGCTGGGGTGTGCAGACAGTGCACTGAACGGTGAATGGGCCATCGTTATCGCGGATCTTCTCGCGCAGCTTGTTGAGCCTCTTCTTCGCAAAGTTTGAGGGTGCTTTGAACTTGCTGCACTTGGAGCAGCGGATCCTGTTGGCACTCGTAGTTAGTACAGATTTTTACTAGCAGATCAGACACCTACTTCTCTGGGAGCCGGATGTTCCTCAAGCTGTAATGCGAACATTGTCAGCAATGGCGATTGAGGCATCTGCGAGTTTGATGTCGACAGACCTTCCATCTGTGATGTCCGCATTCTTGTAGTACCCGCCCATATTGATGAAGGGTACTGATGTCGCCGTCAGAGAGTTGCGCTATGAGGAGATGGTCGCAAGCTACGTCAGCGTGAGGACTTAGGAAGTGAGGCTTTGATCTGTGAGCAAGTGTGTAAGCCATGTTCGACGCTGCATTGAAGTGTGTCTTGTGCCCAGGCGGACGAGGATAGAAAGACTCACGGATGCTCGGTCAAAAAGCACCAGGAGAGTTGAATGCTCGTGCAGGCGGTAGTTCTCTGTGTGAACCACCTGAATGACTGAATGTGTGGAGTGAATGTATGCCGGACTGAGAGTTGCGTCGTCGGGTGGTGAAGAAGAAAGGAAAGGAAGAGACATGAGATGCGTTTATAAGCACGGTCTGCTTGTTCAAATTCAGGGTCCAGAGCGTGTAAAGCAGGCAGTTAGGGTTCTCACGCCTGGCGCAGCATTAAAAGAGGAAGGTACGCGTGCGCGCGTGCGCCCCATAGCGCGTCGCCAGCCGCGTGAACTGCAAGCACATGTCGAGCGCAAGTGCGAGCAGATTGATTCTAATACCTCACGGCCCATTGATTGATCAATTCTTTCAATGGGAGTTATTTCATTTGCACGCATGGGCGGTACACGCCTACAGAGCAGCTGAAATGTCACGTGCCACTTTGTGGAAAGGAATTGTTGGGTAGCACTACCTCAGATTGGTCCTTCACTAGCAGATTGGCATCTCCCGCGACATGGGGAGAAAGACTCTGTTGTCCGAAAGCACGAAAGTTGAGGCTATGGGCAGAAGGTTCCGAAAGAGTTCGCGGTTGATTTTGAAGAGGTAGGCAGGAATAGGTCCAAGACATGCATATTTCATCGCCTCACTCTTCACTGATCTGACATCTGGAATACGCAAAGAGACGACCCATCTGGTTACAAGCCAGTGCCTGTATAGGAAAGGATCGGCATTGCGGAGCCCCCACGAAGTTCCCCGCAGACTCCACCCCGTGCAACGCCAACATCAATCCATACCCCGCGAACGCACCGACATCCTGCTCCGTGTCTGACTATCACTGCGCCGGGAGAAAGCTGCGCTTGGCGCCATCGGCCCACTTTCCCTCCCCGTCGGCTCTTTTCAGGCTGCATCTACCGCCTCTACTAGAGGCCCCGCCATCCATTGGGCGGCCCCGCTATCCCACCTGCCGAGCACCTTTTGGGGACGATACGGGTGTGGAGGCTTAGATTTCCCTGTATAGATAAATGGAACGCTTCTGCCGCCATGCTCTCATTTCCTCTACTCCCCGTTTCTCCATTTTCCGCCCAGCTGCTCCGCCCAGCTCCGCCCTGCGCTGCTTGACATCCCTTGTATTACGCCCACAACCCAGAACTCCACGACGCTACAACAGCACCATGGCTGCTCCCACAATCCCCGCCAAGTACAAGGCTATCATCTATGATAAGCCGGGCACCGTCTCCACCAAAGTTGTCGAACTCGACACGCCAGAGCCCGGCCCCGGCGAGGTTCTGATCAACTTGTGCGCCATGACCCCGCATATTTATCACCCATCCCCTCGTCTTACTCATCATCCGTATAGGTCACACTCTGGCGTCTGCCATTCAGACTTCGGCATCATGATGAACAGGTCAGCCTCCCACGTCAACAACTCCATCACCGTGCGTCTCTGACATCCCTGCTTTCTGCAGCTGGGTTCAGCTTCCATTCCCCACTCAAGCGGGCCAGGTTGGTGGTCATGAAGGTAATCCGACCTTATCGGCCTATCGGATTGGACCGTATTGACCCGCGCAGGCGTCGGGAAGATCGTAAAGATGGGCCCAGGCGCGGATGCAGCCGCCGTCAAAGTAAGCGCTGTGTCAACGGATCAACTCCTGAGCTAAGCAACGTGCAGATTGGAGATCGCGTGGGGATCAAGTGGGTCAGCGGAATCTGTGGATCCTGCGGTGTGTGACGGATCATTTTTGCTTGTCTGAGGCTTGTTCTGATATCCTCCGCAGTTGCGTGCCTTGCTGGTATGGATGGCCAGTGCATGAACCAGGTTCGCTCCTCTCCGAATGGAGGATTCCACAAATACATGCTGACTGCGTGACCAGAAAGTTAGCGGCTACTATACTCCCGGTACCTTTCAGGTTGGTCTTTCAGCTCGTGTGCTCCAGGAAACGTGCGATCTGACAGTAACAGCAATACGTCCTGGCTCCTGCAAACTACGTCACCCCAGTAAGTTTGACTTATCTCTGTGCTTGTCCTTGCTCATTCTCATGACCTCCATTAGATTCCAGATGGACTTGACAGTGCAGAAGCGGCTCCCATGCTCTGCGCCGGTGTGACGACATACTCAGCTCTCCGCAAGGCCAATGCTCAGAGCGGCGACTGGGTGGTTCTAGTTGGTAAGTTTCCTCCCGCTTTCTGCAATCGCAGTCAACTTCAAACTCCGCCTGTCTCATGCATTAAACCCCGCATGTCTGGATCCAATTTGCTTCGAACCTTCGTAGATTCCCCAAAAAGCAAACAACAACAAAACAACGAGGGATCCATACCTCTCCTATAGCCCCCCCAAATCCACCACCGAGCTAACACCACCCACCCACAGGCGCCGGCGGCGGCCTCGGCCACATCGCCGTCCAACTGGGCGCGCGGGGCATGGGCTACCGCGTCATCGGCATCGACTCCGACGGCAAAGAAGACCTGGTCCTCTCGTCGGGCGCGGAGCACTTCCTGCCCGTCTCTCTCGGCAAGGCGCTACCGGACAAGGTCAAGGAGCTGACGGGCGGGCTGGGCGCGACGGCCGTCGTCGTCGTCGCCGCCGCCAACGCCGCCTACGCCCAGGCCGCCGACATGCTGCGCATCGGCGGCACGCTCGTCTGCGTCGGCATCCCCGAGGGCGAGCCCGTGCCCATCGCCGGCGTCGTGCCGCAGTACATGGTCGCCAAGGCCCTCCGCATCGTCGGCGTCGCCGTCGGCGACCGCCGCGAGGCCATCGAGACCATGGACTTCGCGCGGAGGGGCATCGTCAAGACCCATTTCAGGCTGGAGAAGATGGACAAGCTGGCCGATGTCTTTCACGAGATGGAAGGGGGGAAGCTGCGAGGCAGGGTGGTGTTGGATTTGTCTTAAATCCAGCTCCTGTTGTAAAAGGAAAACAGTGGAAATCTAAAAGGGATGCTTCGGTGTCGAGAGACTGCGGGCTGGAGTTTGGGGTGTCGGTGTTGAGTAGGGACCGTATGTGCATGTCTGAGGGGGGTGCTGTTGTCCATTAGATATGACTCTCTTAGCATGTCAGGACGGCGAAGTTACCTTTGAACCAGCAACCAGATTGAAATACGCTGGAGAACGGAATGAATCGTAGCCTTCGTGGCCAGGCTTATCGACGTTGCGAGATGATACGTAGGAAATCGAATCATAGGTCTTCTGAAGAAACAAAGGAAGTTTTCTGTATCTTAACCGTGAGATGTTTCCTTGCATGTCTTCACGCACTCTCTATAGTACACAGGAGAAGACTGTTCCAACTTCTTCCTACGTTTGCCCATCCTTGAGACTCCGGGGACCCACAGCCAACTTGTTTCATCAATCTGGCAGTTGAAGAAGAGGTGTAGCAAAGGATAAGTAGAAAACGACAGAAAAAGAAAAGCGCCGAATGAAAACAGAGGAATTTCCTATTCTTTCCCCGTTCAATCCGACCAAAAGTTTTGCTGGTATCTGAGTCATCGACCAAGGTAGATACTCTTACCAAAGTTGTCGTGTCCGTCCAAAAGGTTTACCGTTCGAGAATAATCAAGAATTCAGGGGCCGTTCCGTCGTAACCTCGTGAAAGTTAAAAATGCAAAAAGCATAAGAGAAGGGCCGTGCTCCGAGGCCAAGTGCAATCTGCTTAAGGTGTTGTCGTTCCAAAACCAAAGATCGAAGATACTGAGGAAGAGGACGTAAGGATTGGGAGCGGGTATATGTGGTTTGTATGCGTTTTATAACTAAAGGTGCATCGCTGATAGAATGTAGAGTAAAGCGGATCTAAGGTGATGGACGGCCGACGAGATCCAGCTCGCCATTCTCGAAATGTGCAAGCGAGCGAGGGGCACGGTTGACCGACTGACAAGAGAAGCCACAGTGCTATCATGTGTACCTTGGCGGCGGCGGGGGGTAACCACCATATGCGCCGGAACTATAAGCTGCCGCAGATGCCGCACTGGCTCGTCGATAATAATCACCTTCGTCGTACAAGCTGTTGTGCCTTGTCTGAGAGCTGGGCGTGTAGTTGTTGCGTTGGCAATTCATGTCGAATTGCGCTCGAGATGCAGACCGTGGCGCTCCGTTGTCGTCGTCGCCCGGGTCGCTATATATGTTGCTCGTATAATACGATGCAGGAATCTCACCAACATTGCCTGGTTCCGAGCGAGTACCGTAACCGTCGCTCCTGGGAGTACTGAACGATGGGCTGCGCCGTCTTGAACCATTCATGCGGGAGCCAGTGCGGTATTGTCTGGTTTGCGTGGTACTTGGTGGATATTCTGAGTGACTGCTTGTCCGATAAATGCCGTTCGTGCCGCTCGCGCTTGAGGAGGTATTCGAGTATGTGCGAGGAACCCGCGATGGTCCACCAGTTTCTGGAGGCGCGCTTTCGCTGGTAAGCCCGCCTGCAGGAGCGGAGCTGGTTGCCTGGCTTCTCGGGGGAAAGTCGTCATAGAGTTTGCCAGTGCCCTCACGTGCAATGTACGGCTTGCGCTCGCGCTCAATAGGGATTGAAACAGGCTCATTGTCGGAGTCCGATGCTGCCGCCGTCTCCCTGGTATCTGCCGGATAAGACGGGTAAGACGAGGGAGGGGGTTGCATCGGAGGTTGTGTCGGGGGCGGAGGAGGGAAAGTGGGAGTCCGGATGGTGATCTTCCCGCTGGAACAGATGGCTGCAGCGCACCGCTGGCGCGCGGGCAGATTTTCGAACTTCGGGAACAGGCGCCGGGGAAGCTCCTTGGGGAAACGCTCTTTGATGTCATCGGCATTGCTGATGGGCATGTGCATGACAGCCTTGGCCAGACGTGCAAATTCGATCTCAGGGTGTCCCTGAATCATGAACGTCATCCAAGTATCAAAGCCCAAGGGCGTCAGTGCGGGAGTGTTTGGGACCTCGTCGGCCTTCTCCTGGACCAAGTGGTGGAGGCAACGCAAATCTCTGTACATCTTCGAAATTGCCGCATTGGACAGCGTTCCAAAGATCGCTGATCGGGTCAGTTTAGGTTCCCTCAAATGCAGATCATCGGACTTACTGCTCCAGGGATAGATCTCATCCTGGGTCCGAGTTTCCTCGTAGAACTTGCGCATCTTCGCTGGTGTGACAACTAAGGTCCCCTTTGGCTCGTAATCCTGCATCTATCACGAGGCGTGTCAGTAACAACACGAGCCGACGTCCGTGTTGGCGCGTACCAAGTGGAGAGCAAGGCCCCGTAAGAACTGGCTCAGCCTCAGGGTGGGCTGTCCATCTGCATCGAACAGCGGGCGCCATGTCTTCTCGATGGCCGTCTCCTCGACGTCCGTGAAGTGTCGCTGGACCGGGGGCCGCGGCGGGTATTGGGCATTAGCGCTGGTGTTGCCGTGCTGCGACGCGGCACCATACTGCGAACCGTGGTCCGACGTAACCGATGACGTCGTACGGGTACCACCGAATTTCGGTAGGGGACCGTCCCGCTCTCTAGCATCAGACTTAAAGTAAGGGTCTTGGACAGGTGGCTCAGGCGAATTGGAGCTGTCGGTCGAGTGGATGCTGTCGTGCCTGGTCGGAGACGGTGGCGTGTATACGCGCGGTGGGTAGGACGCGGTCGCAGATTCGTCCTTCGCCTGCGGCTTGCTCTGCGAGGGAAGCTGGCCCGACGACTTTAGCGTATCCAGGACTTGCTTCCTCACTTCTTCCGTTATCTGGGCTACCAGATCGGGATCAAGCTGGCTCGCGGCACTCGACTTGTCGAAGGCGCTGTTGACAGCCTCGTACACGGGCTGGCCCTGCTGCGAGCTCTGTGAGCCGTCCGCCGACGACGAGCGCGAGGTGCGTCGGCGTGGAGGGGCCGGGTAGGATGCAGTGGATGGCAGATGGTCTGAAGGCTCAAGGTAAGCTTCGTGAGGCGCGTCGGGGTTGCGGTAATCGTAGGCCATGGCGGACCGTTCCCGCGCCGGTGGTGGGCTGCTTATGTCGCTTGTCGCGCAGGAGTAATCGCCAGATGCGGCACGGAGTCGTGGCTGGTGTGGTTGACGACAGGCGTCACATCACATCGCTCGCATGAAGTGCATGCACGGCGAGGCTGAACGGGAAACGGGGTGATGGGAGGAGAGGTGCGTCGGGATGGGGTGATCTGGCAGATGTAGTGTGCTGGCTCTCAGCCTCGCGCCCGACGCAACGGTCACAATTGCGTTTGCCGGGTTCGTCAGGCTGCTTCTGATGGCCGACCGGTCAGGCTGGTGTGTTGGATGTGGTATTCAGACGTAGGGCAGCAGCGCAGGCGTGTTGGGTTAGTTGTCAAGAAATAGGGCAGGACGACTCTCGAAACATGGAAGGCTCATTCTCCACCAGCCAGCCTGCCACGCCAGAGATATGCATCGCAGAATCAAGTCGGCCGCGTGCGTCATCCCCAGAGCACACGGGAGAGCAGCCACGCCCGGCCCCGTTACCCCGTCGCCGCCCGCAAATCAGCAGTCGGAACGGCCTCGCTTGCCCGTCCAAGACCTAACCAGGCACGCGCCGCCACCCGTAAGCATGCGCATCGTCATTCTCTCCCATGCTGCCGGACGCTCCAAGAGACCCGGGAACCGCGCGCCCTCGCCGCTTGTGGCACTAGTCCGACCTCAGCCGGCCCGCCGTTTAATAAATAGAAGCCGGTATCCTTCCCCGGGTTGGCCAGATCGCCCGCTGCAGGAACCGGCTGTGCTCGATAACGGGCACGCGAAACTTGTTGCGCTGGCCCGTGGCAGCGTCGCATTCCTCACGTCATAGAAGTTTCCATGGGCACGTGTAGGTACTACTGCCACTCCGGAGGTTAAGCCCTTCCCCGCCGTGGCCTGGTGGAGCGACGTTAACGCAGGGTCTCTAAGAAGTTGCCGCGGCCAGGGTCGCTGGGCCGCTCTGGCACGCATAACATATAGCATGCACGTCACAACATGGTTCGTTGATAACGGATGCTGACGGACGCGCACGCTGATGCCGAGCGGGTTTCAAGCTGGCGCGCCACAGTCACTGGCCCCCCGTGCCGCCAACGGCGGCGCAGAGCAACGGAAAATTTGAGTTGTTTATGAAGAGGAAACGGCGGTCGAAACACAGAAACGACAGGCTGCCGAGACTGGTCGCCGAGGCGCGGCCCACCGGTGTGTTGGACTCCTACAGCAGTAGCCTACCGCCTTGCATCGTCACCTCGCCCCTCTTCTCCCACGGAGCATCCTTGGGCTGCTGGACGCCGCTCTCTCGCCAACATCGTCGAATGTCCCTGCACCGCACCGCTCGTGGCCGCACAGTGATTTTCCGGGATGCGGAGCTGCGGTCGCCCTGCGTGAGCCCAGCGGCGGGCGCGTACGAGCGGCGCACGGTCGCTGCGCTAATCTTACTACGTAGCCTGCCTCAGCGGGTGTTTCAGCTTTGCAGGGCCCACGAATCGCAGCGCGCCGCGCCTGGCTACCGGACTTCTCAGCTGTCTGGACGTTGAGAAACAAAGCTGCCGCTCTGTCCTGCGGCCTCTTGTGTCGTGGGCGTTGCCTCTCTCTCTCGACCCTTTGTCCGTTGCTGCGTGTTCGGGGTGCCCGCCTGTGCCCACCGCGAAACGCCCAGCATCTCCCTGTCTCACTTCTAAAATCCGCTGCGCATCCCGCAACGCAACCTCCACGCACCCTCTTCGCATCCTTTTCTGAATCGCGCCGGTCCGCGATCCTTGTGCGAGCCTCCGCCTTGCGTGCTCACAGACCTCAAGCCCGACTCCGGCTCCCGACGACCGTCCTCGGGCACACCACACCGCACCGCTCAACTACCGCGTGCACCCTCACACTCGCCTGCTGCGCCGCAGCTCCTGTTCCGACGCATCGCTGCCCGCGTCGCCTTTGTGAGCGCTGCTCCTGGGCCGTCCCTCCCATTATCAGCGAACAATAAGATCGACCGCCGCGACCGCCATGCTCTTATGACGCTGTTTAATTAGGAGGAAATAGCACTTACGACCTCTCCTCGAGCCTACCTACTCTATAATCCACCCCGCCGGTCTCCCGCAATCAAGGGACCACACCACCACTATGGCCATGCTTGCGTCCAAGTCGCAGTATGTCGCTCCCATGGGCAACTCGGCGCCAGCATCGTCGTCTCACTACCCCCCGAGTTCCGCCAGTCACCGCCATCCGCACACCTCGGCCGCCGCCCATAACGGCACACGGTTCGCCAGCCCGACCGAGTCGGAGTTCTCTGAGACTTTCGATGCTCCAGGCTCAGTAAAGTATGGCACACGGAATGCGGGCGACATCTGGTGCAAAGGCTGACCAGACCGTACAGGAACTGGGATGAGGAACGCGTTGGAGAATGGCTGAAGAGCATAAACTGCGCCCAATATGTGCAGCTCTTCAAAGGTCTGTGGAAACTGCTGTTGGACCGGGACCATCCCCTGCTGACCCCAACATAGAGAACAACATCAACGGCGAGGTGCTGATGGAGATGGATCAAACTCAGCTGAAAGAGATGGGCATCAAGAAGATCGGCGACCGCGTTCGCATTGGCTCGCAGGCGAAGCTTTTCAGGAATAAAGAATACCGCAAGTCGAAGCGCAACTCGAATAGGGTGAGCCTCGCCGCCCCGTGGACATGGCATGCCGTATGCGGCTAACCTTCTGATCAGGAGTCGCTGGCTCTCCTCGACAGCGCAAGCTACACTCCTCCGTCATCCGGCTCACCCAGGCCCCTTCATTCAGCAAGAGGTGCACCTATTACTTCCCGCTCCGACAGAAGGATGTCACGGCAAATCGGTGGAGCTGACTGGAGCTATATCCCAGGCCATTCGGCTCGGAAACAACCGTCGCGTCCAGGATCGCCCCTCGTCGACCAAGAAAACCGCGGGCTTCGCCCTCCGACGTCCGGCAACATGTACAGCCCTAAGCACTCGCTCAAGAAAGACGACTCGTACTTCGGCCAGCCTCTTAGCGCCAATTCTTCTTCAGGCCGCGGTCCCAGGTCCGCCACCACTCCCGTTGAGACGCCGCAAACCGCCCGTTTTGCTAACCATATACGCGCAAGTCCCAGCCAGGACGGTTCAACCACCAACAGCAGCGCTCTGCCCGCCGACAAAGCCTTGATTCGAGTCATCTATGACAACGGCAGGTCCTCCGTCATTGATATTAAAGGATGCAGGTCGGCCGAAGACATCATGCTCCAGGTGCTGAGGAAGGGCGCGCTCAACGAAGCCCATGTCAAGAACTATTGTTTCTACGTGCTCGACGGCACTGAACCTAACCCAGCCCTCTGCCGTAAGCTTAGCGATGTCGAGCTGATTCGCGTGTGCAACGATCGGTCAAGGATGGAGCGGAACCGCCTCATTCTTCGCAAGGTCCACGCCGGTGAACCCGAGGATGACCAACTTAAGGCCGCCGCCAGCATTGCCGCACAACAACACAGTCAGCTAAACCCCACAATATTACCTACTACGGCTCGAGGCCAGCTCAAGATTGAAAAGCTTACGGGCGAGTCCCTGGCTGCAGTAAGTTATCCGCTTTCTCCGGCATCGCAGAAAGAACGCGAACGGCACATCAACTCGACTGCCAAGGACCTGGAACGCTCGGACAGCGATCGTTCAGCCAGCAGGACTCCGGACAGGCCAATGAAGCAGTTCTACGGCGGCCGCCCACCGAGCAACCTTATTACATCCGATCTGGCCTCGTACTTCCCGGATGTCGAAAAGGAGGAAATGGACAAGACTATCCGCATGTCTGTCAGACGGTCTCGCCGGCTGAGTCGAGCCGCCAGCCGTCTCAGCACACTAAGCAACTTCAGTGTTGCCTCAAGTTTGAAGGATGCTCCACCACTCCCCTCTATTGCTGACCAGTGGCTTAACAACAATGGTGGCCAAGCCAAGCCCTTACGACCACTCTCGGTAATGCGCCTCGGCCTGCCGTCTCTAGGTCAGACGGCGTACCGCGATTCGATAACGTCATCCGTCCTCGAACCGCTGGAAGAAGAATCCCCCACCGATGGCTCGTCAATCCGCAAATCCTACGTCTCGTTCGGCGGGGACAGTGGATCTGAAACCGTGGCTGTCACCGATCCGGAGGGCCATACAACGCTGCACAGCTACTTCGACGATGGCGGCAGCAGCTTCGCCGGCAGTAGCCAGGGTACAGAGGCCGGCGACTCGTTCAACAAGCGCTTGAGCTCGGCACTGGCCGAAGACGGCGAGGAGTACGACGAAGAGCTTGAGGAATACCTCGAGACTGACTCGTGGGAGAACGTCAAGTACATGAAGGGCGCCCTGATTGGTCAAGGTTCTTTCGGCAGCGTGTATCTCGCACTGCACGCTGTGACGGGTGAGCTGATGGCCGTGAAGCAAGTGGCGCTGCCAACCGGCGGCACTGTTGACCCCAAGAAGGCGAACATGCTTGATGCGCTGAAGCGCGAGATCGGCCTGTTGCGCGAGCTGAAGCACCCCAACATCGTGCAGTACCTCGGCTCTAACAGCGATGAAACGCACCTCAACATTTTCTTGGAGTACGTCCCAGGTGGCTCGGTTGCCACGATGCTGGTCAACTACGGTCCTCTCCTGGAGCCACTTGTTGCAAACTTCGTGCGCCAGATTTTGACCGGCCTCGCATACCTGCACAGCAAGGATATCATCCATCGCGACATCAAGGGCGCCAACATCCTCGTCGACAACAAAGGCCGAGTCAAGATCTCCGATTTCGGAATCAGCAAGCGAGTTGAAGCCTCCACTCTGCTTTCTCCCTCGAGTGGCAAGAAGGGAGCCAACCGCGTGTCGCTACAGGGCTCTGTCTTCTGGATGGCGCCTGAGGTCGTCAAACAGACTGCATACACACGCAAGGCTGACATCTGGTCGCTTGGCTGCCTGATCGTCGAGATGTTGACGGGTGTCCACCCCCATGCCGACTGTTCGCAGCTGCAGGCAATTTTTCGCATTGGAGCTGCAGGCGGCAACGCAAGCCCAACGATCCCCGACAACACCAGCGATGACCTCAAGTTCTTCCTCAGTCGCACGTTCGAGATTGAGCACGAGAAACGCCCGAGCGCCGACGAGTTGCTGGAAAGCGAATTCTGCGTGGTCAAGGCGTAGAATGTTCGCTTCGATTCATCGACAGGAAGTCGTTAATTGTGTTCTTGTTCCTTTTTCTGTTCTCTTTCTTCACCACGCTCATACTCATAATGCTGCGCCCTCGCTTATTCTTCGCAAGTGGCGCATTTGAACATTTGGCCCTGACATTCGACATACGACTTCACGTTTTTCAAAGAAGCGACGAAAAGCAAGATGGATGGGGGAGGAGAGGATGATATTTTTTGAGACGTCTTGTCATGACGAATGGCCATACCTCCTGTTTTTACTCACCGTTGAACGGATCACCAAATCTGGAGGCAATGTTGCATTTTCCTCACGGAAGCCTGCCGCACACTCCCCACGGCTTCCATGCCGTTCTTGTATTATATCCCTGTTAGGCTGAAAGGCCATTGATTATTATTATGCATAGCTCTTGTACGGGTGGTATCTGCAAATGGGCGGTAGGTAGGATAGGATAGGATAGTTCAAGGGAAATTTGGAAAGATGATCCTTGTACATACCGAGTGACGACAAATGTGAAATGCTGTCCATGCGCGCTTGCTCATACAAAGCTGTGACAGTGGCGGGGCGGCATGTGATCTCATAGGCCAGCCGCGTAAAGTGGCAGGCGCGACGCGTCGCCCGAAGCGCGCCTGCACGCACGTTCTTTCCGTCATCATCGCACACCCAACTACACCACAAATCACCTCACAGCGGCAACCCAAACGACGTCCGTGCCATGGCATTGCTCGTAGACAAGCACCGACCGCGGTCACTCGACGCGCTTACCTATCACCACGAGCTCTCCGACCGTCTCCGCGCCCTTGTAAGGCCCCCGCCGAAAGATAGCATTGTCGCAAACCTGCACCGTCACATGTCTCCACAGAAGCCTCCCGATTCTGTAGTAGCACTCGCTGACTCGCATGCGCAATTGCGCGTTCCCATCCCAAACAGGCACAAAGCGGCGATTTCCCTCACCTACTCGTATACGGGCCGTCCGGCGCGGGCAAGAAGACGCGTATCGTTGCGACGCTGAAGGAGCTGTACGGCGCGGGCGTGGAGAAGATCAAGATCGACAGCCGAGTGTTCCAGACGTCGTCGAACCGCAAGCTCGAGTTCAACATCGTCGCGTCCAACTACCACCTCGAGATTACGCCGTCGGACGTGGGCACGTACGACCGCGTCGTCGTGCAGGACCTGCTCAAGGAGGTCGCACAGACGCAGCAGGTGGATCTAGCGGCGAAGCAGCGGTTCAAGGTCGTCGTCGTCAATGAGGCGGACCACTTGACGAGAGATGCGCAGGCCGCGCTGAGGAGGACCATGGAGAAGTACAGCCCGAATCTGAGGCTAATCTTGTTGGCGGAGAGTACAAGCAATATCATCGCGCCTATCAGGAGTAGGACGCTGCTCGTGAGGGTGGCGGCGCCCACGGAGGAGGACATCGTGGAGGCGTTAAAGGTGGCGGGGAAGAAGGAGGGGTGGAAGGAGAACGAGGAGTTGAACAAGAAGATTGCGAGAGAGTGCGGGAGGAATCTGAGGAAGGCATTGCTGATGTTCGAAGCGGTCCACGCGCAGAAGTAAGTGCTACTCCTCCTTGAATCGAAGAGAAAGAGAGAAGGGCGAGGACTTAGGAGTACTAACGAGCTAGCAGTGAGAACGTTACGGAAAACACGCCTATCCCCCCGCCAGATTGGGAGGCGCTCATTGCTCAGATCGCAAAGGAGATGGTCGAGGAGCGCTCACCTGCTCGTATTATGCAAGTTCGCGCGAAGCTATACGACTTGCTCACCCACTGCATCCCACCGACCACAATCATCAAGGTACGACCGGACAGCATTCCTCCATGTATTTGTTTTGATCTAGGCTAAATTGATCCATTCTGGCAGACGCTCACATGGAAGCTGATCCCTCTTTGCGACGACGAGCTGCGAGCCGACATAGTTAAGTGGAGTGCTTTCTACGAGCACAGAATAAAGATGGGCAGCGTGAGTCTCCATCAGACAGAGAGAATAGTTGGCATGCTGACACACATGACAGAAAGTTATCTTCCATCTTGAGGCCTTCGTTGCTAAATTCATGCGTCTGTACGAAAGGTGAGTATTAGCTCCACATGTCAAGACATGCATCAGCTGATCTCCAAGTAGTCATCTCATGGGTATCGATATCGATTTCTAAGCAATAGCAACACACGAGCTGTCTTCTTAAGGATACACTTCAACGGAGAAGCATACATTGCACAAAATGGCTGGACACTGGGGAACGGCGTTGAACTGCTTATTATACTACGACGGGTAGGAAATATGACTACTTTCTGACTGCTGACCTTTCTTCTACTCTTGCTCGTCTGGGATACTTTGTTCTTATGGTGTATTGCAGAGAGCAACTCTTTCGTCTCCATTTTGTCTTAGTTGTTTGTCTAAAAAGCAGAGATCATTTTCTTTCTTCCTTTTCATAATCCATGCCTACGTTTGCAACTCAATAGCTAACCTACCGCCTTGAAACCATTAACAATAGAAAGGGTATTCCTTGGAAATACCTTGAATGGTAAGCCGACATTTCCCCTCGCCTGGTATTAATCGAGCAATCGCAGAGCCGTATCTGACGTGGAAGTTTCCCACACCGGCAATTCTCCCAGTTATCCTAGCATTGTACTCTCAGAGAACTTCCAGTCAGTTCAATGGTCAGTCTTATTTTGCCCATCACGCCAACTCAACGGTTTCCCTCGAAACCATTGCCTCTTTTACCTGCGGTTCCCTACTCACACTCTTCATCGCTGTTCACAACCGTCGTCCCGCAGATCTTGGCCGCCAGTTCCCTCAACGTCTTCAGCGTCTCTTCTTCTTCCAACACGACATCCCCCGACGTGATGTCCGACTTGCTATCGAACAAGCTAGCCACGACCGTCGAATTTTCGACGTCCCTTCCGCCGTGCTTGGCCAAGTCCTCACACGCCTGCCTCACGGCGCTAATGCCACCATCACTGCCGCCGCCGCCGCCGCCGCCGCCACTGCTGCCCTTGCTGCTACCGCTCTTGCCGCCGCTCTTGCCACCACCGGCGGGAACCCAGTACCACCACGGCAGTGCCAAGGCTCCAGCTCCGGCAGCGGCCTCGGCGCGGTCGAGAAAGCGGCGGTAGTCGCGGAGGGGGTTGCCATGGCTGGAGAGCAGCGTGTCGACGGGCGGGCGGTTGCGGCGGTCGCGGTCGTCGTCGAAGAAGCGGTGCTCGTCGTACAGGCGGAGGAGGTAGGCCTTCAGGAAGGTCGAGGGCAGGGTTTCGGGGTCGAGGAGGGAGGGATCGACCGCGGCAGCGGAGGTGTCGCGAGCGACGTCGACGCCGTTGTTGGTGTTCGCATTGTCGCCGTTGCTGGAGTTGGTCTCGTCGCGGCAGACTTTCTTGTGGGCTTTCCAGTCGGCGCGCTGGCAGGCGCGGGAGCAGTAGAGGGTGGTCTTGCACTTTGAGCAGTGGGAGAGCGGGCGTGAGAGGGCGGCTTCCGCGATGTGGCACTTGTGGCAGGCGCGGGTTGAGGGCTCGGCTTGGTCGGGGACGGTCAGCTGCGGGACGACGAGTTTGTGGGGATGGGTTGGGGGAGGGGGAGGGTGCGCGAGGGCGTACGGGCGTTGTCGATGTCCATGGGGACGGGGTCGGTGCCGTTGTTCATGGTGTTGAACTTCTTGGTGGCACAGGTTTGTCGTGTTGCTACAGCGAAGGACGTCGGGGCGCTGTTGGTTTTGGAGGAAATGTTGCGGTGGATGTGTAGGAAGACGCGAAGAAGCCGGAAGACTCCAGCGTTTGTTTGCGGTGGTCGGGAAGCTGGCAGCGCAAGCGGCGTTGGAAGGGAGAAGATGGCACAGAGAAAGGCCTGGCTGTTGCCACGGACGACCGCAAGCACAGTACGCGGCGCGTACTTGATTTGGCATATGCGCTGACTGAAAACTTGATGGGAAATCCACGCGCTTTTTCCTAAGTTACAGGGCGCGCAGGCTGCGTAGTCCTCCTCAAAGATCGCGTCTGCTAGTACCCGTCTGTTCTTACGTCAAACGAATCGAACCGGCTAGGCGCGACTTCATTTTCTCCATGGAATAAAGCAGAGTATCCAAATCGAAACCACACATTTTGCTGTGCGGATTCCTGCATCGTATGGGAGGGTTCTCGTGGGCACACTTACTGGATTATTAGCTTAGAATGGTAATATGGAAGCTTAGAGGATTTACCTTCTTTGTGATAGTCAGTAACTGGACTGTTCTGCAGCTGTACGAAGGAACTTTGTAAGAATCTACTGGGTATAATAACAAAGTAGCAGTCGCTGCTAACCGCAGTCACTTGCCGCTGTGATTTATTGGAGGCGTATAGATTGAAGCACTTTGTTGAAGTGCGAAGAGCTGCAGGTAGTTTTTACCTAGAATGGAAGGCCTATTTGGGCTTAGTTCCACCTCTGATCGTACATAGTCTCTGATAGCCGCGTGCCCCTTGGAGGGTCAATCCATTATTGTTTCAGCACACTTCACTTTCGCGCTCCTCGATAGCCATTTCACCTAAGATTTCCATAAAAGGAAGGTAGATAAGAAGAGGTGGTTCGGGAATCACGTTTGGGAAAACTGTGAGAAATTCAGCACGATTTTCGTGGTCAGGCGCCCAGCCAGCTGGCCATTGCTCATGTTGATAATGGGCTCAGCCCTGGATTGTGAGTCGTGCAAGCCTATAAGAAAGCAGCCATGGCTGAATTATTTCGAGAGTGGCGCTTAGAAGAAGGTCATGTGAGGGAGGATCAAAAGCGGGTGGTGATGGTGGATCAGTGGTGAGAGGAGAAAAAAGGTGCAGGGCCCCACGCAGATAAACGAATCAGGTATAGAGTTTGGGAACCCCCCCTGTAAATTCCCTAGACAGCTCACCGTCCCCCTCACGTACTACATGGACTCAGTATCTAATACGTCACGTCCGCTCGCAGTTCGCCGCCATGTGCTAATTCATGAGCCGAGCGACGAATCATGTTGTCGGTCTAGAACGGTAGCCAAGCTGCCCCGCCGCAACGGTGCGGGCAAGATCATCAACTCATGACGCCGTGCCCGCGTAAGTTCAATGCTTGCGAATGTTCGCTTCAATGTACTACCGTGCTTTCCTTCGCCTATATGTTGAAGTATCGGGTGTCGGATAGACGCTTCACCGCAATCTGATCGTAAATTTCCTCGCTGTCATGGCATGGCCAAATCCGTTCAGACGACGCACCGAAAACACTCGCACGTGTGTATCCCCACAAAGCCCCTGAGAACTTGCAGTTGATCCACATGCAGAGTATGGGGCCTAGATATCGAACTGACTCCGGACCATCTCACCCCCGAACAAACGCGCCCGCTGAAACTCTCTTACGACGTGCTGGGAGAGCAGTGTTTGCAACGACTGAACGAAATTTCGCCACCACCACAAAATGCGCTTCCCCGGCAGAACAGCCAATACGCGGCGGCCAAGATGGACAAAACGGCCGAGGCCCCAGAAGAGCAGGATCGATCTTTGGGCGATGACAAGCATCCGGGGAAGCCAGAATGCCCGCTACACCGAGACTTGTATGCCTTGCTGCGGGACAACGCCGACAAGGACGAGAAGCTGGGCGAGCTGTGGAGGGAGGTCAACACGGTCCCCGCGTGGGTAGATTGGGAGCAGATCAAGCGCGGCCAAGATGTCTTTTACAGATACGGCAGCGCAGCCCTCACCGGCCTAGCGTACCAGTCACTGCTCGGCGGCATGGGCGCGGCGCGCATCGTCGAGACGTTGGCCCGCACAGGAGGATTCAGTACCAAGGTGGCGCGTCGTCGGCTCTTCGAAACTACGCAGCACATACTGCAGTGTACGAGGTCGTTGGAAGGCATACAGCCGGGTGGCGAGGGCTGGGCGAGCAGTATCCGTGTGCGTCTCTTACACGCGGCGGTGCGTCAGCGCATCATGAAGCTTGCAGAGACGAGGCCGGAATACTACAGCGTGGAGAAGTTTGGCGTCCCGATCAACGACCTCGACTGCATGGCCACCATCTCCGTCTTCTCCGGGACACTGATCTGGCTGAGCTGGCCACGTCAGGGAATCTTCGTGAGGGAGCAGGAAGCGATCGACTACATTGCCCTCTGGCGATACATCGCATATATACTCGGCACTCCCTCGGATGCCTTTGCCTCGACGGCGAAGGCGAAGGCGCTGATGGAGACGCTCTACCTCAACGAGATCCACCCGTCCGAGATATCCAAGACTTTGGCGAACAACCTCATCCGCTGCCTACAAGACCAGCCACCGGCCTATGCGAGCGCCAACATGCTGGTAGCTGGGGCGCGGTGGCTGAACGGTAATGAGCTCGGCGACGCGCTCGGTCTCCCACGGCCATCGCTGTACTATTGGGCGCTCATGGCTGGGCAGTGCATCTTCTTCATGGTCATGAACTACACGTACCGCTCTGTCCCGAGTTGGGATCGATACAAGGGCGAGATCACGCGAGATTTCTTCTGGAAGTACATTATCGAGAGCAAGTGGGGACTTGAGGGGAAGACGACGAACTTTGAGTTCAAATACGTGCCTGAGTACGCCATCATGACGGAGCTGGGCCAGACAGATCTCCCGACGCTAGGCCAGGAATATGATATAGAGTTCAGAAACCTTCGGTGGTTGATTTACGCCGGTGTTGTGTTTTCAGGAGGCATCTACCTTTCTTATAAGCTTGTGTGCCGGACGGTTGGACTTTTCCTATAGTTACGTCATTTTCTTCCTCTTATCTCTCATAGCAACCGTAGGCGATATTTGCGGCTGCGTACCGAAGGCTGTCTAGCAATAGACTATCAGTCTGAAGGCGTTCTTATTGAAGCAAGATACGAAAGTCGTCATGAATGAAGTAAAGATTGCGTCCTGATACAGTCTTGACTTTTCACTCACCGTGCTGCACCCTCACGCAGCTTTCATAACCTTGACAACTGTGCATATTAAGAGCTTGTTCCTTTGGGCGTTGTTGTGTTCAAGGGTTAAGCATGCGCAAGGGCTCCGCGAGTCATGCGCCCGAAAATCATCGTTCACTTTTGCCGGCGTGAGCGCAAGCTATCATCACCACCTACCAACCATTGTCATCAACCACAATGACTTGCCCTGCATGCTCGCGCCGGGCGCTCGGCCTCTTCATTGAGAGTACGAGCGGCTTAAATACCACCACCATACTGCGTTCTCGCCGATTGCCTTCGAACAACGCGCCGCCACCGCTGCGGCAGCAACAGCAAACCCGCCTGAGAGCTTTCAGCGCGCGACCCGCCCTCCGTACCCCCGACGCCTTCCGCTTGCCAGATATTAGACAAACTGACGGTGCCGGTGCGGACCAAAATGCCTCGCAAGACGCTGCCATCGTGCCGTCGAATATCAACCCCGAACCAAGAGCGCCGACGGCACAACTGCGCGACGATGCAGAAGATACAATTGCTGCTGGAGATGGGGCTCATTCTGCTGGGAGCGTAGATGCGGCCGCGGACCCTGATCCGTCGGAGCTGCGCAAGGACGTTGGGCTGGGGTCGGACAATGTGCAGCACCAGTTGTGGGACCTGACTGGAGGCGTGTCCGGGACACGGCCACCATGGGACAAAAAAGAGAAGAAGGATAAGAAAAAGAAGAACAAACGGGAGGGTGACGAGGAGAATGCGGTTAGCTCAGGCGACCAGTCTGGGAAGAAGAACAAAAAAGTTGCAGAGATTTTCTTACAAGGCGGCGTTCCCAAGGTTGCTGCGCACGAAGACGTGAGGAGGAAAACCTGGGGCAATGACAAGAAAAAGAGAATGTTGCCTTGGCAAGTGCAGAAGGAAGCGCTAAAGGAAAAGTTTGGGGACGAGGGCTGGCAACCGCGCAAGAAGCTGTCGCCCGACGCAATGGACGGAATAAGGACGCTTCATCAGTCGGATCCTGAGTTGTACACGACGCCGGTGCTGGCCAATGAGTTCAAGGTTAGCCCGGAGGCGATCCGGAGAATCCTCAGGTCCAAGTGGCGGCCCGAGGACGAAGAGCAGGAGGAGCGGGCGCAGCGCTGGGAGAAGCGCGGCGAGAAGATCTGGGAGATGCAGGTGGAGAAGGGGATCAAGCCTCCCAAAAAGTGGAGGGTCAAGGGTATAGGGAGTGTGCATGGAGGCAAGGATACGGTGCCGCGGTGGAAGCAGAAGCGAGGCCGGAATGGCGAAGGACAGTACGGACAGTATGAGCCGAGGAATCGCGTTTCAGAGTTTGCGCGGCCACGGGGACCGGGTGCCAACTACGGCGACGAGGGTGGCTGGAACGACAGGATTCTGTAGTAGTAGGGTGTAGTGTATGTAATGCAGTCAGAAGGGGAAGGCTCCTTGGCATACGCATGGCGCGCGCCAGGTCGCTTGAGCTCCGCAACACCTCCGTCCTCTGGTCATCAGCCCGCGCCCTGTGCTCGTAGCGTGGTCGACGTTTGACTTTTAGCCGCTCAGCATGACTTCTACGCACGGCCGATCATCGCCCGCACTCTCATGACCTAGAGCTCCCGTGCGCGGAGGAGCTCCCTCATCTCCGCAATGTCCACCACCAGCACCAAGACGACCCCGATACGCGTGTCGGTCAGCTTCAAGGAATCCTCCGTTTTCGCCGGCGAAGACGTCCAGTGCACCATCACCTTCAAGAACGTCGCCTCGACCCAATCCGCCGCCGAGCGCACCCCTCAGAACTCGTCCTGCGGCGACCCCCGCCTCCTGCATCCTGAGCGCTCGCGCTCCAAGCCGCTTCCCGCGCGCGCCCCCTCTGTCGCACAATCGGTAGCTCCCTCGGTCACCCCCAGCATCCCGTCGTCGGTCCAGCCGTCTGCCAGCAAGAACTCGTCGCTCCACGATGTCGCCGTCATCCCGCAAGGGGCTCACAGCGCCGCGCCGCCTGGGAGAGCCCGCGGCCACCGCCCAACCCTCAGCTTGAACACCCCGCACCTTCCGGGCGTCCCGCGGTCGCCGTCGGCGCCCAGCAATGCCCCCAATGGCTCTACTACGCCCGTCCACAAGCACGGCAGGTCTCTGTCGATAATGTCTATTCACAGCGATGCCATCAACGGCACCACCTCTCCTGGAGGCGTGGCCCCGCCCAAGCGCCCTGTGAGAGGACACGGAAGGAGTACAAGTCTCCAAGTTGTCTCTCCCCGTGGTGGAAGTTCGGGTGGGCCGAACAGTGAGTCCGCCCTCCCAGCCCATCGCATTGGTACTGACCAGACAACCAGGCTCTCGTTCCTTGCAACCCTCTCCATTTTTCAGCACATCACCGCCCCCACTGGGCCGAGCACAGACGGATAATAGCGTGTCAACCCGGCCGAGACCGAGCAGACGAACGTCAAAGCAGGGCACTTCGCCGGGAACGCCTGTGGCCAATGAGACCAGGAAAGCGTCGCTGGGGAGCTTCAAGTTTCCTCCCACGTCGCCTGAGCCTGGCTCTGCTCTCGGGGAGATGAGCCCTGCGTTGGAGATATCTCCAGCAGAAGACGCCTTCATCGTCCCTCGTACGAGGCACGCGTCACTAGTGCCGTCACCGGGCAATTCCTTGACGAGGAGCCCAGAGGAGATTGCGCCGCCGCGAGAGAAACTACAGCCATCGCCAGTCACGAGGATAATATCAGGCGCGAGCATGAACGGAGGCAGTTCTCGCAGCAGTGGCGAGTTCTACACCGTGAGCAACAACTCCACCGAGACCTTGGCATCGGAATACATAGCACGACCAACAGCTCGCCTTCTTCCCAAGTTGATGCAGGATCGCAGGCCTTCAAATCTTGTACCAGCGCAATCGCGTCAAGACAAACCCGAAGTCTTGATGATGGGCTATGCCCAAGTCATGGGCTCGTTCACTCTCGACGGATCGCTCATCAACCAAGGACCTTTCGAGGAAGTCAAACGGAAAGGCATGATGGGAGGGCAGGGAGGTGGCGGTGTTGTCGGCATCGAGCGAACAAAACGTGACAGTGGACTGTTCGGCGCGCTTGGCTGGTCGAATCTTGGAGAGTCACTCGGAGGTCTCCTGGGTGGCGCCGAGCCTAGCAGCATCCGTGAGATGCGATCTGTTGCAAGCGCAAAGACTGTTCCGCTGCTAAGCACACCGCAAAGCATTCTCTTTGTCGATCTGAAACTAGCCCCTGGAGAGGAGAAGAGTTACACGTACACATTCACGCTACCAAGAGGACTACCACCATCGCACAAGGGAAGGGCAATGAAGGTGAATTACCACCTAAACATCGGAACTCAAAGACCCGGCAGCGCGGCAAGAGCAGTGAGGAGTGTAACCGTGCCTTTCCGGGTCTTTGGAAGCGTAAACAGTAAGTTCGACGTAATTCAAGTCACAGGACCTTCGGTGCTGATATTCCACAGACCTTGGCGAAATTCTCGGACACGACTTGATGTCACCGTACATAATTCTGCGCGACCAGGCTACCATCGAGACTGTTGAAGACCCCAAAGCTCAATTAATACCCAATGGTTCAATCAGCAGAAAGACGACCGGCGAGGCAAAGCAGGCCCGGGTCGAATTCGAAACCTATGTGCGGAATCTACTCGAAACAGCGAAACGCGATCCAAATTCTAGCCTCCTATCGCCCACCGATGCGCCCTCAGAATATCGACGCCGTCGCTCCACGGTCGAGGACCTACCTGTCAACTCGATGAAAGAGGCCATCGATTTTGCAATCCTTCGTTCTAACAGCAGTTCCTTCTCCAGCGCTTCGACCAACCGTTTCGAGATCGCGCGCAACGGACGGCGTGTGGCGGTGATTCGGCTGGCACGACCGGCGTTCCGGCTCGGAGAGACGATCTCGATGGTGATCGACTTTGACAACGCGGATATACCCGTGTACGGCATCGCGGTGACGCTCGAGTCGAGCGAGAAGGTGGACCCAGCCATCGCGCTGCGCAGCGGGGCGAGCATCCACCGGGTGACGCGCAAGGTGCACGCCAGCTTCGCTGAGAACACGCTGTTCGCGCGGCGCGTCAGCTTCGCGCCCACGGTTCCGCCGAACGCGACGCCCGAGTTCATCACGAGTGGTGTCAGCCTGGAGTGGAAGCTTAGGGTCGAGTTCGTCACGCCCAGGATCGCCCATAATCATCATCATCACCATCACCACGGCAGCAGCAGTGCCTACGGTAGCGCCTACAACAGCCGCAATAACAGCGTTGCGAACACGCCCGTCATGGAGAAGCCGCCGCTGCCGCTGCCGCTGCAGTTCGGAGAGAGCTGGGGCGGAGCCGGATCGTTGATGGAAGAGATGGGCAGCGATGATCGTGGCACCGTGCTGGCGGCGGTGGAGAGGCTGAACTGCGAGAGCTTCGAGGTCGCCGTGCCCATCAGGGTGTACGGATCCCTGACGGGCTCGGACAGCTTGACGGCTGCGGGCGAGCAGGAGGATGGATACGCCATCTAAGTGCAGAGGAGAAAAGGGGAAAGAAGAATACTCACTTATCGCTTATTTTGGACGATTGTTTAATACGGTGGGGGTTTTTGGAGAGGCATTGTGCAATTAGGGAGGATGGGTGGGTATGATCAAGGGAGTAAGTACGGTTCACGCGATATTTGTTGTTCAAGAGAAAAAAAAAGGCCAGCGTTTGGCGATGTAGAAATGAAAGTTTTGTTTTAAGAGGCGGGTTGTCTTGCTCGTTGTGTTTACTGGCGGTCACGATTGGCTTGCATTTCGGGGGGATACTGACAATTTCGTCCAGGACAAGGGCGCTAACCAAGAGAAACAGCGTTTGAAAAGCAGGTGAAATGAAGTCAGAACAGAGAAGCGCAGATCTCAGCCCCATTGGTGGAGGTGGAACCGCCGAAAGGATTCACGTCGTCTAGCTGGGTGGAAGTTCCCGGCGGTTCCTTTTGGGTTGCCGAACGACGATCCGGCAGGTTTCGACGGGCATGGTTCGGGTTCGGGACGACGGACGACGATTCCTGATCGCCATCGTATCTGCTGGCTGCAGGGGGCAGCGACAGGGGCGAAGTTGCTGATTCGGGAAGAGAGCCAGTAAGCTTACTGCACAAGCTTTCCCTAGGTCTCCGTGTCTGTCGCTCACCCACATTACAGTCGTATCGATTAGGTACCGGCGCACGTACATCATCTTACATCAACGTCTCGAAGTCTCGGTCTCTCGGGTTGTTCTTTATATCCGGAGCGATGGAGCAGTGGTCGTTAGCGCGCATGCGTCTATTGGGTTCCGGCCCGCGGCAAGCCACAAAACATTCCGGATCCAGGAACGGGCGTGCCCGGCCAGTGGCCCCCAGCCGGCCCCTGAGGGCTTATTTTGGCTACTCTGCTCCGCTACGCCGCAATGCTTCAAGTCTTGCCATTGTCTCGCTTTCGCGAAGGAAGGCTCCCCCCGGCTGAGACCGTTATTTTCGGCACCCGGGAACTTGGCGCCATTTGGCCATGCTGGGGCTAGAAGCAGCCGAAATTTGACTGGGCTGGGCGGGACTGGAGGCGAGCCTCTCACATCACTGGCGCATAGGGAAGGATGCGTGTGGCGTGTGTTGGTGGTGAAGCTTGTTTGCAGCTATCGTCTCGCCCTCTTTTGCCGGCCCCTGTTATTGCTGGGGGTGGATGCTGGTGGCTTCTGCCGCATTGACTGGGCTCAGATGACCTATGCGGAGAAGCAGACTGGCAAAGTAGGAATGCGGCGCAGGTGGTGTGTGCGCCACTGCTGCCTGCAAGCGCGCGCGAAGGATTGAGCCGGACGACGAGAGGACTTTTTGTATAAGATGGAGGTTGTTTCCGCCTCTTTCATTCCCCCTCACCACCACACGTCTCTCGTTCCGGTCGTCGGTCTTTGAGGTTTCCCTCCAGTCCTTCTCTCTCTGAAAGCAGCAGTTCACTGCATCACATTCGTTGCCAACCACAACACCATACAAAAAAATACAACCCTTTTTCACTTAAAACACCAAAAACACATATATCAAACATGCGTACCACCGGCACCACCCTCCTCGCCACGGCCCTCCTGGCCGCCAGCGGCGCCCTCGCCCGCACCGACCTGTCGGGCTGCGTGTCGTCGGCGACGGTCAAGTACGGCGGCGCCTCGCTGGTGTGGTACGTCCCCGGCACTGGCGAGCTGTGCGAGTTCCTCGACTGCGGCGGCGGCCGCGCCCCGCCCAAGACGACCGTCCCCGGCTGCGCCGCCTACGAGGGTACCGCCACCTACTCGCCCAACTACCTCCCGGGCTACGGCCCTGACGCGACTCCCACCGCGGCCGCGTCCTCTTCGGCCGCTGCTTCGTCGTCCGCTGCGGCCAGCCCTAGCGTTACTGCTGCTCCCAGCCTGTCGAGCGCCGCGGTGAGCAGCGCTGCTGCCTCTTCGTCTGCTTCTTCCTCTTCTTCCTCCTCCTCCGCCGCTGAGAGCAGTGCGGCTGCTTCGTCGTCGGCGTACGCCTCCCACGGCGCGTCGACCGTGACTCCCGTCACCACCCCCAAGGGCGTCATGACGCCCGTCGCCGGCACCCCGTCTGCCGCGACCACCCCGGCAGCCCAGTTCACCGGCGCTGCTGGTAGGATCGAGGCCGCTGCCGGCGTCGCTGTTGGCGGTGTCGTTGCTGCGCTTGCTTGGTTGTAAGCGGTGGGACGAGTTCTGAGATAACAATAATGGGAGCTTGGGATGATCGATTGGGAAAGGGGTGGAGATCGAATGGAGATGAGATGGCATAATGTGTTATTGATAATTGTACCTCGCACATGACGAAAGCAAATGAAATACCATTCGGTCAATACGTTTTGTGTTTGAGGTGTGCTGGATTCTTTTCTTCTGTTGGTTTCCACGTTCATCGTGCCTCATAGCTTTGCCTTTGGAGAGCCCGATAGGAGCTCGTCTACCATCTCGCTCACGACTTCGCCCAGCCCGAAACTGTAGCCATACCCGCTGCCCGAGACACCTAGAACAAGCCCAAGTCAGCAAGATCCGAGACACAACGGCAAGAAGGGACGACGGAAAAGACGCAATCAACTCACCATACGCATGCACAACCTTCAACCCCCCATCCTCCTCCAAAACCTCCTTCTCCACCCTCGGCCCGCCCTCCCTGCCCGGCCTGAACCCGACATTATCCCTCACGACGTCAAAGTCGGCCGGAAACGCCGCGAAGACGTGCGGCAGGTTGTCGCCGACCCGATTAAAAATGTCCGTCTGCTGATCGCCGCTGACGTCGGGGTCATCGCTGCCGACGCCCTTGACGCCGCCGACGACGGCGGTGCCGTCCAGCCGCGGGATGCAGTATGTGTACTGCGAGCCCTGGCGCATGAAGATCCGGTCCCAGTGCGTGCGGAGCAGGTGCGTCTGGCCGCGGATGGCCTGGATCCTCTGCCTCTCATCTCCGACGGCGGGAACGAGGTCACGCGCCCCGTTGCCCGAGGCGTTGATTAGTGCGTCGCATGGCACGACGGCGGCGGCGTCGCCGAGGCTGCGGACGGTGCGCTGGATGAAGGTCACGGCGCTGGGGCCGGGTTGCTCGAGCTGTGCGCGTAGCCAGGGGAGTAGGATGGCGGGGTGGACGACGACGGTTTGCCAGCTCATGCCGAGCGTGCAGCCCGTGGGCAGGTCGGCGGCGGGGATGGGCTGGAAGTTGGGCACGTGGGCGGCGTACCAGATGTCGTCGAGGGTGGCGCCGTCGTCTCGGACGTCTTCGATGTCGATTCGCCGCACGCTGGACTCGGGGGAGGCGTCGGCTAGGCGGAAGAGGTGGGGGAGGCTGAGTGAGAGCATGCGTTGGTGCAAGGGGGAGATTTTGATGTCGGGCATGTAGAAGGCGCCGGCCCAGCTAGAGTGCGGTTCCTTGTTGGTTAGTTCGTTCCAATTCCTTGTAGTGGGCCGGTAGGTAAAAGCATCTCGAGGCTCAGCATTGAAGTGACTCACGGAGAAGCCCAGTCTTTCGAGGCGGTATCCAGGTCTATGGCTTTGCCATCTTTGGGTGGAAGATCCCGCGCAATGATCGTGACCTTGTGGCCTTTTGAGCGGAGAATAGAGGCAGTAGCGAGGCCGGTGATTCTGTACTACCTGTCAGTGCTAAGAGCCATTCATCTGACGTTCAAACAAGATACTACTCATGACGAAAAAAGAAAGTGGGGGAATGTGAGTTGCATTGGGATGGATAGCGTACCCAGCGCCAAGGATGGTGATTTTAGCCATTCTACGAGCCTGTACAATTTGTCACTCAAACGTAGCCCAGACCTGGGAAAGTCAATTGGGGTTTGTGTATATGTACAATCGTTGGTGGTTGCGGGATCGGAAGTCATGCCATCGCTTATCGCCGGGTGTCGGGTTTGCCGCTTGCGGGCCGACAGATTGCGGGGAGCACCGTCATTGCTCCTAAAAGCTTCACAATATCAAAACCAAGTCAAGACTAAAGTCTAGACAAAGTACTTAATCATACTTGAGTCTGAACACTTGTTGATGAATGCTGATAAACTACACATCAGCATCTTTCTTCCTCGGACGCCCGAGCACCGTTGTAAACACCTCTCATGCTTTATGCTAGATCATTGTGAACGCCATGCCCGCCTCAAGAATATTACAGCCTGTGTCCCACGACGATATCAGAGTTTTGCTGGAGCGAAATCACAAAGGTCTCATAGAGCAACGGGTGGTTAGCATGTGGTATCAAAGCTTTGAGTTTATATATTCCGGTCTTCGACCCTCACTTCATAGACCCGGCCAAGAATACCAGTAACGAGTGGGGAGTTGACGCAGACGCCCTCCCTGCTTAAGCTGTGACTTGGCCGCCACACGCAAGGGTGGGGTACGGTCGGAGGGTGTAACGGGAAAAAACAGGCGGTCCTTGAAGAGCCTGTTTCTGTGCCGACAGGCATGGTTTTTTGCCTCCGCCACAATGCTTCCTCAGCAGGATCATCAAAACGCGTTTTTTTTGTGTTGAATGTTTCTGCTGTTGAACGGTTCAAAATGAAAAAAAGAAAGAAAGAAGTTTATGGTGGTTGGCAGTCGAACTGAAAGAAAGTTATGGTTCTAATCAAGAAGGGAAGGAAGGGAAGGAAGTCAATGCAATAGTTTTTCCCAACCTACAAACCAAGCAACAATCAAATCGCCAGTCCCATGCACAGACAATTCTTACACTCGCAAAAACCCCAAAAGTCAAACCCGAAGAACTAAAAACACACGAAAGCGCCGGTTGCGGGTATCTCTCAGCATCATCAGCGCAGCTGCAACAGCAGTAGTAATATCTCAAACCCCCGAAAAAGAAATGGATGACCTCCTTGACTCGCTCATCCGTACTCGCCATCACTCTACGCCCAGCGTGAGCCTCTCTGTCCTCGCCTCACCTCTCCAGCCAACGCCACACCTGAATCCATCTACTCTCCCTCTCCAACCCTCACCAATGTCCCGATACTTGTCCCCTTCCTCCCAACAAAGCCTCGCCTATTCCTTCCAGTGCGTCCCCTGCCAAACCAGTTGTACTTCAGCTCCGCCGCCAACTTCTCCATCTTCGCCTGCGCGTCGTCGCCGCTCCGGATGCTAATCAGGATGCTGACGCACTGGAGCATGCGCGCGACCGTTTCCATGACCTTGGCCGTATCCATCGGCTGCGGTGGCGCAGGCGGAGGTGGGGGCGCCAGTTGGTGGTTGTAGTAGTTTTGCGGGTTGGAGTGGCTGCGGCCGTGGCCGGCGAGGTGAACGTTGGACGGCAGGCTGTGGAAGGAACCCGCCGATGTGTTGGACGTGGCACGGCTGCGCGAGTTCGACGAGGTGAAGGGATTCGAAAAGGACGACGCGGTGCTCTCGAGAATGTTGGAGGCTGAGTTGTGGCTGTGGGAGGCGCTGTGGCTGGCCGGCCAGCTGGTGTCGCCGAGGCTAGTCGAAGTCCCGGGACGGGCAGGGTACGTAGCCGGTGATGTTTGGTGGGAGAACTGGCTCGTTGAGTCGGGGGATGGGTGGGAGTCCACGATGCCGGCGTTGATGTTCTCAAGTGATAAACGAGAGAAGATGGCCATGAGCGTCTCGTTACGCGGAAGGATAATGATATCACGGAAAGTGATGAGCGTCAGACGCCGAACTTCAAGCTCTTCGCCGATCGTGGGAAGTTGCTTCGATCTCGACTCGTTTGAGTCTGCACGGCTCCTGTTAGGAAGAGAGGCTCCCCAGAACCCAGCCGCTTCTTTCGGATTCATGATGCCTCTACCTTTGAACTCCATGTCGAGGGGCAGGAAGACGGCTTGTACGAAAGGCAGGATCGTGTAGAGAATAATTGTCCACATATCCACCAGTTTTGGCACGAGACGGTCATCTGGACAGTGTCTCAAGGTCTGGTCGAGGGAGAGAAACCCCGTCTGCAGCAGTTCAAAAAGATCCTCTATGATGACCGTGGGCGCTTGTCGTTGTATGCAGCGTCTCAGGTGCACCGACACAAGGGCGTTGAAGTCTTCTATTGGAGGGCGGGGATCCTCGCCCTCGAATATTAGGAGAACACGTGCCTTGATGAGAGGCCATGCATCATCTGGAGTCATTCCTGGCACACCGAAAATGGCGCCAAGGGTTGCGACAGACGTCTGTGAGGTTTCCAAAGCAAGCCCGGTTGACAGTAAAGATGCAGTGGGTGCGGACGTGCTCAGACCGGCAGCATTTGGCCATTCGGGCCGTTCCAACTGAAGAGAACCATCGCGCTCGCGGTACGTTGTTTCAATATTCTCCAGAGAAGCAGCGTGAGCATTTGCAGCCTTTTCTTCCTTCTTCTTCTGCCGCAAAGCTCGGCCGCCGTGTCTCAGGTCCAAACCACTCATTGACTGAGCAAAGGTACTTGAATGGCCCGGCGAGTTGGGAGCGGCAAAGTTGTAGAGCGGTTGCGGTGCGCTTGGATCCGTCGGCTTGGAATTGCTGGATGCAGAAGAGAGCGGAAGGCTATGATCATCATGCTTCAGTTTGTGCTTCTGGCGCGACAGGAAATGGCGATGATGTTTTTCTTTCTCTTTCTCTTTTTCCGGCAACATGGGCAGACGGTCTGATGGAACCAGGGTCGAAGTCGAGGCATTTGCAAGAGAATACAAAGATGGAGTAGGCATCTTGTGGTCGATCAGACTGGTGGTTGATTGGTTCATCGGCATGGCACTGAGGGCACTCGAGCTGTACATGCCGGGTCGACCGGGCGAAGGGAGGGCAGGCAGCCCTTTGGCGGCGTCCTTTTCTCTTGATATGCCTATGCTCTTGGGCTTGGAAAACAGCTTCATCTTGGACTTCTCTTTGACGGGCTTCAGCTCCTTCTCGGGCATCACTTGAGGCGACATGGGGCGGGAATTAAAGTCGGGACTGGGCGAAGCAAGCGGGCTTCTGGGAAAGACGGTGTTTGCAGCGGCGGTCGCGGCAAGCTTCTGGCCCCCAGGAACACCGTTTTGGTACTGGTTGGGCACACTCAAACCTTGGTTTATGTTCAGCGGCGGCACGACAGGCGAAGGACTCGAAGGTTTCCGGCGGGTTTGGATGTTCTGGCCGGGCTCGGGTATGGTGGTGGAGCGCTTACGGTGCAGCTGGTGGTCGTGCTGCTGCGCGTGCATCGCAGCCTGGGCCGCGATCTGCGAAGCGGACAGATTGGACATGCTCGGAGAGTTGGAGTGCGAGGCGGTGGGAAGAGAGGGCTCAAAGAAGCCCTGCGAGTGCTGGCGAGGGCGATGGCCAGGATGCGACGGCGGAGTGTGCACGCCGGGCGGGCGCTGGTCGCGCGACAGGTCGTTTATGGCGCTCTGCACATTGCTCGAAACGTGGTTGACGGTGGGCCGCTGCAGCTGGGGGCTGTAGCTCGGAGTGCTCTGGGGATAGTTGGCGGGCGGCGAGCGGGTGTTCTGCTTGTGGATGGAGAGTGCGGTGATGCGCGAGGAGTCGCTGTCGGTGTCGGACTGGTCGTCGTTGGAGACGGATTGTTGGCGTTGGCGGTGGGCCGAGGTGGGCGTCTGGCTGCTGCGGGGCTGCGAGTGCGCAGGCGGCGAGCTCAGGACGGTGCGGGCGGGCGAGGAGGCCATGCTGATGCTGGTGCTGGGCGTCGGCGTTGTGCGACTTGGGCGCTACTGGGTTATCGATGTGCCGCGGGCAGCTCAGGCCATGTCCGGCACAGCCACGAGCTGATGGCGGGATTGAGAGAGGACGCAGGCGGTGCAGGCGGGTCTGGAGGCGGTCGGAGGTCGTGAGAGGTAATGCGTCGAGGCGGAGATTGACAGCAACGAGACGGCGCGGTACGTAGTCGTAGGGCTGAGCCCGGCGCCGCCATGCGCGAAATGGCTGGCGAAAGCAGCAAGATCGGCGCCTGGGGCCGCGCGCTTTTTCTCTCACCACCATGCCCCGCATCCCCAGCCCACTCCATCCCCCGCCTCCGCCCAGAACCATGTCCACCCTGCGCGCCACCTATTCCGAGCCTGCCGATGGCCCTGCCGTCTTCTTCCGCGACCTGCCGCCCGTCAGCGCCGCACCCACCACCGACGAGAAGACAGCCTACCTTTCCGCTCTCCGAACGTCCGTGTCCGAGCTCCAGGCCGAGGTCAATGCCCACGTCACCCAGAAGATGGAGCAAGAGAAGAAGGCTTCCGGCGTAGATGAAAGCAAAGAGGCTGCTTTGGAGGCCAATTACGGCGAGGAGGTCGTTGAAGAGGACGAATGATCCGCGCTACCACTAGCAACCTTTCCGGCCTGGTGCTAGATGCTGTCGCAATGCGGCCCTCCTCTCGTCCGGAAAAGGCACTATCATTGCATTAGCACGGCCGTCTAGGGGGTTTGCGGAAGCTGATCAACGATCGCATATAACGGGCGCCGTCACCGGATCGATGAAGGCTGCTCGTGCGAGAGCTTCGAGATGCCTCGAACCTGTGCCCATCGCCAAGTGGATCTATAGTCTCAACCGACCGTCGGATCTGCTTAGCTCGTAACACTATGCCGGTGGACCATTACCCGCAAAGACAATCTGGCTGGCCACTGCTTCTGTTCGATTGCGGCAATCAGCATCGAGGCGGATAATCCATTCACGCCCCTACGCTGCCTGATGGAATCGGCTGTCCCAGGGGCTCCTAGCCATGTCCGCATGAACAACAGCAGCATTAGCCACGGAATCAGCTCGGGTTGTGCGGGCTCGCTCGTCCTGCTTTTCAGGGATGGATTGCATCAAAAATTTAAATATAAAACCGAACTTTCCCAATGGCTCACTGAACTCGAAACGGTGATTAATTCTTTCCAATTTTTATAGTGACCTCGCTTGTTGTGAAAAGTAAAGGAAAAGAGAAATATCAGCTAACCCTTGATGACATCCACAATTCGATAGGTGCCTACCTTTTTGACCCTTCTACTCATATTCTGGCCATATGTCTGATTAAACATTTTAGCACCCACCTTATTGCATCTCTATTTGCATTCCCTTGCGCGACAGACGTGCCAAGGTTACATTGGACTACGGCAACAGCAGCTCGCCAATGACAACAAAGAGATTCATGATAAATCGACTTCCTTTTCGCCCATGATCCGTTTCTTTCATTCCTCTTTTCAGGGGCATATCGGTATAAAGATTTTCGCAAACAAAGCCTGATGCTTTCCACAGCGTTCGTTCAGCCACCTTCTTCATTTCTTTTCTTTTCTTTCCTCTAACGACCATCCTTTCATTTCCCCACAAATCCGGGTTCGACACGACATCGGTGTCACTCAGAGACTACAATTCCGTCGTCTTGAGGAGCTGATACTGATTAGCGTTCAAACTTGTCAACGTATGCGCGTCACTGCTAATTTTGCGTACGCAAGTGTACAGAGACTGCTCAGGTAGACAGGCTGGTGTTGGAGCATCAACTGACACTGCTCTATTACATACATGCAGTCACCACAGTCACTTTGCCCTCCCTCTCGCTTGTGCACAAAGTCAGATTAGGCAAGTCTGCCAAGCAATCCACGCGACTGTCCTCATGTCTACGTCCACCGCTCTCAAATGATGCTCATTCACTATCTGCCTCACCGCACTTAACCATGGCCTCGCGCATCCAAGATGCACCTAAACCAAACCACCACCTCCCGTGGTTCACTCCAGCAACCTTCATTAGCACCGGCTACGTGTCACCATACTCAATTCCCAAAGACTCTCCATACGCAAGTGGCAATTCAGCCATGCCTACCACTGCGCAAACTCCTCCCGTTATCAAATTTCGCGTCACACTGAGTGGCGGAGCAGCTCAACACTCTGCAACTTCCTCTCCCACCTCTTCCCGTGTTTCCGGCCAGGCGAACCCACCCGCAGCCTCGCCCCAGAGCACTACTGCGGGCCTCTGGTACGAATGGTATGCTAAATGGATTAACCGCTTCTGGAAGCGACTGCGCCAAGAAGGCATCGACCTGCAAATTCTCCCGTATTCCTGCGGCGAGGTCGTCACACCGAGCATGATCGCTTCCACTAACGTCGCGGATCCGGCCATCGCTTTGGTCCACTACTTGGTAAGCACCTCCGTTCCTACCGTTCTAAGATTTTCCCCACAACCATCTTTCACTTCAGACACATGGACAAAAACTCAGGCAGCTTCCATGCCCCATACCAGTTCATCAACACCAACTAACAACCCACCCCCTCCAGGTCAACTCGCACGCCTACATCGCGACGACCTACGACCGCAACCTAGCCGCAGGCACGGGCTACCCGGTAGCCGACTGGGCGTACCCGGAGTTCGCGCTGCAGGACCGCAGCGCCGTGCTGAGCAGCAGCACGGCCAACGCTAGCACCACCACCACCACCATCGTCGTCGTCGACCACCACCTGCATGACCCCGGTACCAAAGCCCGCAAGCGTCCCCTCGTGTGCGGCCGCCCCGTCGCCAACCCGCGCCAGTGGGACTTTGGCATCTGCAGCCCGCCCGTGCCGTGGTACTGGAGCCGCTTGCCGCAGGTGCACGTGTCGAGCGTGCCGCACGTGCTCCAGGAGAGAGAGGAGAGGGAGGAGGCTGAGGAGGCGGAGAAGGCTTTTCAGAAGCGGATCAAGAAGGTGCAGCAGCAAGGGGAGATCGAAAAACAGGAGCTGGTGGGGAAGAGGGAGGAGGCAGACGACAGAGAAGTGGTCAAGAAGCACCCAAGCAAGATCAAGGAGAAGAAGGAAAAGGGAGAGGAAAAGGACGATGACGGCCTGACAGATGGCTCGATAGACAAGAACTTCGCAGATGAGAAGTCTGGTGCTGTTGAGGATGCAGACGTGGCGGATGCTCTTAGCTCTGTTAATGATCTCCGCAAGAAAGAGAGCCAAAAAGAGAAAGCCCCGACACGCCGCTCTACCCGTCTCGGACAGCGCCCACGTCGTCAGTATGGTCATCAGTTGTAAGGCACTGCAAGAACGACAGAAAAGAAGCTTAGACTGTTCTTTTACTTTAATTCGCCGCTCGAACACTGATATATGACGACCATTACTTAAGCCTGAATTTGGAAGCTCTAGCAAGTATAAAAAAGAATGCCATATTGCCCTTCAGTAGAAGTATGTATGACGATTACGCTTGGGTAGTGTTGTGTATTCGCATTCTATCGAGCTCGCAGAAGTCCTAATTCTAAGAACATCCTTTTTATCCCTTGATTTTACCTTACGCCTTGGCCTTCGGCAGCTCCAGGTCGACTACCACTGGAGCATTGCTCGGTGTATACGACAGATCCATGATACTCGCATTGACCATCACCGTCTCCTCCCCCACCCTCAACGGGGCACCTCCACTGTTACTGACGTCGACGAATGCGGCATGGTTCTTGATCATGGCGTCTTCATCGAACTCGTATTCCGTAGCCTTCTTCACCAGCTCATCGATTCTCTTCATGGGCTTCTTTTCCCCCGCCGTCGCCGCATCTTCGCGATCCGGCCACTCGACCCTCTCTACGCCCCAAGCTTCGTGGATGTGGCCCCACGCATGGAGCCTAGGCCTGGCCCTTTCCACGGCGCGCAACAGGTGAGGACAGCCGACTGCGAGCTTGGAGCTCGTCATGTCCAGTCGGTTCTTAGCCGGGCCGTGCGTCATCACGACATCAACAGCACCGGGCGGGAAGTGATCGGGAAGCGGGTTGACGGCGACGTTGACGGCGTCCGGAGCGGAGAGATGCGGGGGGTTCCAGCGGTCATTGTCGTGGTCGTAATTGAAGGCCCACTGCCAGAACTCGGGCTGCCACGGGGAGGCGTAGACCTACATGTATCACTTGTCATCAGCCGAGGGTACTATGCAAAAGAAATTCGGGCAGTGTGGATAAACAGCATGTATCACGTGAGAGCATGGTCGACATACGGTCATCTTCGCGCCATTCTGCAGCACGAACTCATGCACGCCCTCCTCGAGATACGTCACGCCCTTGGCCTTGGCCTTCTCGCCCGTCCACATCTCCTTGGCCTTCCTCGGCATGTCCGGGTCATACTTCTTCAGGTGCATGCGCTGCCCGTTCGGGAACGGCATCGTGTGCGGCCTCCCGCGGCTCTGGCCCAGGTAGAACTCCTCGTCCAGGCTCAGGTCGTGGTTGCCGGCGATGACGAGCTTGAGCGGGGCGTCGATGGAGCCCAACATGTCGAGCGCGCCCTCGTACTCGTCGAGGTAGCCCATCATGGTGAGGTCGCCGCAGTGCAGCAGCACGTCGGCCGCAGGCAGTGGCGCCCGAAACGCGACTTCGAGCCCCGGCTCATCATTCCCGCTGGGGTCGACGAGGGGAGCGGTGTGCGTGTCGGAGATGATCAGGATGCGGGTCTTGACCGTTTCTGCCGAGCTCTGCGGTTGAGACATTGTTTTTTCGGTGTGGTTCCCGTTGGTGACGTCGTTGGTGCTGGCGGGGCTTCCCTGTGTGGCGGGTAATCCGCGCGGGGCTGCGCGTAGTGGATACCCGGAGATCTATCGCCTGATCACGTTGTGAGTGCCGAAAGTTCTGGTGATGAAGGGGGAAAGATTGAGAGCGTGAGCAATGTAGGCGTCGTCGCCGTCGATCCTACCTTGCGCGGTTATGGGAGGTAGCTCAGAAATGGATATGTGATCCCCTGTTTTCATCTCTTGAACAACATACTTTCTGACGCAGATGTCATAAATATCACATTTCCAAATTTGCTCATGACAAGTCGTATACTTTTCGTAAGCTGGAGTTAGCCACTCCGTTGTTCGATTCGTTCTTGCACCTTTATGTCCAGACAATAGCTTCAACTTAAGCCATTGCATTGCAATGCTTCACAAGATGCGACATGTGGAAGCAAGGCAGCAAAACACCGGTACGGGATGTTTGAGGTTGCGGTTCAAAAATGACGAAAATAGAGTTCCGGGCTTCGTGAAAGAGAAAGAACAAAAGTAGAGTGATGAAGATAGGTTGAGACCTTCTCATGCAGGAACGATCGCCGATATCAAGGTGGCGAAACGAAGGAAAAGAAAAGAGGAAGACGCTGAGAGGAGTTTGCTAAGTACAACGGTGAGCATAACATCATCAGACGTCAGAAGCATACGATAGACCAACAAACCAACCACAGAAGTATACTAAATGGAAACCTGGGTATAGAAATATCTGACGGATTTTCCTGAACATTCGTAATTCTCGTGCTTCAACAACTAGGATCATGTATAACCTGCCTCTTCACAGTCCTACCCCGCCAGGCCTCCCTCTTCATTACATTAGGAAGCCATAGTGCCTTTCTGCCAAGAGAAGAGAGCGTAAGAAAGTTGTATAAAAGGTGTCCAAGGCATTCGATGCCGGCCGCGAAGAATAATGATAGAGGCCACCATTGGTAGGTATGAAGAAAGCAATGATTCGAGGAGGAAAGATGGAAAGCAGGTAAGTAGGTCATGATAGGATAAAAAAATATGAGAAGCCAGTCCCGATTCTCACGCCCAGCGGGTGTAAACAGGTCTTTTGCGCTGACTCCCGTACGTTTGCTGTGTCTGTAACCTCTTATAATCAATTCGCCGGTGGTGGATGCCCGTCGTGCGCGAGTCCCGCGCCTGGATTCGAATGGACGTGGTGGCCTCCGCTCAGTCTGAACACCTTCTTTACGCTCTCAACGCCTTTCTGCAGATGCGGATGATGTGCCAGGAACTCGCCGTGATGACCGGCGGCACTGTTTCCCGAGCCGGCTTTTCCGCCATCGCCGCCACCGCCCAGCACCGCAGCCAACGTGCCGACCCTTCCTGCTGCTGTTCCAATCTTCTTTCTGCCCATCAGCGGATCGACAGGTCCAGGCCGCGGCGGCCATTCTCCATCGTCCTTCCAGCCCTGCACCAGGGCGCGCGTCATATGCGAAAGGTTGATAGGAACCTTGGGCGTCTGGCCGCTCACGACAATCTTGGCGTAGATGTCAGAATACGCTTTGGGCGTGATGGACTGACGGATGACGTTCTGGGGCAGCAGTGGCGGCGCGAGGGGCACGAGCGGTTCCTCAGACGCCGGTATGTCGATGTTGATCCGGGAAGTCTTCTCAACCTTCTCAATAGCATCCTGCTCGCCCTCCTCTGCGGAAGTCTCATCGCCATTTGTCACCGATGCCTTCTCGTTATTCGCATCCGCTTGCGCATCTTCCGCCGCACCATCCGCCACCACCGTCTCCTCTACCAATGCCGTCTCCTCCAACATCTTCACGACCGTATCCCTCGCCTCTACCTCCGCCGGGTGCATATCCGCGCTCGACCGGCTTTGCCTCCGCGCGTGCTTGCGCACACTCGCCGCGCCCGTCCAGCGGTCCCGCCTGCGCACGAACACGGCCATACCCTCATTCCAGCGCATCTCCTCCTCGAGCGCGCGCCTACGCCGGCGCTTGCGCCGCGCCACGCGCTCCTCGGCCACTTGCGGGCCTACGTGCTCCGGCGAGTCGAACCTATACTCCTTGCCGTTGGCGGCTTTGGAACCGGCTCCAGCCGCGCCGTTGTGCTGTCCTGCTGCCTTCGTTGTGGTGCCGCCGCCTCCTCCATGTTCAGCCTCGTCCTCGGACGGCGAGTCGTCATTGTCGTCGTCCGTGCTGCCGTAGTACCGCTCGCGGAACTCGGTCACCCCGCGCAGCTCGTCTTCGGACGCGCCCGTCGCGTAGTCGGCTTCGGCGGCCGCGGCCGCTGCAGCAGCGTGTTCGGTCGGCGCGATGTTGGGCGGTAGCGGCGGCCAGTCCCAGTCGTTGCGCACGCGCTCGAGGAGGTAGCGGCGGGCGTCGCGCGCGGCTGTTTGGTTGGTGTCCATGACTTTTTCTGTTTGCGGACTTGGCTCCGTCACGTTGTCTTGCCCTTTCTCCTTTGTGTAGGGTACCGGTAGTTTGTATTCGGAAGCTGTAGTGCTTGATTTCGGCCGTGTGTTCAATTTTTCTTTTTGATCTTTTTGGTTAGGTCAAAGAATAACCGTGCGGTCTCGCGGTAATGCCATTCGGTGGGGTATGCGGTCGTGAGCTTGCTAGCGATGGAGCTATCGTGTGAGAAGGAAGCGAGAGCAGGAAAGATGTGCAGGAGCGGTATGACGAGATATGTAGGGGCTGCGTCGCCAGTGCAAACGCCGTTGGGGGCGAGAGCGGGCGCTGTCCGCTTGGTTGTCAAGTCTTGCTGCGTTGGCCAAGGCGAAAAGCAAGAAGTATGGTAGCTTGCCAGCGCTAGCGCATCCCGATAGTCGGGGTAAAAAACGGTCTCGGTCACGAGAAATCAATGCTGGGGAAGGTAGACCGGGATACCAGCAAGCCTGGGCCCACGGCCTGATGTTGATGTCACGAGGCGCTTGCAAATGCCGCTTCGAGCCGCCCATCACTATATCCTGCCGCCCGTCCGCCATACGCTTTGTCATTGACTCATTGTTCTGTCTATCAACTCAAACGCCGGATATCATCAGTCCTTCAATCAATTAGGAAATCCCCTTTTGTTAACCCCTGGAAAATGCCCTTTGATAGCCGAGAATAACCCCAGTCTGTTCCTCGCATCACAGCGCCTCCCCCGCCTTGAGCGCACGCGCCTCCCGGGGCCACACTCGCTTGTACAAGCTGACGCCCACTGCGTCCTGCGGGTTGATCCGCCCGTCAAACGTCGCCTTGAAGTAACCGTGCGTGCCCAGGCTCTCTTTGATGAATCCACTGCGTCCACGCTTTGTCCACAGCTGCAGCGCCTTGAACCAGTGCACGTCCTCTGCGTTGAAAAACATGTACCGCACCGTCACCACGCGTTTGTGGATCTTGTACGGGTGGCCGGTGAGGATAATACGTTTGGCGATCACGCGTGACGTTGAGGGCGGCAGCGAAGTGCCAGTGCCAATGAGCTGCACCTCGCCCTCATTGGTCTGCTCACTCTCAGCATCCATCGCGGTGTCCTCACCATCTGCGCTTCCTTCATCCTCGGGAACAACCCGTTTGAAAAAGAGAGCGGGAACGGAACCCCAGGTAATTGGTGCGATAAAAGTAGCGATCGCGCTACGTCCAGGGTGCAAATATCTGTCAGACTTGTGGACGTCGTTTGGTGTGTTTCCAGACGCTGAGTACACAGGGTTGATTCTGAACCGCCTTGGGCCGCATTGAAGGACGAGCTCCTCCTTAGCCTTGAGCGGCTGTTCGAACTCGGAGTTGAGCGTGATGCTGTAATTGACGGCAGTACGCTTATGCTCGTGGCGCAGAAGCGAGAAGAGAGGCAGCGTCTTGGCTGGGTTGTATGTGCTTTGGAGAGAGAGGGGCACGTTGCGAAGGTGCACATTAACCCTAGTGCCGGGCTGGACACCGCCAACGAGGGCTTCTCTGGTCACACGCGCTCTTGCGCCCTTGTAGTCGGAGATTTCCAGAAGGCGCCTCCAGCTCTCCGGCTCGTACGGTCTGTCCTCGTCTGTTTCCCAGTGACTTGTCCTCAAGCTCTTCAAGCCCCTGTACTTGGCCAAACGCTCCCGTGCGAGTACGTGCGGGTGCAATTCGATTTCGTCGGGGAACTCGAGATCATCCTCCGCCTCTTGCTTGCGCTGAGTACGATAGGCTTCGATCTGCTCGGCCTCATCCTCAGGCGAGGGGTCCATAAACATCTCTGACTGCGGGTATTCCGAGGGTGCAGCTTCGGTAGGCTCCCTTCCATTGACATCAATACCCTCCATGCCATCGGCTGGGTTGGCAGGTCCGTCCATGTCCTCATCGTCTTCGTCGTCTCCAGCAACGCTCTCGAGATCGGATCCAGAATCGGACATATCTCCAAGATACCATGCCGACTGGTACTTGGACGTTCCTCTAGGCAATCTCTTCGGGCGCGTCGCCTCATCGTCGTCGTCTTCCGAAAAGTAATGGTGGTCATCCAGAAGGACACCCTTGCGTTCGGAGGGCGCCACAGAGACCGGGTAATCGTCGATATCCTCCATGACTGCCTCCTCCGGGGCAAGGTCGGCCAAAGTATCCTGGTCCTCGGTAGGTTGATCCAAAACGGCATCTTGGCCCTCCAAATCGACGGCCATATCATCGCCCTTGCCCTTCTTGCGCGTTTCGAGGGGAGCAGCAGTGATCTTCTCGATCTGGAACGTTCCCCAGTCTCCAACCTCCACCAGTCTATCCGCCTTCAATCCTTTGCCTCTCACAACACCAGTGAGGACGACCTCTCCCTTCGCCTCCTCGTCAGTCGCGGCCGCCTTGCCGCTCGGCCATCTCACTTCCTCCACAGCCATCCAACTGCGCTCCTCCCTCCACCTTACGCCCTTCGGCATAGTTGTGCAGAGCGACCTCATAAGGTTCAAGCTCTCCTGCCTGTTGTCGAGCGAGTGTACCTTTTCCTGAGCGGGAAAGAAGTGCGTGATGAAGCTCTTGAGCGAGCCGAGAATCTGAGGACGACGCTTGGGAGGCTCAGCGGAGTCAAGTCCCTATTTCTCGTTAGCAATCTCTCCCCAAAAAACAGATTAAATGCAACTCACCTGCACCGCAGCCAAAACGTTCGAAACACCCTGGCTCTCCACACTCCTCAGGATCAATTCTCCAAGTTGATCCACCTCCTGCTCCGCAGACAGCACGAAAACGACAAAGTCAGCCACGCGGCACGCGTCCAGCGCAGCGAGCAGGTCCCTGCCGACGATCAGGTACTGGACCTTCTGCTTGAAGCGCTCGATGTTGACGCGCGCGACGCCCTGCTCGGGAACGTCCTCCTCAAGGTCGAGGCAGCCGTTCAGGCTGCGCACCGCCAGCTTGGCCGACACGTCTTCGGTCAGCGGCACGACGGCGACGACGCGCGGTGCGCCATCGCGCCCCGCGAATACCTTGGTCGCCTCGACGTGCTCCGCGTGCTTGCCCACCCGCTTCTGCTTCGCCTGGTTGCGCCGGTCCAGCTTCGACAGGACCTGCTGGTGCGGCGTGCGCCGGACGCCACGGTCGCTGCCTTCGACTTGGCCTGTTGTTGTAGGGATTTTGTGTTAGCGCATGTAATTTCGCAGCGCAATGAGCTGGGGAAGAGGAATAAGTGAAGGGGCAAGTGCGCACCCTTGCTTTTCTCCTTCAGTGCGCCTTTACTGGCATGGCGGGACTTGAATGGCTTGTGCGACACCTTGGTGGTGCTGCGGTGGTGGTGGCCGTCCATGGGCGCCATTTTGCTCCCGCTGGCTCCGGCTTTGAAGCGGTAGGGAATGCTCGCCAGATTGGGAGTGTCGGTGCTGGCCTGGCCGGTCGAGTCGTTTTCGCTCTTGCGACAGTGACGACTGTTGTAGGCGCGGAAATTTTGGCGATGTGGGACAGCCGATAAGGCCCATGGGCCCGTTATCGAGCTTGCAGGGATCTTGCTCCGAAATATTTCATCACGTGCTGCATCACGTCTCTGAAGAATGCTCACACTCTAGTATAGCAGACGACGATGAAAAGTAGGTGCTTTCTACATGAAGAAACAATTGTACTCGACATCTATAGATCAAGATGACTTTTGCCCCAATCTTCTAACTCCAGACGCCAAACAAGCCCACGGCCACTAGGTATTTTGCGCAAAGCTCGGTTTTGAGTCACGCAACGCCGATTTCTACCCTTCTAACCCTCTTTTCACTTCTTGAAAACAGCATTCATGGCATCCTGCAGGATGTTGATACCCTGCTCAATCTCCGCCTCGCTGATGACCAACGGAGGAACGAACCTGAGCGTGTTGGTGCCGCAGGTGATGATCAACAGACCCCTCTCACGAGCAGCAGTGACAATGGGCGTCGGGTCTTGGTTCAGCTGCAGACCAAGGATCAAGCCCTTGCCCCTGATCTCAGTAATGATGTCGGGGAAGCTCTGCTGAAGCTTCTCAAAGTGCTTGCGGAAGATTTGCTCCTTCTTGAGGACAGACTGCTGCAACTCCGGATCCGCCAGCCTGCCCACGATGTGGTGTGCAAGACGGCAAGCGAGGGGGTTGCCTCCAAAAGTAGTGCCGTGGTCACCAGGCTTGATCTTCGACACGACGAAATCGTTGACAATGGTGGCACCAATGGGGAAACCGTTGCCCAGGGCCTTCGCAGTCGTGAGGATATCGGGGTGCGCCTCCTTAGGGAGGGTGGCGTGGGCCCAGATCTGACCGGTACGGCCGAGACCGCTCTGAATCTCGTCGTAAATCAGGACAGCGCCGACCTCGGTGCAGCGCTTGCGGAGTGCGAGAAGGAACTCGGGGGTCGCAACGTTAACACCACCCTCGCCCTGGATGGGCTCAATGATGACACCGCAAGTGTTCTCGGTGACCAGCGATGGAATGGCCTCAACATCGTTGTAAGTGCCGTATCTGAAACCAGGGACCATGGGCGCGAAAGGCTTCTGGTACTTGGGGTTCGGCGTCGCGGAAAGCGAGCCCATGGTGCGGCCGTGGAAAGAGCTGTGGAAGGAAACGAGCTCGTGCTTCGCGCCAGACGGGTCAAGCTCCTTACCGACCTTGCGCGCAAACTTGATGGCAGCCTCGTTGGCCTCGGAACCGGAGTTGCAAATGAAGGTCTTCTCGGCAGTGTGCATACCGCCACCAGCAACCGTCTTCTCAACCAGCAGCTTGGACAGAGCGCCAGTCCAAGGGTTGTGGTACAGGTTGGAGGTATGGATCAAGGTCTGCGCCTGTTCGGCCATCAACTTGACCATCTGCGGGTCGCAATGGCCCAGCGCATTCACAGCAATGCCTGCGGTAAAGTCGAGGTACTTGCGGTTCTCCATATCCCACATGTAGCAGCCCTCACCTCTGGCGAACATAGGCATCGGACGAATGTAGGTAGGGACCATGTACGGCAGCGAGTCGTTGACCAGGCGCGCGGTTTGCGAGTCTGCGGCAGGATCGGGGTTTGGGAGAGCAGCCGCCTTCTACTCGTTGCTGGTCAGCGAGTGGACTCGTTATACGGCATTCTCAGAGCTTCCAATTCACCTCAATGGTCTCGTTAGGCAGGCTTGAAGCTGCCGTTGCGGCAGATGACGCATAGCGCTGGGCGTAGACAGGCGCGATGGTGAACGGCCTGGTGGTGCGCAGAGCAGCGCAAACGCGCTTGGAACCGAGTCTCAATGCCATTACGAACGGAATGAAGAAACGAAAGGAAGCAGAAAAGCAGCACAAGAAGAGGGTATCTGCAGGAGGAATAGCAACGTGTTGGGGAAGTTGAGATGAGTCGACATTGGGCGCAAAAATGCCGCTATCGATAAAGAGAGCGCGCGCCGATTTCGCAAGTGCGGAGACCTCGCACCCTGCTTCTCCGCGCGCGCCATTTCCTGCATGGCAAATCCCGCGCTGCGCCTAGACAAGAGCCAGCTGCATCTCGGGCCTTTGCTCTGATGTTTCTCTGGTATACATATAGTATTGTCCGCTAAACAATACCTGGCCTGCCACCTGCTTACTGCCGGCTAGCGAACAGCGTCATTTTCCTTAGACATCAAGGTGCAACAGATTATCAATAAGGAACTTCAGCTGAAGTGCAAGCGCCAAATGAGCCGGTTTTATCTCGTGGTAGGAGCAAAACACCCCCAGAAACATGCGATCAGAACCAGAATTTATCTGCATGCGTGTTTCAAGCCGCCATATCATGTCGTGCCCCTGCAATGCACAATGGCAGACGTGGAGAGTCATCTGCGGGAAGCTATGACCCGCGGGATTTTCACAGCCCTCTGAGCGGGGTCTGTATACCATCCCCTCTTGCAGCCGATGGCTAGCGTGGACTTGTTTTTTGTTCATGTCATAGGTAGCTGAAGCTATCGTCCGGACGTGTATGTTGAATTTTTAACTCCACATTCTCGTCCGGACGATAGCTTCAGCTACCCACATGTGCTCTTTTTCTAAGGCAGAGCTGGGGCATAGTTTTTAGAGTCCTGCTATTCTTCGCGCTAGCCATCGGCTGCGAGAGGGGGTTATAGTTTGTTCCTTGAGGATTAATTGGCTTTCGAGGTCTTCAGCCACAGCAAGCTCTGCACTATTCTGTCTGGACCCGGCGATAATCCTAAATTCCGTGGAGCTACCGTCTTCTACACTAGGCATAAGCGCTTACTACCCGAGCTGAGCCTGGCAACACTTATGGGTTCTACCGACCAGAAGGCTCTTTATACTCCCTCTTATTGAGTCGGCTGCCAATCTGACTCTGCCACCTGTGTCCTTGCATTATGGAGAACATCAACATGGTGGAGGCTTCAAAGCCTCACCCAGAACTCGAACAGGTCATATAATACCACAATGAGCGATTCGACTCAAGCTAAGACAGCCAGCAGTATTTCGCGCAAGGCGGCCAACATCCTTTCTCCAAGTTGGTCGACCTCAACGTCACACGGGCAGGGCTGGCTGACACTATCTTATCTGCCTTGTCGACCATGCCTCCAAGTTACATGGAAGGAGTCAAAAAGGAGCGGGTCGAGATTCCGACACGAGATGGGGCCAACATATCAGCACTGGTGTACAAGCCTGAAGTCATTCCAGACGGAAGCCCCGCGCCGCTGGCCGTCCTGTACCACGGTGGAGGCCATGTCATGGGCATCCCTGAGATGGAGGAAAACAACGCCGTGACCTTGGTCCGCAACCACGGCTGCGTGGCTGTTAGCGTGGGCTACAGGCTCGCTCCAGAACACCAGTTTCCAATTCCGGTCCACGATTCGTGGGATGCATTCAAATGGGTGAGTCGCCTGACTGCCACATGGCGAACAGTACCTTACGCGGGCGTAGGTGGTCGCAAACGCGTCTCAGCTCGGGGCAGATCCGTCCAGCAGATTCCTTGTTGGGGGATCATCAGCCGGGGCCAACATTGCAGCAGTTGTGTCGCATCTGGCGCGCGACGAGCGAGTGGGCCCACCGCTGACGGGCGTTTTCCTCTCGATTCCAAACACGCTGCCAGAAGGTGCCGTGCCGGACAAGTACAGGGATAGGTACAGAAGCAGAGAGGAGAGCAAGAGCTACGAGCTGACGGATGCGACGTCCATGCTCGAGGCAATGAGTGAGTGCTAGCACCGGGCGCAATTTTGGAGCTGATTCCAACAACGGCAGGCCTCTACCAGGGCGATGACGCCTCTCCGCTATACGCTCCGTTCAATTGGCCCAGCGGGCACGCGGGGCTGCCGCGGACATATTTGGTGGTCTGCGGGATGGATCCGCTGCGGGATGAAGGGCTGCTGTACGAGTACGTGCTACGAACCGAGGGCCAGGTGGAGACAAAGATGGATTTCTACCCCGGCATGCCTCATGGATTCTGGGCCGTGCATCCGCAATTCGAGGCGTCAAAGAAAGCATGCGCGGACATCGTCGCAGGATGGGCGTGGCTGCTGAAGTGAGGACACTTGGTCAGAGTCATATCAAGGTTAGCCGTAAGCTTCCTAGCAAGGAGATAGCCAATCTGTATCACCGTTACGGGTGGTTCAGTGTGTGCGCTCTGAGAAACGTCAGCACCAGCCACGCGGGGATTGATTGGACTGTGCTTGGCGAGCGTTGCACGAAGCCGGAGATGATGGGCTGTGTCGTGTGCGCGACTGCCGTTTCCTCGGGGCGGGGTGTCGCTATCTCCGAAAATCCTGGCCGGCCTGCCTTCGGTTGCCGACGTGGGGTCCAGCAACCTGACGCCAGTAAAGATCAGCCGGATATTCTCATCATCAGCAGGCGGGTGGGTTTTTCCGATGGAGGTATGGCGTCTTCACCGACATGGTTGGCAAGGTTCACTCAGCTAGCTCGTGGCTTAGTCCGCGCTCGGCAGGATCTCGTGTCGCCAAATGCAGTGGCAGGCTGGCGGCCAAGCTTTGCGGCTTCCGCGGCGCGGCAACGTTGGTTCGCCTGTCGGAAATCCGGAAGGCCAAGGTCGTGTTATGACGCGCTCTCTCCTTCACAAGGCGTCGCGAACTGCAGTACTCCCCTTACTCTTTTGCGCCAGGAACACAGTAAGCTGGAGGCGATCCAATGGGTGGCGGGTCGTACCGGCCCACCCCTGCGTTGACTGGGCCGAAAGAGCTTACGGCGCGTAGTGCGTACGCAAGCTGCTCTCCAGCCTTCATACCAACCTGACGCGCGGCGGATGGCCCACGCCGCGCTGAGCCGCAACCGCACCGCACCGCCTTTTGCACCGCGGCCTGTATATACTCTCGCAGCCGCCCGCCTCTGCTGATGCTTCCATTCCTTCCGCTACCTTTTGTCCGTCTCCGTTCTGCCGCCCACCATGAGGACCGTCACCCGCTTCCACGTCCTCGTGTTTTTTGCCGTCTGCACCATCGCGTATATCGGCTGGGTCTTGCCGTCTCTGCAGGTCCAGAGCCGCGTGCAGAAGGCCATCTCGGGGTCGCAGCGGCGCATTGTTGTCTTCGGCGACAGCTGGTCGGACGTGGGCACCTACCACATCGACATTCCAGCAAAGAATCCGCAGCACAACATCAGCCGCCCCTTGTGGACTGAGGCCTTGTGCAAAGAGGTAGCGTCGTCGCCCCCGTCGCATCTGCTCTAGACTGACTCGTCAGCTCCTGTGCGACGACATCAACAATTTCGCCCGCTCGTCGGGCGCGTCCAACTTCTTTGAACAACCGGATGCTGTCTTGGACACGGAGATTCTGGCCAATGTCACGAACCAGCATCCCGAGAACCACAAGTTCCTTGCCGACCTGAAGAAACAGGTCCAGCAGTGGATCAGCTTCGAGAAGCAGAGTGGTGTCATCGCCAGCCGCGCCCAAAATAAGGAATGGACCGTTTTCACCGTCTTCTTTGGCATCAGCGACATCTGGCAGTACACCTTCCAGGACAACAAAGCCAGCGACGACGACATCAATGAGACCATGGCCTCCTTGTTCGCCCAGCTTGACGTAATCGCGCAGCACACGCAAACTCGCCCGCACATCGTGTTGCCCAAGGTCATTGACATCTCGTTCCTGCCGGCGTTTGCACAGCAGCCCATCGAATTCCCGGATCGGCAGCAGTCGGCCGTGTCACTGACCGAGAAGTGGAACAACGCGCTCGAGAAGGCCGCCCGCGACTGGACGGGCGGCTACGTCCACCTGCTGGAGACGGACAAGTGGCTGCTGAAGATGATCCGCGAGCAGCAGATGAACAAGATTGGCATCGCCGACGAGCGCGGTGAGGGCAAGGGCAATCCCCGGTTCAGCGAGGTCAGGAGCCCGTGCGTGCCGTTGCCGCATGTCGGGGCCCAGTTCCCGTTTGACATGAGCGACACGGCCAGCAATCGGACGGAGCCCTGCGAGGACGAGTCTCACTATCTGTTTTGGTCAGTAATTTCTGCTCTTCTGCGCTCGGCTGTGGTTGGAGGCCTACTGACACCGTGTTTCCAGGGACGGCATGCACCTGTCCGGCAGGGCGCACAAGCTGTTGGCCATCGAGGCGGCCGATCTGGTCGCCACCAACTACACCTTCAACCTCAACGCGCTCCGCAAGCACGATCTCGAGCAAGAGGAGGCGGCGAGCCGGGCCAAGGAAGAGAATGAGACCGGCTCGACTAAGTAGCACGGCGAGCAGAGCATTTCTTAGGAGTTTTCCTGTTGCGGTTGTCTGAGATACCCATTCACGTTTCAGCATTTTCTGGCGTTGACGTGGAAGTGCACGGCTTACATTCCAGAGTGGCGGCACAATTCCCCGGTGGGCGGGCGTTTGTATGCATTGTCTCAAATCAAGTTTCTTTGTACCCATGCTTCCTTGCATCGCCCTCCCGCAGAGGAATGTCTCGGGCGTGGGCCCGCTCCCCACAGCCCCGCCGCATCTGGGAATCTCGCTCGCCTGGGAAGAAAGAATTTGCCGTTGCGAACAGCACCTCTCCCGCACCTGTCTAGGACAATTACATGCACGCGCTGCTACTCAAACAAAGAACATGGACCCTAGGCATAATAGACACAAAGCCTGCTGCCCGGCCATGTCTTTGACTAGCGCCGGCCCTATTGACCATTCAGCACCCCGGCCCTGCCAGAGCCCGCCGAACAGTTTGTCTATCAAAGCTGCTCTCGCCGTCTTGATATTCGGCCTCGAGCAAACAGAAGAGCAGCCGCTCATGTCGAGGTCCGTCGCAGCAGCAACCTTGACCACTCTCCCGCCATGGACGCCGAAATGTCAGAGCCCGGCTCGGGCAAGGGGGAGACGAGTCCGCGCAAGGCGTCTACGACATTTTCCACCCGCTCCTCCCGCCGCACAGCCAGTCCTTCCCGCGCCTCGAAACAGGACGACGCAGGCCCCCCGACGCCAGAGTCACCACCATTCAGACTGACGCGGAAGAGGGCGGCCTCGCTGGCTGATAAAGGGGACAGGGAGGAAGCCGACGTCGTCGACGAAATCACTCCGACTACCACGCACTCTCGCATGAGCTCTGGTGGTGCATCCGTGGGTTCTGCAGGCTCTCCGGCAACCCACGTCTGCCTGTGCCAGCCCGACCCCAAGATCCCACGACCAAGAAACGGTCAGTTGCTCACCGGTCTATTATTACTCTCCCTTGTCTCTTTATCCAGTCCAACATCTCGACCAGCTCGATTACTGTCAGTTTGCTCTTAGCGCCCAATGGCGTTGTGAAGTGATGCATTTTCTTTGTTAGCATCTTTGTCGTTTCCGCGTGGCTGACGGCTTTGATATGCAGCCTTCATACTATATCGTCAGCATCATCAAGCCGCCATCGTGGCCCAGCACCCCGGGTTAGCCAATCCAGAAATATCAAAGATCATCGGCGAGCAGTGGAAAGCACAGCCTGAATCCGTGCGGAGCGAGTGGAAAGCCCTAGCCGAAGAGGAAAAGATTCGGCATCAGCAGCAGTATCCAGAGTATCGCTACCAGCCTCGCCGTGGCGGCCGCCGGGGCAGCCTGTCGCTCAACACCACCTCCGACAAGCATCACTGCACTAAGTGCGGTGGCCGGAGCATCACAACGCCAACAACGGCCTTCCCACCCAGCCACAACAACGCCGCCGCCACGACGGCGTCGGCATCGTCCCCTTCCTCTAACGCGCCAATGTTACCCCCGCCCACGCCTTCATCACTCTTGACACCTACCTCCCGCTACCTCCCACCCATGATGTCCGGCCTCGCCATCAACACTTCCGCCGCCGCCGCAGCCAGCAACCCCCAACGTCGCAACAACAGCACGCGGACGACGCCCAACCCTCTCACAAGCCTACACGCCTCCCGCACCCGCGATGAGCATCCCATGGACGCACAGATGCTGTCGCCACTCTCACCGGACGCTAAGCGGCGACGCTTGCAACAGGCCTACGTCCCACCACCGTCCGCGTCTTCCTCCGGCACGCCTCGCTCTTCCTCCCTCGCGCAACCAGGCACACCCTACCCCTTCCGGCCCGATCCCCGCCGCCACTCTCTGCCGCGGCCGGAGCTGATGCACCACCGCGGCGTCTCGCCCCGCAATGGCAGCACCAGCATCCACCACGACGGCAGCAGCTCCAACAATCTCACCCTCCCGCCCCTGCAGACCGCCAACCACCACCACCCCTACCCGGCCGCCGTCCACCACGCCGCCGTCAGCCCGGGCACCCCTGCCGGCGTTGTCAGCGCTGGCGGCGGCGTCGGCGGCGTCGTCGCTGCTGGTGGTGGCGAGCAGCCGCCGGGCAGCGCCAAGACGGTCATCATGTCGCTGTCGTTCTGGGGCAAGATCCGCCTGCTCGGCCGGATCACGCCGCCGTACCAGGCGACATCGTCGCCGTCGCCGCTGTCGCCTCGGCAGCAGCAGAAGCAGCAATCGCCGCCGCGGGTGCGCGGAGCCATCGTGGCGGTCGAGGGCGACAACGACGCGGCGGCGCGGGCGATGGCGACGTGGTTGGAGGAGAACCTGAACAAGACGGGGGAAGTGTGGGCGCGGACGGCCGAGGCGCCAAGGGGGCCGGAGACGGTGATGGGTGGTGGAGATGGAGCGGAGGGTGAGGGTGCTGGCAGTGATGATGGCGGTGATGATGGCGGCGCAAAGAGTCCGGATGGGAACGGTGCTGTCGCGCCGAGGAGGACCGTCAGCCTTGGTGATTACATTCAGGTCATTTCCGAGTGGCATAGCAAGACGAGGGAGATGGTCGAGTTCATCACCACGCCGCCCGGTGGCGCTGCCGAGGCTGCAACGGACGCATCAACGACAGCATCGAAGGATGGTGAGAAGGGTAGTGGCGAGGTGGTGGACAAGAGGACGCCCGTCCTCATCATGCCGACGTACAACCTGCGCGCCTCGAACGCGTGGGCCAGCAGCCTCCCTACCGGCGACAACTACAATCCTCCTGACCACTGGCAGTGGGTGGCGACGCTTTGGCGCGGCATCGTCGGCCCGGACATCACCGTCTACATCAGGGACGTCTCAGCTGCCGAGCTGGAGATGTCTCGCGGCAGGACGGTCGAGGTGCGCGAGGACGGACAGTCGAAGTACTTGATCGTGAAGCGCGAGGGCACCCAGGAGCTCGAGGAGAGCACGTTGAGGAGGCTCGGCTTCGAGATCGGTGAGCTGATTAGAGGTGTGAGCGGGCTGAACGGGAAGTAGACAGGGAGAAGACATGATGTTTTTCAGGGATAGCGTGGCGTATCGGTCTCTACAGGTTTACCTGATATTCCCCGTGTAGATGTTGCTGGTCGGTCAAGGTGCTGGCATTTTTGGGAATTCTTTTGACTTCATGGCTCTACGAAGAAAGAGGCTGCGTAGAAATTTGGAATTTGGGTGCAGTAGATTTGAAGCTGCTCTTTTCTCAGGCGATCAAGATCGAAGCGTGTTCGAATTGTGAAGATTTAGGATTCAAATGTTACCAAATGGTGTGTAATGCAACGTGGATGTCAGCCTGGCTTCATGCAGATTGCCTGCTTGGAATGTTGGATCTGCACGTGAGAAACATCCCTTGCTAGGCCTTCATGTACATATCTCACGTAAGAGTCAGGTGGTGGTGTGGGGATGCATGCAGGACAAGGGACGGGAACGCCTAAGCGAGGTACGCTGAATCTACACGTCATTTTCGCAGTCCGGCCAACCAAACACGTGCGCAGGCAGCAGGTGCGAGGAGGTTTCGAGATGGCGGTCACGAGAGGAGAGAAGGACGAGACATGGGATCTGTGCAGAGTCCAGAGCGAGCTCGAAAAAGGAGAAGGGGCGCAATTGTGATGACAAGCGGGGATGGGTGTGGAGCCCCCGGGCTGTCTCCGCAATGTGGGGGTGAGTTGCCGCATGCCGCCAGCTCTCGCGGGCAGCATGCAGCAACCACAAAACAAACAACACCATCACGAGCCTCCACGATGCACATCAGCTGCCATCGGAACCAGCCGGTCGCCGGACGACACGACTACTGTGCAACAGCCGGCGGTACGCGGCGCGCGTTGTCTCGGCGGAACGTCATTCGGCTTTTGGCGGTGTTAGGTCGCCTTTCACATGTCAGCCTGCCAGCCAGCCGTGACTAGCTCACCAAGCAGTCCGGACAATGCGGCCCACAGCCATCGCATCTGCTCCACGACTCCTTTTGACCGCTCCGAACGGGCTGTCCTCTGCTTTCCATGAACCACAATGATAGGTATTCGTTCTCGTGCCTCGCCCTCGCCCACAACCGCTAATGCCGACGCCCGCAGACCATGTACTGGGACGGCCGTCCGTCAAGTTTCGGAGAGTTCAGGTGCTCGCCGTCGTTTCCTTCTGGTGTGCCTACCTGTATAGGTTCGTCTGCCCCGCTGCTGAATTTGACCTACCGCCGCTCACGCCTTCTAGGGGAAATCGCCATGGCCCGCCTTTGCTCAAACGCCTCTCGTCCCTCGCCTCTTCCCGCCTCACTGCCTGGCAGACGGTAGTTATCACCATGCTCTGGCTCTACGTTTCCCGCAACTTCGGCAAGCTGGTCGGTCTCGAGTGCCCCGAGCCCCTCGCAAATCTATACACACGGTCGTACTTCAGAGCAACATGGGTGACAACTGCGCTGGACGCCGGCTTTTGGTCTGCTATGCCAATCCGGAAGAAATGGGCTCGGGACATATGTTCGATCGTATTCACCCTATACTACCTTATCTGCGCCGAGCAAGCCGACGAGAAGGTCAGGAAGATTCGTTCCACCCTGACAGTCGATCATCTGCGCGTGAGCTGGAACAAAGGGACAACTCCGTACCTAAAGCTGGTCACCGGCCTTATGCGCCCGCGCCTGATGCGCTATCCTCCCCGCGCCATCCGCATACCACGGCCTCCGCAGTCCTCATACAAAGAGCCGGTCCAGGGTTGGTTGTACTTCGATGGCCCAATCTCCGCCCTGAAAGAGCACAACAAGATTGTTTTGGATATCCCGGGTGGCGGTTTCGTGGCCATGGACCCGCGTAACCACGACGACAAGCTTATCGGCTGGGCTGGAACGACTGGTTTGCCGGTCCTGGCTCTCGACTATAAGAAGGCACCCGAATACCCGTACCCGTATGCCTTGAATGAGTGCTACGATGCCTATCACACGATTATTGCGAGTAACGGACGATGCGTTGGCCTTTCTGGATCGAGTACCCCGGAGATCATTGTTTCTGGAGACAGTGCTGGCGGCAATCTTGCAGTGGGAATGGTGCTCATGATTCTGCAAAGTGGCAGCACCGATACGCGACGTTGGATGGGTGAAGAGGCGCTGCCTCCACCAGCGGGCCTCGTTCTCATATACCCAGCGCTCGACATGAACATCGGCAATTGGATGACGGATGAGCAGATGGCACTTATTCGGGACCGAAAAACCCGCAAGACGAACGAGGGTCTTCTCAGGAGGAAGAGTGAGGATTACAGGAAGCTCACGCCTACCACACCCCACCACTCAGATGATGAGGATGACGACGATGTTACGCCGCCGGCAGAGAAGAACGAAAACACGCATCGCACAGAGAACGGCGACTCCACGGCAACAATCACCGACAAGACCTTGACTAGATCGCCGTCCACTTCAATACGACTATCAGCAGCGCACACGGGAGTCGATGCCCACAGCCTCGAAAGTAAGCTCTCTGAGTCGGCATTTCCTCAACCTGCACCCAAGCCTACAACCATCAAAACCCGCCTGGCCATGTCCTCGATGATCTCCTACTTCAACGACCGCATCCTTACGCCAGAGATGATGCGTGCCATGATCATCCTGTACATTGGCCCACATCACCGCCCGGACTTCGGCACCGACTTCCTCCTCTCGCCACTGCTCGCGCCCGAGTCTCTGCTGGCAAAGATGCCCAAGACGTACTTCCTTACAGGGGAGCGCGACCCGCTCGTCGATGACACGGCCATCTTCGCCGGACGCATCCGGCAGGCAAAAGCGGCGGCATGGCGCGAGCGGCGCGAGCTCGGCCTGGAGGAGACGACGAAGGCTTTCGTCGACACGGATCACGTCGAGGTGGTCATGATCCCAGGCATCAGCCACGGCTTCTTGCAGTTCGTTAGCGTCTTCCCGGAGGGCTGGAAGTACATCTTCAAGTGTGCGCGGTGGATGCGCGACATCGCCGAGCACGTCGACGCTGACGCGCTGGAGGCGGAGCGCAAGGCGAGGGGCGAGGGCCGCCCGCGGCACAGGCGTCGTCGCACGCTGGAGAGTAGCGGCGACGAGGATCGCCCGTTGGAGATGACGGTTGCGAGCAGCAGGGGCAACAAGGCGAACGGGTACGGTGGCTCCGTCAGGGCGGCCCGCGGAAGCAGGTACGACAGGAGGGATTCGGAAACGGACCATGCCTCGGGCAGGGGCAGAGGTAGGGGCGGTGCAGGGAAATCGAGGAGGAAGAGTTTGGTAAGTCTGGCGAGTGAGGACGACCTGTTGGGCAGGAGGATGAGGGGCTTGACCGGCGCTTTGATGCGGGCACCGGACGAGGAGTGGGAACCGTCGAGTCCGTAAGGGGAGACTGTACGTGGTTCTGGGATAGCATAAGGTTGATAGGGATATACGTGCGTGTAACGTGTCTGCCGATGTGTAGATATATCATGATAGATTCACTGATGGATGTAAGAAACAAGATATGAAATACTTTTTTTTTTCTTTGCCATTCTTGCTGTGCGGGTGGGTGACCGTTCGACGACTACTTATCCCATATGCTGCTACCTCATACAAGAAAGAAACGGCCGTTGATCTTAAACTTCCCTGCCGGGACACCGCTTGCAAAAGAACAGGCATCAGTCCAAAGATGGACAAGTATGTCAGCAGTGGCGCTGCGGTGCCTTGAGTGCGGTTGATTTTCGGACGGGAGCGGGAGGATTCAAAAGCGAGGCCAGCCTGCTTCTCTTCTTTCGACCTCACTCTCATCTTGAATTGCCGACGCTTAGCAACAGTCATCGAGTCTTCTGACTCATCGCGCAACGGCGACGTTATAAGACTTGGCTCGGCAGCCGTGCGACGTTGCTGACCTTTAGCCTCACACCTTATCTCCAGCATCGATACATGACCTCGTACTCGCGGCTATGCAGCAGCTTACGCATAAACGACTTGCTATGGAGAGAGTAAAAATCCTGAAGGAATGAGCTGGGGAAATCTGACCAGCACAATGCCTTCTTATGCGTCCATCGGAAGCGAGCCGATCCTATCCGTCGTCATGGAGATCGAGTCCGCAGAGTCCTGCTTGCCCGCCGCTTGTCTAACCGCTGGCTAGGCCACTCTCGAACAACACCGAGTGGAGGATCCCGGCCTGGGCGTCGCCGTTCACTAGTAGAAATACCCTGGGGGCTTGGGGTTGCCGACTTCAGTGGGCCTGCTTTAACTCGTATCGAACGCCTCACTGTCTTACTATGCGGATGCCATTACTTGACCTCTTTCGCCATAGGACCACGAGGGATTTAGGAGTCTGGAAAGGGCAGCTCCTTAGGTAACACGTGCTTCAGCTACTCGCACCAAATCCGGAAAGCGCCGAACGGGCAGACGCAACGACCAATAGACGCATTACGACTTCAGAAGCAGAGGCGACGCGCTACACGAACCCACGGAGGAGGGCGGGATGCCCAGCCTGCAGGACCTTTCTTCATTCTCACTCGGCCGCCCAGCCCAATCCCGGGTCTGGGTATTTCTCCGCAGTGGTACGCGCACGACTCGGGCGGGCCTTATCGCGCAATCAGCGGTGCAGGTGGCACCTTCCCCGTACGCGGCGGCCCACAAGACGCCCAGCGAACGGTGGCAAGCTTATCCACGGCTACAAGCACTCCTCAAGCCTCTGCCAACCCTCTGCCAACCACGTCCGTCGCTGCCGTGCCCAGCCAAGCTTGATCCTTCGATGCGGCTCTGAGTGGCAAGAGTAGGAACCCAGATGGCCACGGCCGTTGTCATTCTAGCCAGCTCCATGTCGCAGTTCTCCGACACAGCGTTACATCCAGCTACTGAATCAAGGCCGTTGCAAGATAACGCCCAAGAGTGGCGTGCTCGAAACGGCGCTTTAACCGACGCCGCAGGCTAGCCATGGGCCTGCGCAACGAGCAATTCCAAGTCAGGCACTTGCCGAGGAAATGTTCCCAATGTCTCGGTTCCAGTGCTGCTGTTGTATAAGAGCCCTGGCCGGCATTGCCTGGCTCACGCTCGCCAGCGACGTGTTGTTGACGATCGCCCATCCGCCTGCCGAGCCCCCATTTCCGCCCACTTCTGACCAAGATGTGTATGTTGTATTGAAACAACTAGCCTTCAAACATTCAGCTGATCGCTCCACAGCTGGAACGGCTGAGCACATTACGACCGACGTCCTTTCGACGCGGGTCCCCGAGCAGGCCGTCAATGACAATGGCCGCAACTCCTTCGCCATAGGCGATGGGGCCAGCAAGCGCGGAACGTCCGTCGACGAAAAGCAACTGAACGTTGAGATCCGGCGCGCCTCCACCGAAAACGATGACCTCCACCCGGTCCCGACTGAGGAGGAGTTCAGGACCCTCAGGAGAGTGTCTGACAAGGTCCCCATGGTCATCTGGCTTCTCTGCCTGGTTGAATTCTCTGAACGCGCTTCCTACTACGGAGCCAAGACGGTCTTCTCCAACTTCATGCAGTACCCGCTGCCCAAGGGCGGTAAGGTTCAATGCGTATTAATCTAATGTTCATCAAATTGATGCATTTTTGTAGGAAATGGCGCCGGTGCGCCCGCTGCCGGCACCCAGGGCACTGCAGGTGCACTTGGCAAGGGCATTCAGTTTGCCAACGCCTTCGTCCTGCTTTTCGCTTTCATGTCCTACGTTGTTCCCATCTTCGGTGCATGGATTGCCGACACAAAATGGGGCCGCTTCAAGACCATCGTCATCGGTGTTCTGGTCTGCTTCGTTGCCCATGTCATCATGATCTTCTCCGGCCTTCCCAGCGTCTTGCAGGCTGGCAAAGGCTTGGTCCCTTTCATCATCAGTTTGCTTGTCCTGGCCATTGGTGCAGGTTGGTTGCTTCGAAAATCCTCTCTGAAGCTTGTTCTGACGTGTCCAAGGTCTCTTCAAGCCCAATGTCGCCCCTGTCCTTCTGGACCAATATGAGTACCAGAAACCTTTCACTCGCGTTTTGGAGTCAGGGGAGAAGGTCATCGTCGATCCTGAATCAACCGTCCAACGCCTGATGCTCATTTTCTACGGTGAGTTGCTGCGCGTTTCCTGCGATTCAAGGTCGTACACTGACAGCTATAGCCCTTATCAACGTTGGCGCCTTCTTTGCCATCGCCACAACTTATGCTGAGAAGCGCATCGGTTTCTGGCTGGCCTTCCTCCTGCCTACCATCGTCTTCATGCTTCTTCCCGTGCTCCTTGCCTACCTGTACAAAAAGCTGATCAAGGTTAAACCGAGTGGTTCGGAACTCACCCACGCATCCAAGGTCTGGGCCATCGCTGTCAAGGAAAACGGCGGCAAATTCTGGCGGAAGGGATTCTGGGATGCGGCCAAGCCTTCAGTGTTAGCCGCGAAAGGCATAACCACTTTCGCTGGCAAGCCAATCGACTGGAATGACAAATTCGTCGACGACGTCGTCCGTACCGTCGATGCGTGCATGATCTTCCTGTATTTCCCCATCTACAACCTCAACGACGGTGGTATTGGAAGCGTCCTGTCGAACCAAGGTCAGCAAGGGACCCCAAGACCCCTTAGCACGTACAGCATACTCACCCCTCCCCAACAGGCTCCACCATGACGACCAACGGCGCACCCAACGACCTCCTCGGCCACTTCAATCCCATCGTCATCATCGTCACGGTGCCGCTGCTCAGCCACGTCATCTACCCGGGGCTGCGCAAATACAACATCCGCTTCGGTCGCATCTCGCGCATCACCTTCGGCTTCATGCTGGCCGCCATCTCGGGCGCCATCGGCGCCATCGTGCAGTGGCGCGTGTACGAGACGAACCCGTGCGGCTACCACGCCACGACGTGCGCTGAGGACGGCCGCGTCAGCCCGCTCAGCATCTGGCTGCAGATCCCCAACGTCGCCCTCGGCGCCCTGTCCGAGTGCTTCTGCAATGTCACGGCCTATGAGATCGCCTACTCGCGCAGCCCTCAGGGCATGAAGTCGCTCGTCATGGCCATCTTCCTCTTCATGACGGCCCTGACGTCAGCTCTGGGCGAGATTTTGACGCCGGTTATTACGGATGTGAGTTCCCCTCTTCCAGATTCCATCCTCTGTTCAAGATGAACATTGACTGACTTGACCCCGACAGCCTTATCTCATCTGGGTCTGGGCCGGTCCCGCCATCGCCCTGTTCGTCCAGACAATCATCTTCTGGTTCAAGTATAAGCATATCGATAACGACGAGTTCATGACTTACGAGGATGAGAGCGCGGCTACGAGCGCCACCAAGGTTGCTGAGTCCGATGATGAGAAGAAGGTGTAAAAATGATAACGGATTGAGAGAAAATATTTATGAGGGAGGAAATGTCATCGTGTTAGCGATTTACTACAGTGATTGATCGTATTTTGACGAATAGGGTCGTATTGACCTGGAAGAAAATGTTTGTTGTGAAAATACCCTTGTTCCGTACAAAAAAAAAAAAAGACTGCAATCCTTGCCTTAATTTCTCAGTCTATTCCAGCTAATTCGATATCCAGCCTGAAGATTGCTCATGAATGAGAACAAGTCAAGGTACAAAATATCCTCATATTCAAGCCTCCATAAGAACTGCTTAAATATCTCTATGGTTGACTTATCTATCGGGATCGAAGGCGAGTAGACGACACTGGAGATCGAAGCCGTCACCCAGATACGGATCCACAGCATTTTAGAGAGTTTCCATTACATTAACCTCCATCTTCTTACTCAAAGCTGTTCTAGCTGTTAAGTCATGCCGACCGACGATACATGGTCAATGTCTAGTGGAGAGATGACGCCAAATCCGCGAATAAGCAATATGTCAATCTCGGATTCCTGGGAATTTATATCGCCAATGACAACCTTTCCCTGTGATGTTGTCTCTGAATCTCTGAAGATGTATTCTTCTTCAACAACAAATCCAAGCATTCTTCGAAGAGGAGGGCTGAAGTCCACAAACAGTGACGTGACATCCAGTCGCTGCAACTTAGTCTTGAAAGCCAATATAGGCGTAGATAGAGTCGGAACTTAAACACACGCTTTGCTTAGGCGTAGCTACCTACGATAGAATGAGTAGCCTTCACACAGACGGAATCCCTCTGCCTAGCGTCTCCGAGGACTCCGACTAAGCCAGATGAGGAAATAGTGTGACGAAATATGGTCCCGAAGTCTCCGACCAAGCCGAATGTGGACGCTACCCGACGAAACAAGGCCTGGATACTTCTCATCTTCATCTTTGCGCGTCCGGATCATACTGCGCCAGCGCATCCGAGACGGCAGCCATCATTGCCAGAACCTTCTCCTCCTGCAGCCTGCGGCCCATGACCTGCACTCCTACAGGCGCACCGTCGAAGAGCTCCTTTTGATCTGCATCCTGGCATCAGCAGACAATCGTCTTTGCATTGTTCAGCAAGGGGACTTACATGTGCGCCAATGCTGGCGATCTTGTTGGTTCACCGGCTTGTACCTGGTTTCCTCGGGATCCAGGGCTCTGTCTGCAAAAGTTACGGGTACACAGCCGGCAGTGTAGTCGAGGAAGCTGGCAATCGCCGTGTACGCTGTTTACAGTATCAGCGTGCTGTTACTTGAATAGGAGGCGAGCGACCTACCAAAGTGATGGAAAAAGCCTTCTTGAACTGCTGCGCTGGGAGCGATGGGAAGTATCACGCCGTCCACAACTTTCTTCGATACTGTATTGCCACGTGTGGATTGCCAGTAAGCATGGTACTGTGCGCGGTACTCGTCCCGGAGTGCGCAAAGTCTCCAGAACTCGGGACTGGACGACGGCTCGCTCTGCTGTTGTTCGTACCACTCGCGCAGTTGATGGACTGGAGGTTCTCCGCTCGATTTGAGAGCCTTTCGGACCTCCTCGCCTGCGGTAGAGCCAAATATTTGGAACAGGTTCACGGCTGCGGGACCGTGTGCTGGAGGTTGCCATTCAATGACCTGATTATGTCAGTGAGTTTTCTGCGGATTTTCGGGGTGTGTCACCTCATATCCCCTCTGCTGCAGCGCTTGAACGACCATTCGCAATGCTCGTAACACCGGAGGGTGCGGTACGACTTCTCCATCACTCATCATGACAGCAAATACCAACTTGCCATCCGTCTCGCCCGGCCGACACATCCTCATCCGCGTACTCTGGAACCTTTCCTCGTTCCACGGCATATCCATCACGTCGAAGTCGTCCTGACAGCAGTTTTCATTGATGATCCACTTGGTCACCGAGGTCAGAACATCCAGCGTGGTAGCCATTGGACCGATGACGCTCTGAGCTACAGGCAATCCGGGAAGGCTCGTTGTCATTCCGCTAGGCGGCATCCTACCACACGAGGGACGCAGTCCGTAGAGGTTGTTGAAGGCGCACGGTATCCGAACCGAACCCGCGATGTCAGAGCCCCATCCGAGCGGGCTGCCTCTGAGGGCAAGCAATGCACCCTCGCCCCCGGAAGCACCTCCAGCCGATAGCATTCTGTTGTAAGGATTGCAGGTTGAGCCCGTGATGTTGTTGCTCGTCTCGCCCATCAGCATGCTCATCGGAACGCTCGTCTTGACGAAGAATACGGCCCCGGCAGCGCGCAGCTTGCGGACGAGAGTGCCTTCATCTTCCGCCGTCTTTTTGCATCCGATCCAGCTGATGTAGCCGCAAGCGCTGTCAAGTCCTGCGATGTCAATGCGGTCCTTGAAGCTGACGGGTAGTCCATGAAGAGGCCCAATCGTTTGTCCGGTGCGTTGGTAGTGGTCGTCGATCTCTCCCGCCCTCTTCAAGGCAGCTTCAAAAAATATTTCGGAGAGACAGCTTGTCTGGAATACGGAGCATTAGCAGGGCAATGGGCATGGGACTAGGTAACGAACCAATTGATGCGCGAGTGATGCGCGATGACAAAAAGCCCGGGTGACCTCGGTAGCCGACCAGTCACCGGCCCGAATCCTTTGGAGAAGGATGTCTGCAGACGAGTCTGTAATAACCAGCTCGGCCGGGTCAAGGTGCTGACGGATGAAGCCGGTAACGTCGGGTAGTCGATTGCAGGGCGGGATCTGCGATGATGTCAAGCGCCATTGGGCGGGGATGGCTTGCAGCAACGATTCGCGTTTTGCTTTTGCCGTCTCTTGCCAAGCCATTGCAGCCGGTGGTTGAATCAAGAAAAGAGGCGTCAGAGGGAGCGGCCCGTCCTTGGAACGCAAAAAACATGTTGTGGTGCCCCGCATGAGCTTCAGGAATGGCGCTCCCGAGTCTTCCGATGCTGGCCCGGAGGAGTCGACTAGCAGCTGACAGCGAACGTGGCTAGAATAAAAAGCTTCTTCGCCACTCGCATATCAGTCGAGGATAGCTATCACAAGTGGCAATGCGTGCCAACATTCTGTCTCATGTTCCGTCCTATACGGGCGCCCGTTGCCGAAAGCCATCGATAAGGATCACAATATCACCAGAAGAGCACTACGCTTCGGTCCCGTCCAAACAAGCTCGAATAGTACGAACAGATGGAGATTTCATCAAGGGCTGGGTTGATGTGTCAGTGCCAACAGGCCTAACGGTCAAACTAAAATTGTCATTTTGCGGCGTCATGAGATTGTGGATTGGTTCACCGCATTACGGGCTGGAGCCTGGCGAGAAGCCTTTTGACACATTGGAGGATTGTGTAAGTAAGGAGGTGACCATTTTTTAGTCGAGGCGCTGACATTTCCAGTTCTTGAAAGAGACCATTACTAGAGATTCGGATCAAGGAGCGACCAACGTCTGCGGACAGCCCGGTTGGGCAATTCATCGATACCCATTCTGCTTTACGATACCACATACTTTGATTTCGCCGCACGATGACGCCCATCCAAGTTACATGTCTCTTCCACCGTCAGCGAGGCTCGGAAGACCATTCAGCGGCCGGACTCCCAACAAGACGTTCATGCAACCTCTTATAAAGTACACGATGCAAGCCTGTCTTATCACAATGTCCACCAATCCAACTAGAATCAACGAATTCTACGCCGAAAGAGAAATCGAGATGCGACCCTCCAGGGAAGCATTGCCACCTCTAGATCTCAGCGACTATCCAGGAGACTTTCGGCCGGTTGCAAGTGCATGTTTGAAGACGAAAAAGGGAGGAGGAGGAGAACTGCATCTCTCTACCATGGAACCGGTTGCATTGTCTGTCAGCACTAAAGCGCCAAAAGCCACTACGGCAGCGATCATCAGGCTATGCTTCTCACCTGGAATAGTGGAAAAGGAATTGGGTTTACCGTACGAGTGGGCCTGCGAAATCGATACCACCATCCGGAAAATTACTTTCTGTTCGACGCGGAAAACAAAACGAATGCAGACAATCGAAGAGGCTTCCAAGCTTCTCTACGGAGACGTTCGCGTCGAGGACCTGGAAACCGAGACTCGCATCCTGAACTCCCTGGTATGGCGGCAGGATCATCTGGCATCGAATGGCACCATTCGTTCTGATAACGCCAATCTGCCCTGGACAACGACATTTTCCGTGCCTGTGAGTGGATCGAAGCGCTTACTGCCGACTTTCGCTACTGAGCTGGCTTCGAGGAGGTACTCGCTTGTGTTACACGTCCGGATGAAAGGGCTTCGTCATAAGCCTTTGGAGGTTGAGGTGCCTCTCCAAGTTGTTAGGGAGCCAAGAGTAGCTGGGGAAAACTTGGCAAGTAGTGTGCATGTCATTGAGGGTGAAGCAGAGCTACCGGACTACGAACGGTATGCGTGATTGTAGATACTCCATTCAACTACTTTCTATCACTCGTCCGGAACAAAACTCTAGAAGTTGGGTGTACCTACTTTTTCAGACCTTACATTCGGGTACTGAGAAACCAACGGTCCACCGAAGACTGCCCATGATGATTACGAGACTCCCAAGCCCTACTGCAAGGCTGACCGCTCCATACGCATACGCGTGACGCCTTCGTAGCGACTTCAACTCCAGAATCCACGTGCTGACGGTCGTCAAGCATCCACAGAATCCATCCTCCACACCCTGCAAAACCTGACATCCCACGACGCCGCCGCCCACTGCAGCCCGTTGCAAATCGAACGACATGCCCAGAACCATAGTCCCGAAAACATTAGCAGCGAACGTGCCCAGCGGGAACCGCGGCAGCCGACCGTTCAGCCACAGCGACAGGTAGAAGCGCAACAGACACCCGACGGGCGCGAAGACCAGAGCGAACACAGCCTGGCCGCGCCATCTGTCATGAGGTGGCCAGATGGCCATGATGACTGCGCCGAGCCACATCGGCCATGCTAGGATGGCGGTGGCCGGATCCAGGATGGCACGGAGGTTGGCGTTCTCCAGACGGGGGATGCGCTCGAATACTGGCTCGACGAGGATGGCTACGTGTGCGCCCAAGTCGAGAGCGGCGAGGCTGGCGGCTATTTCGAGAATCAGGACGGCGAGGACGGACTCGACGCTGTAGCCGTCATTCCGGGGGCGAGCTGCGGACGTTGTCACCTTGCTCGAGGTTACCGCGGTATTGAGGTCGTCGGAGAGGGCGAGGAAGGCGTCACGCATGAAGGACGAGAAGGTCGTGAAGCAGCCGCAGAAGCCAACTGACAGACCCACGTACAAGGGTATGCCCTTCTTGATGGCCAAGTGCTCCTTCTTGAGCGCAGCGGCTTGTTCGAAGGTTGGATGCTTTTCAGTCCTCTGCGTAGCTGCAACCAGGTCGCGCCGGAACAGAGAGCGGTCCTCGCTCAGGAAGCCCATGACAAAAGTCCCACAAACGTTCGCCCAGATCTCTCCGAGAGCTATAGGTGCGCCGGGATAGATTGTGATGGCCTGTAGGCCAAGGCGTGCCAAAGTTCCAAGTATTGAGAAAAAGACCAGGTATGAGAGGGTGTAGGTGTTGGACCAAGTCCAATAAACGGCGCCGGCACTCGTTTTCTCTGGCGGAACGTTGGGTTCAGTTTGTGACGCATTTCTAGCATCCTCTAGATCGGGGCCCTCGTTGGTGTTTATGGGCAGTGGAGCAGCCAGCTCATCGAGTCGAGAAACGCCATGGTGCGAATTGCTACGGTTTCCTTCGAGTGAGGGACCGTCTTCGTTACTGTTCACTGGTTCTGGCGCTTCGAGTTCGTCCAAGCCCTCTAGGCCATCTGCTCCCCGTAGTGTTGAGGAGCTGTTGGCCGACGTCGGTTCGCTGTCATCCTCTTGGTGGGAAAGTGTTCGGGGCCGTACTTCGTTGGCGTAATCCATGGGAGATCGGAAAGGTGATGCTTAAGAAAGAGAATTAGGAGCAAGGTATCTAAGCAATGAAGTAGTGTTGCTGCACGGACCGCTTCATTACATAGATGGGTCCTCGTTCCCGACGCACCCGACTAGGCCAATTGTGGAAAGCCGTTAGGAAGGAAGATCACGTAAAACGACTACCCAACACAGACGAATCTTACGAGAACTCCCAAACACCCCTTACCTGCTCATCTCTTCATTTGAGAAGGAAATACTAGAAAGGCGTTTTAAATAGTGTATAGCCTACAAATCGCTCGGAGTAAGTAACTTTAACTTAATCCCGAGAACCGTCTTCTCGTACCTTGTCTTTTCCCTAATTGGTCATCAGTGAGAATGTAGGCTTGTGGAATCACTTGCACTACGTTGTAATATCTGTGACTAGTTTAAGCATGCCATATTCATACATGTTTTGCTCTAGGCGTCATGGCGTGTCAAAATTGAAAATGGCAGACGGGCTCCAGGCTTGCGCAGACGTCCCGTCACAATTTACATCTCCTTGCTGTGCCATGTCCGACTCTGCCTGTTCTAGAAGTGACTTCAACAATGTGTCTGGGTCATCGAATGCCACCAACAAGTCTGAGAGCTCTTGGTCTTGTTGAAATAGTGGTTTCGAGTCTTCGGCTTGGGAAGGCGTAAACACCGGATTACTGTCTTGATTGACAATCGAAGAGCTCATTACTGGGAGATGCTCCGGGGGATCTGCCTCGATGCCAGCGTCTATGTCGTCGCGCTCGGTCCTTCTGCGCTTGAGCCCTCGAATGTCGTCCTGGTTATCGTCTCCTGCATCTCTAAAGGCCAGCATGCGCGCTGCGCTCTCCTTAACACCGGAGTTCTTCAATATGTTCACGATGTCCTCCCGTTGTGCATCGTCCAGGTCATGCGGGGGCCGGGCCAGCAGGCGCAGGGCGCTCACGAGGCGAGCTTGTTGCGACTCGAGGTGCTGGATGTACTCGCGCGTCGCGACGCTGGGGTCCGTCGTCGGCTTCTTGGTCGCGGCGCACAGAATGCCCTCCTGCATGCACCGCAGGCACGGCAGTGATCCGTCGCACTGTGGCGCAAGTTAGCACGGGTGCGGCGGGGTGCGGAGAGCGGCAGGTTCGACGAGCCTTGATCTTCTTCATCCTGCACCGGTCGCACGCCACTTTGACGCGCGACCGATGTTCTCCAGGCCGTGGCGAGGGGGCCTCTTGCCCGTCGCCTTGCTTGGGCATGATCATAAACATGATGGCGCGGCTGAATTGAAGCTTGGGCGCACAGAATGTCGCGGGGCCGGTGGATTGTGGTTCACGTCAGGCGCGTCATTCGAGTGCTGCGGGGGACCCCCCACCAGAGCTAATACCAGTAATACACGATAGTCTTCCCAAAGAAGACAAACCCGTTACGCTCTACCACCAACCTCAACATCAAGGCTGCCGTCGTGCTAAATCCGGAGACGTCCTCTACATCTATGCAAGGGATTCGGTCTACTGTGCCCGTCGTCAGAAAATAAGAGGTGAACTATTCACAACTGAATTTTTATTCTTGCTTCAAAGACACTATCGTATCCAGAGATGAAGGACGAGTCACGTCCTATCTTCGTGCTAACTGTCCTCTTGACAAAACTATCGCACTGGTGAAGAAGAGGGTGATGAGCGCTCCAATACGAACTCTGAATAGCACGCCGTTCAAGTAGGAAACAAAGTTTGTGAGAGTCCATCAATACACTATTTCAGCAAGCTAGCAAAGTTTCTGTGCCAAATGACTCACATGCATACTTTCTCTTATCATTTTCTTCTAGGCTAGAAAGTGGCTATGAGAACGTTGTGTTGCTCACTCGAGATGACTCTTCTGAGATCTGCTACACGTGCGTGGCACACCGCCATGGGATCCGCCTTTCGATGCCCGTCGGCCAGCGCACCGATGCAACTTTCCTCGACACTTCCTACAATCTCCCATACCCACAAAACATACGACGACCGTAATCTAGTCCCACTTATCAATGAGCCCAACGAAAGCCTGCTCAATCCGTGTCGAGCACATTCTCCGGTGAGTTAACGGCGAAGAAAAATGGCGTGCGCCGACCGTCATTTTGTTCATCTTGCTTGATTTTCGCCTCCCTCCGAAAACGGCTGCCCGAGCCGAGCCGAGAGGTGCAGGAAAATCAGTTGATCTCTGGGTCGAGACTGACACGAGATGGGCCGATGTCGCGCACGTAACGCAGACGAAAACCATGGAACGAGAAAAAAAATCGAGAGAAAAAAAAATGTGATCAGCATAGCCTTCCCGTCGGCGACCTGTCACCGGCGCCGAACAGGTGTCGCCCGTGATCAGGGCACTTTTTCTGTTTGATGACGACTATGCAGCCGTGTCACCCTTCTCGATTGTTCTTCTCCTGCTTTTCCCGATCCATGTTTCATTCTCCGGTTCCATGCTGATTGAGCATCACGAGAGAGGAAAAGAAGGAAAAAGTGATGGTCCCTTGGCGCCATCTCTCGGCATGTACGGTCTGAATCGCTCGCGCTGATCAAACAGCCTAGAGCCTCATGAGGCTCTCGCTCCCAAGGCGACAAAAATAGATGTGTGAGAGAGAGACAGAGGAGAGTGGAGGAGAAAGAGAGAAACAAAAGATCACGCAACACGACTTCTTTCGCATGCCATGCCAACAACGCAGCGCCAAGGACGAGATCCGATCCTCGTGCCAAGCTGCCCGTCTACTCGATCCTGAGAGTGAAACGGAATCGAGGATCGCGAAAGACACAACCCACCTGCCAAGCATGTTGTTGCAACAAGTATACCCAAGATGCCCTTCAGATTGCGCTGGCATACCCGCAATTTGCACGGCATGAAACTCCTCTGATTGCCCTTCCCAAAGGAGCGTCGGAGCACTCACCGGAGCCTGTGTGTACCCACCTTTTGTGCCTCCCTCTGCATGAGAGAAATAAACCAGCTCCATGCGATGAACCCAACCCAACAGAATGCCCAACGGCAACTCCGAACCCGCCCTGCGCTGTTGGCGCCCGACTCGGTGGTTGCTGCATCAACACCTTGTTGCGATAAGGTGTGGTGCAATTTTCGACTCCTAATGGAGAATGGGAGGAGAGTAGGCAGCAGCAAAACCGCTACCGGAGCAGTCGGGTGCTCCCGGAGAAAGAAAAAAAAAGTTGGAGACTGCAAGACATGACGGAGAGAGTTCCACTTGAGATTCAAGCAGCGATTGCAATAAACAGAAAATTTGGAGATGCAACTGTCGCCAAGAGTCACCAAGACGATGCCTTGGTGCCAGCGAAAACAAGAGACGCGCCCAGAGAGACGAAAAGAAAGGGAAAAGAGAGGAAAGAAGTCGAGCGCATGCTCGACGAAGACCTCATTGCCGGGGAGCAAGCGTAGTACCCACCTTCGGGCCTGGATATGGTATCAAGGTCCCGGTGGGTGCTCCGTCGCCCAAACCTGAACGACTCGCAGGCGCATACACACCTCACACACAAACACCCACACATCTCAGCAAAACAAAAAGATCCCGTAAACCCCCGGTCGTCGATATCCACCTTCCAAGACGGACGTGAAGCCGCAAGCGTCCAACACTCTCGACGCGAAGGTGCGACAAGCACCATCTTGGCAAGATCCCAAGGCAATGCGTTTCGCAGGTCCAGCCGTCATCGCGATGCCCCCTGGAACGACGCCTCAACCGCCCGCCATCCCGCGCGGTTAGAAGCCCCCCCGGAAGGCTTTTTTTTTCGTTGCCGCCGCATCTAAACCGCGATCGTTTGAGGGTGGAGCGGGAAGGAATAGTCGGCTGGGCGAAGGCTGGGCAATGTATCTTGTTCACACAATCGCAGCGGGCCCCCTGGCGGCGGCAATCTGCATCGGTATCAGCTGCCTGAATGGACGTATCTCATCCACCCTCGTCTATCCGCTTTCATCAACATGGGAATCAAAAGAAGAAAAAAGCCTCAATGCGCGGAATGTCGGGCCTGCCGATGGCATGGCTGCCTTGCAGCGGACGCCGTTACGCGCGCAGGTCCAGGCATCGTGAGCAAGAACCTCCCGGGGCCCATCTCCATCCATGCATGCGACATCTGATTTGACCGGTTGGGCCTCGCCCTGTGCCCGACCTCATCACTTCGAGTGGGTCCTTCACATGCGTTCGTTGACGACGACGTCGACGACCACAGACGAAAAAGAATAGGAACCAGGACGCGCGTAGGAGGAAAAAAAAAAGATGGAGGAGAGCGCAAGCAGTCGTCAAGGCCAGCAGCATACAGCCAGTAAAGACGACGAGATCCTTGACAACTCAGCCACTTCCGCCCGTCCCGTCAGCGAAGAAGCACAGCCTACCTCACCTTCTGCGCAGATCTCTGCGCTAATTTGCTCTCCGTGGCTCCGTTGGTGAATTGGTCAGCTAGGAGTCCGCGTCTCAGTGCTCTCAAACGACCGAAAAAGTATTTTCTCTGGGTCTCTGCCAAGGTGTGCGGCAGTGCCGACGAAAATCGCCAAGCAGCAGAGGCGTCTTGGAAGGCCGTGTTATAAGTATGATGCGCTACAGGCTGGGCGGGCGGGCAATGAAGGAATCCCAAAGGCCCGGGCGGGCAAGCATGTCTGTGGGTTAGTGACGCGGCCTGAAAGGGAAGGAAAATAAAAAAAATAGGTGGTGGAGGAGAAGAAAGAAAAAAGCGCAACGGCATGTGAGGCAATCGCGCAGAAGAAGTGGGTCCGGCAGTGAGGTGTCCGTCGACGTATGTACGGGCAGGCGTCGCAGAGTGAGGGATCGACGATGGAAGAGAGCAGGTGGTTGGGTTCTTCGTCCATGGTGGGCTATAGTAGCGGCGGCGGGGCGCTTCGACCGTCGGCCTTGGCGGGCATGGTGGAAAAAGGGGCCCGGCGGCGGCGGGAAGAGGAGGCAAAGCAGGGACCCGAGCCAGCGGCGCCGGCGACGGGCGGGATCGATGCGTGGGATATTGCGATCAATCATTGGCGCAGGAAGTTGCGCAATAGCTTCAGAAAAAGGCAAGGAAGCTGCGATTGTCGATGGCCCCCTCGCAGACGCCAAGCCGACCATGGTGATGACGCGCCCCGGGCGTCTTTGCTCGCATGAAAAGGCTAATCTGGCAGGCAGGTGGCTGCGCGGGACGGCGGTTTGTTGCCAACACGGTCCAGCCAACCCCAGACATTGGAGATAAGGACTGTTTGCGCGCTGGCCGCGGGGCGGACTCCTGAGCGGTGCACTGCCCGGTGGGTCTCCACCGTAGGCTCTTGGCGGAGGCGGCCGGGGTGGGTGAGTGGGTGTGGGCGGAGGAGAGGGCGAGAGGGTTGCGCTGCTGAGGGGCTTGGCATGGTGTTGTGGGTTTCAAGGGTTGTTGTCTGCGCTCGCGGTTGCGACGCGCGGTGGTGTCGCTGCCGATTGGTGCGACTGCTGCCGACCAAGCGAGGCCCAACGATGGCCGCCCGCTGAAACATACGATAAGATCTCGCGCCTTACTGACTCGGGCAGTCCCTGAACGTTTGCGTTCCAGAACTCCTGCATTACTGCTTCGGGACCTGTAAGGCCGGCCGTGTTGCGAAGCGCGCGCCTTTGCACCCAACGACCGTTAGCATCGTGACGACAACGCGCACTGTGGCGATGCTGGACCAGCCACTGCGTTCGCCATGGCCCCGGCGTGGCAACGCACGATGATGCAAAGGCAATTCGGACCTGTGCCCGTCCGACCACAAGAGAGCGCAGACACGAGCAACCGACGTGCGCCCAGAACGGCCTACAGGGCCCCTCCCTGATTGAGCGACAGGAGAAGGGTCTGGAAAATGGTGAGTGTACGCGTCCCTGTGGCGATCGTCGTAGCCGCGAAACGTACCAAGAAGCAGATGGGCCCTTGGCGAGCTCTTCGCCAAACGCATCCCGCGCCGAGAGATAGCGCCTACCTTCTTGGCTGCAGGGGCAGATCGCAATACATTCAGGGTAGCCGGTCAGCACTCCTTTTGCTGCTTCTAGCCTAGCTGCCGCCTCCCGTATTGCAGATGCGGTCGCAAATTTGTGGCGCTGCCGCTTCTGGATGCCATCTAACGTGATCAAGCAAGCTTTGAGAAGGATGGAAGTGAAGATCTCTGATAACCCTTTTTGCTGTGTCCTAATGCTAAGTCTGTCTATCATGTTCCCGTGTCCCCTTTTTTTCGCCTGAACGCCTGCGCCTGCGCTGTGCCTTCTATGTCTCGGTAGGTGAGAGATAAAAAAAAAATATGACTGGTTCCGTCTAAGACATTTATGGAGAAGCGAACGTGAAATAGGCCTCGTGAGAAAGTAGTGGAAGGGCCAAAACTGAATGTGCATCAAGGAAAAAGGCCGAAGGCCAAAGAGGAAAAGCAGAAAGACGAACACCAACCGCGCTCCACACCCCACCTCCGCCCCTTTAGCTAGTCACCTCCCCTTCCCCGCTTCGACTCCTTTAGTGGTGCGCTCCGTGCACCTGAGGCTGGTGCGCATCCTCATCCTTCCCGGGGAAGAGCACCAACTTCAAGTGGATGGCCCGGATTTGTGCCGCGCCCACGAACAGCCACATGACGGCCAACATGATGATCATGACGGTTCCAAGCCAGAGGATGGCATCGCTCTCTAGCTCAGTGCCGATCTTGATCGTGGCAACCGTGAAGCCGACGTTGGGGAAAACGAACGCCCACCACGGCACCGCGAACGACATGGTCGGGATGGCCGTCAGGCACGCCACGACGGCGATGCAGAAGAACCAGAGCGCCAACGCCCACAGGAAGATGGCAATCCATGTGGCAACGATGGTGAGGATCTCCTTGGCCATCGGGTGCGTCTCGAAGTATGCGTAGTTGTCCGGAAGCGCGTTGGCGTTGCCGATGAGCGCAAGAGCAGTGAAAGACGGCGGGCCGACCAGCATGAACATGGCAGGGCGAACGTTGGGGAGAAGCGGTCCGGTGCGGAAGAGCCTGTAGATCCAGATGGTCGAGCAGCACGAGGCAACGAACCAACCCAGTCCCTGGAACGCGATGCCAGCCACAATGATCGGCATGGCGTCCTGAGGCGGCTGGTGGGCGCCAATAGTCTGCGAAAGCGTACCGGAAAGCATGATGGGGAAGATGGGGAGCATCCAGCCGGGGCCCATCTTGTCGGCGTGAAGTTTGTTGTTGATCTCGGGCGTCGTCCAGATGAACCAGTAGAAAGCGACGGCAAGCGTGAGGGTGAATGCCACGTATGCCCAGAAGACGTCTCTCATAACCGACTCGAGGAACTCCTCCACACCGGGAACGAGGTAGATTTGGACGTTGTTGATCATGGTGGAAAGCGTGAGGAAGAAGCAGGGCATGAAGAAGCCCTCGTGGCCGTCGAGAAGGGAGTTGCGGAATGCCTGCGGGCACATGGCGAAACGTGCCGCGATAGCCATGGACAGGATGAAGAAGAGAACGATGTTGAAGACGAAAATGATCTTTCCAATCACCTCGATGCCTTCGAACTTGAAAGGTGCCGCTCCGAGAACGAGTGCCACACCTCCGGTACTCATGGTCGTGGTGAACCACGCCCATGTGACGTGCGAGAGACGCTCTCTCAGCGACACCTTGCCGTTCGACATGATGCTCTCCTCGTCCGAGCCCATCTTCAGCTTCTCGTCGTCGATGCTGAGCTTGTGCTGGGAGAGGTGGAGTGCGACTTGGCTCGAGTTTGATGAAGTGAGTTCGTGGCGGGATCTATCGGGCCAGTCCTGGCCGGGTACCGGGGGTGTGTTTGCGCCGTTGGTGGATGCTCCATAGTAAGCTGGCGTGGTAGTGCCGTCGGTATCCGTCTTGTATGCGCCGTTGGGGTCCAAGTGCTGGTCGAAGTGGATACCGGCACCGGTATCGGGAATGGACGGGTGCGAGCCGTAAGAGGGCTCTGCGAATCTAGGCGACGACATGCTGATATGATATGGTGGAATGGGTGGGTCCCATAAGCGTGATACTGACGAGAGAACGAGTGGAAGCGAGACGGAGTCTGAGGATGGAAGTGTTGTGGGGGATAGGCGAATATATTGCTATGCCAATTGATGTCAGGGCGCCAGGCTAACGCAATGCAATTCGACTAGCAGTGCGAAGGAAGTCGGCAGTAATTTGGATAGCGAGCGGGAGAGGTTGCGCTAGAGGGCAATCGCTGGCCTATTTGAAGAGGCAGTGCTCAGTCCGCCACACCATCGCTGTCCGCCCGACCACCGCCAAGAGTTCCGTGATCTTACAAGAGCCGCAGCCACCTTGGCGCCGCGCGCGCCAGCCTGCGGTGGAGCTTATTGCGACGACGCCGACGCACAACCCTGTTACAGCAGGGGGCGAGAGCCTGGATCGCCGGTGTCGGCCCGTACCCGTGAAGAGTCACCCGACGATCACCCCCCTGCCTCGAGACTACGACCGTTGCAGCAACCTCAATCTTGGCTGCGCCCGTTCCATTTTCGTTGCCTGCCAGCATCCATAAGCTGTGTATGTACGGGGCGGCACTGTAACAACGAGACCCACTGCCAAGTGTACACCTGTCTGAGATGCGATGGGCGCCCAACCCTGCTGACAATCGACACACCTCGTTCCACACTGCCCAATCGTGATTCTCGTTCTTAAAATTACCCACTCCTTTATCGCCTTGGTCCCGAGTTGATCCGCTGCTCACTGATAAGCCGCAGCTCGTCCCCCTTGCTGTCACTGCGCTCCCTAGTCTGTCGCTCCAGCGTCGTCGAAACCAATTTCAATGCCTCGTCCATCACATCCTCGCCAACGCGCCAAGTCCGCAGCACGACTCCTCTCTCCCCGAGCGTCTGCTCTGCCCTCGCCAATCGTTTCCGCCAGAGGTCTTCACGCTTGTTGCCCGTGCTCGCAGCCCCGCCGTTGGGCGCAGACGTTGGTGTCGCACCTGACGCATTCGACGCAAACGACGGTTTGGTGTTGAGCGACGTAGACGATCCCGAAGCAGCATTTGCCGTGTACGGCCGCCGGTTTTCGAAATCGCCATTCCCAATGCTGGGCGAGTTCGCCGAGAGCGTCGGCGTGCGGCTTGTTGGACTGTCTCTCGCGCCGTCTGTTAAGGATGTGCCGGTCCGACGGGGAGGCGGCGGGGGTGGAATTTTTTTGCTCTCAGCCGCCGCTGATGACGTCCCCCCGGCGCTTGGCTCGCTTGGCGCAGACGTGCCGTTCCATAGTGTAGAGGCTGCAGGCAAGCTGTTGTAGGCCTGCGCTAGTTTGTTGCGTGCGGCCCCCGCGTAGGTAGATTGGCTGGACAGGCTCGTTTCAGTGCGCCTTGGCGGAGGTGGTGGAGGTGCACTGGCCTTCGCGTCGGGGGGCGCCTCCGGAGCATGAGCTGGCCGACCCAGCGGGCTGCGCCCTCTTGCTTGACTCGTCTTAACTTCAGTCGATGGCCTCCTAATCGGCGGAGGAACTGGCTTGGCAGGAGACGCTTGGCGGAACGCGGCAGATATGTTTTCTTGCGACGGGCTACGAAGTCTCATTGGTTTACTTGGCTTCGCAGGAGGCGCCCTACGCTCCCCAAACGATGGCGACGTGCGTCCCCTGATGGCGTTGCTTCTTTGCAATGGAGCTTCCGCAATTGGCTCGAGCAATCTCTCCGACGTTGGATCAGAAATATTGCGGGAAAGTGGAGGCGGAGCAGAGCTAGTCGAAGTGACGGATGCGGCGTCATCGTCATCAGATAGATCGATCAATTTCCCCATGGGAGGGTTCATCCTATGGGCCTCTGGCGCAGCCGGCTCGGTGGGTCTGCGTGGAGGAAGCGCTGGCCGCTTCTCCGCAAGCTCAAACTCACTATTGGTCGGGCTGTGTCCCGGGGTCCATACCGGATATCGACCTCCGGAGTCCTCGAACTCTCGTAGTGAAGCGGCGATCGCAGCGCGTAGTTCGGGATCGTCGTCCTCTGACGCTCTCGATGATCGGGCAGAGCGCCTGCCGCTTAGCACCTTGGAGTTGCGCTTTGACGACTTCCCGGACCCAGAAGGGCCCGTTGAGGGGTCGAAGAAGCCTTTCTGCACCGGAGTGGTCACATCTCTGATGAAGACGGCCACTACGCGCCCGGGGTTCTCCAGGACGAAGTCCGTGTAGACCTCCAGATCTGCCTCACCACTGTCCCCAACCAAAATGAAACTCCGCTGCGGGAAGTCTCGTGCCAGCCGGTCCAGTGTGGCTTTCTTCCGCTCCGCTACCGGCTCGAAGATCCCCTGCAGCATGCCGCTATATTGCTTAAGATGGAAGGAGCCAGGCGGGAGGCCGGCCAATTTGAAATACTGAGAGATAACGGGGTAAAGTTGCCACGGCGAGTTCGACACGTAGTGGAACCTGACCCCCTGGTCATAGAGGGCATGGTACCACTCCCGTACTCCTTCGATCGTCAAGTCCCCCAGTTCGCGGATGAATGCATTCCGGAATATCTCGCGGGCTCCGGAGCTAATGGCCGAGTGTTTGATGGTGTCATCAATGTCACTGATCAGGCTGACACCCTTCGGCTCCGTGATGTGGACCTCAGCGGTGGTCGAGAGGGTTTCCGAGACGATGACTCTGATGTGGGTCGGAACGAAGTCCAGGGCAGCTCGAACGGTGAAGTGGCCGGCGGCATCGGTGTAGATGGTGCGCTGCCGCGATATCTCCTCGTTGTAGAAGAAAATGGAGATGGGAGTGTTTGCCAGAGGGTTTGACAAGAACGGTAACAAGCGGCTCATCAGGTGCTTGTTCGCTACCTCGAGCTCAGAAGGGTTCATGTGGGCAGGTTGGATCCACGATTCTCTCTTCTGCATCCCAGTCTTCTGAAGAGCGTCATTCTCAGAAAGCTCGCCCAGTCTGCCAGGACGTCCTCTTGCTGGCGATACGTCCCGTGATCGTGTTGTGTACAAGCTGTCAGAGTCAGACCCCTTCGATGGAGTTTCGCTGTAGCCTCCCTTCTCTGCGTTTGCAATCTCCATTTCTCCCCGCCTCATAATCGAAATGGCCTCCTTCTCGACCAACTCCTCCTCTTGTCTTGCACTCTTTTCACGGGCCTTCTCTGCGATGGATCTGTGCGGGCTCGGTTCACGGCTGGGTGGTCTGCTGCTTTTCGATGACGGTGCGGGAAGGCCAACCAATTGTCGGGCGAGGCCAACGAACAGCCTGTGTTTCCGGGTCATCTGGCCTCGATGGGGGTAGTAAATCCAGCCACGTACATCCACGTCGACAACGGCGTTGTCATCCTCGTACTTTTCGAATTCCTTCCTCCAAAACTCGGCATCTCCAGCTCCGGCAGAGTCTCTCGCATCTCGTCCATAACCCGGGGACTCCTGAATGGTGCCGGGAACGGCTTGAGGCTGCGGCAATCAATACCAACGCCCACTCCCCAAGGCAGAAATTGATGACTAACCTTCCGCTTTACATGCTTTCTGGCATAGCTCGGGAACAAGACCATTTCCTCATCGCCACTCCTGATTATGGCGGCATCCGGGAAGGCTCCAGGGGTGTCGTCGCCTTGGTCCCAGTCGAGTCTGTCTCCTCCACCGCTGCCCCATCCTCGGGTATAACTTTGCTGGTAGGCCTGTCGCAATTCATTGGCAGCTTTCAGATAGCCGGCGAGCTTCTTCCGGCGTGCACCGGGCTCACGCTCCGTGCGTAAGCCTGAGAGAGTACCATCGTCAGTGTCAGATTCGACATAAGGGGCACCGGAATAGTATCGACCGGCGCCGAGGGAGCTCATCTTGCCGGACCCGTCTCCGTCGCTGTGGACATTTTCCTTGGGGGAGTCGTTCAGCGTGGTGCGCGTTCCGCGCAGGAGCGCGAGGATGCGACTGCCGCGGAAATTTCCGAGCGCGTTCTGGGCCTTGCGGAGTCGTTTCTGCTGGCGGCGGAGGATGTACTGCCAGATGCGGGACTGGGCTCGGTGGCGAAGCGAAGGCAGGTACTCGTGGCGGAAGGTTTCGAGGCGCTGGCGGGCGTGCAGGCGTGTGTGCGGGAAGAGGAAGCGGAGAGGGGAGAGGTAAGGACGGTGGGCGGTGGGTTTCCGGCGGAAGGGCTTCGGGGCCAGCTTGGAGACCAGGCGCGGGGGCCAGCGGGGAGTTAAAGGGGCGCGACCTGGAGGCGTGGACGAATGCGATGGAGGGTGGGTAGCATAGTTTGGCGGCGGTGGTGTTCGTTGCGGGCCTTGTGGGAGCGAGCCGGAGCAGGAGCTGCAAGACTCCACGTCATGGGCCGCACGCCGCCGCCTGCCACAGGGTCTCGACCTCACCGCTCAGATCAATCAAGAACATTCGCCAAAATCTCGCCTCTGCCGCAGCCGCTGAGCAATCCGTGGTACCCTTACGAAAAAATCTCAGAGCCCGATCAAAAACAGCGCTCGCGATCGATTCTCCCTGTGCCGCCCCGTGCTGCAAGGAGAACGTTGGATTCCTCCCAACGGCCGCCACCTTCTTCACAGAGACATGCCGCTCACGGGCGCGACATGTTTTTGCTTGCGCAATTCTCCGTCAATGCTCTGCGCATCTGGGCCACCGCTCCGGCCCGACTAGAATGCCAAAGACGACAGCTCAGCAACCCGACTGAAACAAGATTTGAGCCGTCCTTCAAGAGCCTGTCTCTGCTGGCTAGCTACTGTCGACTATGACGGCATAGCCGATTCTCCAGGATCGACATCAAAAAGTGGATTTTTCCCCATCTCCACCGTTCAAGCTTCATGCCTGTTCGCGAAACCCCCACCCCTTCACCGCCTGGTCGCCGGCTTTCAACCTGCAAGTCACCACGCTGCGCCTGCGCCTGTTGTTCATCCGCTCGGCCTACTTGAGGGGTTGACGGCTGCAGAAATCAGCCTTGCATCATACCCTGACCGGTCCGCCACCCATGTCTCGGCCCGAGCTGCAGGCTGACTCGATGTTTGAGCTGCGTGCGCCGAAGCACCAACTGCCTGTCAATAACGGTAACATGTCTCTGCATCACGCCTCATTTTCTGCTTTGATTCCACCCTACTGAGGTTGTACGTACCCTTCCAGTGGATTTGGGGTCTTTGAACCCCGAAGCCAGGACCGAAGCCGAGACCGTAACCAGTCCCATGTGATAATCCAAGCATGCGCTGCATTGTAAGATTTACATAACGTAAGAACATCATGATCCCTTGGCATGCTACAATTTTACCCTGCTAGCTTACAAGCTGGAGAACGAGATCTGTCTCTTTCCTTTTTTTTTAGAAAAGAAAAAATAAACGAAAATCATATGTGCCCCTGTACAAAGCAAGTGCAAACCTTTCTTAACTTTGTCTCTCTTGAATATTGCTCCTGGCAGCGAAGCCTACAAAATTTTTTGAGTCTCCCCGGCTAGATTGGTACATTCTACTTAACGTCTCTAATAGGGCTTTCCTAAAGCCAAACAGATTCCACCACATATTCTAAATAGTATTTTTCTTTTTCCCTTCCGTATGCAGGCACTCTCTCCATCCCGTAATATCGGAAAGGCATCCCGCGCACATTCACGTAGTCCCAAAACACGGAGCAAGATGGTTAACCCAGAGCAGCAGATCCTTTTTCGAGCCGTCGAGATGGCCAGACCTAGGCCATAACCCATAGCGGAAAGTCAATCTAGCCAGAACCGTCTATCCCCTAGAACCCCCGGACCTTCAAAGGCCCATACCACGAACATACGTTTCGAAGTGAAGTGAAGCGCAAGCATCGACGCAAACCCCTCCCAGCTGACCACCAGCGTTCATGAAGGGCCGCCTTCATCTCCCTCCTCACGCATGCTCGTGATCTTGTGCCGCTTACTCCACCATTTCCTAGCGGCCCCCTTGATCTTCCTCCATACTACTTTCCTCCCCCTGCGAGACTTCAGCGTGCTGCCTGCGGCCTGGGTTAGGATAAGCATCGTTTAGTCACACTAGATCATAACCTCTCGAAGTAGACACGGAAGTAACGGCGTGAGAACTTACCAAGGGGCAGACGGTCGAAGTTGTTGGCCTGCTGCTGCGCGGGCGACGGGTGCGAGCCCCCAGGAGGGATCGGCGGAGCCACGCGGGGTGCAGGGGGGTTAGTGGGTCGGCGGGCGGGAGGCCCGCGGCGGCGGTGGTGGCGCTCCTGCTGAGTTGAAAATGCTGGGGTATATTTAGCATCGATATTGAATCTGGCAAATCCGCGGAGTAGGGCAGGGGAACTTACAGGTGTTCTCGCCTGAGGCGGGCTCGAGCTCGGTGGTGCGCTGTGCATCCATGGTGTTCGTGTTGGCGCCAGCAAACCAAGGAGGGTGAAGGGGTGTGAAGGAAAAAGGTCCGTGACTGCGGGTGAAGAAGCTTTCATCTGGGCGGTGTTCGGCGCCCCGGCGAGGATCGTCGGCCGGGAGAGCGGCGAAAGGGCTACGTGGGGATCGCTGGGCGGTGAAAGGCGAGGGATGGCTGCGGGGCGTCCTGTTCGTTCTGCGCGGGCTGCTCTCGTTCTCCCTATTTTCCCTTTCGTCTGACAAGTAGCTATTAATAGCTGTGATGTCTACTCGAGGGGCTGACTGCCCCGTTCGACTATCGAGTGGCGGTAATGGTGGGACTCTTCGTATAGTGAGTGGGGCCGGTATCATGCTCATCTGTGACATTTCACCTAAATCCATAATACCGCGCGGTGGCGAGAAGGAGCTTTCTGAGGAGCCATCCTCGTAACCACGGCCCCTGTCGTCCGACATGTTGACCTCTCTCGACTTCTTGAAGCTTTTAAGGAAGCTAGATGTACATACAATGCTATTCTAAAAATTTAGGATTATGCGTCAGGCTTTTATTTGAATGGCCCGGCAAATTCCCAACTGATTGTCCAGCACCGCAAATTGAGGCGCCGTTTGCCCTTTTGAAAAGCAATAGCCCCTCCATCTTGCATGTCCCGTCACGCATTAAATCTCTATCGGGGAATTTTACCTTCGCAAATAGCTGAGTACGACAACATTGCAGTATTTGATTGGTATATTTCACTGCATTCTCGATCACATTACATGGCTAATGCTTCGCCTTGGGCAAAGCGTCCAGCTAGTTATATTTATAGTACTAGAACTTGGAGGGGAAGCGACGGCCTTGTTCATCAGATCAAGTCTGCATAAATGTCAACCTTTATCATTTCAAGATATGAGCAGAAGGCGATGCAAGGCTGGATAGAAGCATCAATTGCACGATACCAATTTAGAATCTGCATTGAGCCTTTCAGATTGGATAGATATAGAGACCCTATCATCTCTAGCATTCGCCTTTTTATTTCAAGCCATCAATTTTGTATTGAATTTTACATTGCAAGAAATACATTTTGAGGTGACGTCGATGGTCGCGGCGTCAGCTGACGACTGAATCGGGAAAGACGGCACGGCGACTAACCCCCACGTTTCACAACGCCAACCCCATGGGTGCTGCCTGCCAGGTCTTATCTCCGTGACAGCCAAGCTCAGTGGTCGGATCATCTTGCTTTTGTCTCAACGACATCTCACTCCACCTACATTCCATACGCTCATAAAAACCAGCCATCACCCTCAATTGCTCCCTACAACCTCAGATCAGCACCAGAAATCAATATTGGCTATGGCAATAACAACAAGAAGCATGATTTCAGCTATCGCGCGGCGGCAAGCTGCGGGTTGCGGACTACTCAGGCGATGTGCGCGACCTGTGGCACCGTTCAAACCCATGCTGCGTCCTCAGAACTTTAGATGCTTCAGTGTGTCAGGAAGCAGAGCATGGCATACAGTGGAGATGTCTGAACCGGATCTCGCCAGCTTGAAAGTCAACCAGAGCAGGCTGATGGAGGATATTCACTACACATGCTCATGGGGAACAGGCGAGCGTTGGGGAACGTAAGTCTAAATTTCAATTTAAGTTTGTTTCTTTCAAACCGAGGTTTGGTTTTTATCCCAAATTTGTCTTATTCACAGGCGCAACTATTGCACCCAAAAACTACCTGCATATTTTTTCTTTGCAATCAAACCATGTCCTGATGACCTTTACAGCGCTCCAACTGAGATAGGAATGTCTCGCCTCTCTCTTTCTGATGCGGATAAAGAAGTTCGAGACTGGTTCGTGGCAACCACCCAAGCGCTCGGCTGCCACACCACCATCGATGCCATGGGCAACATCTTTGCAATTCGTCCCGGGCGACGACAAGGCCCCGCTACTTTCGCAGGCTCTCATCTCGATACGCAGCCTACTGGTGGCCGGTATGATGGCATTCTTGGTGTCACTGCTGGTGTCGAGATGCTCAAAGTCCTCAGTGAAAATTGGGTAGAGACAGAGTTCCCTGTCGGAGTAGTGAATTGGACCAAGTATGTACCTCTACTTTTCTTGTTTTCCACGGCTTCCATGTTGCGCATTGGAACAAAGTTTTGACCCCAAACAGCGAAGAAGGAGCCCGCTTCCCCATATCCATGGTCGCATCAGGGGTCTGGTCTGGCGATATTCCTCTTGAGCGCGCCCACAACCTGCGCGAGGTTGGTGGCGGTACTGCAACGATGAAGACCGAGCTGGAGCGCATCGGTTATCTAGGCAAGACTCCGGCCAGCCACGAAGCCATGCCCATGGCCGCCCATTTCGAGCTCCACATCGAACAAGGCCCCATTCTCGAAGCCGAACAGAAAAAGATCGGCGTCGTGCAAGGCGTGCAAGCGTACCGCTGGTTCACGATCGATGTGAAAGGACGAGGTAAGCAAAAATTCATCACCGCACTCTTCTTGTCCTTATCACCAAACTGACCATGTTCTCCCATCCAGACTGCCACACGGGCACAACCCCCTTCCCCACACGCTCCGACGCCCTCCTCACAGCATCCAAGCTGATCCTACACTCGCACCGCCTCGCCACCGCGCACCCCTCCGCCCTCGCCAGCACCGGCATCCTGACGCTCACGCCGGGCAGCACCAACACGGTCCCAGGCCACGTGCGCTTCAGCCTGGACATCCGCTCTCCGTCCGACGCCGTGCTGGACGCGCTCGAGGACGCGCTGCGCACCGACTTCGCCGCCATCGCGCGCGGCGACGCCGCTCCGGGCAGCTCGTCGCTGCTCGGCGGCGCGGGGACGGACGTGTCGGCCGGGTGCACCAGGGGCGTGCCGTGCGAGATCGAGTGGGCGACCGACAGCGTCAGCCCGGCCGTCGTGTTCCACGAGGATGCGGTGGCGTGCGTGCGCAAGGCGAGCGGCTGGTACGACGGCACGAGGGGCTTGACTAGAGATCTGACGAGCGGTGCGGGACACGATAGTGTGTATGCGTCGCGCAGGTGCCCCACGGGCATGATCTTCGTGCCGTGCAGGGACGGCGTGAGCCACAATCCGAGCGAGTTCTGCGCGCCGGAGGACTGTGCGGCTGGGGCGCAGGTGCTGTTGGGGAGCGTGTTGGCCTTTGATCGGATGAGGGCGGAGCGGAGGGTGACATGGGCGCAGGAGGAGAGGAGGGCTTGATAAAAATAGTGGAGATCCGCGAGGGGAACAGAACGGCTTCACTCATGTCTGAAGGCCTCGAAATGATAGGTAGTAATGAACCATTCGAATCCGGGTATAATTGAATTTCGTACCAGAACGCCAATATCTTTGCCCCGAGCCTTGCGCCGAAACACCAAACTTGTTGTCAAAAATTTCTTAAGCCTTAGCCTTGCCCTTGCCCTCAACTTCCGGTTCCTCGGGTTCCTCATCTTCATCATCTTCGCTCATATCCTCGTCATCGTCCCAACCGAAGAAGGTCCTGTTTGCCGGAGCAGCAGGCTTCGACGCACTAGCCTTCGGCGCGCTAGCCTTGATCTCCTCCTCACTCTCACTGCCCTCGCTGCCCTCAGAGGGGCTCGCCGAGCTATCACTCTCCTTGCCCAGAACGTCCTTGATATCCCCCTTCTTCATCGCCTCCAGCACCGCCAGCCTCGTCCGCTCCTCGGCCTCCTCCTTGGCCTCGACCCACTCTCCATTCAGCCTGCCCTTGCCGCCCTTCAAGATCTCCTCCTCCTTGCGCTCGGCCATCTCGACAATCTCCTGCCACCGCTGGCGCCGCTCCTCCTTCTGCTTCTGGTCCATCTCGGGCTTCACGGCCAGGTACTCAGCCAGGGCCTTCGCCTCGGTCACGGTGCGCAGTCGCCGTCCGTCCAGGTTGCGCGACGAGCCGTTGTTCTCGCCCGCGCCGCGCTTCTTGCGCATACGCCCGCCGGCCGCGCGCAGCTGCGAGCCGAAACCACCCTTACCACCGCACAGGGGTGCGGTGAGGCGCAGGGAGAGGAAAGCGGGGGCATCTTGCTCGGCGGATGAGGAAGAGAGCAGTGACGATAGTGGCGTGGCAGAGTCGGGTTGTAGGAGTTTGTTGGAGTTGGTCGTCAGGATCAGTCGGTTGTCGATGGAGGGGATGCGCTGGGTCAGCGCCGCGCTGAAGTCGGCGACGGTGGATGTGGCTGGGAGGGGGAGCGAGAGCGTCTTCGGCAGACCCAGGCCCGGAAACGAGGTGAGGAGGACGTTGATGGTTGATGGCGCCATGTTGGATGTGAGTGGCTGCAGCGCTGAGGGTTTCCGGTGTCGGCGAGGACAGTAGGGGGTCGATGGTTTCACGGTGTCCGTATGCAGCGCGGATGCGAGAAAATTAGCGCAGCTGCAGGGAGTTGCCGACGGTGTGCTGAGCGTGAACGCGGTGTTGGACTTTGACGGGCGGCGGCGGCGTTGAGCGTTGCGGGCAGTCGCCGGGGGCGCAGAAGTCTTGGCGCTGGCCGGGGCGGGTTAACCGAGACCTCCGCGCACATCGTTAATCAGCTGTTGGAAAACCACCAAGGAACCCTCCGACCGACGACGACGAGCCAGCCCACCCGCAAACCCACCCTCCGGACTAACCACCACAGTCGCCCATCATGTACGCGATCCCCATACCTGCGATGCTGCTTTGCGAGAGGAGGACGATTGCGCGCTGCGCTGCTGCTGTTGGACGAACTGGGGCTGATCGAAAATTCCGCTAGGCTTATTCCCAAGGCCGACCGCAAGAAGATTCACGAGTACATCTTCCGTGAGGGTGTTCTCGTCGCCAAGAAGTCAGTACTTTCCCTGGAGATATGAAGCGACGGAGAGGGTGGAATTCGAGCTGGAAATATTTTGGGGTATCGACTATGTTTGGAGACTGACTTGCGCTCTGCAGGGACTTCAACCTTCCCAAGCACCAGGACATTGACACCAAGAACCTCTATGTACGTGCAACCTGAATCTCCGAATCCCAGATGCACACGAGATGTGCACCTCCAACAACTCTTCTCCTGATCTGCGATCACGACTCAATTGTTTGGGATTGAAACTAATTATCTGCGAATAGGTCATCAAGGCTTGCCAGTCCCTCACCTCCCGCGGCTACCTGAAGACCCAGTTCTCGTGGCAGTGGTACTACTACACCCTCACGTTAGTCGCCACATAGTCCCACACTAGATTGTGCTCTTTGCTAACGTGCATGCAGCCCCGAGGGTCTTGACTACCTCCGCGAGTGGCTCCACCTCCCGGCCGAGATCGTTCCCCAGACCCACATCAAGCAGCAGCGCTCGCACGCTCCCCCGCGTGGCATGCTCGACGGCGAGCGCCGTGGTGGTGGCCGTGGTGGTCCCCGTGGCGACCGTGACTCCTACCGCCGCCGTGATGCCGGCGAGAAGGAGGGCGGTGCCCCCGGCGAGTTCCAGCCCCAGTTCCGTGGTGGCTTCGGCCGTGGCCGTGCCCCCGCTGCTGGCAACGCTCCCCAGTAAATGCTCCGCGGTTCCGGTTCCTGCTCCGACGACGCTTTTTAGACGACAGCGAGCACGGCGAAGTGCTCGGCGGCTGATGAACGGACGACGGGCATTCTCGCCATGTGTACGCCCTGGTCGAAAAAGAGGTCCTTTATCGGTGGGCGTCTCGGGTTGAAAGGCTTGGGATGTTTTAGTCGGGTTATTTTATTTTCTTCAGCATGACAAAATATCAAAATGGAATGGGTAGGGTCGGACGGTAGCGTGTTCGATCGAGTGACAGAAATTGCCGGGGTCGCATAGGTCGAAGGGGGCGGATGACACCGCAAAATTTCACGAGCACCACGCATCTGTGGAATAGCGAAATGCAGATGTCGATGTCCTAGAAGCTGTTGCCTCGTTTTGGCTGTGAGCAACGTGAATGGCATGTGTGTTAACTGCTTTAGGAATGCATGATGCGGAGGGATCCAGCAGCCTACGTCATAGCTATGGAGGGGAGCTGCAGCACATCTCAACAACTTCCGCTCTACACCCCGCGCTGCTTAAAGACCGATTGTTCCCTCGATCGATTCTACTCCAGCCTTCTCTCACAGAACACTTCAGTCCTCAACTTTCCAGAACATCAACCATGTCTTCTAACCTCATGGACACTGAGCCCGGTGGCCGCAACACGCAGTACGCCTTTCCCTCGTTCACAGCAGCTGCCCGCCCACGTCATACCATATGCAGCGTCGCTCCTCTTCTGCCATCGAGCGGTTCGCTAACCCCAAGTCACAATTGACAGGTACGAGTCCATCAAGACCGTCACCAACCCTACCGCCAAGGAGCCGGGACAACTAGGTCGTACGTAGCCAACCAACCAAATTCCCTCCCAAACTCTCCCACAGAGCATCAATACCCCTCGGTTTTCCCCTTCCACTGTCCGTCATACCGCCCAAGTCTCCAGTGTCCCTAAAGCAGAGCCGCCCCCCAACCCACACCAACCACGCAGTCCCACACTTCCATGCCACCAGCAATCACACTGACGTCACACGCTTCTCTTCCTTCAGACGGTTTATCCACCACCGCCGACGCACCCAGCTCCGGCTCCGGCTCGACCCACCACAAGACGGCCAACGCGGCCACGCAAGTCTCGCCGGCCGAGAAGATCCGTTTCGGCCAGGCGATCTCCGAGGAAGGCGGCATGACGGGCTACACCGACCCGGCGGTGGCAGGCACCGGCCACGCTGCGCATGAAGGTGGATTCGGTGGCACGGAGGCCTTGGTCGAAGGGGGAAGTGATGAAGCGCAGAGGAGGAAGGCGCAGGGGTATGGTGGGAAGGCGGATATGGATGGGGGTGTTGGTGCGTGAGAAGGAAGGATTGGGTGGTGCGGTGGTTTTTGGTTCGATTAAGTAGTGTATTAATTATTGATTATTTCTTTGATGGTTGATTGAGAGAAATGTTGTGCGTGTGAGGTTTAGTTGTGAGAAGGGGAAGTGTGTGGTGAATGGTGTGAGACAGAGCGCCAAATTACCCGAATGATATATAAAACTTGATCAGAAGTATCAGAAGGATGTTTGGGAAAATGTTGGAGGTGTTGTGAAAAGTGTAGGTGAAGGGCGTTGGCTAGATGAATTAAGTGTTGGTTTTTTGTGTTCGGTTTGAGTTAAAACTTGTAAATTCGGGCCCGCATTTCACTTCAAACCCTCACTGCCTCAGTAGTTATACTAGAGATATACCTTACCTCGTCTTCATGTGATACTGAAAGACACGCTTAGAAAATATCGCATTGTGATAAAACATTTCATTCATCACTTGATATAACAAAAGAAAAAAAATAGTAAAGAACGTCCACGCACTCTACCGGGCAGCCCGCCCACACAACTACAAAGCGCTCACACCTCTTTCCCTACGCGCATCGTCTGCCGACTCTCTCGGTGCCATACCGCTATTGCCGTAGTAGCCCATCACCTCCCACTCCGTCTTCTTCTTCGTCCGCCCATCGATGATCCCCGCCTCGCTCGCCTCCGTCTCCGCTATACTCTCAGTGCTGCTCTCCCTCACATCCACTACCGTCGGCCGCCTGCTGCTGCCGCCGTCAGCAACAGCAGCAGCCCTCTCGATATCGTCGTCGTCACCACCATCCCTCCCGCCCGACGACATCATCGCCCTCAGCGGATACGCCTTCTTCTTCTTCTTCTTATCGCTGCTGCAACTGCAAACGTACCCGCCGGCCCGCGCCGAGCGTTGGAACCCGTACGACGCCGGAAGCGAGGCGGAGGCGGAGGAGATGTTCCCAGCGATGCGGCCGGCGGACCACTCGAGGAAGGGCTTGAGCGCTGGAATGCAGGCGGCGATGATGGCGATGGTGCTGTGCAGGTCCGTCCACAGCCAGTAGCCGGTCTGGTCGTACGAGGTGTCGAAAGGGGCGGCTGCGGTTGCTGCTTTCGTCGTCGTTACTGCGGTGCGATGCTGATGTCGGCTCACTGACGTCGTCGTCGAGGATGTAGCCCGGGCTTGGGATGCGACGTAGCGGGTTATGCTGGCGGCGATGACGCTGTTGTGCGTACCTGACGGTTAGTCTTTTTTTTCTTTCGGTTGGTGGGGATGTTGTTGTTGTGGACGTACACGATGCGGAAGGCGAACAGGGTCTGTATCAGCCATTTCTTTCGACGCGGTATGCGCACGTTATAGATGATCCAGAAAGGCAGAGCCATTATCATGGCCTCAGTCAGGCAGTCTACGACAGTCACGTAGAGCCAGATCTTCTCCGGCAGGCAGGAGCCGGCGGGGTAGGCTGTGGGGTCCCAGGGATGCGGCATCGGACATTGGAAGGCCACAATGAACTCGGAGCTGATGGCCCAGAGGGCGATGATGATGGCGAGGGCCCAGATTACGCGATGGTGGATCTTGAGAGGGATGAGTTAGCCGTTTGGAGTAGTTGTTAACCTGGGTATGGGGGAGATTTACTTTCTTGACGGCGAGCCGCCGGAAGAAGACAGTCATCGAGATTTTGGCAGTGGCTATGACGGCGATGTAAAGAAGGTGTTGGGCGTAGTTGGCCTGAGGAATGTCAGCGATTTGCATCACTCCCCTCAGAATCCGGAAACATACCTTGGTTCTGGCATCATTTTGCTTCTCCGTCAAGCCGGCTCGATGCTTTCCAAGTCCACCCAGTTGTACGGCCAGCGCTAATGACACAGTTGCCCCTATATCCATCAACTACGCGGTTGAGCGTGAGTAACGAAGAGCATCGGCACCTCCGAGGATGTACTTACCAGAGCCACGCCGACCATGATGTCCTCAGTGCGGAGTTGACGTGTGGCGGTGTAGCGGATGGTTAATCTGACGATGACCAAGAGGATAGCTAGGGCCATCAAGGCCCAGCTGACCGGCTCGAGATCCTCTACGTGGGTTTGGATTCCCATGGCCGCTACCGGTGCCGACGAAATACGAAGTTGAAGATACGAGTGTTGTCTGAGGCGGTCATCGAATAGGAGTGGCAAGAACAAGGGAATTTAGTGTATTGGTTATGGTTACGAGGAACCTGCCTCGCGGGGTTAGAAAATAGGCGGATTGGATACCGGAGGCCGACGGAAAATAGGTTGCATGTGCCGACTTTCTGCCAATGGGGCAAAGATGTATGCAAGACGGCATATTCTCTCCGGATGCGGAAAGCTCGCCAACTCTTATATTAAAAGCCGCCACTTCGGCACCAAGTATGAAGGATTCTGTGAAGCGAAGGGGCCAATGGCGGGGCTGGCAAAGCAAATACGCAGCAATATGCCGCCCGGCAATTTGATGGCGAAGTAAGCAGCTGGAACGCCGGTTACTGAAAGTAGGGAGAGAGCCGAACAGGACCATGAGTAATAGTGATACGGCCGGGAGCTCGAGCTCGTCCCGGCTGACGGGAAACAGGGCCGTTTGTTTCATTCGCAGTGGTAGGTGCAGGCGGCGGGGGGAAAAGTGGGTAAATGGGATCCGGCGCGATGCGTGGAGGATGTGCCGCGTGTGAAGATCACTGTGTCCATAGCGGCCATTGATGCGATGCGCCAGAGTGCGTAAAGATCAGCGAATATCGGAGAGATGATATATTCTGTATTTGGGCTGTTGCATTGGGTCTCGTTGTAAATGTTTGTAGTGCGACCTTGCAGTTCCTTGGCTAAAACAAGATTCCCGCCACAGAGCAAGCATCTCCTTGGTATTCACTCAAGAATTTACCGGCGGCACCGTGTTCAGAAGTCTGTTGCTAACGCCAAGCCCGGAGCTCGGAAAGGAGTCTAAAAATTTGGGGCCTCGAACGGGCTGAGTGGAGATGCACGGAATGTATGAGGCGGCGGAAGAGATTAGCAAAACGTCCTCATTCTCCCAGGGTTTCTAGAGCGTCTAATACCGCAGGGTTCAGGGGATAGTTCTCACGGGGGCTGCCGGATCTGAGACGCGGGAAGCGGTGTTCTGCCCAAGATGGATATTCTGATGACGCGGTCTGGGTCGCTGTGCGGTTCCGAGAGGGCGCTAAATTGGCTCCCGCTACAGCGTCGGCTAAGGGTAGCCATGTGGAAACAGGCTTGCAGTGTGGATTCCGCGCATGTGGGAGTGTGATTTTGTGCATGATTGGCCTGTCGAGCCAACGGTAGGTAATCAAGAGTCTGGAAGCGGGGATTGTGATCCACATGTTGCCAACCGGGATTTCATCCGACAGGAGGTTGCCGTGCGGGAGATCTGTGACAGCGACAGTGGGTATTGCCGTGCTTGCATGCTGATTTTTCTTTCCTTTGCTTTGTTTTACAAGGACACCTTGAGGCGTGCTTGACGCCGCGGAAGTGAAGTTGTAGCTGAAAGGTTGATGCATCCAGGGGCGATTCTATGAGGCACAAGTTTTTTCGTCTGCAATCTGAAGGCTGTCACTCTAAAAGCTGGCAGATGATAACAATGCGGAATGTATGCTGGGGAGCGTGCGTGCAGGCCAGAGTGTGTTTAAGATGATCCCAGTCATAAGGGAGCAGCTCAAATTTGAAGAAGTTAGTGGGCGTCGGGTGAGAGCTACAACGGGGAGGGTGGAAGCAGAGATGTCAGCAGGGCGTTTCATGAATCCCTGCGTCGATCCGAGTCGTCGTCAGCAGAAGCGTTCGAGGCGTAAATGGTTGCATCTCGGGCGCACGGCTAGCGAAAGCGAAAACTTAAAGTACAGAACAAAGGAGTTTCTAGCAAATTCGAGTCTGAGGTGTGCGGTGAGAGTAGCATTCACGTGCGGTCTGAAGTGGTGCGAAAACAAGGTTGGAAATAGTTTTAGTTTCTTCAAAGTGGATCGACTAGCAAGAAAAGAAGGAAGAGCGGCATGGAAGGAAGGCGGGAGCTCCGGGCCGCGGCACGTGAGGGCGTGGGGCTGACGTGTTCGGGCAGGGTCCACCGGCGGAAGGCAGCGACACGAACTACAGAAGGCTCCATTAGCCGCAACGAGACAGGCGTGACGAAAAGAAACAATCCAGGTGATGCAGAAATATGGTGTTGTTGGTTGAGCTGAGCCTCAAGGCCTGTTCCCTGCTCAGCTGAACCCCGCAATATCACGACATCGCTGGCAAAGATGAGTTGTCCACCACCCGCTTTCCCCACCCACCCTCAGTGACACGACCGCCAGAGCGGTCTGAGTCTGCCAATCCTCTCGCCAACTCATCGCCGCCGCACATCTTCACGCCTCGCGCAGCCCGAACGCACAGGCCGAAGACGTCACACTTGCTGCTGCTATGCTGCCTGTTAGCACTGACTGTCGAGTGATCCTACCAGACCATCAGTGTTGAAAAAAAATCCAAGACGATCCAAAAGTAGCTTCAGAATGGTCCGAAGCACGTCATCGGGCTAAACAAACAAGCTCAGAACTCTCTCCCATACGCTGCCTCAATTCTTCCAATCATGCCGCTATCGCAACCACCGTTGATCCACATCAATTGCATGATTCGTCGTGTTGGTATTTCGTCATTTTCCAATTCATTCTTAAGCTGCCGCAAACCCTACTCTTCCTCTCCATCGGTGTGTTCAGCGCCTTCCAATCCTCACAATGCCTACTTCACTTGTCAGCGGTCCTTTCCTCTCCCTTCGCCACACTCCCTCGTACGTTCGCCCGGGCGAGGGTGAGGGGTACAATGGCCATTCGGACAGTGTGCCGCCCTCGCACCGGCCATCCGTCTCTTCGGCGCCCTTCTCTTCTTTGAAGTCAGGGCCGCCCAGCGTTTCTCACGACTACACGCACGTCCGTCCGCCTTGGGAGAGCCCTTCCAATGGGTCCAATGGCGCGGCGCATTACAGCTCGGACGACGATTTCCTCAAGCTGGGCCACCCCCAGCAGGACCTTCTCCTCCTCCATGGCCCGCGCCAGAAGCACGCGCTCGAAAAATCGAAAGAAATCCCGCCGCTCAAGAGCGACGACGAGCTCCTTATCCAAGTTCTTGCCATTGGCTTGAACACAGTCGATTGGAAGGGTCCCGACGACGGCTTCGGACAACCATCATATCCGTGGGTCAATGGCAGGGACTTTGCCGGCTTGGTTGTTCGCGCGCCGCGCAAACCGAGCCGAGTGCAGGCGGGCGACGTCGTCTTTGGCCCCTCGACGGATTACAGAGACATTCGCAAGGCGGCGTTCCAGGAGTACGTCGTGACGACCGACTACAACGTTGCTAGGATACCCAAGGACGTGTCGGTGAGAACAGGTGCCGCAATTGGTGTCTCGTTCGTCGCTGCTGCCCTTGGTCTCGGTACCTCGCTCGGTGTCGACTTCAGCTCTCTCGCTGTAGCCGCTCCTCTGGGCCCCGACCTGTATCAATTGGTGCGCTCTATTGACCGCCACCAATTCCCGGAAGATGTTCGCGCAGAGGTGTTTGACAGCATTCCCGCTGACGAACGGCCAGTCCGCGGGGATTGGCTCGTGATTTGGGGAGGTAAGTGCTGCTGGTTCAAAATGTACCTTCATTATACTAACAAGGGATAGGCTCTTCAACCACGGGCATCATCGCGCTCCAGCTTGCCAAGCTGGCAGGGCTCCGGGTCATTGCGGTGGCCGATGTGGCCAGGAACGGAAAGCGTCTGATCGATTTCGGAGCCGACATGCTCGTGGACAGGTTCGACCACCAGCGTGCCATCGACGTGATCCGCAGCATTACCGGCAACCAGCTGCGCTTCGCCATAGACGTGACCGGGCGGGAGTCGGCTACGCACCTGCAGGACATGCTGCACACTTCGGCGGCTGAGAAGCGTGCTCACTTGCTCGGCTATGCCGGCCTCCCCAAGAACAAGGTCATCGACGTGCAGCAGCACATTGTGCCCATCAAGATCTTCCACGCGGCATCTGCCATTGGCGAAGCTCTCATGACTTGGGCTGAGGAGCTCTTGGTCGCCAGGACCTTGAAGTTCCCCGAGATCGAGGTGGCTGACGGAGGTCTTAACGGCATCAACGCTGCCCTCGACCGGATGAGGAGTGGTGAACTCACGGGCAAGCGTATCATCCTTCCCGTCACCGAGACCGATGCCCCGAGCGGCCCCCCTTCGATCCCACCAAGCATCCCCAACGGCATCAGCGTTGCAAGCGTAGCCCCGGAACCCCCTGCTGCCGACGACTTCGCGTACGTCAACCAGCTCAACTCAGACCCCAACCGCCTCCAATTCGCGTACTGGGTGCCCAACGTCTCGGGCGGCCTCGTCATCTCGAAGATCCCGCAGCGCACCAGCTGGGACCTCAAGTCGAACAAGCGGTACGCGCAGACAGCCGAACGCGTCGGCTTCGAATACGCCCTCAGCCAGATCCGCTTCATGGCCGGCTACGGCGCCGAGAACCAGCACGAGCCCGTCACCTTCTCGCAAGCCCTCCTCCACAGCACCGAGCGCCTCAAGCTCATCGTCGCCCTGCTTCCCGGTCCCTGGAACCCTGCCATCGCGGCCAAGCAGATCGCGTCCATCGACAACTACACCGACGGCCGCGTCGCCGTCAACGTCGTGTCCGGATGGTTCAAAGCAGAGTTCCACGCCATCGGCCAGTGGTGGCTCGACCACGCCGAGCGCTACCGGCGGTCCCGCGAGTTCATCGAGTGCCTCCGCGGCATCTGGACGCAGAAGAGCTTCACGTACAAGGGCGACTTTTACCAGTTCAACGACTACCCCTTGCAGCCCAAGCCGCTCGCCTGGCCCGGCCGCCCCCACCCGGAGATCTTCCAGGGCGGCAACAGCGTCGACGCCCGCGACAACGCTGCCGCCGTCTCCGACGTCTACTTCATGAACGGCAACACGCTGGAAGCCTTCATCGCGCAGATCGAAGACGTGAAAGAGCGCGCGCGCAGGAATGGGCGTGAAGGGCAGGTGCGCTTCGCCCTCAACGGCTTCGTCATCGTGCGCGACACCGAGGCCGAGGCCGTCCGCGTGCTGCGCGAGATCCAGGGCCGCGCTGACCCCGAGGCCGTCGAGGGCTTCCGCCAGCAGGTGCGGAATGCGGGCGCGTCGGCGCAGGATGGTCGTGGCATGTGGGCCGACTCGTCGTTCGACGACCTCGTGCAGTATAACGACGGGTTCAAGACGAAGCTGATCGGCACCAAGGAGCAGGTTGCGGATCGCATCTTGCTGCTGAAGAGCATCGGTGTCGATATCTTGTTGACGGCTTTCCTGCACTATGAGGATGAGATTAAGGCGTTTGGCGAGACGGTCATTCCGCTTGTGAGGAGGCTGGAGAGGGAGGGGAGGGGCAGGGATAAGGATTTGGAGATTAGGTTGACTGGGGATGTTTATCGGGAGAGGAAGTACTGAGGATGATGATGATGAGGTGACGTGGAGGCTTTGCGAGAGAGCCTGCAAAAAAAAGGGAGGACTCGATCTGGGTAAGGCTTTGACGAGGTATGTGGAACGATTGTATGTTTGTTACGCGCTGTGATGTCTGTTTGTATCATTTTTCTTTTTCCTATTGGACGTTATGTAGGAGTTGTATTATTTATTTGTATTTCTCTTTCCATCTACTATTACCGACCATCATGATGGTAAATGTCGTGAGATGTGTAACATCCAAGCATCGCCTTCTGTGTGTTTGTATCCAAACCGCCAGGCATCATGGCCATTGCCAAGCACGTCGGTCTGGCCCGGTCCTGCAGCAATGCCCAGACCAGATGACTGATGATATGCGCCGGGTCATCCGCATATGTGCCTGTGATCATTGCGGCAGGTACCGTTCCGACAGTCATGCAGGGTATGGCTCGGCTCGTGCCGGTGCGTTTTTAGGTACCAGGGTGCCCGGTTGGCCGCCGCAGTGCTGATGACTGGGTGTTTCAGTTGTAGAAGAAGATCAAGAGGATGCACTTGAGTGATGAGGGTGTCTTGAAGGAGAAAATTCTGTTGGTCCACGTGCGGTACTGCTGCGTGTACTGGTACATTAAATCTCGAATCAATTGGTATCGGAACAGCAGGGACAACTATGTTGCACTTGGGACGAGGAAAAACAGCAATTAAAGGTCCAGAATTGTCTGTGACTGACCTATAGGTTGGAAAACCATTGGTCGTAATGTTCTTCAATTGCTGTGGAAGTGATGTGGGTGTATGGTGAAGAGACGACTTACCGCCGCTACAAAAATCACTGAACTTCTACAGCCGCAACCGGGAGCCTTCCGAACACAAATCTGCATGTCTGAGCAGCTACTAAACCGCAGCATCTCGTGCACATCAGTCTAAGGATCCACGCGGACACGTCGTCAGTCCTTCGCCTCTAAAAATTTCCTGCGCTGGCGCCTGCTGAGAGGGGGGGAAAATTGCCTCATACCCCGCTCCGCAACCACTAAGAAAACTAGCCGCCGCGCATGATGGGCGTAAGCAGCTCTAACACCCATGCAAGTCATTGGTTCATTGGTGGCGCACCACCCTTCACCCTAATCACAGACCAATAAAACGCAAGAAGTGGCTTCTGGAGTAGTAGCTTCTGAATTATCAATACATTATAGCGCTGAGACCTAGCGAATAGAGGAGAATTCTTCAAGCTCCCTCGGATATTCCCGTGCAGATCATGAAACAATAATGTCAAGTGTCGGTGGTGTTGCCCAGGTTTAGACAGGAGCAGAGCAGATCAAGCCAGCGATTCCCTGTGCACATGCGCGTCAGCCAAAATTCCGGTAGAACCATTTTTCAGCGGCTCTATGAGCTCGAAGGGGGAGAAGAGCCACGTACCAAAGACAGAGTGCAGCACTCAGCCGTCCTTCCGCTGTCAGCGCAGTATTCCTGGAACTCCGTGACCGTCGTAAGGGTTGCGGAGGCTGGAAGAGGGGCGTTGGGTCAGTAAGATCTCGAATGAAAGGGGCACGGCCTAGTGTTTGGGGTATGGAGATACACTGAGTAGCGATAGATAGGGGTGGAAACGTACGCGAAGTGCAAGTGGCGTCGACGACACCAATAACGTCCAGCTGGCAGCAGAGCGGATCACCAGAGGTGCAAAGGGTGCTCTGGCGCTCCTCGAGCTGGGCGGGCGCTGCGAGGGCAACGGCGGCGAGGGCGATGATGGCAGCGATGAACTTCATTGTGAAGACTTGTTGTTTGATTATGTCAATTATGGTGAAAGAGTGGATGTGATGATTGTCTTGTTCGAGGAAGTGATTGAGCTGGATATGGCCCTCGATTTCGATTGCGTGAGTGCCTTTTTATACTCTTCATCTTGGAAAGCGTGTCACTGTTCAACGCCCAACTCTTCCCATCATCCGTCATTCGGTGTCCCGCTCCATCCTTGTTACGCGCGTGCCCCTTGTTTGTCCCTCTGGTCGCGGGGACGACGGGTCGCTCTTGGTATAGCTGCTCGAGCGTGGCTGAAAGTGGCGGCGGAGATGATGGTGGTGAACCCTTGCAGCTACGCCTCTTAGGACCAAGAGTTAAGCTCTTGTCATTGGCCTGGTGGACTAAAAAAACGGTCCATACATGTGGACGTTAAGATCGACGGCGTGGATTCACCCCACCAGCAGATGAGATACGCGAGGGGATTCGTCGGGGGGATGAGGCTGGACCGCTTTTCAAGCCTGATCGTATCGTGAGACTCGCGGGAGAATGGACGGCAAAGCAAAATGTGGTGCAGCGCGGATCACCAGCTGGACAGGGGAGGGGGCGATGGAGATTATTGCCCATTGTGCTCTGCCGTGTTTTCCTGCTTGGATGTGTGATAATGACGTTGAGCGCAATGGTTGGAGGGCGCTGGGCATCATGTGATGTCATGGGTCGGCGTTGAATACCAGATGGATGCGAAGTTCCCGTTCGCCACGCCCTCCTGACGATCGTCCCGTCTGGCGCCCGTTGAGACAGTGGCTTGTTCCTGTGGGCGTTTGTGATAGGCATAAGGTGGCCATGCATATAATGGGATGATCAGCGATTATCCAAGATACGAAGCGGCATTCCCGGCACATGGGCCAACGGTCGACAAGGGTAGTCGTCCGCCCCATCAACTGCAGCCGAGATCTAGTCCGCAATTAGCACTAATCTCCTATAAAGACAACCCCAACCGTAGTTCTCTGCCTTGCTTGCCTTCCCTAACCGCTAAGACCTTAGCCTTGGATTTATTAAATCTTTCCCCAACTGAACAAGCCGCAAATTAACCCCAGTGGCCCGCCAATCCTCGCGACGCTCACTTGAAATAGAAATACCCATCTTGGGCGAATCAAGTACGATCAGACATCGAAAATCTTTTGCACTTTGCCATTGCGCATGTAGCATTTGGTTTTCCGCCACTTCTGCTGTGATGTTCTTTTTTAAGCATACAAGTTCCCCGGCACAGGCTCTTCCACGTCGCCACTGGAGAAAGAACAGTGCCCAATAACGCCGGAGGTTTCGTCTGCCGGCAATGCCCCCCATTGCAACGGCAGCTTTTCGGAAATTTCGTCTGGGGGGTGACAAGCCGCAGAGATGGCCGCACTGCAGCCGCCGGCAATTGGCATGTCCGAGTCCAGATGCCGGAGACCCATGCCGAACCCGGTCAGAACGAGGCAGGCCGCGACGATCGCCGTTAGTATGATGCCCATGGGCGAGTAGCCGCACGTCGTGACGCTCTCCCGCCCGGCGTAGGCTCCGGCGCTGTCCCAGGTCTCGACCCTCGCAAGGAAGATGCTCTGCGAAACGAGCCAGTGCAGGACCGTCGAGTAAATCATCAGCGGCACTCCGTATCGGTAAGGGAGCTGCAGGAAGTACGTGCTCCTCTGCTCGCCGCGCGGACTCGAGACGCGCAAGGCTTTCCGGTGCCGCGCAAAGCTGGACCATTCCCGCGCTAGGAGCATTCGGGTGCAGAGGCCGTTGAAGAAGACGTAGATCAACGAGAGGATGAGCTGAGGTGAGTTGGCCACCAAGATTGCGGATATTACCGCCGACTCTCCGCGCGTTGGAATTGCCCATCCTTCGATCATCGTCTCTGATCGAGTTTTGCCGACACCAAGGCTCCAGAGGGACGAGATGCCAGAATGCCCATAGCTTGTTTTCAAATGGGGTATCGAGTAGCCGAGAAGGCCGAGAATAGTGGCGAGCGCGAGTATGAAACTGGCGCATGTTAGAGGGACTTCAACAACAGCAGGACTCGAAAACTTACAGGGACACTGTGATAAGCCAGTGTTGGTTGCTCGCCGTCCTCATCCAGCGCATCTTCTGGCGTCGGTACGTCATGGGTGTTTCGATTTCTTGCGACCAATCCCGGCAACGTTGGAAGTGGGCCCGCGTGGCCAAACACATCCCCTTTGTGGTGGCGTCGGGTAATCGGAGGAAGGACGAAACAGCATCTCCCAGCGTGATCATGGGCCTGTCATGCATTCTGTAGGCGACAAATGCCATGCAACCAAGCTTGACAGCATTGAAAACGATGACAATGCCAAGGACGGGGAGATTGAAGTTCAGCCTGCACTTTTGTTCCACCTTCTCGCTTTGGCAATAGCGTATGCGATAACCATAAACGGCCCAGTTCGACGCGTCAGACTCAACACTGCCTACTGTGTTACTGCAAGGTGGGTAATCCTCTTTCCAGTATCCGTAATAATGAGAGCAAATCCAGTAGTAAGGCTCGGGATTGATGGTCTCGTAATAGTCGTTCATTAGCTGATACCTCTCAAGCTCGTACAGGGATGAAGTGGTATTGTCGAGGTCATCAACGATGAGCACCAGGTTGCGGCGTCCGGCGAGGAACTCTTGCGCATAAGCACTGATGCACTCTTCATTCTCCAGACGGTCCCATTGGAGCGCATCCTTCTGCACACTTTTGGGATCAGTGAGCCATGGGGCCGGATCGCACATTGGGCCGTCTCCAACATCAAAACAGTCCCAGCGCTCGTATTTCTCCGTTCCAGGAGAAGGGAATTTTGAAGTGTTATATGCAGCGCCGTCTAGGTATTTTTCAGAGGCGAAATAAATGTCGTAGTCATTATGCGCAAGAGAGGAATAGAAGACGGAGTTGTAGCTTTGACAACGTGAGCTTGGCGTAAGTTACGAAACGAAGAAAACTCACAACAAATGGAGTGGTAATGAAGATAGAACCAGAGCTACCCACACAGCTAGCTTCCACCGACGAATAAATCGGAGATTCCGCAGGCTTGGCTGGCCGATGTCAAGCCACACGCCTTTGCCATGAGCTAGATTGATCTCCCTGCGGGTCGGTGCGCATAGGCATTGCATGATGTACTGGCTGCCGCCAAGGAGAAGTGTACTTAGGACGTTTATGAGAAGATGGATGCCGATACTTGCCATATCAACGTCTTCACATGCGCCTTCGTAGACGTGGCCATTACTTTGCTTGCCCGATTTGAAATACGCCCAAATGGCAACAGCGAGGTTCACGACGAGGACGCACGCCGCAGTAATGGAGGCGAGCGTGGCTCCAAAGCGCCAAGCCTGTGGTAATCGGAAATATTTACGAGGCCGAGCATCGTCGTTGTCGTCCGAATCATGTTCCAGCAAAAATGAATGAGAGTTGTGTTCAGACTGGGGTCTAGCAGACCCAGAGGCAGCAGAGAAAACACTGTCATCGGTGTTGCCTAGACTTGGTATGCGAGAGTATGCAGGCTTCAGTGTGCTCAAAGGGACGCTATGAAACAAACAGTCAGAATATGCAGTTTCTCTTGAGCCAAGGAGCCATACCTCGACGTGCGATCCATTTTTCTAGCGGCGAAAATTCATACAGAATGTGAAAAGCCGCACACAGAAGTGAAAGGACATGTGTTCAGAATCAGCATGCACTACGGTACACAGGAATCACAGGTAAGCGTGGCCTGATTATAATGAATTGCGAAAACGCCACAAGCACCTGTGGGAGTTCCATGGATTTTCGTGAGATAACCGTATTTATACCTGGGTTTAGCCACTAGATGCGCCACAATCAATCTGGGGTAATGCAAAAATAGGGATGGCCCCCACCTCATCCTCGCAGGAAAGAGAGGATCTGAAATGATACAATCCTGATTCTAGAGCGGCTGCTGTACGTCCGTATTTTCCAATTGGCCGCATCCTCAGGAATATGCAAGCCATGAGGTTGATGAAACTTGGTGGAATTGGTAATCTGGTCGAATGAAGGAAGAATTGGTGGCCGCCCTCAAACGCGGTTGAGCGTGGAGCCGAGAATCTACCGACAGATCTCTTATCTCCGGGTGCGACGTCAGCGACCAGAAAAAAGTAGCTCTCCATTCCATGCACCTCGAAGACTAACACACACCACCATGTCTTCCACCTGCGACGTTTGCGGCGCGCAGCCGCCCAAATACAAGTGCCCTAATTGCACTATCAAATAGTACGCACGCGCCCGCACCACCGCTCTATTCTCCGTTTGTTGCTACTCACCACCACCAGCTGCTCTCTCACCTGCTTCAAATCCCACAAGCCCACCCACGACGCTGCCGAATCCTCCTCCGCCGCCCCCACAGTATCCCAAACCGAAACCATAACCACTACCACCGCGTCCGCACCCGCACCCACACCCGCACCCAACCAAACCGCCGCCGCGACCGCCGACCCCCTCACAACCCTCCTCTCCTCCCCAGCCCTGCAGCACCTCCTCGAGACCAACCCCACCCTCCGCGCCACCCTCCGCTCCATCTACGCCTCCACCATCGAGCCCGACCCCGAGGAATGGGCCGAACAGCAGCGCCGAGCGCAGCAGCGACACAGCATGAGCTTTCGAGGACGAGGACGGGGAGGGCGTGGTGGACGCGGCGGCGGTAGAGGAGGAGGGCCCGATATGAACGGGCAGAGGCCGCGCGGGCCGTGGAAGCAGGAGTTCGCGGACAAGCGCGCCGTGGAGCGGATCGTGCGGGCGCAGCAGGAGAGCGATAATCTCGATGCTGGGGGGGAGGGGATGAGGGAGTTTGTGGAGTTGGTGACGGCGGCGGTTGCCGCGGCGGGGAACGAAGATGGAGATCAGCGGATGGATGAGGGCGGTGACTGAACAAGCGCGATTAGACGAGAGGAAAAAAAAAAGAAAAAGAGAGAAAAGGAAGTTAATCAAGTTGGGATGGCCGGAAGCTCGACACGTATGGAATCTCTCACGCATAGGGCAGCAAGAAGAAGAAAAAGGGACGTGGCTGCGCTACGGGAAGGTGCTTTGAGGGGTTCCCAAGCCCTACCTATCACAGGGGCTGGATTTCAGGGCGAAAAGAATTTGTGAGAAGACACAACTTAAGCTTCGATCGAAGCAAAAGGGATCTTCTAAGCAATATGGCTGATGTGAAGCGCACGCCAGCAAGATGTGAGTTGGCAGCCTTCACGTGCAGGTCAAACAAACGCTCCATTCAATACGCAAGCGCTGCAATGTTTGACAGAGGCAAGCCTAGCGTATATATCAGGGTCTGGTTTCCCAGGTTCACGCAGATGCGTCAGTGAGGAATCTGTAGACGAGAAAGATTGTAGCTCAGCTCCAGCACGCAATATTAAGTAGAAACTTGTCATAATATGTATATGGTAGTCTTCATTGTTCGAGCCTCTTTGCATTCATAGCATAGCTCAATTCTCCGAGCTTTAAGCCAGCAGCTGTACTGCATAGCCTACCAGCATGAGCGGCATTTCACAATATTCTGCCCACTCACGCCCTGAATCCGGACCTTGTTCAAAAAAAGCGAGGCCCCCCTAGCCAGGAAATCCGTTCCCCGGCCCTTGTCTCAGAGTGTGCGATAAACTTCCTCCACAAGACTCCCCTAGGTGTCCTTTAAGCAGTCCTTTTTGCAATCATAGCACCGCCTCGCCAGTGTGCTCACCCTCGAAGCCGTGACCCCGCAGGTGCTTCCGCCTGAGCTTATCCTTCTTCTTCCGCTCCTCGATTTCCTGCTTCTGCAAGGCGAAGACCTGTTCCGCTGGTGCTTGTTGGAAGGGTTCGGGAATGTAGTCGTCTTTGTCGAGGTCCTGTTTCTCACACGATTGCCCCCGACGGTGGGGGCAAAACGTAATTTAGCCAAATGTCATCGTGAAGAAAACCGTAGTTTAGAAAGTGGCGTGGGTAAGGAAGAAAAGATAGGCGGGATGAGTCGTACAATTTCACCTAAAAGCAGCACGTTCTCGCCGCGCACGAGGAAAACGCCGCGGTTGATGTCGGCGTACAGGTTCTGGACGAAGATGCGTTCGATGGTGTCTTGGAGGACGAGGTTCGCTGCCAGTGTGGAAAAAAAGTGAAAAAAACGTCAGCGGCCATTAAACGTTCCCTCGTCGAATGTGACTCCTCCATCCGGAGTCCAGCTTTCCCCTCCCCCCTCTCCCTTGCAGAGAGAGCGGAGGCTAAAAGTGAGGACAGAGTTTCCCATACCGAATTGGTCCCAACTCCGCAGCACGCCGATGAGTTTCCGTCCGTCACGCAGGGCGACCATGAGCTTCTCTGCAAACATCACCGCGCGAAGCGACGCGCGCGTGTGTCAGCCTTTCCATTCTCTTTTTTTCTCGTGCACGACCCCGATGTGGGCCGAAGCATCCCATTGTAGGAAAAGGAAGACAGAAAGAAGGCTACTGACTGTCGGTCAGGTCGAGGAGCTGGGCGGCGGTGGTGAACATCTGCGGCGGGAGCTGGGGCACCATTGGCGGCATTGGCCCAGCGTCGGGGCCGCCAGGCCCGCCCTGGGGCGGCGGCGGCGGGTCGTTCAAGGTGAGGTTTTCCATGTTCGCGGATGGGGGTCGTTTGTGTGTGTGTGTAGAGTTTGTGTCGGTCAAGGCCAGTCCATGACAACGTGCGTTTAGTGGGAGGTGCGGGAGGGGCGCGTTGAACGATGCGCGACCTGGGTGCTTGACGTTATGCCGGGCCGCCGCTAGGCTTGCGTGTCCGTGCGTGTTGTGCGAGGCCTAAGGCACTGAACTCTCACGTTTCACATTCCAGTCAAAAAGAGTAAATGCAATGTAAAATGCAATGTTGAAAAATGCTCGCCCGTTAACCCGAAATGCGTCGAGCCGTACAATGAACTGCACGTCCAAAGCCAAGACGTGTACTGAATCCAGAGCCAGCCGTGATGCCAAGTCATGTCCTCGTCCAGAAGCCCAATGCCCGTAACGCTCACGCTATGCCCTCAAGCCAGTGCCAGCATACCTGCAAATGCCTGCGCCAATCTATGCCAAAATGTTCCCAGGGGTATTCTCAAATGTGCCAATTCCTCTCGAAAGCCAACCACGAATAGGGATATCTCTTGCTCGAACCGCTCCCATCAAAATAAAACTCCACGCGCATGCTAGAATGCGCCCACCCAACAATAGGAAAACCATTCCCCCCTATCCTTTACTGCTGATGACCGCCATGCTTCATGTAAAGCTTCCTCGTGTTGGCCGCCTGTTGAGCTCCCAGCATCTTCGCTTGATTCATCATTCCTTCGATCCATTCCAGCTTCTCTCCCGAAAGATCCAACTTCTTCGTCTTCGGACCGGCCAATCCGACCTCATTTCCTGCCCATGACTTCTGCGATGCCCCAGAATCCATTGCTCCGCTATCATCCCTGTCGAACGAGCTGTAGTTAGACATAGCGCTGCCCGGGCGCGACCGTGGCCTAGGCGCGCTTGTCGGCGGCGTGCCTAGGAACTGCTTCGATCCACCGACATTGCTGTGCGAGCTCGTCGGCCGCAGAGGCTCCGGAGAGTCGCCGTATCCGAGGGACTCGACCTTGCCTTCGGAAATGACACGTCTGCTGTGGTGATCCGCGTACTGGCGGAGGTACTCGCCCAAGTCTGCCCAACCGCCGCCAACACGGACCATCAAGCGTTCGCCATTTTCGCCGACTCGGCGCACGAATAGCTTGATAGGCTTTGCTTGACCGGGCTGCATGAGGTGGTAGAGCTTGATGTCTGAGTTTCCATAGCGAGCATGGCGGTGACGGTCCTGCTCAGACACGACTGCCGACATCGTGATCGACTGTATGCTGCTCTTGCGCGAAACACGCAGCGACGACGGAGGACGAGAATCGGAGAACGCACGCTTGGAGCTTGCGCCCACTGGCGAGGCCTCGGCATCTCCGGAAGTAAGGCGAATCGGCGCGTGAACAGAGGTAATGAGGCGACGGATTTGCTGCTCCAAGTCGGCGGTTGCGCTCGAGACGCGTCGATGCGCCTTGCCCTTGACCGCGCTGATCTTCCGTGGCCTTGGTCCGGGGGAATCTCTGGACTCATTGTCTGAATCCGAGTCGCTAGGAATCACAATCGGCACCTGTTGGGACTTGGTCCTCCGCTTGTGCATGGCAGAGTTCAGCGGTGGCCGCGGCATCATGGGATTCCGCTTGCCAGGAAGTACCCGAAGGGAAGGAGAGTCGTTCGGACTGCCAACGGGGCTAGAAAGCTGTGACTCTGCGGGGGAACTGGAGTCGCCCTCGATCCGAAGCTCAGGTGTATCCATCATAGGGGCGTATCCATCGCTGCTGATAGACGAAAACTCCTCCTCTTCAGTCGTAGCCAGTGGTCCTCCGGAATGAGAATGACGTCTCCGGGGGCTGCTGTTGTTAGATTGCGGCTCCTGCTTGCTGCTGGAGTTGCTGTCACGCCTGGCATCCACGCCCTTGACCTGCGACTCAAGCGAGGTAACCGAGGCTCGTCTCTCCACGGACTCGTGGATGCTACTTTCGGCGATCGCTTCAGAGTCATCGCTGTCAACCTGTTCGGCATCCAAGTCGAACGTACGGAAGCGATCTGGCTTCGTCGGCGTGCCTTCGATCGTCTCTAGCCGCTGAGCGAACTTGAACGGCGAAACGTGGAAATCAGGCTCAGACCGAGATCGCGAGCGCTGATGACCGCGCTCGATGATGTGGCCCGATTTGTGGGGACTAAAAGTTGTGCTTGTGCGATTCAATTTAGGTACAGGTGCGAGCTTGTCGTCCGCATCGGAAAGTAACCTGTGCTCGCCATTGTCTACGGCTAGATGGGACTTTCGCGGGGTGTGGAGCGCGCCGAAGCCGAATGGTTGATCTGCACCGCGTGCTGATGTCGGCCGGGTCAGTTTCTCCGGCGGTCTGGACATTAACATGTCGAGCTCAAAAATTCGCTTCTGTGCGTCGGCCGCCCATTTGCTGTAATCCGTCTCAACCGCCTCGAAATCATCTATCCAGTTGTCGGGAAGAACGTCGTTCATGCCCTCGAGTGCGTCCAGCATCCGGTCCAGCTTCCGCCCCAAACTCGTGATCTTGCTCTGCAGGTTGTCGCGGGTTTTGGTGATGTCCTCCTTCCAGCCGTCGAGCTCCTTCGTGGAATTCTGAGGATCGTCAGGAAGATCCAACGCGTTCCATCCCAAACGCATAGCCTTCATCACGTCGTCCAGGCCGGTGAGGAAATGCGGCACTTCTTGCAGGACCAACAGGCGGACCGACCACACGCGCGTCAGCTGGCTGAGATACGACAGGCACGGAAGAGCCTGCAGCATGGTATGGGTCACGACGTAGGAAAAGTCGTCCAAGAGGTGGAGCTCGGCGCGTTTGTTGCCGTAACCTGAGGTGGGCCGGGGTCGTTCCATGGGATACATGTCCAGGATGTATCCTTTGAGTTCGTCCATGTTCAAATCCTCCAATTCTTCCTTGATCGTGTCCAGGCGAACGCCGTATGCCATCACCGTCGAGGCGGGCAACGAGCCCCAGTACGCCGACTCATCGTCGTTGTCCGTGCCGGCAGCATCCTTGTTGAAGCCTTGCGTGTCCTTCTCCTGAGCGTACGGGTCGCGATGCAACGGCGGCTCGAAGGTGTCGCACCACGTCCATGCTTCCAGCTCGGCGCACCAGTCCTTGATCTTCTTCGTGGCGGAGGCGACGCGCGCGCCTAGGTCCTTCTCGGCGGTGGTCACGTTGGAGATGCCGGAGAGCAGCTGCTGGGCTTCGGGAGTGGCGGATGGGTCGATGCCGTCGGTGAAGGCTTGGAGAGTGGCGGAGGGGGAGACGGCCCAGGGCTGGGATTCGTATGTGCTCATGTTTTTGCGCCGATCGCGCGTAGGCGAGTGCGAGGGGGAGTCTCTCCTGGCGCGCTCGAGCAGCGGCGCGGAGAGGGAGAGCGCGCTTGGGGGGCGCGCCGCCATTGCTGGTTGCGAAGGGGAAGCTGTGATGACCAAGTGAACATAAAGGAGAGTGATGTGTTGTGGGTGGAAAGAGTGTCGATGAGATTGGGAAGCAATGTGGGATGTTTACGACGCGTCTTTCCGAAATGACGGCTTGCAAGCTACGGTATTGAATGCCCGTCGCAGCCAATTTGACAAGGGCGGCGATGATTATTGGCCAGACCCGGGCCGCCGCGGCCGGGAAGCTCATCCCTGCCTACAACAGGCACTCAGGCACTAGTGGCCGCCTGCCCCAGGTTCCATGCTACAGCCGCCAGGGACAAAGATGCGCTGGCTCCAGCCGCGCGCGAACCCCGTTTGTTCAACACCACAGCACTCATCGCGACCTCACCGCTCGGCTGATTGCCGTCCACGGGCCGCCCACGCTGCCCATCTGCTCCACGATGTGCCGCTCCAGTCCACTGCACTAACCCTGGTCGCTACTAGTAACCGCCGTGTGGATCTAGCCCTACCGTAGCACGCTGCCGATCCAAGAGCCCCCTCTCTGCTCAGTGCTTCTGCTTTTCCTTCTCGCGGCGGGCCTGCTGCACGAGGGCGTCAACCCTAGCCGACGTCAGTCCGTAATCCGTCAGGGGCTGAGGCTAATTTTACCTCTGCAAAGCGCCGAAGCCTTCGATAAAGCACGAAGCGACCCACTGCCACCACAGCCCACTCAGCTGCGCCACGTTGTGCCGCTGCAGCCTGCGCGCCATGATGGATGCCTCGACGACGTGGATGCCTATCATCAGTGCCAGCACAACCGGCTGAACCTGGGCCACGAAGGCGGCGAAACCGGGCGAATAACTGAGCACGTGATCGTAGATAAACGACCCTGGGAGTGCATTGGCCCGACGTGAAACGAGCACGTACGTAAGAGCACAGACGACGAAGACGACAGCGTGCGCTCCTCGCGGGCGGGTGTATTGTTTGACGGTAATGTCGCTTCGGCCCAACCCGACGAGACAGTCTCTGTCCATTTGCACGAGACGCTCGCGTGCTTCACGCCATGACTGCATCGGAGGCTCCAGCGGGATCGTGAACTGCCGCCCGGCGGCGTCGACGCTCATGGACCCGAGGGAGATGTCGCTCAGGCGCGCTTTGCTGGCAGTGAATGAGGAGGCCTTGCAGTAGTGCTCGACGTATCGTGCAATCTGACTCATCATCAGCTCGACGCGGCCATGGCGAGCGAGGTGTGGGCACGCCTACCGAGTCCTGGTGGTCAGCGTTCATGTGCGACACGATGCGCTGCTTGGCAGCAGCCTCCTGGTCGGCCATTTTGCGGTCTCGTTACGGCGTCTCTGTGTGTCGTGAAGCGAGGTGGTCGTCGTGCAAGAGAGGACAGGAGATGTCGCGGAGATGGTCGGCGAGATAGCCACGATCCATCTCCGGCTGCGGCGGAGGATGCCGGCTCGTCGGACGGGTGGTTTCCCGCCAGCCCGCTTCCACCCACACTGTGCGACCCCGGGTTCGATTTCTCTCCGCTCCTCCCGCTTCCCTGTGCTCCCGTGCGACGATGCTAATCGCAACACAGGCCCACTCCTATTGTCCGTGTTCTAGTATCGAGGAGCGACTAGCACTCTAGCGGCGCGGAGGAAATCACGATTGTCCAGAGACAACTGCCGGTGCCGGAATCCTCCTTGCACTTGCGGCGCATCTAGAGAACGCTGCAGACCCTGATGTGCTTCTTGCGTAAATCTTAGCTAGGCGTCCGCCTCTGTGGAGTAAGCGCAGAGCCGGCGACAACACCAGTGGCAGCATCACCCTCGATCTTCACACCATGTCGCAAGCCACACGAGCGTTTCCGGACGTCGGCTACTTTCTGAGACCTGGTCCCCCCAGTCACGTCGTCCCCTTGCGGCCAACGGAATGCAGCCAGCCGTTGTATTAAATCATAGACGGCACAAGGTGGTGGTGATGACGACTTAACGGCGCAAACTTGGCAGCAAGCACGGGCTCCCGCAGGTTTTGTGCCAGAATCGGGATTCTTGGATCGCGCCCCACTTCCACTACGCCTGGCAAGGCTGCCGGGTTCTAAGCAAGGTTTGGTGTGCCCAGACGGTCCCTTGTCCGCACGCTTCGCGGCCCAGACGCCATGTTGCGTCAGAGGTTGTAACAGCGACCAGGGTCTCGAGCGCGTCTCCTGCAAACCTGCTCGGGTACGAGCGTGCTCATCTTTTTCACCCTCACATCTCCCGCCCATTCCTTTGGCATACTCAATCCCCAAACCACTTTGCAGTCTCCCGCCCAAAATCCTCCTCCCACTCACATCACTTTTGTATATACCCCGCCGGATACACGAACGACCACTAGAAGCGCACAATGGCGGACCGGACCACCGAGGAGAGCCAGGCCTCCCTCAACGCTGAGGGCCAGGGCAATGCTTCCGCCAGCGGGAGCCTTGGCGCAGAGGGATCCAGCAAGAAGCAAACCGAAAAGAAGGCACCAAAGAAGCTAGGCAAGAAGCAGCCCGAGCCCCAGCAGCAACCCACGCCAGAGGAATCGCCCGAGTCTGACGTCGACGTTGAAGACGCTGAGCCCGAACCTGAGCGCAAGCAATCCAGACGGCGCCAATCTCGCGGTCGTGGACGCAGGAACGTCCCCGACAGCGACACCGAGTCCGTCACGCGCTCTGACGTCTCGGCAACTGGCGGCCGCCGCAACCGCCAGAGGCAGAGGCAGAAGACGCAGCAGAAGGGCGGTGGCGGTCCCCTCGAGGGCATCACTGAGAATGTGCCCGGCGGCGAGCTTGTCAACGGCGTGGGCGACATGGTTCAGAACACAGCCGGCAACGCTGTCAACACGGTCGGCAACACGGCTGGCAAGGCCCTTGGCGGCCTGACCGGCGGCGGCAAGGACGACGACGACGACGGAAAGGGCGAGCAGCTGCGACTTCGTCTGGAGCTCAATCTGGACATCGAAGTGCAGCTCAAGGCTAAGATTCACGGTGACCTGACTCTTGGTCTTCTGTGAGTTTCCCTGAGCAGCATCTATTTGATGATCAGACGAATGCTGACGACTGAACAGTAACTAAATGCGCATCTCTTGTTTCATTACCCGATTAGTTTTAATGCACGATTTATGGTGATGTATGCGAACGGCGCATGGGGCTATTTCCTCTGAGGTGTAATGACTTCGAAATCAACTGTGTATTAGAAAGCAATCTGCAACTAGTCGGACGGGTTTCCGCGAGACTGTGATTATGCTGGTAATGCTGCGTGAGCTCAGAATTAGGTTGGCCCGATAGGCTCTTCCCCGCCGAATGCAGTGATAGGTTGCGTAACGCTTGGCAGCGGGGCGATGCCGGCTCCCGGGAAACGCTTGTCACTGGCCTCGATCATCGCGAGGTGGCGGCGGCCCTTGCCCGCTTTACGCGGCCGTTTCGCCTGACCTGCAACCTTGCGACGCACTCAGCTCCAAACCCCGGCCGCCGTTGACGTCAGGCGCCAGAGCCACCCTAGACCGTCTTTGCGCATCACCCTTGGATGTGCCATGCAGCCCGCCATGCTCAATCTTGATTTGGGCCTGCCCCAAAGCTGCCGATTCCTGCTCTAGGCCCTGCGTTTTGCCAACGTCTTTGCTGATACTGCCGTGGACTTTCTCTTCTTGCCCCTCCTTCTCACCCTCTGTATTCTCGCACAACTCCTTCCACGAACCGACTTCCATCAGCCTTTCCGCCTACCCATCCCCTGTACATACTCCCTCTTCGAACCGTCAGGCCCGCCCTTCCACCACCATGGCCGACTCCGATTACGAGGGACAAATGGCCATCCGTGAGAGGGCAGAGATGCCGCAAATGCGGACAGTTCAGCAGCAGGAGAAGATGACGAACGCCATGAAGCAGTACAAGCGCGAGACCGGCCAGCAGTCGGCGCGGTCGCGGTCGGCATCGCGGCGGGCCCGCCGGCAGCGCATCCAGAAGGCCATGGACGAGGGCAAGTACATGAAGACGAACAGCCTGGAGGCGCTGGAGGAGGCCGACGCCAACGGCGAGCTGCAGGAAATGCAGATGTTCGAGCGCATAGGCCCCGACAGCACTTCCATGGACGGCCCCGTCACCAGGGCTCGCGCCATGCGCGGCGAGATCCCCATGCGTGGCACCAACCCCAACCAGCCTTATCGCATGCCGCCCCAGGAGAAGAAGGGCTCTGCCCTCGACGACACCGACGGCCTGAAGCTGAAGCTCGAGGCCAACCTCGACGTCGAGATCGAGCTCAAGGCTAGCATCCGTGGCGACCTCACGCTGTCTCTGTTGTAAGTTCATGTTCTCTCGCTACAGTTCCTTCCCCCTTCACCCAAGAAAAATTGAAACGGCCTTTTATGGGCTGATTGTTATAATCTTGGTTATAGAGAATAATAACCCCCTGTACTATAGTGCGTGATCACGATGTGTTAACGAACGGACGTTACTTTCTTTTGGTCCCACGACAGTCAATGAAAACTACAGAAACTTTAATGAAACCCTCCACCATGCTTGTTATTCGGCCGCCCTCCGGCACCCTTTTGTGCACCGCATTTTGTACGGGGCCAGCCGATGGGGAAAGGGAGCAATTCTTTTTTGAGCGTTGGGAGTTCTGAATGGGGCCACCTCTTTGGGTATCTGGGTTGATGGGTAAAGTTAGAGAATTCACACGTCACCAATTCGATTCTCCTACCCTTGCCACACGACTCTTCTATCCCTGAGTATTGCATTGTAAAAGTCTTGGTAAGAAATATTTTTGGTTAGAGCTCGTATCGTCTCCTCTTCGTGCATGGAAGAATGTGCCTCACCATGCCCTTTCCCAAATGGCTTTATTTAGTCCGGCCAATGTAAATGTGGTGTAGCAATGATTGCCAATGCTGCACCATCCCCTTCACCCTCATGATCCTTTTCGCACTCATGCTCCTTCTTCACCACAATCTTTCCGCGCCCCTTCACCCAACTACTGTCAGCACCCTACCTACCACCCTTCCTCCCACGCTCTCTTCGACAGCATAACCAACTGAGCCGCGGCAATTATCTGCTCTTCGTCGACACCGCCAGGCGGAAACACGATGTCATTAAAGCGTGCCCCGGGAACACGTGCCAGCACAATCAACCGCGCCCGCGTCTCTTCGTCGATGAAGGTATGGTTGGTGTTCCGAGATGCGGCCTCGGTGGCATGATAGGCTTTACGGGCTGCCGATCGAACTTGTTGCTGTTGCTGTTGCTGCCGCTCGGCGGGGTGCTGGGCCGCGGTCCCGGGGGGCGCGAATCCCGGTGGCCAGCGAAAAGTGAAGGCGGCGTTAGCGGGAGCGTGTGGCGATATATACGGTTGTTGGGTAGGTTGGTGATGTTGTTGTTGCTCTCTTCGCTGGGCATGATGGTTTTGGTGATTGCTGTCGCACAGAGAATCGGGTGTTTCTGGTGAGGTCTGCATAGTGTCGGCAACGGGGTTGATGATGTTTGAAATTCAATGGAGCGATGTGGATGAAAATGAAGATGAGAAGCTCTAGAGTAAAGGGCGGTTTAGAAACCTGTCTAACGCGCCTGCTGATTTAGATAAACCCCCAGAGAGGTGCAGGAGAATATTATCGTTTGTCCAAGCTTGACACGGCATCTTCAAAGTCCTCCATCTCTATGCTTCGGCTGACTTTATCTCTCAGCCAGTTCTTCGTATCGATTCCAATAAGCAATCCGCGATCCCTTAGGACGGTGTAGATGCACGCAGCAGCGACGGCCTTGTTGGGGAAGTTATTCGCAAGCTGGTAATCCTTGCATCTACACAGAGGTCAGTGCATGATCTCCCTCCACAGAGCTTCTTTACATACGCGTCGAGAGTTCTCGCCTTGCAATCTTTTGCGATACCAGTTTCCATAAGGTCAGCAATCCGATGTGCCTCTTTCTTTTCCTTGCTCCGATTATCAAAGGCTACATCTGCATCTGCACAGCTGTCGTAGCCACCAAAGTCACCCATCGCTTCGCCCAGATAGCCAGGTAAGAAGTCAAATGGTGTTGAGATGCGTAACTCAAACTTCAAGACACGCAACAGAACGAGCTCGGTTCGGACAAAGGCGGATCGGAGTGAATCGTAAGTGGGTGATGGGCATTCCAGAGTCATTTCAGATGTTCCCTGGTGCATCAATCGCCATGCTGGCAGCAGAAAGTCTCTTACTCTGCGCGGAGATTCTTTCGCTTTGGATGCTATGGACAAACAGGCAAGTGCGATCATCTACATTGGAATTAGCAGCTCGACAACGAAATGCATACAGGTTCCAAAAGACGAACGTAATCGTCAAAATTAGGAGGACTCTCTTGTTGACGTTGAAATTTTTGGTATCTGTTCAAAACCACAAACGCCACGGCTAAACATTCCTCAGGCCTTGAAAAGTCAACAGATTGACATGCATGAAGGTGAAGAGCGAGACGCACAAACGTAAGATATCGCCTAGCAGTGTCACCATAGTGACAGCATCCATGGAAGGACTCGCTGCTAAGCTTTCGCCTTTATGTTGCATTTGCTCCATCGTCTTAGCGTGCTCGAGAGAGCAATTTGTAGTTAGTTGCCTTTCTGAAGTCTCGAAGTTGGGGTTTCAGTTGGGCAGAAAACGTCTTTGAGCAGTCATTATGCGTGAGTGGATGTAGAAGAAGCTCATGCTTTTACCAAGGCGTGCAGTGGGTGTCGGTGTGGTACGGAAGAGCGCTAGCAGCCGTTGGAGAGATAACGTGGGGCTTTGTCAGCCACGCTATTCCTGATCGGGACTGGAGAGTGGCCTGCGCTACGGTACCGGTACGCGCTTCTGCCTGAACCCTCCGTCGCGCTCATCTCAGACGCAGCCGCCCGCTGCGTGAAACCTGCAATTCTGGCGGCCGAATACTATGAGCCTCGACACTGAAAGCTCATTCAACGTCTTCATCCGGCGGAAGATCCGTGGCGCCGGGATCAGCACGTGTCCGCTGCACCCACCCGGGGAAGGGTGAAAAACATCTAATGGGTATCATGGACACTGCGAACGATTTTGATGAGGATGACGCGCTATCAGTGCCGTCAAAGTGTGCCTCATCTGCTCCAACACCGGCGACGTCTACCTCGACCTCACCTGCTTCGGTTGCCACATCTACCAAATTAACAGAAGAGCAGGCCATCCTCACTGACTTGCGGAATTATATCCCACTTGGGTCGCTCGTCGCATTCGGCCAGTCATGCGATAATGGACTTCTCGGATGTTGGTCAGAATTCGATGCTCTCCAAGCAAGAAGCCTCACCAGCCTCGGCGCTGGTCTTCAACACGCCGTTGCCACCTTGTTGGAAGCAAGATGGATTCGTGTCCAATGCACAACATCTGCATGCGGCTCCACCATTCTAAGGGTTTTCATTGTTCCCAATGACATCGCTCGCCGATTCATCGACCGCAGTCTCAAAAAGGCGAGGACCGCCCTTGCACAGGTTGTCCAAGAATTAAACGTCTCTGCAGCCGTGTGGGCTGGCCATCCTCCCGAGAAGTCTGGGCCAGCAAGCGATAAATTTGACCCTTGGGCTACTCCGGAAAATTTATCATTGTTCTATCTGTTCAACACTCTACCCTCTCCAGCTCCGAACCCTGAGAAGGTGGAAGACCCATACGCAAAAGCAGCCATGCAGGACGTTCTGGACATGAACATCCCGGGCTTAAAAGCGACACTTTATCCCTTTCAAGCGCGGTCGACTGCTTTGATGCTTCAGCGTGAAGCTTCCCAAGAGCTCCATCTCGATCCACGCTTAGAGATTCGCAAAGCACCTGACGGACAAGAATTTTACTACTGCCCTCGGGATGTCGAGTTCCTCCGAAACCCTCGTTGGTACGAAAGCAACCGTTCCGGAATTCTTGCCGAGGGCATGGGTAGAGGCAAAACCATCATAGCTATCAGTCTCATTTTAGCTACGAGGCATCATCTCCCAAAGATTCCTCCCGAGTACCAAGAAGGCCCTCCGATACGATCAAAGGTTAGCTCGCTAGTTCAGATGGCGGCAGCAGCAACCGGACGCCATTCAGTCCCTTGGAAGGCCGCGATGGCTCGTCACGAAGAAGAGACCGGTGAAGAGCTGACTGAATGCATTAAAGCCCTTACTTACAATCCCCCGCGCTACGAGATTCCTGCCGAGCCCGTGCGCTTCAATCGAAAAACAGCCCTCCCAGCACCTCGGAAAATGACCATGTGTAGCGGAACAATCGTTGTTGTTCCCAGAAATCTGCTGCACCAATGGCAATCAGAATTAGAGAAGCACGTGGAAGAAGGTCACTTGAAAGTTTTAGTCATGGACAATGCTCGGATACCTCTCCCACCGCCGCCGGAACTAATTACCTACGACCTCGTCTTGTTCAGTCGAACGCGATTTGAAGCCGAATTTCGCGATGGCTCGGACGAGAAAGGCCGTCGACCGTCTTACAGTGTTCCACTTTCATGCCAATGCCCGTACATCGGTGCAACAAGAACCAGAAACTGCACCTGCCTGAAACAAGAGGACCTTCATGATTCGCCGTTGAAGGGTCTGCATTGGCTAAGGATCATGATCGACGAAGGGCATAATTTCTCGTCGCCAACCTCAAACGCTGTGTTGGTTGCACAGAAGCTGGTCAAGGCGGAGCGACGCTGGGTAATTTCCGGAACTCCGGCTAAGGACGATCTACTCGGAGTTGAGGTGGACCTCGCATCAAATGAGTCACCTGGTATGGGCGTTGAGAATGACGCTCAGACATTGCGAGATGTTGTTCTTCAGCAACGGAAACGCTACGGCGATGAAGACTCGCGCGGCACAGGGGCCTCGAAGAGCCTTGGGCAGCTTGCAACCCATTTCCTTCAGGTCAGACCCTGGGCAGAAACGAACTACGAAGAACGGGCAGACTGGATGGATCATGTGTACAGGCATGTGGATCAAGGTAACAAGCGCCGTACCTTCGACGCGTATTCACAATGCATGAAGAAGGCCTTGGAGCAACTCATTATCAAGACCCAACCATTCGATGTTGAAAGAGATTTGATATTACCACCTCTTACTCACCGGGTCGTTAGGCTTGAGCCAAGCTTCTACGATAAAGTTTCCGCGAACTTGTTCGTTCTTGTCTTGACAGCGAATGCCGTCACGTCGGAAAGGACAGACATTGATTACCTATTCCATCCCCGCAGCCAACAAGCTCGGAACCAACTCATCACCAACCTTCGCCAAAGTAACTTTTTCTGGACAGGGTTCAGTGAGAAAGACATCGGAAATGCAATCGAACACGGATGCAAATACCTCGTCAAAGAAGATACGAAATGCTTAGAAGAAGACAGAAAGCTTCTGACGGACTGTATAGAGTTCGCGGAAGAGTTCGTTCTTGCATCAAACAATTGGAAAGCCATGAGTGCCACGCACGAGATTGGCCTCTTTGTGGACTCCTGGCCCGGCAACACCTCACATGCCTGGTCACTCGGCAAAGAACCTCCGGAGCTGTATGGTGTTGCGCAACTGCTTCAAGCTCAGGCCCACATAAATGAGAGATTGGGCAATGATCCAATGGAAGGGTTTGAAGCTGCCGGCGTTGCTGCTTCTTTGGATGCATACCGCGCAGCTGAGATGCATGACAAGAAATCCAACGCCGTCGAAGGAGAGGCTATGAAGATGGGATTACCGTCCTCGAGCACTCACGTAGAAGTCAATGTTTCCAGACTTCATGCACCATCAAAACAGCACGTGGCGCCGGGGCAGCCAGATAGCCGAAAGCCTGGGAAGAACACATCTGCTTCGGCAAAGAAGAACTTGAAGTAAGTATTCGCGTCCCCCGATGGTCTCTGCATGAAATTAACGGAATGGCAGACAAACAAAAACGGAGAAGAAAGCTCCTGATGAAACGCCACGAAAACGCCCTAGGGACAGTGGTATCGAGCTCAGTAGCGACTCGCCCTTGAGCAAGACCAAGATCATTGGGACTGTCTCTGCCAAGCTAACATACCTCCTCGAGCAAGTCATGACGTACTACAAAGACGAAAAGATCCTCATCTTCTACGACGGTGACAATGCAGCGTACTACATGGCTCAATGTCTCGACGTGCTCGGCGTCCCCCATGAGATCTACTCGAAGGGTATCTCGAACGAGCTTCGTTCCAAGTACATCGTCAACTTTGACAAAGACTCAACGCTCAGAGTGCTCTTAATGGACGTCCGCCTCGGTGCCTTGGGTCTCAACGTCAACCAGGCCTCGCGCGTCTACTTCATCAACCCCGTCTGCCGCCCGAGCATTGAGGCGCAGGCTGTCAAACGTGCCCATCGTATCGGCCAGACCAAGCCCGTCTACGTCGAGACGCTAATTCTCAGCGGGACCATCGAGGAGGCCATGTTCGAGCGGTCCAAGGCCATGACGCGCAACGAGCACCTGGAGGCGAAGACGCTGGAGGACGACCAGAAGATCACCGACATCATCAAGGGCGCGCGCCTGCTGGCCGTCGACCCGGCGGAAGCGGTGGGCGAGCGCCAGATGGCGCCGCTGGAGAGGCCGGAGCAGCTGTTCGGCAGGCCAGGCAGAGGCGCGTTGAGGAAGCTCGGAGGCTTTTCGCCGCCGTCGCCGAAGAGGCGCAAGAAGGATGCGCGGGCCTCGAGGGATGGTGCGAAGAGTTCGGTTGTTGCTGATCGGGCGATGGTCGGTTCGCCTTTGCAAGGGCGACAAGGCTCGGTGGTTGTGCGGGGCCAGTCTGGGACGCCGGCACCGCCGCGGTCGAGCCTGTTTGGTGGAGGTGGTTGAATTTCGTCAGCGGACTTTGCAGTTCTAATGGCACCGACATATGCTATCTTAGGATCTTGAGCCATAGTAGTATCACATAGAAGCAAAATATCTAGACAATTTCATACATATACCATAAGTTCTCAGGGAGCAAGCGGAATATTTTACCGGGGTGGAATTCGTCATCGGATTTCTGGAACGGAAACGGCTAGCATTCATGCATGGTGAGTCTGATGGCCACAGGATAGGATGTGATGACGATGATCTGCGCAGGGTGGTCACGATTGACGATACTGGCATTGTGAATCGATACAGCATACCGGGGGCAGAGGGGGGGGCTACGACGGCAATGACGTGAGACGTTTTGTATTCCAGCTACGGCCGGTCTACTGAAGAGACTGCTTCAAAACCTGCACAGCTGCAGCCGCAATAGGCATCGCCGCACCTATTGAACTCGCTTTGACCATTGAAAATTCCTGCTTCACCGTTAGTGGAAACACAACTTTCTTTTTGACTCGCGGTCGACTTGCCATCCTTTTAAGGATGTCCCTGGCTTCCGGGACATCGCGTAGGGACCAGGTTGGCTTCTTCATCTTGGGCACCTGCTCAATGAACTGCGTACTGGCTCCGGCGGCCTTGCTGAAGATTTGGTACATGACAGCCGTGTCAAGGCCAACGGCCTCGGTGAAACCCATGGTTTCGGCACATGTGGCGAGGTGGGTGCCAACGAATATGTTGATGATGTCTTGCACTGAAACGGCGTCTTGACGGGGAATCAAAGTGCATCCCGGTTTCGTCATTTGGTGCACCGTGTCATCGGGATAGCCGGAAAGGTACAGACGCCAGAGAGTCGAATCGTCATCCTTGGCCCAGCCCGCGTTAATGCCGGCCTTGTATACTTGCTCGGCGGTGGCGGTGAGGAAGACTGGATAGTCCACGAGCCGTGAATAGTTGACAATGATCGACTGGGTGAGCGAATATCGTCAGCACGGCTATCTCTAATTAAAAGGGCGGACTGACAGAGTCTTTCAGACTGTTTGGGACTGCGGAATAGACGCTCTTGTCCCCTTCCAGCATATGTGGAATCCGATTTCCGTTGACCCAGCTCCATCCATCACTAGCTTGAACTGCATCAAAGGTCGCCTGGGTGTTTAGTCCTGCTTTTGCTGCGAAGGCCATGACCTCATTCGATAGAGCGATTTGAACCTCAGGGGGGATTTGATGACACATCTTAGCCTTAGATCCAAAGCCGATACCCCCCGGGATCCGGCACAGCTTCGTGCCCATGCCCTTGAGCACCGGCTGAGCCTTATCCAGGCCATCGTCTGTCCCAGAGCTGAAGATGGTTAACGTTCCTGCCGCTGCACCAGTCGTGCCGCCTGAGACGGGACAGTCGAGCAACGTGACATCGCGACGACCAAATTCACCGTGCAGCCGGCCTTGCACTTCTTCGCAAAACTCTGGCGGAACGGTTGAGGTGATGATGATGATAGCGTTTTGCCGCAACCCGTGGACAGCTCCAGTGTCTTTGTCGAATAGCACCGCTGATACTTGACCCGGCCCTACCACCATTACGACCAACATATCAGCAGCTCGAGCGGCATCGGCAGGGCTTGTGGCAGCTTTGCCGCCCGCCTGAACGAGCTTTTCGATGGACGGAGGATAAATGTCATAGCAACTGACGGGAAAGCCTTTTGTAACGAGTTGTTTCGCCATCCCGCCTCCCATGGCTCCAAGACCGACAAAACCTACCTCCGGTTGAGCCATGTTTTGCTGGTGTAAGATGCGAGAAAGACGACGAGTAGATGTTCCAGATGGAACAATGGACTGGCTGATAGTGACTATGAAGCTCTCAGGGTGCCATATTGTTATGTCTTCCACAAATTACCAATCCCGTTTGACAGTGACATATGCTCGCCGAGGTGGGGAGTGCCCCGCCATCCGTTTTCCCCTCTTTTCCTGAAACGGAAGTTCCGCTGAACGGGCCAGTATGCTCTGCATTACAGGGGAAATCTACTACGATTGGTTCCCGCACGATCTCCGTCCTACCCCACCTAACGGAGTTACTGTTCTGGGAACCAGGTGGTGGTACGAGAGGCTCATCCTGCGCGCCTCTCGGAAAAGCGTTCTCACTCGCAATATTCTGATCAAAAATCCTGGATTTCCTCTCTTAGAGATCTGAGCACTGACCCCGCCGCTGACGAGACCTGTAGTCGCAGTAATTACAAATCCTTCCAAGGTTGTCTACAGCTGGGTGCGATAAACGTTCGACACTGCCTGCTCGTTCAGCATTGACGACATACCAATCAATTATGGCAGCATCAAACCTTCAGGACAACAAAACCCTTCAGATTCTACGTAAAGCAGCTCACGGCCATTATGGGGTGCTGGCTGCCATAGTGTATATCCAGCCCAAATACCCGAGCAAGAGAGACAGTTTCTGATGATTAAGCTTCAGGTACAGCATGGAGCATATCCTGGGCGTCGTCAGGGCCGCCGAACGAAAAAGGTCGCCTCTGATAATCCAACTTTTCCCATGGTCAATCCGCTTCTCGAACGGCATCCTCGTTCATGCGGCTGCTCAAGCTGCCAATCAGGCGAGCGTGCCCATAGCCGTGCATCTCGATCACTGTCAAGACGAAGAGATAGTGAAAGAAGCCTGCGAGTTGCCCTTCGACTCAATCATGGTCGATATGTCACACCACTCAAAGGCAGATAACCTCTCCAAGACAAGGGAATTAGTTGCGTACTGCCATGCCAAGGGGAAGGCAACTGAAGCTGAACCTGGCCGGATTGAAGGGGGTGAGGATGGAATCTCGGACACGGCAGATTTGAGTGGAGAGATGACCACCTACGAGGAGGCGCAGGCTTTTGTTGATACGGGTGTCGACACCCTCGCTCCAGCGGTCGGAAACGTTCACGGGGAATATGGGCCGAGGGGGATTGTTATTGAATGGGACAGGTTTGTTCATACCATTTCCTATGCCTCCTTCTCTATTGAGCTCTCTCGGTGATCTTTTTTCACTCTGGGAATCAAGAACAAGCTTCTTGCTTGTCTTGCTGACTCTTGGTGCTTCCGCAGACTAGCCAGAATCCATGAAATTGTCTCATCGAGAGGTGTCTTTGTTGCACTTCACGGTTTCAACAGATTCCCCGATGATCTGACGCGGAGATTGATTGCGGCTGGCGTCACAAAGGTCAACGTTAACCGGGATGTCTTGGAGGGATACTACGGGCTTGTTGGGCAAAAGATCAACAAGATACCATTTACTGAACTCCTTGAAGAAGGCGTTGAGGTGGTTGCAGAACGTACAAGTCACTACATGGACGTTGTACTTTCAAGTGGTAAAGCCTGAGTGAGAGTATCAACCTCAGCCTACTTTCTGGTTTCATGGCTTTATCTGTGTTCTTCAAATTTTACTCCCCCCTCTAATCTTGATGTTCGTGATTGCTATTATCCTGCTCAGCTGGCAGTAGAATCATGTGGTTATGATCATATAGCAAGGACGAGATTGACACTGGATATTCTACAATTTGATGAAGTATTGAGGTAACCAGCTAGGCATCCGTCACTTTTAAGCAGCAGCCCCCTCGAGCCCAACATACAACTTGTATCCAAACACGTCACTTGGGTCATTGAACCTTGCTTTCTGATCCATCTGCGCGATTTTGCTCAAATCTTCCTCATCGAGCGGGATAGAATCGGCCTCCAAGTTTTCCCGAATCTGCCACTCTATCGTGCTTTTTGGAATCAAGCACCGTCCATTGACGACACCCCAGGCTAGAGCAATCTGAATGGGTGATTTTTCATGTTTCTTGGCAATCTCGAGGAGGACAGGGTGGTCGATCAGGCGCGTCATTTTCGCTATGTCCTTGGCCCACTCCACGTTGCGGTAAAATGCGTTGAGATTACCGCTAGGACTGAATTGTATGATCTTGATGCCCTTGCTCTCATGCCAATCGACAAAATCCTTTTGTTGCAGATACGGGTGCATCTCCGTTTGGTGGATGGCCGGGACCTGCAAGGTCAGCGGTAATGACCTTGTCTCTTCTCGCAGTTTACTTACCACGCTACCTTCCTTCAAAATGCGCTCTATTTCAAGCTGACTGAAGTTGGACACACCGATTGCCTTGACTTTACCGGTATCGAGCAGCTTCTCCATGGCCTTCCACGTGTCGACAAAATCAGTTGAATCGGGAATGATCTTTCCGTCAGGCCGGGATGGCATCAAGTCAGAGCCACGCTTGAAGGCGCAAGGGTAATGCATGAGGTAGAGGTCGACATAGTCAACACCCAGGTCCCTGAGCGAATCGTCGAGGGCGGGCTCGACATCATCGGGATGGTGGGCGTTGCACCAAAGCTTCGTCGTGATGAAGATCTCCTCGCGTGGAACCCCGCTCCGTCTGATGCCACGTCCCACTTGCTCTTCGGTGCCGTAGCTAAAGAACCATGGCCGTTAGTTTGCAACGTGCAGATAGGGCGATGAGGAAAGACGGACTTGTGCGCCGTGTCGATGTGTCGGTAGCCGCATTTCAGAGCAGTGTAGACGGACATTTCCTGCTCGTCGGGGTCTTGGAAAGTCCCCAGCCCAATTGAAGGCAGAATGTGTCCAGTGTTCAACGTGACAGTTCTACGCGGGTATCGCCCTAACCCAGACGTTGTAGTCGCTATTTCTCTCATGCCAAGCTTCTGAGACAGAGGTGGGGTGGCGATAAGTCTCGTCCGCATAATCGCAGGATTGGCAATTCTGGACATGGTCCTGGTCCACTGAGCCGGCCGCATTGTCGTTGGATCTGCTATCGGGTGTCGCGCGTCGTTAGCTGTTCGATCGAGTGTTGCTTGAAAGCTTGACGCTGCCTGTATATCGACGATGTTCGGAGACGCTGAATATTTGACGCCATCGCATTTGGCATGTTGCCCGCACAGCGTGGGGTATTCAGAAGACGATGCAGCTCTTTCCAAATGGGGCAGCGCGCAACATGCACCATTTCCGGGACCTGGTTTCGCGGGGTAACAGCATCCATAAATCAAACTAAGCCTAGCGTTTGGAGATAAAGCGCAGTCCCTACATGTTTGCTCGTTTCAGTGTGCCGGATTTCCGAATGGAGACCCGGTGCGGAACTGAGGAACCCCACAGAACAGTGCAACATTTCCGGTAATACTGCATCCAGTAATAATGCCGATCATATCCCCTCATACAAGTGACTTCTTAGCCCGAAAATTGGATGGTGTTTACTATCTGCAAGGTAAAAGAGTCGTGCTACTGCAGGTTTACATACATGCCACCATCCACCAGTACCTGAGCTCCTGTCATGTAACCGCTAAGTTGCTCAGAAGCCAAGAACACGGCTGGCCCCGCTATATCCTGTGGCTTGCCCACTCCCATCGGAATACGCTGCTCGAGGTACTTCCGCTTCTCTTCGTTCTGGAGGTCTTCGTGTGATAGGGGAGTGCGAATGGCCCCTGGAAGCAAAGCATTACATCTGATCCTATGTTTTGCCAATGCGACCGCCATCGACTGCATCATAGAAAGTACGGCTGCCGTTGACGGGGTATAATGAGTTTGCAAACGTCCGCCCTGAAGAGCACTAATTGAAGAAATTCCAATGATAGAACCCCCGCGACCCTACTTTACCATTTGGTTGGCTGCTGCCTGGCAAAAGTAGAACGCCCCATTAATATTGACGCGGATCGTCTGGTCAAAGAGCTGCTTGTCGAGCCTGGGTATGATGCTGTCAACAATGCTTTCTGAGCCAACAGTATTGGATAACTTACGTAAGAAATTCCGCCGGCTTGGCGATTCCAGCGTTTGCAACAGATATGTCCAATCCGCCCCATTTCTTGACGGCCGCATCTACGAGCGCTTTGCTCGCTTCTGGCTTCGTCACATCGCCAGCGACTTCAATGAGCTGTCCTGCCGGAGCCTCCTGAGTGGCAGCTTTGCGAAGATTCTCGGCTTCTTCAATCAGGCTGAGCTTATGCTGCTCATCACCGGGGAGGCCGAGATGGTTGACGGCTACGTTGGCACCTTGCCTGAGGTATTCGAGTGTGATTGCGCGACCGATCCCATTTGTGCCGCCAGTAATACAGGCTGTCTTTCCCTTCAGCAATCGCAAGGCCATTCTTTGAGAAGGAGAGGAAATAATTCCGTGTGATAAAGATTAATGAAAATCGAAATGGGTAGGGAGAATGACAAGCTGGTTTGATATCCAGAGAGTGACCTGTTCCCAAGCAAGACGGTTTTGATTCTTGCTCGGCATGCTCCTCTGAGCAACTACCCCATACTCCGGTCTCCGTGATACTTATTTCCAATATAGAAGCCCCCACAAGACATGCATCAACAGTTTGCGCCTGGCTTGGCGTATACTCGATGCTTCCAAAAGAGGTAACTCCGACAGGAATTACCGGATGTGGAACTCGTGCGTGAAGATCATGCAACGTCGGACCCCCACAGGATACTGAACAAGTAACTGAAAATATTTCGCGTTAGTTTTACAGCAGTTTTCTTAATATCTAGAGCCGGCATCACCCACTTACCCCGCACTTGTGTCCGACTGTGTCATCGGCTTCAACATGGCCACGGAGAAGAGCCCAGATGCATCGTGGCGTGTTCACGACAAGGCTTTCCTTCGCATCCAGGGCACAGACCCGTCACTGGAACTGTTGTTGACTGTCGACTCGTATCCTTTTGCCCATGAGGCGGGCGTTTTCATTCCATCGACGAACGAGCTTTTCATCACGAGTAACCGGTACCACGACGAAGATGGCAGCCAGAAGGTCCAGATATGCAAGGTCACCCTTGGGCCTCCTGTATCCTTGGAAGAGATCCATTGTCCTGAGATCGCCATGGGAAATGGAGGGGTGAACTACGGGGAAGACATTCTTTTCTGCGCCCAAGGCTCGATGACCCAACCCAGCGGCTTATTCTCCATGTCTCGAACACCACCATACGCGGTCAACCCGGTTTTGACCGATTTCCACGGCCGTCCCTTCAACTCCGTGAATGATGTGGTTGTGAGCCAGGATGGCAGCATCTGGTTCACGGACCCTCCATATGGCCACAATCAGGGCTACAGACCACCACCTACCCTACCCAGTCAGGTCTATCGCTTCGATCCGGCGACTGGGTCGATTCGTGCTATGGCCGATGGTTTTGGACGACCCAATGGCATCTGCTTTTCGCCTGACGAAAGTGTCGTTTATGTCACGGACACCGATTTCGTCAACGGTAATGGCTCCACGGACGCGAGCAAAGCTTCTACCATGTCAGTTCTGAAAATGATTTCAATGGTGCTTCATGCTGACCTGTCCTAGCTATGCTTTTGATGTAGCAAGTCGTCACAGCCAACCATTCTTGATCAATCGACGATTATTCGCCTTCGCAGACAATGGTGTCCCAGACGGTATAAAGTGTGACATGGAAGGAAATGTCTATAGTGGCTGTGCAGACGGGGTCAATATTTGGTCACCTGGAGGAGTACTTTTAGGACGAATCCTTGTCGGTGGTGGAGCTGCAAATTTCTGCTTCGGGCGAGGTGGTGAGATGTTTATTCTTAACGAACACCGGCTATGGAGGGCACAACTAAGTAGTTCAGTCAAAGGTGCACTCCTACGAGTTTAATGTGGCTTGAATAGCCGCCCAATTTCCGATGGTCGTGTTGAGCGTATTTCCTCTTCGGAGAGTGTTGCGAGGCAAAGGCTGGATGGCTTAATGTGATTATTGCCATCGTCAGCATAGGAATCCTTTAATTCAGGACGGGCTGTAAAGAATTGCTGGCCGAAGTACGCGGACAAAGTGAGATTGAGATTGAAGAAGCTGCAGTTCATTAGCCTATGGTTCTGTGCCTTCATCGGGTTTAAAAAGGCTTACCACGAAGGATCGATCGGCCTTGTCAGGTCTCTTCTTATTGCGTCCGAAATACCACCCGGCGGCTCATACGCGATAAGGTCAAGAGACGGCGGTCTTTCCTCACTTTCTAGAAGCGGGAACAAAGCCAATAAAGTTGGGTTTGCTGAGATAAGGAGCAAGTGGAGGATCTTGCCGCGCTGGTGATACTGTTTGAAATCTTCCTCGGCCACCCGCCTGCTGACTCCCTGATTCGTCACAGCATCCACGATCTCTTGTTTTACGATAACGTCCATTCGTATAGGGCGTCGTGGCTCATTGTGCACTTGCGCTGAGGTGCTTGTATTGATGAGGCGCTTTTTGTTGTTCCTCCGCTGGTTCGTTGCTCTTTTTGCCTGAAATTGTCTCTTCTGAACCATGGATTCAAAATGCTGGTAATACATTACTTGCTGGAATGCAAGCGTGTATTGAGCAACCCAAGATATAGTGCGGAGGGTGTTAATGGTGTAGTGGAGTTGCAGTAGCATATGCATACCGCCGTTGTTGTCTTCGTCTGTTGTAACTGGCGGGGCCACGGCTGCTGCTGCGGCGGAGTCCGTTAAAAGTTGTTGCCTGATATTCAGGAGCAAAGACACGTTGGCAATTTCGCAGATGCATTGCAAAGTTCTTAATACCCTTACGGCTGGCTGGGTAGTAGGGGCATTTTGGAGAGCTTGGAGGATGGCATCGGCATTGAAACCCCCGCCCTGCGCGGCACGGAAAACGCAATCTCTCCAGTAGTTAATTTCCGGCTGAAGCACTTGACTGAGTGGATCTGCGGCAATTTCAGTTGATGCCTGAGAAGAGCTGTCGTTGCCCTCATCTCTTATGCCGTCATCGTCTTCAATTTCGTTGTTGGCACTGATGAGTGATGCATTGCGTTTGCGAGGATTTGTTAACTCGATAGCCATGTAGGAATGTAGTGTCTTGAAAGGATCAGATCCGGACATATTTGCTTCCATGGTCGGCATATTTAGGCTGACAAGTGCGTTTGACAATACATTGATGCTGTCGGTGCCTGATGCTCTTGTCTTCTCGCACTCGTTACTGTCATCCTCTTCTTGCTCCTCTCGCTCTTCACCATCCTCGTCCTCTTCATCTTCTTTTCCTTCCTCTCCCCCCTCATCTTCATGCCCTGTAGTGCCCTTACCCGCCCGAATTTCAAAGTGCTCAGCGGTGGGCGGATCGGTTTGTGCGCAGCCCTTTCCACAGAATCTATATCCATCGGGCGGTCCGGACCAGTCAGGCATGGCGAAATTGATTGCTTGGGCGTAATTCGCACCGGCATTGACGACTTGGTGGTAAGCGCCGGGCAGAGTGATAATCATCTCGCCAGCACTGCAAGATACAATTTGGTACGGGATCATCCACTCGTCAAGCAGCTTCGGAGAGAGAAGCGCGTTCAAGTGGCGTACAAACTGCGAGCAAGGGAGTAACCGGCGTGAGCCTTTTGCCAATTTTTTCTCCATCTTGGCCTCCAATGCCTCGAGATATTTGGGTGAGATTATCAACCATACTTTAGGCGCGCCGGCGAGGACGACGTTTGCGGATCCAAGAAATGCGTCTTCGACGTGAATTCCAGTGGCAGACTGGGCTGCTGAGCTTATGTATTCGTACGCCGTGTGGATCCCAACAATCCTACCAGCAGTGCAGGTCAGCTGATCACCGCAGTGAACGTATGGCTCTGGTGGCAGGCCAGCAGAAGTTCTCCATTCGGGTGTGCATTCGGTGGGTATGACCAGATACGGTTTCTGAGTGCTTTCCGAGGCATCCTCGACTGTGGAGCAGAAGAGGTCCCGCCCGTTCAGATCTGCTGTATCCTCGGCTACCTGCATATCCTCGAACGTGAAGTCTGAGACCAGGTGACCGTCCTTTCTGGTAGCGATGAAAACGGAGCACACCATTTTCTTGTGCCCATTCCAAGGTTTGAGGATGACAGCAGCAGATTGATGGCCTTTAAGCTCGCTGACGGTGTAGCTTCTCATGGCCATGTAATCTACGCCGCGTAGCACATCTCTATCAAGGCGAACTTTACAGTATCCGAGATGTTTGCAGTCCGGGAAGCTCTCCAGAACCTTGTAAATGGTTGGCACAAATGCCTCCTTCATTTGCGACAGCCCAAATTTGACAGGACCATGGTAGAAGCCAGATGAGCTTTCGGTTGCATTCGATGCAGCCGAATCCGAATTAGCCGTTGTAAGGCTCTTGCGGAGCTGTTGTTCTCTATCAACGGCCTTGGACAACATGCCTAATTGGCGAGCAAGCGCGGCGATGCTCCGCTTGAGCTGAGGAATCTGTTTCTTCACGGTGGCGAGTTTTTCATCAGACGTGCGTGGTATGAGCTCTTGGGCGCGCGATAAGGCCTGGTCTAGCAGTTAACTAGCGGGAACCCCTCCTGCGCTGATCCGGTGGTTTTCTCATACCGCCCGCTCTGACGAGACTTGAGTCAAACTGCTCTTTAGAGTTAGTAGATCGGCCGAAGTGTGGCGGGCCCTGCCCATGATCGAACGAATGTGCGAGTTTCAGGTGTGTTGTGGACGAATGGATGAGGTTGACGAGGCGGGGATGTGGTGTTGCCGAATCCGGTTTAGCGGCACAAGGTCAACAGGTTTTGGGGCTTGACCTTGTGCCACTAGTGTTTCTTCAGGACTAGCGTAGTGTCCCTTCCTCCACGCTCTAGACTTTATGCCACATGAATACTCCTGGTTACTACTTCTTCAACTGTGGCCCATTTCAAGGTCGGATTTGGCGTGATTTATTGGTCTCACACAAGTGCCCGTTGATCGTAAGCGCGAAACCTATCTGTTTACGCGATTAAGCTAGCTACTTTGTGGCCTCAGCTGATTGATATTTCTTTGCCGCTAGCACTTATGTACTACCTTCGCATTTATTTGAACGTTGGTTGTCTGTGTGATTAGTAGGCAGGCAGGGAATCTGCGAAGCCTTTTGAAATCTTTGAAAAGCTCATGGCAATTTTCCCGTTCCCGACTGTGCCGCTCTCATTATTTGGAAAGTGCATGAAGACTGCGACAACGTCCGCCGTAAGTAATTGCGCTTTGTACGAGTAAACTTGGAATTCTCCATCCTATCTATCCTGATAGGTCGATGCAAAGGCCGCGCACTGACAGTCGGGCTCGTAGCCTTTATACCATAGACGTATCCTTCCACTTCGGCCTGGCCGAGCATTTCGTGCGCGGGGACCGCTTCTTTGCGTGTGGAGCCAAGGCTGATCCTTCAATTCAAATGCTGAGCTGGTGGGATCCTATCCGATGTCAGAGACGTGATCAAGCATGATTGGCAACAAATTCAGCAATGGAAAATGGTCCAGACCATTAAACCTGCGGTTAATAATCTGACAGAGAGACCACACGCTTATTAATCCTTGCATGGTAGCACCATGCAGGATTGCGGCGGTCAAATGGCACCAATCTTAGCCTGATACGTGTCTTGGCTTCTGCGCATGTGCCAGATACCCCGCCTTCCTACACTACAGCAAGATAGTTTCAAAATCAGTAGCATCTAGAGCTTGCACGTCAAGCCTTGAAGGGACATGAGAAGGGCGACATGGCGCATCTTGATACCACCTAAGAAACATTCCTATTGGTTACTTTGCGTACAAGTTGTTGAAGGTAGGCTATCACGCGTGGCATACCCCTCATGCACGTTAGAAGTTTCCAATGTTCAGACAGCTTATACTACAATATCATATTCTAGGCTGTGGTAAAATTTTGTGCCAACACCTGCATGAGCTTCGCTGGCTATTATCGAAGAGCATAAAAAGAGGAGCTTGTCTTGATCCTTGAGGGTTTTTTTTTTCTTTCCCTTCAGTCTCCGGCTCAGTACCTCCCGCTCATCAACCAGTGCGTGTACCTTCTACATCTCCATAAGCCAGTACGCCTTTGCCCTAGATCCCTCGTTAGTAAGCATAAACATCTCATCCCATAGTTCTGCTTAGGTACTCACGGTTATGAAATAACGTCTAGCCACCGGCGTAGCCTGAGCATGCCTCCAGTAACTTTCAAATATTCTGAGCCTGAGCAAGAACTCAAACCATAGCCTCGATCGGTAAGAGATTCAGGGCGATGGATATGCAAATCATGGTGCTAAGAGGCGTGGAAACCAACAGTGGACTAGCTAGAAATGACCGCTTTAGTTATGGGACCTCACTATTAAAATTAGATGTTTTCTGATATCCTCAGCTATCAGTAGTAATAACACCAAAGTGATGTGTTAACAGTGATATTCTTAGTCCAACGGCTAGATACTGATTGATAGACTGTGTAACTTTAATCTTTTATTGAGATTTATACTACTGCGTCTTTAAGCTTTCATACTACTCGGCGTTTCCGCCTAAGTATGACGGTGCCCCTGCTACTTTCTGTACTACCGTCGAGCAGAAAGGCTTACATTTCGCCCAGCCTTATTATGTTTTCCCCCGTTTCTCTCCTGACTATTTGTGAAGAATAATATTTTTTTTAGTTATTCATTCATGGAAAGACAACATCAGCCAACCTGGAGCACTACCCCGATTATAATGTAGTATTTAGCCATAAAGGCAGCCTCGAAATGCTTTTACTAAATATAAGAGTGCGAAGTAAACTACATGTACTTGTAATGTAGTCTTCAATAGCTTTCTACAAATAGAAATGTGCATGAATCTCAGCGCTGTATAATTTGTAGGCTTTCTTCACTAGTATAAATGATGTTGTCTTCTTCCGTAGCCATTTACTCTTTCAATTCAGACCAAAAAATAAAATCAGTCACGGCGCCAAGACTAGGCTCTTTAAGATTTCTAGTCATCAGATTGATATGACTTAGCTTAAGACGTGAAGGAATTTTTGCTAAGGATGGGCTATCGGCTACTCTAGAAAGTAAAACACGATGAACACTGCTTCCGAGTGGCCAGAACCGCTGCCACATTAAAGTTTGTTTACTGGAACCATCCGAGACAATTATGAAACAGCGACCTTCTAGACCACTCAGACTACCAGTTATTTTGATTCTTCTTACCTCAAAGATCACATAAGATGTTCCGCAAGATCCGAAACCACCGTCTCGGATGGTTGAGTCGAGGCCAGAATGGTCTTCAGAACCTACACGAAGACACGTGGGTCTTTGAGGTGGGTCGGCAAGTAACACATTGGGTGAGAACTGCATGAAACATTGCAAAGCAATACTTGAAAAGGCGTGGTCTCTCTTTAGTGGCTGACAAAGGGAACTTACTCATTGGGTACGAAGGCGACATTCAATTTCTCAGCAAATGGACTGTCCGGTTAGCTCTAGTCTTGCAGGAAGTCACGAGCCATGTGCATGTGGTTACCCTTTGTCATAGCGGCCGTGATGCTCACACCACCATGTTTCCGGACTTTGAGGGGGATCAGTGTTGCCTGGCTGGGCCCTGTGGGCCTTTTGTTACTTTATTGTCAGCCGGCATAAAAGCTTATTCTGTTCAACCCCAGTTTATTCACTTCCATTTCCCCCAACGATTTACGAGAAAGTTTGCCCTTTATAAATACCACGAAAAGACACTATCGACAGCCAAAGGCAGTCCAGCACTTCCATTTCCAGTTCTATTCAGGGCCAAGGTATGTACCGACTCCAATTGCATATAAAAGACCGCCGCTTTGCCATCAGGCTTTATAGCGCCTTGTATGATTCAGCTAAACTGACTATGAAGATCAAAACAGAACAGCGCCTAGATAAACTCTCCTGTATGTCCCCTCCGGCCTTCGTCTTTGTGTTCGCCAGTACAATGCTGAGAGCAACTACCTCCAGCAGCCCATCAGACCAAAATCGTTTGCCGCTCAACCATGGATCCTCACCCAAGAGATGGTTATGGTGCGGGGGAGCATGGGAATGGATATTAGTCAAGGGGAACGAAAGCCTGGAATTGCACTAATCAGGTAGAGAAATCGATCAGTGTAATGCTTAATCATGACTTACGCAATGTCTGTCGTATGAGTGCTGGGCAAAACTTTTATATCTATTGACTTGCAACACAAAATCACCATATGCCAACAGCAGCAATCCGACCATGCATGAATTTTCGTGTGGTCTCACCGAACGACGACCGTTGTGTTCAGTTCGTTATCATAAATCTTGTTACGTGGTGAATTTGTTTTGCATCAAATATAACATAATCATAACTAGGCGCTTGCATTCGACCAGGGAAGAAGCCAAAAGCAAAGCTCCTTAGATGCTGACGAAGAAGCTCTTCTCACCTTCCCTCGGCTCGACCCATGCCCTCTTTACAATGGGATCAGCGCAGCTCACTCTGATCCTTTCCACCGTAGCGGGACTCTGCAGACTGAGCAAGCTCTCCTCCCCAAACTCTTTCCTCGCCGCCTTTAGTGCGTCCCTGATGGCGAAGAAGACGGCCGAACCCAAGAACAGCGGGGGTTCGCCCACGCCTCTCGATCTCTGGATGGTCCTCAAGTTCTCCCAGTTAACGTCCTTCAACAGACTAACGTTGAACTCCTGCGGGATATCTCTGAAGCCGGGGATCTTGTACGCGCCAGGACCGCGGGTGAAGATCTGGCCGGACGCGCGGTGCCACAGCATCTCCTCGGTAGTGAAGAGACCCTGGCCTTGCACGAACGCGCCCTCGATCTGACCGTAGTCGATGGCCGGGTTGATGGAGCGGCCGACGTCCATCTTGATGTCAGCACGGCGACAGGTCCAATCGCCCGTCAAAGTGTCGATCTCTACTTCGGCGGCAGCGACTCCCTGAGTGAAGTAGAAGAACATCTGTCCGGTATTCTCGCCCCAGATATAGCCGATATCCGGGGTCTTGTAGAAGCCGTTGGCGGAGAGGTTGACACGGTCGAAGTAAGCGGCGTGTGCGAGCTCCTTCATGGTGGCCTCAGGCCCAAGCTTCTCCCGGTACGGCGCCAAACGCTCGTTCAACTGCTTGCACGCATTCCAAACTGCGTAGCCGTTCAGATCAGATGATGCCGATGCTGCGGTGGAGGATGTGTTTGCGACGGTGTTGGTAGCCGTTTCGGAGATGAAGACATTGTCCTGCGGAACGCCGAGCGCCTCGGCTGCGATCATTGTCATCTTGGTGTGCAAGCCCTGACCCATTTCTGTACCACCATGTGCTAGCAGTACCGACCCATCGTGGTAGATGTGGACTAGTGCACCAGCCTGGTTGAGGAAGAGTGCGGTGAAAGAAATGCCAAACTTGGTCGGAATAATGGAGAGACCGCGTTTGTTCCACTTGTGCGTCTTGTTGAACTCATCCACCTCCTTGCGACGACGTTCGTAATCAGACTCTTCAACGACCTGCTTGTACATGAGTGGGACGTAATAATCTTTCAGCTCTTGGTGGAAGTGGGTGCGATCGCCAGGCTGGTACATGTTGATCTTGCGGAACTCGTCCACAGGCATCCCCAGGTGGTCGGCAACCTCTTCGATGTAGCTTTCAGCAATGAACATGCCCTGCGGCCCACCGAAGCCACGGAAGGCAGTGTTTGACACGGTGTTCGTCTTACAAACCCTTCCACGGACGTAGACGTTTGGTATGCTGTAGACGCCATCAACATGCGAGCAAGCTCTGTCGACGACGGCACCACTGAGATCCTGACTCCATCCACCATTGTTGAAGATGTCCACGTCGAGCGCTTGAATCTTGCCGTCCTTGTTGACGCCAATCTTCCACCGGCCCAAGAAAGGATGACGCTGGCCGGAAGTCATTATGTCTTCGTCACGGTTGAGCATGCAGCGCACGGGACGCTTGCATTTCTTTGCAGCCGCGGCGGCAATGCCCGCAAGCTGGATGGAACGAGTCTCCTTTCCTCCAAAGCCACCGCCCAAGCGCTTAACCTTGGCGACGATCTTGTTAGCAGCAACGCCGGTGACTTGAGCAACATAGGCTTGGCTGTGTGTTGTTAGCATTTCAATACTATTTGCAGGCTTATCGAGGTAGCGACTCACGTTTCAGTTGGATTCTGCGTACTGCTCCAGATCTCCATCTCACCATCTTCGGGCTTTGGTATAGCAACGCATGCGTTGGTCTCGAGATAGAAATGCTCTTGGCCACCCATGCGTGCAACGCCGGTGAAGACATGGTCGCAGTTCTTGAAAGCTTCCTCGGTATCCCCCTTCTTGATGTACCTGTAATGCTCGAAAAAGCTCTCCTTCTCAATAGCTTCCTCGATGGTGAAAATAGCGGGCAGCTCCTCGTACTCGACCTTGACGGCTCTGGCTGCAGCTTCGGCATGCTTGGCAGAATCAGCCAAGATCATGCCAATCGGCTGACCAGCAGTGAAAACCTCATCGACAGCGAAGAAGACCTCATCGCACACGGGAGCTCCCCACCAATTTGCTTTGGCATTGGGCAGGTCAGTGTGGTCGACCCAGTCGATGACGCCAGGCAAATCGAGTGCAGGGGAAGGATCCACGCTTAGAAGCTTTGCACGCGCCTTCGTGGAGAGGACCAGGCAGCCGTAAGCCTCGTTCTTCTGGACGGGGATATCGTCCGTGTACTGCGCTTGACCGGTGACCTGCTTCATAGCAGCAACATGCTCACGTTGCTTTCCTAGAATCTTCTGCTCGTACTTCTCGGCAGCACCGTGGTCCTTTTTACCGTAAGAAATCTGGCGTTCGATCTCTCCAATAGCCTGCTTGTCGATCTCTGCCTCTTCCGCCTGGAGCTTGGCGAGGACCTCGTGGTAGAACTTGTAGAAGAAACTGAGTGCAAGCGTCTTTCGATATGTTGCCATGCCACCGGGCACTCCGAAGCGCAGGTCAAAGTCTTCCTCCAGCGCACTGAAGGCACCCTCGAGGGTCTGCGGATCTGTCCACTTCTTGCCGTGGAGGAACTCGCCTGTTTTCTTTGCGGCAATAGTTGTCGGGGCCATACCGCCATATACAAGATCTATCGAGTCAACCGTGTAGGCATCGCTGAGCTCGACGCGCAGAGCAGCGTTGACGATTGCGATATCGTCATCTTTCCTCTTAGCCTGCTTGAAAGCTTGGAGGTATTCGCCCTTCTCCTTAGCAACTGGGATCCGCAAACTGGCAATGACGGCATCCGGAGGGAGAGCAGTTGTTCTGTATCCCTTGAAAAACTCAGCCATCGGAATCTCGGTGGTCTTTTTCAGACTCTTGGCGACCAGTGTCGTCCTTGTTGCGACAAAGACGGGATTCAAGTCGGAGATGGGCGATGCGGTTGCAAGGTTTCCAGCAGGCGTTCCCACGTTGCGAATCTGCCTTCCAGCAAAATACCTGAGCTGTTTGAGAATCGCCGCAAAAGGCTGGCCTCTGGTCTCTCCATAGTGCTCCAGGGCTTCCTTGGCAATCTTCTCAAGGTCTGTGAGAACGACATTTCCACCAATCTCGAGGTGATCATCATTGAACGAATATTGTCTCAGTTCGGGGACGTCTCCAACGAACACAGAGGCTGTATATTGCATGTTCTTGAACTTGACCTCGATTTGCGTTTCGGTGCTTCCACCGATAAGCTTGGCGGACGGATAGGCACTCTTGATCTCCAGCAGCTGTTGCAGGCTGGCCGGCCTGAACCACTTCTTCCTCTTGTTGCCAAAAGCCAGGGGTCTGAACGTGTGCTTCCGCAATGCGGGTGGGAAGATAAGCTCAGTATCTGGCTGGTATTCGATAAACCCCGGAGGGGTGAACCGCTTGACCGGCTGTGCATCCCCATTCACACCGTTTACACCATTCGTGCCATTCTTGCAGCAACCCCCATTCGTCTTCTCCATGCAGCAGCCGCTGCCGCCGTTAGCCGTTGCCTTCCCACACGGACTTTTTGCGCTGAAGCTCTGTGCTGCATCCAGGATTGGCCTGTATCCAGTGCAGCGGCAGAGGTTGCCATCGAAGGCCTCTTCGACGTCGTGTTCGGATGGTTCGGGGTTGTTTCGCAACAGGGCATATAAACTCTACTCGCCACCTGATTAGCAATCCAGCGCTTTGTCGCGGAACACTTCACGATAACCCGCCAGCCGAACCTCCACGGCACCCAGGCGCGCCATGGACAACGCGTACATACCATGACAATTCCGGGGGTGCAGAAGCCGCACTGACTTCCGTTCATCTTCGCGATTCTCTCCTGCACCGGATGCGGTTTGCTGGGGTCTCCCAGCGCCTCGACCGTCACAACATGTTTACCGTCAACGCTGACCAGCGGCGCCAGGCAGGCATTCACGCTGGCGTGGTAGATGGAGTTGGTGGTCGGGTTCCACTGCGAAACAACAACGGTGCATGCGCCGCAGCCGCCCTCGGCGCAGCCAAGCTTCGTACCAGTTAAGCCGATGCCGCGCAGGTACTCGAGCAGTGTAACTTCCGGGTCGGCATTGTCGAGCACGACGCGCGTACCGTTCAGGTAAAAGCGCAAAGTGTCGTCGTACTCGGCGGTTACGGAGGCGAGGGCGGAGGCGGAGGGAGCGGGGACGGCGGGCTCGACGAGGCCGGGTGCCATGGTGGCGACGTTTTGCTTCTTTGACGGCGGACGGCAAGATTAATAGGAGCTGTCTCAAAATCTCTTTTTTCCGCGCCTAGCTATTGTTCGCGGGGCTAGATAATAAGGAGAAAGAGAGCAGCTGGCTCTCCGGACAGAAGAGACACAAGGAAGGTACAGTCGACGGGGTATCAACAAGGAGAAGAGTACGAAGAAGAGAAAAAAAAGGGCGGCGCGAGGGCTGCGGAATGCGGCATCTAGGCATGCGCCAAATGGAGAAGTGTAATCGGCAAAGGGTCTTATCAGAGGGGCGGCCGGTTGCGACCCGTGCGGATGCGGCATGGAGCTGTCGCGCGCGCTGGGCGGCGACGTCCGAATGGTGGGGCTGCGCCGCGCTACAGCGCCGCCGGCGGTCGCGCCTACCCCAGGGCGCCGCACGTGACGGCTGTCAGCGGAGACCACACCGCCCTGATTGGGCTTATCCTGGGCCCTGGCAGCAGATCCTAGTTATGCTTCTCCATCCTCACCTGCCCCTTCCATGTATCGTCCGGCACCAGCGAGCGCCGCACGCTTGGCTCATGCAATGCGCAACAAGTTTGAATGTGTATTCGATCGTGGATATTGCAGAAGAAGAGGGCTGAACTACCAGTACAAAGAGGGGTCCAACGACTACGAAGTACTCGAGGCAGGCATCCGTGCTCGAGACGCTCACCGTCACCATCAATTAACTTCCGGCAACTCCCTATCCTGCGTCTGCTTAAGAATCATCCCAGACGTCCGCATCATTTCCAAATTCAAAGAGTCCATTAAATGCAGGCTTTAAAACTTTTTTTGGGGGGTCTCCGGAAGGCTCCAGCACGAATAGGAGGGCGAAGAATAGCGAAAGCCGGCGGAGCTGTCGCTCGCGCCGGCATATCGTCCAAGACTACGCCGAGCACGTCCGATAAGAAGAGATCATGGGTCATGAGCGCTGCCAAAAGACGTCTGGCTGAAGCCATCCAGTGAGTATCGGGGTATAGTAGGTCATCGCATAGCCATGGCAGGTCTCCCTGTCCGTCCAATGCAGCGCGGGTCAAGCATGATTGCACAGAGGCACCCAAGCCAGGTGTGTCAGGACGTGCGTGTAGGCGAGCAGAGGTAAGCAGAGAAACGGCTGTCGGAGAAGGGGGGTCCCGGGTAGCAAGCCATGAGTAAGCAGCAGAGAGCATCAGCCATCGTCAAGCATGCATGCAAGCAGTAGTGCCGGGCGCATCGCATCATCGCTCTGAGAAGCATCGGTGTCACGGCCTTCACGACGTCACGCTGATCGTCTATGCTCCAGGAGGCTGTTGGCCCGGCGTCTGTCCCGGCTGTCCTTGCTGGCCCTGCTGCTGTTGAGCAAGCGCCGCATACCACATGGCCATGTAGTTCTGGTAGCCGCCATACATGGCGTAGGGGTCAGCTCCACCCGCAGCAGCAGCATCGCCTCCCGGCCCGGCAGCTTGCTGCTGTGACATGCCTGCCGGCTGCTGCTGCGCGTAGCCTTGTTGTTGCTGCGGTTGTGAGTAGCGCTCATTATATGGTTCGTTGTCACGGCCACGGCCTCCACGATTGCCTACCCCGCCATTCTTCTCACGCTGCCCACCGTCAGTACGAGCCTCACCACGGCTGGGAGGGTCAACTTACACGTACCACTGTATCCACCTTGTCCCAAATGGCCCGCTTGGCGTCCTCGATCGCCTGGCGGGTTCCGACAAGGCCGATTTCACGTTCGATGTCAGCCCCGGATGCTTGGGATACGTTGATTTTGCATCCTGTCGAGTTCTGCATCTCCTTGATCGTCTCACCACCTGCGCACTTCAGTCAGGCCGTGTCACCGAAGCAGCCATTAGTCACAGTACTCACCTTTGCCAATAATCATGCCAACGGCTTCTGAGGGCACGACGATGGTGTCGTTAATCTTACCAGGACCTGACGGGTCGAAGGTACCACCGCGTGCATGGTCTTTTGCCGGAGGCCCCGAAGGGCGCGTGTCGCTTTCCACAATCTCCATGATAAGCTCCTTGGCACGAGCAGCAGCCTCTCTGCTACCGATGAGATTGACAGGACGAAGGCCGTTGACGCTCTTGTTTTCACCAACAATGTTCACATGGCATCCGCTCCTCTCCTGGAGATCCCGGATTGTTTCACCTTGCCGGCCGATGATCAAGCCAACCGTCCTGTCGGGCACCATGATCTGGACGCTGTTTTCGCCATCACGAAGCACGGGCTGATTGCCTCTTTGCTGCCTGTTAGCACTTCCTCCACTAGCACCTGCTGCCCGCTGGGTCGCGTCTCTTGCGCCTTGGCCACCATTCTCGTCGATGATGCGGTAGATCTCCCTCTTAGCATCCACGCGAGAGCGCATCGGCCCAGTGATTCTGCACTGGCGCTGAGGACCGCCAGCTTCGGGACCAGTGACAAACTGAATCCGCGTTCCGGTGTCTTGCTCGATTCGTCGGAGATTTTCGCCCTGGCGGCCAATGACAAGGCCGACGAGTGAGGACTCGATGGTAATGGTCTCGCTGTCGGGAGGCGACCTGTCACGGGCACCGCCGTAGCCGCGCTGAGGCGAAAACGTGTCGCGGCCGCGGGATGGGGGCGAACGAGAGCGGTCGCGACCGTAGCGGCGGTCATCGCGTCGCTCGTCCCGGTAAGGGTTGTAGTTGTCGCGGAAGTTGTCGCGGCGGGAAGGAGAGCGTGACCGAGATCGCGAGCGGCGGTAGGGACGGCCGGCTAGCCTGGGGTCCTCACGCGACGGAGCTGGAGACAAAAGTACGGCGTCAGCAAGCGGGAAATGGGCACCGAGGCTATTTGGCTCGCTTGCGCTTGACCTACCATCGTAGGGTTGCAGGCCCTTCTCAGCTGCGATGTTGCGCGCCTTTGCAAGAGCGTCGGCGATGCTGACAGAGCCGGTGCTGACGGGCTTTATGGCGCTAAGATCGACGCTGCCGGAGTTGGTCGGCTGGGGCAGGCCGTAGGGCGGCATGGTGGCAGGCGGCGTCGGGGTGACGTAGGAAGTCGGGTAAGCTGGAGGTATACTCTGCGGCGGCTGGGGTGCTTGAGCCTGCGGAGGCGGCTGGTGCGAGGCTTGCGACGGGGTACTCTGGGGTCTCTGGGTAGCAGCTGGAGCGGTGGACACGGTCAGTGGGCAAAATTGAGCGGCTGGGTCGGGCGAGAGCGCATCGTACCCAGAGCAGCCAGAATCTGCGAGATGTCGGGCTGAGCGGCCATTGTTACGGGGCGCTGGCGCGACTGACGGAAGGCGAAAGCGCCTGTGTAAAGGAGGAGGGGTAGGAGCGACGGCTCGAAAAAGGGCTCGCGCGCGGTCGAGCTCGGGTCGGGGTTGGAAGAGGTTGGCGCTGGGTGGTGTTGCGACAGAACCTTAGCACCTGGAAGAGAAGAAAGCCGCGTGCGCTAAGCTCGACTTGGAGCGGGCGCGGCGTACGCGAGCCGACGGCGCCGGGCGGGACTCCAGTCTCCCCGCCTGCGCTGCTCGCCCTCTGCTCCGCCCTCGTCCCCTCAGCCTGCTGCTAGTTGCAGCTCTCCTGCGCCCCGGACCCGACCACGCTGTCTCTCCAGGGTCGCGTCTGGGGCTCACGCCACCGCGCCCGTGGCACGCGCTGCGACAAGTCTCTTTGTTCGCCTGATCCTTGGCCCCAGCCATGCCAGCCACGGCAATCCATATTGAAGCGATGTATTGTTGCGGCGCACTGCACACCCAAGAGACGCACACGGTCGGTCGTAGTTCTTGTGACTCTTCATTGAGCAGGCCGCTACAGTTTCCTAGCGTAGTGATTCTTATCGCGTTACGCTACGACACCACTGTGTGTAGTTCGTCTCGTTGCTCCGTTGAAGCTAAGCATCGCAATGGCCATGTTGCTTGGCTTGGTTAATCTTCACTCTTCGCGTAGAGGCCCTTGTCGCTGAAGCTCGGACGCCAGAGCTCAAGATGGCCAGCAGGAGCGCACGCAGTTCGTATAGACATTGTGGAAGAACTGTGCACTATGCACCAACAATCCTCCATTTGCATTGTCTGTTGTGCATTTTCACTTGATTGGTAAACGCTTTTCCGTTCCAGCGCCATGCAGTCACCATGCACAGCATAACTACTATCTCTTCAACTTTACCGCCTTGACTTTCATCCTCGGTCTTCACCCTCGCAACTCTACGACCTGAGAGCGTTGGGCGTTTTGATCCGCCCCAGCATCGCCGGCATGTTGCAGTTCAACTTGGGCTCTGGTGAGGAAGGGCTATTCCTTCCATTCACTGTGACGTTCGACGGCCTAGGATGGAGGTCTGTTAAAGGCCACCCGAAGCCCGAGCACGGCAACGAGCGATTCACCTGGTGTCTGCACGCCCGCGTACCTCCTGGTCCAGTCGACTTCTATATCCATGAAGTTATCCATCTCGACACTAATGTGCAGACCCTCGGTGTCCGTGAGGTCCTCACCACAAAGCCACACACTTGGTCAAAGGACGAAAATGAAGAACAGTCGTCTCCCACAGAGCTTCATGTGCGTCTGCCTCTAGCGACAGGCAAGCGCACTTATAAGCTCTATCTCTATCGTCATGAGCCAGGCCGACAGCTTGGCCAGAGCTACTACGTCCTCTCCACCGGCGAAACTAACCCACGTAATGCTATCGTCCCACCCGCAGGATCAGGGTACCCCATAACCGACTTCGCCGGCAAGCCTCTCTCCGCCACTGAAATTGCACAGGGGCTGACATGGGTGGAGCCTCAGATTTGGCGGTGGCTCGAGTCTGTTCATGATGATACCGTCCCTGCTGAGGATCCCCCGGCAACAGAAGTAGAGCAACAGTTCGCAGTCTCTGCGCTCGCGTTCGAGGTGCCTCCAGGAACGCCACCAGGACGTAAGCTCGAGCCAGGCGAAATTGACTGGGATGCGGAGGAGGTTTGAGATGCCAAAAGCCCGTGGTATCTCAGCTTACAACGGGCTGAATCGTCCGTTGGTAGGTAAGTGTTCCTACATTTGCTCACACGGGCAACCCTGCCTAGTTTAGTCTTTTATACTTCAATAGTGTCTGGTTTCATATGCCAAAATAAGGGTCTACGCTATTACGGACGCGGTGTTTGTCGGCCTTCGGAGACCGGAGAAATAGCAATGCAACCGCAGTCTCGACAACATGGCAGAACGACTATAGGGCATGCGAGCTTGTGGCGTATCCAATATTCCGCTAAATCCACCTCTAGCGAGCCGACTGCTGAAAGGATTCGACCAACGCCGGAACAGGCAACTGAAGGCGCGGCATGTCACAAATGAGAAGACTACTCGGAATGAAGTTTGGCTAGCAGCCCAGCATGAGAAGCATGCACTCGTCTCCGCCAACCTTTGACAAGGTGTCGAAAGGCGACAGGGCTTTTGAGATATGAACAAGCCGGAAAGAGGTATCGAGAGAGAGGGTGGAATCGTTGGCTTCGAACCAGAGACAGGGTATCGGCACTACTGCACACGAAGTCTAATTGATAGATATGGAAACGTCCAACACTCCGAGCACCTTAGTGCGACAGGGGCTAGTTATATAACCAAGAGAAGGGGAATGGCTTATTTGAGTGACGAATGACGAGGGATCTGTCGCCCGGCTTCCACGGTTAGTACACATCAATATACATTCCATTTGGCAAACGTTGTAGAGAAGTGAAGCATTGTCAGATGTTTGGAAAAGGGTTTTGATTCAATTTGTCTCATCCAATCTGGGGTTCTGTTTTTTCTTTGCTGTGGATGATGAGGCCCTTTTTTTCTATTTTCTAATGAAATACCTCGCGTTGAGGCTTGGGAAAAGTGGAGAAATGACTGGCTTCTTATGCAAGGTTCGCACTGAAGGAGGTGTTCTGGAGAGCTTCCGGGTGCTCAGAAGCTAAAGAATGACCGCCGGGCAAAGCTAAAGGTGCTCAGAAACTTGATTCCATGAAGTTTCCAAAAACTTGTCGCAAATGCCAAATGAAGGGAGGTCGTGAGTAAAGCCGATTCTAACATAAGAAAAGAAAGGAAATGTGATCCAATTGATGGATCAATCTGAAGAAGAGGTGGTAATGAAAGCCAGAGCCACTCATGGTGATGCTAAGGTCAGCATCCGAGAGTGCTTTCATATCCTGGTGAAAGCCGGACGGTATAGTACAATTTGAGAAGGTTCCAAGTGGATTTAGCGAGGGCTTGAGCTGCGTCATGCTCCTAGCTCGTATCGTTGCAATCTTGTCTCTGGAGAGTAGTTGAGGAAAGGGTTGGTCAGCTGGTACTTGGCCGGCACAATATTGTATTGCATTCGATCGTGCATCGAGAACAACGGCAACGGGGCGTTCGTTGCTGTGAATGAAGATGTTAATCTGACTTTCAAACAATATTCATGGGTGGATTGACCTCCACATGGTCGTGAAGCGTGCGAATGATAATTATCGATCAAAATCGGAACATGAGCGAAAAAGAAATGAAGACTTAAGAAAAGAAAAAGAGAAGACTGTACCTGAAACCAAGGAGATTAGCGGCTAGTGTGGTAAGAGAGGGTTCAGTCGAGATGGGAAAGTCTTCGCCAGTCGTAAAGTCGTAGGCAGCGTGGACTCCCAGTGAAACCATGCGTACGCCTGGAATATTGACTGCGCCGCCTCTTTCGTTTCACGAGGAGTATGTATTGTACGTTCCCACTACCTGAGCTGAAGTTAGGCATATTGGTAGCGGAAAGAAGCAGTCACACTTACATAGTTCCTGAAGGCTCCTGCGGTAGGTCATCTTCGGCCCACACGTCGCACGGTCCAAGGTCGATAGCGTCGAGAATGTCCTGATTCAAGAGCGAATGCTTCTCTTCCTCAACCTCCGCATTGATCTGATCCATGGGATAGAGAATATCCAGCTCGGATGGGATCTGCCAAATCTGATCGAATGGAGATGAAGTGATCATGGGAAGATAGTTCCAAGGGACACTACCGTTGCTGGGTTCACGAGGCAAAGGGAAGTACCGACCGACCTTCGTGCGGGCGCGGTCCTCGCCCTCCCACTTCTGTTCAGCGATGGTAGGCCAGGGAGCAAGTCTACGCCAGTCGGTCTTGTAGTCGGTACACCACAGAGTATGGAAGCACAGGACTCCGCCATGGCCAACGGAGAGCTTCCGGCCACCGAAAGCCTTGCAGACCATGTTGTACTCGTCGCGAAGGCGCTTGAAGAGTTCCTTTTCCGCAATCCTGCGTTGCTCAAGCTTGATCGCCACCATTTTCATGTTAGCAGCGTGTTCGCACCATTTCTCCAGACTCTTCAGCGCATCAACCAGATCACGATCGTAGCCGCGAAAGTGACGTTCCACCGAGACTTTGGCAACGGTGTATAGGTCTTCCTGGAGTGCACGCGGCGACGACCAGGTCCAGCTCTGAGTGTGAGACCCGCCATGTCCAACCTCTGCCACTTCTTCATCGTAGGCCTCGTCATGATTGTAATTGGATACGTGTTGGCTCGTGGAGGTCTCTCGGGAGCGCTCCTTGTTCGACGCTTCGTTGGCAGCGGCAGATACCGAGGACGGCATAAGCTGACCAAGCGGCATGGACTTGGCGGCTAAGCTTTGTTTCTCCATGGTGCTGTTGGTTCTTTGGTCCAAGAAACTGGATGCGCAGATTGCGACGAGGCCAATGTGCCAAGGGTCGTTGCTGGAAATGAGGTTCGAGAGCGCCTCAATGGCTGGGCGGAGGGATGGTGATGGAATAGGAAGGTGAAGACCAGCCTCGAAGTGTTAGAGCTGAGAATTAGCTTGGATAGCGACTGCAATATTGTTGTTCGGGTGTGCTGTCTCTGGTGTCGCGGTGTGAGTCTCCTACGGGATGGCAGAGAGTGAGTATTATCTGGCCCCACTACAACAACAATAGAAAGACAATAACAGCACATGACAATAGAAATCCCAACGGATGAACTGGAGCACATGGCAGGAACTAGGCACGTGCCGAACCCTGCATATGAGGAGCAAATCTCGTGGAAGGCTCAACACAAACTTTCCGCAGACAAAGCACGGACGGCACGCAAAGCTCACCTGATATACTCGCGAGTGGTTTGGCTTGCTGGAAGTTGAGATTTGGGAAGGAGAAAAACGGGCAGGCTTCTGCGGCGGAGTTGGTGATGGATGTTGAAGTGTTCTAGTATGAATGTCCGGTATTTTTGAATTCAGGATAGTGTGGTTGTTGCCTTGTTTCAGCAGCTGTGCTATACTCCGAATGAACGGCGCGTTGTTCAAGAAGAGCGTGAGCGTGATCGGATGTAGCGCGGCTGAAGTGGGAACGGTTGAGGTCAAGCAGGCTTGTAGGAAAGGGTGATATGCGGGGTCAGCAAGAGTGCCGCGCTCAGGTGTCGTGGCTGGCTAGAGCAGACAGTAGCATCAGATGCTATCGGCCAAGTGAGGGACGTTAGGGCCGGACGCTGATGAGGACGGGTGGTGCGTTTGCGGACTCCAAAGGCGTGGCGTTGACCGAGTTGGGTCTGTCTCGTGTACCAAGTAAGGATATCGCAAGGCGGTGCTTTGAAGGACGGACGAGGGCTTTATTGCAATCTGGTCCAGCAATAGGGCGAAGCGAGGATGCTGGGCAGGGAGGGTTTGAGTCGACGGTGCAGACAGAAGGGCTGGATATTTGAAGAGAAGCAAGCAGCGGAGCGGGAGGCGCAGCAACAACGCGCCTTCCAACCGCGGCGGCGGGGACTAAAGGAAGGTGTTGAAGAAGCAGACGACCTGTTTGAAAGCCATGAGCATTGTGTGAAGCGGCGGTCTGCGGGTGACGACTTACGGGGCAAAGCGATTCACCGGTGTTGGAACTTGTTTGGAGCTTGGAGTTCAGTAGATCTTCCAAGGCATAATTTAAAAATTAAACCCGCCGTAGGAAAGCCATGGTGGAGCATCAATTCCCCGAATATTTACCGCGGAGACTACACATCACGTGCCAGGGCCACTCGGAGGGTGATAACAGCCACGAAGAGCCATTCACTGATCATCCACGACCCCAGCCAACTGTGATTGGGGAAGGTCTCGAGCAAACGGGCGAAAAATAGAAGAACAGACATGTCTTGGAAAGGCCGTACTGGAAAAATTTGAAAGATAGAGAAGACACTTCGCGTTACTACGCATGGAACGTGCAAGAAATAGCAGCATGTCTGGATCAAGTATCAAGGAGAAAAAGCCTGGTTAACTACAGATCTGATATAAAGTAGGGATACCTATGTACTGTAGTGTAGGAAATGCCAGCCGCGCAGCAGCGGCACCGGGTTGAACTTGAACGTTGCAGGGCTACTAAAAAGTAGAGAAGCGAGCAGAGAGACAGATCGTTACCAAGCGGGGCAGGCAGGGGGCTGTGATTGCTGTGTGGGACATGGAGATCATTTCAAGAAACTCTGGAGACAGCCGAAACGAGAAGCTAAGCCTGCACGTGGACCTTCAGATCCAGCTTGACGCGTCCGTCGATGAGCAGAGGATGACGAGGATGAAGGTAGACGCGCAACAATCACGCGATATTGCAACGCGTCACGATGCGGGGATTTAGAGAGGTACGAATATCAATACGCACACAAGCGAGGTGGAGATACGAGCTCGCAGCAGAGGATTGTTTTGGTTGCGAGAATGGTTGGTGTTGAGAAACGCGGAGGTTGGCGGAGGCGGTCAGGCCGCGTTTCAGGCCGAGGATCACTCCCGTCGCACAGGCGCCAATGGCCCACTCGCGGGAGCAAGCGACAGCCAATCGACCCAGCAAAACCCGCCTCTGCTGCCGCCGCGCGAATCCCCGTCGCGCTGCAAGATTTGCAAAAAAAAAAAAAAAAAAGAGAACAGAGTCGAGGATGTGGAGAGAGGCCGCAACACCAGGCCGCCTGACTGCAGCTTCACGATGGCGACGGCAGCATGGAATCGCATTGCATATGGAAGACAGCATAAAATATAGAACGCCCGGATCCCCGCCTGGCGTTGAATGACGTCGGCACGACCCGGCAAAATCAGGGTTTGCTGCATCAGCCACGCAGCTGCCACACTACTTAACACCTCGCGCAGCCCGCGCTGGGCAGAAGACGGGCGCCCGTACGTGACAGTCCTGCCGCGACGGGGCTGCCCCCGCCACCTGCACGCGCGCAGCATCGCGACCCGCGGCGTCTTCCGGCTCCGTTCGAGCGTCGCTTGCTCGCCGCTGCAGGTGTCGCAGCCCGCGGCCAGCGAAGCTAAGTTTCGCTGGCTTCGTGCTGCAGCGCACTGTCCACGTCCTCCTCCAGACTGACCGCTCCTCCAACAATCGGTTGGCTCTCCGCTCTCCACTCGACCTCCGAGGGCGGCTATTTTCGCCGCGCCACCACCAGAGCCGCAGAGACCAGAATAGAGGCCCGATGGCTTGCACGACGCTGAAACGGCTCGCCCAAGCGATCTGCTTGTTTTCTCCACCGGCAGCAAGCCACTGCCGCCAGGTCGCAGCCCGGGCCATGCCAGCCCCAGGTACGCCGACTCTCGTGCATGTCTCTTATTGTCTTGCTTCGCTCACTACGCGCTCTCCTTTCACGCTCCGCCTCTCACCTCTTTGTTGACCATTGGGTCATGTGTCCTTTCACTCTCCTATTGTCTTTCTAATAGAGTAATCCTCGCGGCTGCTTTGTCCCTGCGTCGAGGTATTGTCTTCGGGTCCTGCCCCGCCTCTTCCAGTTCTTTTCCTCGACACTTTACCATTTGCTTTTGCTTTTACGAACTCACGACTGCATTGACTGCATTTTTGTGCCGCTGGCTGGCATCCCGACATTCCCTAATCCCATACCCTTAGGCGAGCCCTTTCACACCTTGCAACGCCATCATGTCTTCCGCAGCGAACCAACGCTTCGCCTTTCCCGACGTACCTCCATCTCACTCCGCTGGCGATCATGAGATGCGGAACTACTACGCCCCCCAGGACGCACCGCGACCTGTCACAAACCAAGCACCATACCTCACACCATACCTCGGCCTTCGAGCTAGGCTCTCGCAGGTCTGGATCAACCGCTGGACCATTCTCCTTCTCCTCGTTCTCGTACGCGTGCTCATCGCCACTGCCAACCTCAACGACAACCTGAGCTCCGCCCGCTCCGAAGCCCTTTCGGCATGTACCAGTGTCGAGTCTGTTGGCAGTGCCATGGCCTCGATGCCCCACTACATGTCGAGGGGCGTCAACAAGCTCGCCATCTCCGGTATTGAGAAGACCGTCGACGGCCTGATGTCCATGCTCGAACTCATCGTCACCGGTGTGGAAGAGATGGTCGTTTTCTACATCGGCCTGCTGACCTCAACCTATCTCTGTCTCATTACCCTGGCAGTCCGCGGCAGTCTCCACACTGTCATCGAGGCTGCCGAGTTCATTGGTGATGGCCTGAACAAGACTCTCGACGCGGTCGGAGACGATATTGCCAGCGTTGCCGACACTTTCCAGGACGAAGTCAACAAGCTCATTGACGGCATCAACAGCATCCCCCAGATCTTTGGCGGCGATGGAATGGACAAGCTTAACCTGACCTCGCAGATCGACGAGCTTAAGGATCTTCAGCTTCCTTCGGGCTACGACCAGGGCTTGGAGAAGCTCAACAACTCCATCCCCACCTTCGATCAGGTTAAGAACCTCACTGACAGCGCCATTCGCCTTCCCTTTGAGCTGGTGAAGCAACTTATCAACGACAAGACCGGCAACTACACTTTCAATGACACCATGTTCCCGGTCCCCGCCAAGGAGAAGCTCACTTTCTGCTCTGACAACGACGGCATCAACGACTTCTTCGACGGACTTGTTGAGACCGAGATCGTTGCCAGGCGAGTTTTCATTGGCGTCATCGTTGCTCTCGCTGTTCTCGTTTGCGTGCCCGTGGCCTGGCGAGAGATCAAGCGCTGGCAGACGATGCAGAGACGCGCTCAACTTATCAGCCAGAGCGCCTACGACCCGCTTGACGTCGTCTACATCGCCTCCAGGCCCTACTCGTCGTCCATCGGCATCTGGGTTGCCAACCGCTTCGGCTCAACCCGCCGCCAAACCGCCGTGCGCTGGGCTGTCGCCTACGCTACTTCGACGCCGGCGCTGCTGGTCCTCTGCTTGGGACTCGCGGGCCTCTTTGCCTGCCTTTGCCAATACATCCTCCTCAAGACCATTGAGAAGGAGGTCCCAGAGTTGACGCAGCAAGTTGGCGCCTTTGCCGACAAGGTCGTCTTCGCCCTGAACAACGCCTCAGAGTCGTGGGCCAATGGAACCAACAATGCCATCGGAGCCTTCAGCACGGATCTCAACGACGACCTGTTCAGCTGGGTCAACACCAGCACAAAAGCCGTCAACGATACTTTGAACGTGTTTGTCGACGAGATGAGCGACGCCCTCAATGCAACCTTCGGTGGTACTGTTCTCTATGAGCCCATCAAGGATGTCCTGAACTGCCTCGTTGTCATGAAGATCGAGGGGGTTCAGAAAGGGCTTACTTGGGTCCACGACAACGCCCATGTTACCTTGCCGACGTTGAGCAACGACACCTTCTCTCTTGGCGCCGCTGCCTCACTGTCGGATGACTCTTCCGATGATACTTTCCTCGCGTCTCCTGGCAGTGAAACCGCCGACAAAGTCTCGGGAGCCATCGTTAAACTCGTCAACAAGCTCAAGGAAGGTGTCCGCATCGAGGCCATTATCTCCACCTGCATCGTCCTGATCTGGGTCATTGTTCTCATCATTGGCATAATTCGGGCACTCATGGTCTTCTCTGGCAGCGGTAAAACGCGTGCGGAAGGCGGTCAGCGTTACGTGTCTGACCCCGAAACTGACCGTTATCGTGGCCACGACGCGCCAGCTATGGCTGTGGCTTCGCCGCCTCGCCCAAGTGACGCTGCGCCGCCGTACGAGTACGTCAACAAGGCTGCGCCTTACACGATCGTCCCGCGACCTTTTCCGAACTTCAACCAGCAGCAACACCAGCAAAACAACTTTTCCGAAGTTCCGATCGACGATGAGAAGGTTGGGCACGTGGGCGCGTCCCACCCTGTCGGACTTGCCGTGTCGCGGCCTGAGCAGGAGCGCACAAGCAAGGCCGGCAGCATCGAGGAGACAACGCCAACCAATGAGAAGTCCAGCAGCGGCAGAAGCTGGAATCCATTCATTTGAGCAGCAAGCGAGATTCTCAACTGACCTTTCCTCCGCTTCGGTGTGACGGACCGTTGTCTATTGAGAAGCCCGCACCTGCTGCTCATAATTGCGACTGAGTTCGTAATTGCTCAGGTTACGTATTTTGGTCCCTGAGGTCATTTCTGCGCGCTTTTTGCAGCGCGAAACCACTGGTTTGTAGGTCTTTCGGGATCTCGCCATTGGAAACTGGTGTTTATTCTTTTATTATCTTCTTTTTACGTACAGTCATCTTGAAACAGGACCTGGAGCATCCCCGCACGTCAATATCAAAAGAGTTGGTTTATCACACTGGGTCTTATTGGGAATGTGCCGTTCTGCCTACCGTTTCAGGAAGTATCAAAAAGAAGGGGGAATTTAATTGGTTTGGAGAACTGAGTTGCGTTTGTATGCATTTTGGGGGCGTTTGTTGAGTTTTCTCCACTTTCCCTCACCCCCCTCCTTCGTGGAGGCAGTGGTGCAGAGTTGAAAGCAGTTGGTTCTGGTACTTTCGCCCTTGCCCTCCTGTTCCTCTCCAGCTCCCCCGTTTCCGTCCCCGTCTCCCCCCTCCAGCTCGAATCGGACTTCTCGTAGCCTCCCCGCCTCAGCGTTTGGCTTGCCCCTTTGGCCGCGAGGTTGCTCGTAGGAGCCCGATGATGGGTTGGACGCGGTTGCAGGCCGCGATGGATACGGCGCGCCGATGCTGTGCACGAGCCGGACACCTTGGGTATGATCGCTCACTCGCCTGTCGTTATTTCTTATTTGGGCCTCCCGCTCCGCGCGATTCGCCCTTCCTGCGATTGCATCTCCGGACCCGGGACTGTTGGTAGCGCACTATGCGGGGTGGAGCTGGGTCTTTCCGGCAGTGCACCCACGCTGTTGACGCAAGATCCGGAGGCCCCGGCAGCTGCTGACTGGTAACGAGCGTTCTGTCTTGCCTCCGTGCCCGCCCTCCGGGGTGTGGCATGTGCAGCTGAAGACGAGTGGGATGTGCTGCTGTTCGCGTCTGATGCGGGCGTCAGCGATTTGGTTTTTAGCGCTTTGCGCCGCTACGGTTCTTGTTGATTTATTCCGAGAGTTTTCTGGTTTTGATAGGTTTCTTTTGGAGGTTTTCGGGCCCGCTGCGACGGCTGGCAGCGGCTCGAATCCTCGTCGAGCATGAGTGGTGGAGTGGACATATCGATTATTACATGACAACAAAGTGGAGTGGGTCAGTAGGAGGCATTTGAGGGCGGAGGTAGATAGTAAATTAAGATCTCTCCCTCAACCAGTGGCGGCGAGTGAGTGATGTTTCAATCTACTACAAGGACGTCCGGATGATAGCTTCAACTGTTCGTGACACGACGTGGCAGGTAGAGAGTGGTCAGAATGTCAAGCTAGCTGCTGTTGCACAGATGAGCAAGTGACATGGATGTTTAGTTTTAATTGGGACAATTTTTAGAGGGTTCTAAAGTGTGTCGGTCGTGACGAGTGGAAACCAACTGTGGTTGGAGGCGGCGCCGGCTGCTGACACGGCGGTTTACGGGGATGGGTCATGCGGGACTCTGGGCACATGGACAGTTCTCCGGACGGCAAGCTTTATAGAGGGCTGCTGTCGTCGACCACGTTCCGGAATACGCCCTTCTCATTCGCCTAGACACATCGCCGGTCTGGACGGGCGGCGCTCGAGGTATTGGCATCTTCGATGTGGTGCAGCATGTGTTGCGCAGCGAAAGGCAGACACCAGGCTAACCCGGAGCGGCAATGTCTCTGGCAAGCAAACACGGTACTCCCCACACAGCAGCCTCCTTGACGCACTTCTCTGACGGCGAGCACAGGCGAGACATACGCAGCGTGCGGACGGGGGCAGGCCGCAAGGCGGTTGCGGCTGAAGGTGGTTGAGACGAGAGTTGGTGGAATGACGTCTTTGCTCGCTACAGCCTCCTATGGCGTGGCGCGACCACGACACGATGCCAGGAATGCATGCCCGTGACGCAGGGACTCGGGTCGCAGTATTCGCCGATCGCGCAGACGGAGCAACACGATAATGGGACTTGTTTGGGTGCGCGACGGGCGTGCGGCTGGATGGAGCGGCAGCGCTGGGCGCAGGCTCGGCGGCCGGCCCAATTGCGCAGCACGCTTTACACGCCGCCCACCCTCGCCATGACACCTCAGAAGCCGGCCTGCACCCACATCGCCGCATGACGCCCCATCCCGCCCGACTAGCCTACAGCCCTCGCGCCCCGCCGCCGCCCTGCTTCTAGACGCTCTCTTATCAAAAACCCTTCCGCCGCCGCCTGCCCACCGCGACCCTGGACCACCGCCGCACTCCCCGTCTCCCGTCTCCTCTCCTCTCCGACGACGCATTTGAGCTCCGGGAACTCGCTGCACCCTCGTCGTCGGCGCATCCTCCGCGTTCCGATCCCTCCTCCGCGCCACCCCCATTTTCCAGCGAAGTCCGCCGGCGGCACCGCCTCTGGAAGCTCGAGCTCCTGCTCGACGAGGCCGAAATGAAGTTCTCCCACAGCATCCAGTTCAATGCTGTCCCGGACTGGAGCAGCCAATACATCAACTATAGCAATCTCAAGAAGCTGTCTGTTGCATCTCGCGAGCGCCGAGTCCCCGCTTAGCTGACTGCCCGTAGCATATATCAGTTAGAGAAGCAGATCCACCAACGAGCCGGCCCAGATCCACAAGATGCCGAGTCCTCGCCCCTCCTCACCGGCACCGTCGACGATCCGGATAAGACCTTCTCCAGCGCGCTGGACCACGAGCTGGAGAAAATCTGCAATTTTTACAGGGCGAAAGAACATGAGGTTTACGCAGAGCTGGAATCGCTGCTGAAAGAAGTCCAAGACTACTTGGAAGAGAACGATGGCATGGATGGCGACGACGACGATCGCCCGCCGCCTTCGCGCGCGACCAACGGGAGCAAACGCAAGCAGAGCGTGTTCGGTGGCTTCACCATGGGCGGCAAGCGGCGCCGGAGCACCATTAGCCATCGCTCCGCAGCCGAAGAGGACGAGAGCGACGACGATGCCGACGAGCGCTCCGCCCTGCGCAAGACGCCGTCCAAGAACCGGAGAACGTCCCGCGGCGAAGACCCCATGTCTACTTCTGGCCTCCTGTCCTCCAACGGCGCCATGTCTCGGAGGCGCCGCAGCTTGGCCTTTGATGACGACAACGACATGTCGTTTGCTGTGCTGTACGACTCGGTCATCTCGCTCAAGAAACGGACCATCAGCCTCTACGTCAACATCTGCGAGCTGCGCTCCTACATTCAACTGAACAAGACCGGCTTCAGCAAGGTCCTGAAGAAGTACGACAAGATCATGGATCGAAGCTTGAAATCTAGCTACATTGAACAAAATGTGGATCCTGCATACCCTTTCCTGCAGCCCACCATGGACAAGCTGGCCGAAAACCTCTCCAAGATTGAGCACACTTACGCAAATCTGTGTAACGGTGGGGATGTTGCAACTGCCAAGAAAGAGCTCCGCCTGCATCTGCGTGAACACGTGGTCTGGGAACGTAACACCGTGTGGCGCGAGATGATTGGAATTGAAAGGAAAGCCCAAGCTGCGAACTTGGGAATCAGGCAGACAATACTAGGCCGCGACACGGATCCTAAAGGCAGGCTGCAGGGCGACGATGCCGAAGTTGCAATGAAGGAGATCTCAACGCCGGTAGGGCGCTATACTTGCCCGAGATGGCTACTCAGCTCGACCTTCTACACCATCATCGGCATTATCGCATTGTTTGCCGTCCTTCTTCTATTCCCTATCATGGAGGAGCCGGAGCAACAGAATTGTCTGGCGCTGGTTGTATTCGTCAGCTTGCTGTGGGCTACGGAAGCAATCCCGCTCTTCGTTACCTCATTGCTCGTTCCCTTCCTCGTGGTCGTCCTGCGCGTGGTCCGTACGGATGCGAAGCCGCACGACCGCCTGGAGTCGAAGGCCGCTGCAAGCTATATTTTTTCCGCGATGTGGACTCCCGTTATCATGCTTCTCCTCGGCGGTTTTACCATCGCTGCGGCGTTGTCCAAGTATAACATCGCCAAGATGATGGCAACTCTCGTTCTCAGTAAGGCCGGGACGAGACCCAGGACCGTCCTGCTTACGAGCATGTTCGTGGCCATGTTCGCAAGTATGTGGATCAGCAACGTTGCCGCACCGGTCCTGTGCTTTTCCATCATCCAACCTATTCTACGCAACCTCCCTGCGGACTCGAACATGACGAAAGCCCTTCTTCTTGGTATTGCGCTTTCCTCCAACATCGGCGGTGCGGCTTCGCCTATCGCGTCGCCGCAGAACCTGATCGCCTTGCAGAACATGTCGCCACAACCTGGTTGGGGCGTCTGGTTCTTCATTGCGCTCCCGGTCTGCATTCTCAGCATCCTCTTGATCTGGGTCCTTCTGTTGGTCACTTTCCAGCCAGGCAAGGGCACGACCATAGTCCCCATTCGTCGCATGAAGGACAAGTTTACCGGAATCCAGTGGTTCATCAGCGCCGTTACCGTCCTCACCATCGTGCTCTGGTGCGTGAGCCACCAGCTGGAGCCCATCTTCGGCGACATGGGCGTGGTCGCCATCATCCCCATCGTCCTTTTCTTCGGTACTGGCATTCTCACCAAGGAAGACTTTAACAACTTCCTCTGGACCATCATCATCCTGGCCGCCGGCGGCCTCGCGCTCGGTAAGGCTGTCAACAGCTCCGGCCTTCTCCACACCATCGCGAACAGCATCACGAAGGGCGTCGAAGGAATGAGCTTGTACGGCGTGCTTGTCGTGTTCGCCGGTCTCATTCTGATCGTCGCTACCTTCATCAGCCACACGGTTGCGGCGCTGATCGTGTTGCCGCTCGTTAAGGAGGTTGGTCAGGGTATGGCAGAGCCGCACCCGAACTTGTTGGTCATGGGCAGCGTGCTGATGTGCTCGGCGGCAATGGGATTGCCGACGAGCGGTTTCCCGAATATGAGTAAGTTTGCATCCTTCGGTCAATAAACTACTGAGCAGGACACTGACGAAATTTGCACAGCGGCTATCATGATGGAGTCGGAGACGGGTCAACGTTACCTCCAGGTCAAGCACTTCATCACGAGAGGTGTCCCCGCATCGATCCTCGCGTTTATCATTGTTATCACGGTGGGATACGGTTTGATGCTGGCAGTCGGCTTCTAGAATCGCTCCGTCTTTTTTTCTTTCTTATTGATAATGTGACGTTGTCCTACGCCAAGATGTCAGAGATGCGTATGATGTGAACGTATGGCTTGTCGGTCTTCATGTAAGGTAAATTGGATTAATTCGGCATTAGGTAAATATGAAGGAGACGGGCATCATTTGTAACAACATAGCATTAGAGGAGTGGCTCTCTCCGGCGCACGTGTGCGCCGCCTTGGTTTGGGAATAGAGATGTTGTGGATGATCTTCAAATTACGGTATCATCAGATCCAGATTACGTATTATTAATGGATGTCTCAGGCTTCGTAAGAACGAAAAAAACAATGCAAAGGAGAATAGAAGCAGATGTAGAGGAAAGGGAAGACCAAGCGCCGTGAACTCCGATTTGCCCATTTCAACCCCCTTTTTCCCGCCATCCACTGGTGTTCCATTCTGGCTTAGTTCATCTTGGAATTGGAAACCCTCGTAACTTAGACACTTCTTCTCTCATTCTCTCCTTCTTCGCCACCTTGCCGATTTTTAGCATATTCGGTCGTCTTGACCGAGACGCATGTGTAGCTCAGCAGCGGCCGCGTCCAGCCGCTGTTGGCGGCCAGATCAGCGTTTCCGGGAGAGTGTACGGTCAAGGATTCGGCAGCTGGGTCGAGGAAAGTGCGACAGACGCCGTTGCTGTGATTTGTCGTCTGTGTTGGCACACATATTGCATCAGAGGAGAGGAAGGGGTTGACATACGAGTAGAAGATGCAGTCTAGGTCGTCATCGGTCTTGATGGATTTGACAGTGCTGCTGTCGCCGTCGATGGAATTGCAGTTGTTATTGCCGAGGGGCGTGGCGTGCTGGGTGCAGATGCCGTTGTAGTTGATTTCGCTACAGAGGAGGACCTGTTGGTTGTAAGATTTGTCAGGTTGCTTCTTCGAATTTTGAACGGCAAGAGATACATACACTGGCGGAGGTATCTATTGAGTCCGGATTGACGGGGATCGCAATGGCGATGTATGGAAGGAGAAAAAAGAAAGTGGCGGTCGTGAGCATAGCGAGGAAGATTAAGGTGATATCTGATTAAGCGTATAGATATGTGCCAGGAGGTCTGGAAAAGACGCTATGAGATGGCGTTATGCATTAGATTTCTGGTGTCTACTCCGGCATTTATACTCTACTGAACCGGAGCCGTAGAACCCTGGAAAGAGGATGTAAAGGCGGGGCTGGTAGCCAATTCCCGATCGGTCGGTCCCAAGAGCCCGTTTTCCAGACGAGATTTGCTGCTTGTGAGCGATGTCATGGCTTGAGATACCAACGGATGCACGATCTTAGTGTGCATCCAGCAAACGGGTGCGATGTGCATTTGCCGTCCCTCGCCTCCCCGCCATCACAGATGTTCGAGAACGGAAGACGCATGCCAAGGCAGGCAAGCTTTCTCTTTGTCCTCTCGGCTGACATTTGCACACCGCTGTCCTGTCATAAGGCGTAGGCATTGTCACGAGATTGATTTCATGTTGCTTCAATATTGAATTCCTTAAATACGTGTTGCAGGGATAGGCGTTAGTCGCGTGCCGATAAACGTAGCAAAGTGCGGGGAAAACGGGTAGGCAGCCTCGTAGGCTATATGCCGTGTGCCGTGCCGCTGTTAATTCGTGGTGGCAGGTGCACGCATTCTGGTCACGCTTGTCCGCGAAGTGCCGGGCAATGCAAGGGGCCCGACCTTACATACCCGCCCGCCGCTAAGTCCACACACCTCAGTCCATTGCTGCCGCAATTGGGTTAGATTTATTTCCTCGATGCACGCTCCTTGCAAGTAGCCGGGTCTCGACTTCTGTTCCAGCTGGCCTTATAGACTGTCGGAAGAGCGGTCGGCAAGACACAGTTTCATGTCGTACGATGTCCCTGCAACGTTGACCGGTGAACGTTTGTGGGTGTGGCAACGTGTGCACCGCTGCTGCAAATTCAGTCATCCGTAGACAGTGAGGCTGGTACAGAATCACACACCCCGTGGCTGGCAGATGGATCACGTTGGGTCGAGGAACCACTTACACGTGGACAATATACCGTGACTCTTTTCATATAGGGCTGATAAGGGTTCCAACTGTCATGCCCGTTTCCCAACTTGGTCATCCCTCTCTCCATCCGCGGATGCATTCCCTATCATACGAGCTCGTCCTAGGCTCACTACCGTGGGTGACAACTGTAGTCCTCACTATTCCACTCAATGGCCGAGGCATGAGTACCTGCAGCTCCTCTCCCCTCTCCATATCCGAGTCTTCTGGTAAGGGTGATCCAATACCGAAATTTACATCCTCCCAGATCTCCTCCTCTTCCTCATCATGAGTATCATCACCATTGTGATGAAGCTCTCCCACGTTATACGCAGTCCCCGGACTCTGACTGCCCTCGTCAGCCGGGCGGGACCGCGCAGGTTCAACCTCGTTGTCACCCTGCTTTGTAGCCGGCGCTAAACCGCTTCGATTACTGGCTGCGGAAGCTATGTTCTCTTTTGAGGTAGGCGCGTTTGATGTACTGGAATTGCCCGTATGACGATGGATCCATCTGTTGAGGAACGTAGAAGAACGAATGGAGTACTGACTCCGGTCGTTCGATGGAGGTTTGTTCGTAGGGTTGGAGGAGCGCTTGGAGCCGACGGAACCTAGGCCAAGACGGACAGCGATGCGCCGTACAAGGGGCTGGAGTGCGGGGAAGCACGCCACCCAGAGTCCGCAATGACCTTCAAGATTGGTCCAGACGGCCGCGAAGGTGACGTTGTATGTCCTGTGGCAAGTCAAAGAATACTCGTGTAGCAGAGATGAGGAAACGTACGTGTTGACTGTCATGTCTATCGTGACGATTGCTGGGAACGTCAGCTGAGAGAAAAAGTGAAACCTTACTGTGCGCTTACTGGAAAGGCGAATGATCCCAGTGATGATGGTAAAGATGCCTGTGGGGACGTCAGAGAAAGAAACAGCAAATCTGGCGGCAAGCCCTTACCCACGGCGAACACAAGGGCAACTTTGATGGTCCTCAATGAGAAGATCATCTTTTTATGAAGAACCCAGATAGGCATTACCAGAAGCACGAGGTCGAAAAAGATACTAAGGCCACCTATAGAAGCATCAGCATATGCAACCAGCCGGTGGAAGTCAAAACATACTGTGTGTATACATGAGCACAGCCTCCTGTGAGAGGGCTAGACAGTGAGCGCCCGGCATCATCTTATCCCAAAGTGCTCTGACTGCAATTAGTAGATATGAAAACAAAAACATCAAGGTTCTTACTTGACTGGTTTACACTCAAACAAGAGAGTGAAGAAAGACCCAAAAGTGAGAATGATGATGCCGACGCCGACGATGTAGACCCATATCATGAATGCTCCTAGATACGCGTAAGCGCTGATGTTCTGCGAACTCAAGACGTGAACAGCTTAGACCTTACTTTCTTTATTCAAACGTGGCAGAAAGGCCAGAATGGACAGTCGCACAAAGCCGGTCCCCAGGAAATATAGGAGTTGTGCAGTTGGGAGAAGCTACGAGGTTCGTCAGCATCTGAACCACCGAAGAATATCACGGGATTGCTACCATAAAGTAGGTGCGAATCTCGTTTTGAGGCACCAAAGCCATGGTCCTACCCGAGCCGTTGTAGGTCGCTACATGGTACTTAGTATCAGTGGCTGTCAGAAATCCACATTGCAAATCTCACCAGCAATTTCAATGGAAGCCTGTCCCAGCAGGCAGATCTGCAGCGCATTAGTGGCCTGCGAGAAGGCCAAGGTAGCACACTCGCTCAATACTTGCCCAGGCCAAGATTGCAAAGTAGTCGTCCCACCCCGGTTTCCTGAGCATGATGAATCTGACGTAGAGTCGGGCGAGCATCAATACGCTGGATATGATGATTAGTGAGATGGCCAAATCCCACATTATCAACTGGCGTCCATTCATTGGCGTCATAATGAAGTGAAGAGAGAAGGAGGTGTGTAGAAAAGCGAAGTTCTCCAGTGGTAGAAGCTGGGCGGCAATTAAATCCTGGTTACTGGCAGGCAGAAGATGTACTGAACAAAACGCGTTGCGTGGTGCGACAGAGGCCAAAGCCTGGCTCCCGCCACAGTCCAGACTGGACTGCAAGCGGTTACAAGTAGGAATAGGACGATCACACGATGATGAAAGAATACGAGACGCGAGATCGAAAGCTTTCGCAGAAGGATAAGATGTATACTCTTGAAAGCCTGAACACAGGACTGCTCCCTTGGCAAGCGATGACAGCCATCAGTTTCGACAGATGTCCGAGCACAAGCCAGACGACGGGAAGGAAAATCTATGTGCCAGGTCAAGAACAATGTGTTGGATGGGCAATGAAGGGACGGAGAAGCACGCGGCCGAGACGGAAGACGCATTCGACTCGCCGAAATAGGGATGTCTTGGGGCCTAGCGAGAAGTGGAAAAGCTTGAGCTGGGTCGAGCCGGATCCAAGAATCGGAAACTGAATCTCTTTGTTTCCAGAGAAATGACTGCGGCGTAGGGCCCAGTGGGCGTCAGGTCTTAAAATACGAGGCGGCACGGAAGAAGCCCTGGGCATGGCGTAGGTAGGTTTTCAGACGTGATAGTAGGCTGGGCAAGCTGGTCAGAGGCTCACAAGTCCAACGCTACCTATCTTGCCAGAGGTACGATTTCGGCAGCCCAGCATCAGAGCACCGGATGGGAGGCGAGGCCAAGCTCGGCTGCATGAAGCTTGGTCGTGACAGCGATCTATCGGATAGCCGAGAGGCGGCGGGAAAGAGGAGCGCGATTCAAGATTTGCGGCGCTGCGGGAAGTCGTGGCCGCGCCGCGGCGGACGCCGCATCGTCACCGCCCAAGCTCCACCGACAGCTGCTGCTGCCATCCCAACCACCCCACCCACAGCTCCCCGCGACGCTGCATGGAGTGAGACGGCTCGCCGCTGTGCCGCCTCGCGACCATGCTAACCGCCTTCATCGCTCGGCCCGTTGTCGAGTTCCGCCAGCGCGACAAGTCCCGAATCGACTCCATCCTCGCCTATGGTATGCTCATCTGCCTCGTTCGCGACCCTCGCTGACCACGCCAGGCGACCGCCTGCTGGTTGGCCTCAATACCGGCTGCCTGCGCATCTACCGCCTCAATGAGTTGAACGACGACCCCGAGCCCGAGCCCGACTCCGCCGAAGATGGCGACGACCCGCCCAAGCCGAAGCAGAAGCCTGCCGACCTGCTGCGCGAGGTTGAGAAATTCTCCCGCCGCCCCGTCCAGCAGCTGGCCATGATCAAAGAGTCGAGCATCCTTGTGTCTCTGAGCGACAACTACGTCTCCATCTACGACCTGCACACCTATGAGCTGCAGGAGCGTCTCGAGAAGACCAAGGGTGCCGCCACCTTCGCCGTAACCTCCAACATCGTCAAGGACCCTTCCACCGGCATCCCCTCCATCGTCTCGCGTCTCGCCGTCGCCGTCAAGCGGAGGATCATACTGTGGTCGTGGCAGGACATGGAGCTCATGGAGGACACGGCTGAGATCACCCTGATATCCACCGTCAAGTCGCTCACTTGGGCAACCGGTACCAAGATTGTGGCCGGAATGGACCCTGGCTTCGTCATGGTTGACATAGAGACCCAGGAAGTCACGGATATTGTCAAACCCAGCTCTCTGACTGAGTCCGCTAGCCAGCAGCTCAACCGCTTCGGTGCCGTAAATACATCGGGTATGGGTTACATGGCTATGGGTAGCTGGGTTCCCAAGCCCATGGCAACACGCTTGGGCGACACCGAGTTGCTACTTGCCAAGGATGTCAACAGCCTGTTCATCGACACCGAGGGCAAAGCCTTAGAGAAACGCCAAATTCCATGGACCATCGCTCCGGAAGCCATAGGATACTCCTACCCGTACATGCTGGCTCTCCAGCCTCCTGCAAAGGGTGCTCTCGAAGTGCGCAATCCAGATACCCTGAACCTACTCCAGACCATCAGCATTCCCAATGCAGCCTTCCTCCACGTCCCCCAGCCCAACATCAGTTTAGCTCATGCCGGCAAAGGTTTCCTTGTTGCCAGCGATAGGTGCATTTGGCGCATGGGCGCTTTGCACTATGAAGAGCAGATTGACGAGCTTGTGGCCACGGGCCGCTACGATGAAGCTGTTAGCCTCCTAAACATGCTGGAAGACACTCTCCTCAAGGATAAGAACGGTCGCATCCGAGAGGTGCAGATCCTTAAAGCCGAAAGTCTGTTTCGACAAAGGCGCTACCGCCAGGCCATGGATCTTTTCTCCGATGCCGTTGCCCCTCCCGAAAAAGTTATCGCTCTTTATCCGAGATCTATCGCTGGTGACCTCTCTACGATCGAAGAGCCTAGGGACAGTGATCTCGAGGCCGAAACCGAAGATGAGGGTGAGAAGACTGACGAGGAGGCTGCCCCTGCCGAAAAGCACACTGGCAACACTCTTACCCGAGCAATGTTTGGGAGGCTCGTGGCTGAACAGAAAAAGACGGTCGACTCTGATACTGCGTCTGTCCGCTCCTTCAAGGCAGATAGTGACACGATAAGCATCAAGGGAAAGAAGTCGGCGGACAACCTTGCCGATGAGGATAGGCCATTACGTAAGTGCTGTACCCTGCAACAATTCAGCGCTGTTTACTCACGCAAAGCAGAAGGGAAAGACTTGATTGTAGCTGTCACCGCGCTTTTCGGTTTCCTGGCGCAGACTCGTGCGCAGCTTCAAAAATTCATCCACTACGACGGTACGCTCAAGCAGCCTCTTCCACCCAAGGAGCAACAGAAAGAGCATTACCAGCCCCCATTTGCTCCTTTCATTCTTCTTCCGGACGAGCCGCAGGAAATAAACTGGCAGGAACGACTTCATAAAGTGGCAAGCATCACGGATACGACTTTGTTCCGCGCATACATGCTTGCGAGGCCTGGAATGGCTGGTCCTTTGTTCCGTCTTGACAACTTCTGCGACCCTGAAGTGGTCAGGGAAAAGCTGTATGAGAGCGGCCGCTACACGGACCTCATCGACTTTTTGCATGGCAAGAAGATGCACCACGAAGCCTTGGAATTACTCGAGAAGTTCGGAAAAGACGAGGAAGGCGAAGATGTCACACCTGCACTGCGTGGCCCGCAAAGGACAATAGCATATCTTCAGCAACTGCCGCCTGATCTGATCGACCTCATCTTGGAATACGCGGAGTGGCCTATTCGTGCTGACCCTGAGAAGGGAATGGAAATATTCCTTGCCGACACAGAGAACGCAGAGACTCTTCCCCGGGATCGCGTGTTGGACTTCCTGCACCAAATCGACCCAAAGTTGTCTGTCCGTTACCTAGAACACATTATCAATGAGCTCAACGACCACACACCTGATTTCCACCAGAGGCTCGTCGATGAATATCTTGATCGGCTACTCAGGGCGAAGGATGAGGATGTGTTCGACAGCGAGGAAGAACACAAGGAGTGGCGGGAGAAGTTTGAAGGATTCCTGAGGAATAGTCATCAGTACAACAAAGCTAGAATTTTCCGAGCACTCCCACAAGACGGTAAGTGGTTTGTGCCCCGGCTTCGAGAGCAAATTCTAACGCAAGAACGCAGTGCCGGACTTCTACGAGCCACGTGCAATTGTTCTCAGCAAGATGGGTCAACACAAGCAAGCCCTCCAAATCTACGTCTTCCAGATCGAAGACTACGACAAAGCGGAAGAGTATGCGCTTACAACTCCCTTCTAAAAATAAACTGTCGCGCTGACTTGAATCAGATACTGTAACCATGTCTTCCTTACCGCCTCTCAGCAACCTGTCTTCGTAACGCCATTGAGTCGACCTCAATCCCGACAGCAGGGCAGCTCGCAGCCACCTCTCTTCGGAATGTCGCAGCAACCTCTCTTCGGAACGCCATCTAGTCGACCTCAATCCCGGCAGCAGGGTAGCTCACAGCAACAAGACCCAGAGGATGCTGAACCATCAATCTACCATACTCTGCTTTCACTCTACCTTACTCCACCTCCCCCGCATAAACCCAACTGGGAACCGGCCCTCTCTCTGCTCTCCAAACATGGCGCTCGTCTGCCCGCCTCATCGACACTAGAGCTTATTCCGTCTGTGCTCCCGGTCAAGGACTTAGAATCCTATTTCTGCGGCCGCATCCGCAGCGCAAACAGCGTCATGAACGAAGAGCGTATCGTGTCTCAATTGCGCGCTGTCGAGAAGCTCGAGGTCGAGTCTGCTCTACTGCTGGGAGCCGGGCCGCCAGGAGTGGTGGGCGGAAGGAACAGAAGGGTAGTCATCGGAGAGGACAGACATTGTAGGGTCTGCGGGAAGCGGTTCGGCAACAGTGCAATCAGAGTATATCCCGATGGTGCGGTGGTGCACTACGGCTGCTTCAACCGGGCGGGCGCTGCACTTGGAGGAGGAGGAGGAGGAGCCAGGAAAGTTGACGATTTTGATTTCAAGAAGCCGGAGATGGGCATCCGTCGATGGGATACCTTCGGGTGAGCCGATGTACGAACTATGGCATGGTGTGATGATTTCAAGATGATGGAGTTCGATATACCCTTCACGGCCGGGTTCGGTTTGTTCCCGGCTTATATTTGTACACTACAAGTATGCAGAGGTAGTACTACACTGATGTAATAAAAACTGCCGTTAGCTTTATGTTTCTGAGAGGACCGAAGCACTTTACTGACTGGAAAATTCCAAGTCTATCAGAATAGCATCCAAGTGAGCCCGCTTCGTTGCTCGACAAGCTAACCAAGTAATTGGCAACATATGGAAGCGCCTTATCATTACCTCGATAATGAGAGCCTGAATATAGAATTGGGCTAGAATAAAGTCGGTGCGCGTGGGTTCATGTAGGCTTCTCATAGTCTTATCCTGCGTCGGAAATGAAAAGCCTTTCCTGAATCGCATCACCTGTTTTGTTGCTCCTGAAGCACGTTACACTTTTCGACCATCCACAATAGCTATAAAATACGCGATTTGAATCTGCTCTGCAAGCTAACCTAGGATAATGGTCTTTTCTTCAGGTGACCAACTCTGCCAAGCACTGACGTGCGCTTGGCCAATTCCGAACCTCTCAGCATATCCATTCAACCAATGAACGATGATAAAGTTCACGAAAAGGCCATCTCCACTTCTGCTTTCTGTAACCAAAACCAACTCCACCAGCGTTCTCCAGCAGTACTGCTGTAAGTCCTTACGGTTGACCCCAAAGAGTATACCACCTGAGCTGCTCGATGTCTCATCGATGCCAAAAAGGTATACATACAAATGCGAGTCGGGATGCCATTGAGCACTTACACGTGGCTTGTACTTCAACACCTTCCCGGCATGATCACTCCATTCCGCAATTGTCAAGGGGACTGTGAAAGATACAAATCCGAGCAAGCCACCAGAGACTTGAGCGAATTCCTCGATTAACGGATCCGATGATTCGTTAAATTCAGAAGGGTGTGAGGGTATAGATTGCCAATTGTAGTTAGGCAAGAATATCTGCGGAGAGAAAATACTCTTGTGAAAGTTTTCAATTTTCGGAGCTTCCTGGTTGGCAAACATCATGGCTGCCCGCATGTACAGCGGGAACTTAACCGGACCATCCCAGGCCATCCAACTCCAACTGGGTAATGGAGTAGATGTTTCTCGACGTTCAATTTGCCAGTGAGGCAAGAAGCTAGCCCACAAGAGCGCGTGAGGCAATAAAGTGGTTGGTATTCCGTGAATGACATTTCCACCGGTCATTTCCTCAAGCCGCTCTGCTATTCCAGAGAATGCATTTGATACGTCTGAAGAGAAGGACAATGATTTGCGGGTGTAGAGCATGGTGATCAGTGCCCAAGTTGCTGTCGTGTTGTTGCAGCGTAGTAAACAGCGCTCCTCATCATCCGGTTGCCCTGCTCTGAGAGACCATTGTGCAAATGGCAGCAGCTTCAAATGGGGTGAGAGGTGGTCCTTGATATCCTTTCCCTGGATTTGCATAATCGATCTGGAGTCTAGGATATCAATCTCAGTTGACAGGATGTGTTCATGCGTAGTAGAGTTGGACCTCGGAGACCAGCCATTGATTGACAATCCTCTACTCCATACTCCAGATGAACAGCGGATGAAGACATGATTGCGAAAGGTATACATACACCGCGCTGAAAGATACCTTTCCTGGAAGGTCCAAGCTCTACTGACATACTTCGTACTGCGCAATGCTGAGGAGAGTTTAGGACTCTCGCCAGGCGCTGTCTGTGGTAGGCTGAGAGTCAAGTCGTATGGATAATTGCAGGGTAAACTTGAGTTGGCATTCACTGCATCTGCAGCTGCGATGGTCAAGAAAGCTGATCTGTAGATGTCGGCCATCCGAGATATGTGGATGTGTTTTGTCTCTGCATCGTCTTGTACAATGCACAGAGAGTCTACCCAGAGAAAGTAGCCCCGAAGCTGTCGGACCATGTCTATACAATCGCGGATCGTCCTTGGAATCTGGTCGATGATTTCCCGAAACGAATTCTCCTTGAGGAGTGATGCGGTCCGCTCCTTTGTGTGCTCGTACTGTTTTACACCTCCCCAAACGTAGCTAAGTGCGATGTAGCCACATTCTGCAATAGACTTCTTGACCAGGCACATTCTTTGGATGTCGATAAGGAAAATCTCAAATGAAGGGTTTGAGATAACCACTGGGATGTTGCAATGATCGCCATGTTCTTGAACACACGTCCTCAGATGTTTTCTGATCTCGACAAAACGAAGTTTGAGTGTCTTCTTGATACCGCCAGCACTAAGCCACGTTGATTCCATGGCGAAGGTGGCTGCAGTTCAGGGCGACAAAAGTGATCAGATGCACAAGGCTGAGAACGTGATCCGCAAAAACGAGAGAGGAAAGCTGCGATGTCAAACGAGGGGCGGCGGCAGCCTAATATATGCCGCCGTGACACAGGCTCCCTGGCTAGCCTGCGTGAACCAATCAAGAATGACCAAAAACTCCCACAGATACACAAGAATGATCGGTTGACCGGTGAGACGGGCGAGCTGTGTGGACAAAGTTTTCATGCAACCCATGAACAGCATAATCTGGAGCACAAGTTGCAAAGGCAAAATAAAAAAATTTAGAAGTTGCGAGGGCTGTACCACAGTAAAATCTCATAAGTTGTATTTACCCTTTCATTATTTCCGCTCTCAATTTAAAGCGAGAACGACGAATTACCTTAATGGCGGATTTGGGCCTATGCGACGTCGCCCTTGCTTTAGTCCAGAAACCTCAAGGCCTGGCTACACCATGAGTGTCAACCACATTCCTTTCTCAGTGCGACTTAGGATGGCACTTACTGGCCGAAGGGAAATTCTACAATAATAAATAATAATACACCACTTGCTTGAAATAGAGTCTTCCTTTTAGAACCATCACCATTCCTAAGGCAAGGCACAAACTTCCGATCTTCAATCATAATCCTTTCCGACGTTTCCTCCCCGTTGTTTCAGAACTTGATGCATGCCCCCAATAACCCGCTTGAGGTTCGATCGATGACTGCGCGTTGATATTCGAATCTCCAAGGCCAAATCCGGACGTCGTAAACATCTGCCCATACTGGCCCGGCTGCGATCCAAACTGAGTCTTCTGCCCCGACAGCTCCGCAAAGTGACTATCCTCAAACTGCTGCCACTGAGACAAGCTCTGGGCAGTCGCATGCTGATTCAGCACCGCACTCGTCTGGCTCCCGAACCCGTGCTGCGCAGCGTCGTGAGCAATCCAATTCTCGGGGAAGAGGTCGATTTCCTCCTTTTTGATCTCGGGCGGCGTATCGTACAGAGACTGCCCGCCGAACGCTTCTTCAGCCCAGCCCGGGTCCCATGGGGTGACGTTGCTGCCGCCGGGTGTCGGCTGTAAGTTGGTGAAGTCGGATTTAATACCGAAAGGACTGCTGCTGTCGGAGTACCCCGCACCGCCCAATGACACATGCCGGGTGTGGGTGCCGGAGGCGGCGTCGGGCTCTTGCTTGAATCCGTCAGGAACTTGGATTTTGCCGCGTGGGCCGTTGAGGAGGCTGTACGTGGAGGGCGTTTGGAAGTTCATGGGGCGGTCCGGGGGCGGCATATTTTGCGAGAGTTCTGGCGGAGTGAAGTCGAATTGGTAGGTACTGCTGGGGTCTTCGAATTTGACGTCGTCCATCCTAGTGTCGCCGGGTGGTGCGATCCACAATGCTTTTCCGACGCTGCCTTTTCGTGGAATGGCGATCCTCCGTTGGTGAGTGTTGGTCTGGGACACGGTCGTGGTCTGTTGCCTCGCCGTTGTCGGCGACCAGTGCTCCGCAGCCGGAGCCCTGACGCGTCCCACCGCCGCGTGAGATGATCTGAAGCCTCGTCAGTTTTCAATTGAGGTGTACACGACGTTGGAGGGTACATACTCTCTTTTTCGTTGTACTTTTCGTAAGTTGATGGCCATCATCCGCCAGGTCATGTTTTGCATGCGCTCAGCATCCGGGACGTTGGACTGTTTCCGGTAAAATTTCCACATGTCTATTCCGATCGGGTCTTCCTTCTGGAGCTCTTGCACATCGCTCTCTTCGTTGTTCTTCAGCTCTGGAAATACCGTGTCTTCCAATACGTCATCGCAGGCGTGGTCATGTGAGGGAGAAGATGTGTCGTAATTGCTACCCAGCGTACTGGCAGGAGTTAAAGAAGGGATGTTCGATGGAGAATCCGACATGTGGGAAAGCTCGTTGGCGTAGGAATAAGAGGCTTGTCCGAAATGTGTGGTGGCGGCCATGACTGTTCGGCCTCGTAAATTGGAAGCTTTTGTAGCTTCACTGAGTTTGAGATCTGCACTCGGTCCAGGGTCCTGTCAACCCAACAAGCCAAGGAGTAGAGCTGAATGCTTCGGCCGGGATGGGAGTAGCGGTGCGAAAAAGGGCCAACAGAGGTTGAAACATGCAGCACAAGTACTCGGGCTGGCACTAGGACGCAGAGTGTGGGGTAGAGCCTAAATAAGGCGTGATGTTCGGAGTGACTTGGCTGGAGTAACGCTAGCCGGCCGTGCAATTGCGCAAATGGGTTTCTATTGCGTAACTGTTTCGTTGGCGCCATTGAGCCACCCACGTGCGTCATGGAAGCCGCAGGATTGCCGGTTGCACCGGCGACGTAAAAACCCATCACATCTGAGACGAATTGTACTTTGGTCGTGCCCTCATTGCGCGCTATCAATGGGTATAGTTGCACCCTGCTGTCTCTGCTGATCTCGAACAGGGTTCATGCATTAAATCTAGACTCCACCCCAATAACACCTTTTGCTATGCTAAAAACGACACAAATTTTGACCACCATTAACCGCTAAACGTGTTCCATGCCCGGATTGCGGACCCGTACTTCCAGAAGACCAACGGAGCAGGAATGCCCAGAACAATCGCGATCAGACCCAGGATGCTTCCGCCGCGGCCATATCCCAATGACTCAAAGAGGTAAGGGACAAACAGCGGAAAGGAGAAGGCAGCAAGGGACCGCAGGAAGGCCGACGCGGCCGACGCGGACGCGGAATACTGCGCGTAACAATCGACGATGTACGTCTGGATGCACTGGTAGGAAATCATGCTTCCGCAGGCGAAGAGCGCGGCTCCAATCTGTGCGCCCAAGGTGGTTAGCATTCATTGGTCGAGAGAGGCAGATGTGGATGGGTCCTTACATTCGGCACGAGCCAGTGACACTTCGCCTGCGCGGCCCACGCGTACAGGAAAATACCGCATGGACTGATGACCGATGCCGGAATCATCATGGGGATGCGGAACTCGGGCGGGCCGGCCTCGTCGACGGGACGCCCGCTGCGCTGCTGCAGCCGCCGGTAGATGGCGTCCATCAGCGGGCCGCACAGCTGGGCGCCGATGAGCGAGCCGACGGCCAGCGAGATGTAGTTCAAGCTGGCGACGCTCTTGGTCATGCCGTAGCGGCCCTCCCACAGAGTCGGGAAGCTGGAGATCAGGAGGTACAGCGTGCCGTAGTTGTAGGCTTGGTACAGCGCCAGCATCTGGACGATGGGCTGCGTTCCGAGGATGCGCCAGGGCCTGGTGAGGGAGATGCCGAGAAGCTTGGTCAAGGTGCGCTCGTCGCGCTCCCACTGGGTGCGGAATTCTGGGTTGCCTGTCCTTGCCCGGATCGCCCGGGCCTTGAGGAGAAGGATGCGGGGAGCGTACGTTTCGCGGAGGAAGAAGACGCCGAGGGTTTGGATGAATATGTTGAAGAAGGTGAGCGACCAGAATGTCCATCTCCAGGTCGTGTATTGAGAAATGAAACCACCGGCTACCTTTCGTTAGCATTTGGTCGTTCTTGTGCATGGACTGACATACCAATAGGGCCCAGTGCAGGTCCGAGGACAGGCGCGAGCTGATAGATACTGAACCCCTTGCCCCGCTCCGAAGGAAGCCAGCAATCACCAAGCACACCGGCTCCCATTCCGAGCATGGCGCTTCCACCAAAGCCAGAGATGAACCGGAAAGCGGTAATCTGGGGGCCTGACTGAGCGAAACCGCAGGCCGTGTTGAAGAGAATGAAAACACCATTGCCGATACGGATGATCCAGGAACGCCCCCATATCTCTGAGCATGGAGATAACACGAACGAGCCGAACGAAAATGCCAACAGAAATATGGAGAGGACTATTTGACGCTGGAAGCCTTCTGGAATATGCAGGTCTTTTCCGATGTGGTCGAGGCCCGGAGCAGACATGGACGAAGAAAGAGGCGACACGAAAGCGAATGCAGAGACGATCATCGTTGCCTGTTGCCTATTAGCTTCGGTTAGGTCGATCTGGACATGGGAACTTACCGCCCACTTGCGTGATTGGCTCCAGTTCTTTGGATTTTCCGGGTCATTAGGGCCATCCCAAGTAACCTTCAACTGCTGTCAGTACTTGAACCAGCCAACATGGAAGGTTAAAAGCACTTACCAACGTCGGGTCCTCCATCTCCTCCTTCTCCGAATCAGAGCCATCGTTGCGGACACTTCGGCTTTCTACGTCCACCTGCGCCTTCTCATCCTTCACATCCTGTATCGAGCTGACATCCGTGGTCGACGAGCTCCTCGAATCCGAAAATAGCGCCGGAACGACCAGATTACTTTGAGCTGACATGGTGAAAAGGAGAGAACGAAAAGTAAACGAAAGACTGACGCCGAGCAAAGGCAACACTCAACCCGGACGGCACTGGGGATGGCGAGTGCTTTTGTACTCGATATAGGAGCCAGCCACCTCATACTGGCTCTTCTCTCTACCCGTGTTTCGGGCGCTTCCGCACTGTCTGTGGTGGTGGTGGCTTCGGCGTCTCCCGCACGAAAGGGAGGAGTGGCTTGGTCTGGTGGTTAGAGTTAAGCTTCAAGGCCCAAGCGCCCCGAAGAACGTGAAGGAAAGAAACGAGAATATTGTAAGCTGAGGCTGAGCTATACAGATGGCTTGCTGCAGCTCCCATTACCGCTTCTTGACGTGGAAACCGTTGAGGTTCCATCTTTCAGAGGCTCTCTTGTTGCTGACGGGCAACCCAGCGTACGTCAATAGCGGGGGATTAGAGACCAAGGCGGCCGGTCAAGGACAAGGTTTCTGAGATAGCGTGCAAAAAAGCCGAACCGGGCTGTATTCTTTAGTGTCGGGGTCGGGACTTTCCACAACGACTCGGTGAAAAGGGCCTGGACAAAGTCGTTGGCCCGAGCACCGCCTCACCCCGCAATGGCACACTACCAGTTGGGCTTCCACAAAAAGGAATAAACAAAAGATAGTGAGGCTCTGTTATGCAGCTAAATTCACAGTCATGTTCACTTTACTTTTGTATTTTTAAAGGAAGAATGTGTAAGCACTCGAGTGTTGGTGTAGATTATGAAATCGAATCATTGTTCTCTCAGCGGTGCAGGTGTTGAGGCTAACATGTATGGGATTGCATGCTGAGGAACTGACCGCTTCGGTAACTGGGCACGCGACAGGATCTCGCGCAGAGGCCGGGCGTTAGAAAAAAGACAGCGAAGTTCAGCCACACTTACCAAATAGATTCAGCTTTGGGGCTGAGTACGGGTGAAGGCGCCGCCCGTGGCTTACCCCTGACGGGAAAGATGGCCGCAGCCTAACCGAGCTGAAGATCGCGAAATAGATCCTGCACCTACAACACAGACCCTATTCTCACGGAGCGCCCGGATTCTAGATCTTCCCCAAATCTCCTCAAAAAAAAGGTCCAGACCGTGCACTCAGCCGCCTTCCTCGATCGAGGCAACGTCCACGTACCATTGTATCGGATTTGGTCGGCGCACCGCAATGTTGTCACCAAGAGACCGAAATGCAGAGCCGTCCTAAGTCCGAATCTGCAAATTGCCCATTCATCGTCTGCACTATTTACGGAATCTGCCTGACGATGCCTCGGCCAGAGCCGACTTCTGGAGAAACGTTTTTGACAGCGGGAACCAAGTCGATGATCACGTCGACGACTAGTTATTAGCGTGATGCATGCAACTCGTAGTCACCCAGCTGACCTTGGGCTTTGCAAGGCCAGCCAGTATAGCGCTGACCCAGTCCTCGTGATGAGAGGCGCCGCGGTGGACGATGATATTCGCTTCGGCAACAGCCGTAAAAACATGGTCAGATTTTCCCTTAACGGCTTCTAGCGTTTGAACAGCAATTTTGTGGGTCGGATTACGAAGTAAACGCTCCCTTCATCTTGGAATCAGTGGTACTGATCATGTGACCTCTACTTTGCCTTTTTTGGTATTCCATGAGTATCAAGGGCAATTCTGGGATCGGTGGGACACGAGCGCTGCCACTCTTGGGAAGGTGGTTGGGCTCACACTTCTGCTCTTGGTCCGATCGAAGTTTACAAAAGGTGTGGCTAGAAGATGTGGCTTGAAGGCGCATTTTGGCGATAGAAGGCAAGTGCTCATGACGTCATGTTCTCCTCTCCTCTCGCAATCACATGAAGCAATTGTTTCTTCTCAAATATAAGATAATGAGAGAATGTTAGTTATAGATTAATTAGCAAGCTATGCTAGTGATGCTCGTTTTGTCGCGAAACGCCCAGAAAATACCAAAGGAAGGACCTTTTCTACAGGCTGCTGACATAGTCCTCAGAAGTAACATCTCCAATGCAGGTGGTGACGTTGAAGGTCGAGATGGTCGGCATAGAGCTGGCGCCGTACAAGCTGTACAGGGCGGCGTAGAAGATCTTGTCGGAGCCCTTCTGGACGGATTCGGGCATGGTGAGGGTCAGGTTGAGGTTCTGGCGTTGGTTCGACAGCGCGGGGCCCAGGTAGGTAGAGCCGATGACTTGACCGATGGAGCCTTCGTGTCCAGGGGGGATGTCGACGCCGAAGGCGACGGCGACGTCGTAGACGGACTGGATGTAGATCTCGTTGATCATGATGGCGGTGAAGGTGTCGCCAGGAGCAATGGTCGAGGGAACTTTGACGCCGACGAGGCGGGCAGAGGCCCCGAGGATGGGGAGAACGGCAGCAAGAGCGGTGGCGGCACGCATTTTGGTGGTTGTTGATTGAGTTGAAGCGAGTGCAGTGATGAACGAGGGAGTTTGTGATAGTGGGGAGACTGCTGAAGTTCGGTTCCACTGAGAACTTTATAGCTGCAGGCTCATGGTACACGGTCTATGGAGAAATTGGTAATGAGCTGCTGCAAGCCGCTGGTCCATGACAAACCTCGACAAGTTTCTCCCATATTCAGCTTGTCGTCGTACGAGCTCATTCCTTCCGGTGTCTACAGGGTTACAATACGAAGAAAGATTCTCTCAGCCACATGGTTGGCATCTAGCACCGGTGATCGGAAGTCCGAGTATTGCTGAGAGGCGCAGAGGTGAACTCGGGCTGCTCAGGCACTGGCGTTGAACGGTGTGATGTGACGTGACATGGTGTTGCTATTTTGGGGTGACGCTGGGGTAGAAGGATTGGCCGGGGTAAGCAGCTAAGGAGCGAGCGATGCTTGGCTGACAGCTTAGCTGGTGCACGTGTCGGTTGTAACGTGTCAGCGTTGTAGCATTGGTCTCGGAAAAGCAGCGTGGATGTCTTGGAGTACACGAGCTGCCCCAGTTTGCTGCGCGTTGTTGTGACACTGCTCCGCTCTTGGAATCTGGTCGCGGCTAGCCTGGTTGGTCTAGCCTGAGCGTTGAGTTACACAGCAGCCGCCCCGTACTACCGTCTCATGTTACACTCGCTGATGAGCTGGAGAATCTCCGTTCAGGGATGGACAAACACAAAAAGACAGCGCTGGAGGAGACTCGCGCCTGTTGTGAGCTGAACGACCCAGGAATCTTACACTTCCCCTCGTTGTTTTGATCGAAGCAACGCCACCATGAAAGGGCGGAAACATGCATCGCACTAGAGGCGAACACTGAATCCTTGCTACTCAAACATCAGCCAAGCTGGTGTAGATGCGGATATTATGGCGCGCTCGAATGTCTCGCTATTGTAGGTATCTTCACATGAATTACCAGTATTCCGAGAAAAGTTACGTCCAATCGCAGCGCTCATTTTATTAGTGTGAGGAGATCTCCTTTGCGGCTCGTCACGCAGGCCCTTCGGCGGGCGGGCCGAGGCCCAAACATTTACAGGCCGCGTTCGTTCCCCACTCATGCATCAACCACTCAACATCAGAACGCTAGGGGATCTAGAATAAGCCAAGATGGGAGCCTTTCCATTTCAAGCGTCTCAATCTTCAAGCCGCAGGTATTACTCGACGAGACACGCAACATTGATTGCGATCGATTGGTCGATCGTCTTATCGGCGGCTTATCCACTTGACTACATATTGCCTAACCTTGTGGCACGTTAATTATCCGATAGGCAGGTCTGAGTCGATCGCGCGTTTAAAAAAACCTCTCGACGTCGCTGTTTCAGTCCGCTTCGTATTTTCTCTTCTTTTTCTGCCAACATCGATCATGGATATCGACGCGACGGTGAAGAATGTGATCCCGGCCGAGGAAATCGTCGGCGATGGGGGCTGGGGCGATACGGCGAACGATGTGCGCGACATGCAGCGCTTGGGGAAGAAGCAAGAATTCAAGGTGTGCACAGATGAACTACCGTCACCGCATGCTGATAGCTAACGAGAAACACAGCGGAACTTCGGGTTCCTGGCTACCCTCGGTTTCGTGTCCATCTACATGGCTACCTGGGAGTTTGTTTTAGTGTATGCAGCCTTGCAATAAACCAATTCCGGCGGTATTGACGAAACAATGCCAGCTCCCTCTCGGCCGGTTTCATCAATGGAGGCTTCGCCGGTCTCTTCTGGACATTTATAGGCACAGTCAGCTGCTACGCCACCATCGTCGCCTCCCTCGCCGAAATGGAAAGCATGGCGCCGACTAGCGGAGGCCAGTATCATTGGGTCTCCGAGTTCGCTCCGCCACAGTATCAGAAGTTCCTCAGCTATTCAGCCGGCTGGATGTCGACCCTCGGCTGGTTGGCCAGCTTTGCATCCAGCTGCTTCGTTGTAGCTACCCTCATCGAGATCTGCGCCGAGGTAATCGCGCCAGACTTCGGCTTCACCAACTGGCAATACACGCTCATCATGCTCGCACTCATCGTACTCACCATCTTCTTCAATACCATTGGTGCCAGTTCGCTGCCCATGTTGGAGACGGCTTCGTTGTTCGCCCATGTCGTCGGATTCTTCGTCATCGCTATTGTCTGCTGGGTCATGTGCCGTCCGCTGAACTCTGGCACTGACGTTTTTACCACGTTTGTGAACAGCGGGGGTTGGAGCAACATGGGGACTGCCTGCCTTGTCAGTCAAGTCACCGTCATGTACTGCAACCTGGGCTCGGATAGCATCGTCCATATCTGTGAGTGCTCGCCGTCCGGATGATAAAGCATAGACAATCTGACTCGCCTGATAGCCGAAGAAGTAGAGGATGCCTCCTGGATCGTCCCGCGGGCTATGTGGTGGTCCTACGTCATCAACGTTTTGCTCGGCATCATCATGCTCATCACCATGCTTTTCTGCATTGGATCTCTAGAGGCCACATTGGAAGCCGACGCTCCGTACCTGAACCTTTTTGTGAACACTGGTTCGACCGGCGTTGCCCTGTTTCTGACCATCATTCTTCTCCTGCTCATCTTCGCCGGCAACATCACCACACTGGCAACCGTTTCAAGAGAACTGTGGGCATTTGCAAGAGACAAGGGCTTTCCCTTTTCCGGATGGATATCTCACGTACGCCATCCCCCACCGCCTCGAGCTTTTTTCAACCACTGACACACACGTCCTCCAACCAGATGAACCGCAAATACGACATCCCCTTCAACGCCGTCTACCTCTCCTCAGTCGGCGCCGGCATCCTCTGCCTCGTCAACCTCGGCTCCACCCTCGCCTTCAACATCATCGTCTCGCTCTCCCTCCTGGCCCTGCTCTCCACCTACATGCTGTCCATCGGCTGCGTGCTGCTGCGGCGCATCAAAGGCGAAGCGCTACCGCCGGCGCGCTGGAGCCTGGGCCGCTTCGGGCTGCCCGTCAACGCCTTCGCCTTCTTCTACTCGCTGTTCGTCATCGTCTTCAGCTGCTTCCCGACGTCGGTGCCCGTGACGTCGACGGCCGACGCCAACTGGGCGCCGGCCATCTGGGCGGGCGTCATCGTCGTCAGCGTCGGGACGTACGTCGTGCACGGCAAAAAGCACTTCACGCCGCCCGTCATGTTCGTCGAGGGGATGAGGACGGAGGGCGTCGGGATCCAGGCGACGACGTCGTGAATGATGATGATGAAGAAGAAGAAAAGTAATGATATTCTCGTCGTATCGCAAAAGAAGAAATAATACAGCCAATATCCATCCCCCCCAACCCAACCAACCAACCAACCAACCCGCATCGTTTCCAGTTCCCCCTTCAAAACAAACACGTCCCCTGACACGACCCCACATACACGCCCAACACCGACACACCCGGGTCGTCAACCAGATTGAACAAGTCGGTGCTGCAGTCCTCGTCGGTGATCTGCGTGCAGATGCCCGTCGCGTAGTTGTAGGTCCAGGCCGAGCACGCGCTGTTGTCGTCGCACTGCCCGCCGCACGCCTGCCACGAGTCGACCGCGGTGGTGGTGACGCCGTCCGCCGCCCCGCAGTTGCCCGACACGTTGCACAGGATCGTGTACTCGCATGAGCATGCGCCTGTGCCTTGGTATTCGTCCGTGTTGGTGCAGCCGGATTGCGCGACGAGGTCGACTGGCGGGACGGCGGATGTGGGGGCGGAGGTGGGGAGGAGGGGGGAGGAGGACGAGGGCGTGGAGGTGGTGGATAGAGAGGGGGAAAGGGAGGGTGAGAGCGAGGCGGACGAAACGGAGGGTGGCGCGGCGGGGCTGCTGGAGGGGAGCGTGCTGCTGCTGGGGATCGGGATGGAGGAGGGGCTGGAGGGGACGCTTGAGGGGATCCTGATGGAGGAGGACGAAGAAGAAGATCTTGTTGAAAGGCTGGGGGAAGCTATAGGGGTGCTGCTGGGGATTGATACGGAGGTGGTGGAGGGCCTGGTGGAGAGGGTTGAGGGAGTTGAGAGAGTCGAGAGCCGCAGAGAGCTGCTGCTGCTGCTACTGGCTCTGATGCTGCTGGTGGAGGTCCTGACTGACGATGAAGTGGTTCGGACAGTCTGAGGCCGAGGATTAGTCGGCTGTATAAGAGACGAAAAATTGCATTCCACTTACAGGAGTAGGCGCCGCAACCCAGGTAGTGATTGTCCTGGCCGTGGTCCTGACAATAGTCACGGGATCGACGAGGCACCCGCAGACACCCTGCACCCATGCGGTCCCGCGCTGCGAGATCATCTGGCTGTAATAGTAGTTGGTCCAGCTATATCCTTGCCTTTTGACCTTGTCCGAATGTGTGTGCTGGACGTGTCCAGGACGCGGCTTGTCGTGAGCTCCAAGGTGGGCAAAGAGATCGGTAGGAACACTGCGCTTCGACTGGGTACGCGAGGTCTGGGTGACGATAACCGTGGCCGTGGTCGTGGTTGTCGTCGTCGGACCTGGGTACCTCGAAGAGCAATAAGACACGGCCGGTGAATAATCTGCCACCCAGTTCGCAACTGCGGCATATTGAGGGGGGCAGCTTTGCGCAGCTGTGCCCGCAGCATAGAAGCTGGTCAAAGCAAGCACGACTGAGGAGCGGCGCATTGTGACGCTGAGCAGTGTATTCAAGATAGCGGAGATGGAGTGACTGATGTTGCGACAAAGCCGGATCTTCCGTGATTCTTAAATATAGTACTGGGGAGAAGAACAACATTCAAACCATTCCAAAGACTTTGCGATCCAGATCCCATGTCACACACCTAGACGCAGTGAAATTCTCATATCAAGGTGGCTGTGTGTGTTGATGTTTCTGCATGCAGCGCTCCCCTTGAAATTACCAATCACCTGATCAAAAAACTCCGGGGATGCTACTCGGTAGTACATTAATTAAAATAGGCTGAGCATGCGTCGGCATTATTGGCCGGGGGTACGGCAAGCATTCCGTGGTCCCGACATATGGCATTGCCGTTTTCGGAAATTCCCCATATTTAGCGAGAAAAGCGCTACTTTAATCGCTATTCATCTCCTGGATCGCAATGATGCACAATCCAATACTAGACAGGGGAAGCAAGAATGTAGACCTCTCCGCGATATATTCTGTCGATTTGGCGCCCTTGCGCAGCCATGTTCCAAGCCGGGGCAAAATTGCTCTCTTCCAAAACAACTACGGAATAGAGATTCTTGCCTTTTACCAGAGCTCATCAGCCGCACGAAGTCAGCAAATGCCTCACTTTTGCTGAGTAAATTTTTTCTCAGTGATGAAATCAGTATTGTGGTAAGAGAACCAGCTCGAGCTAGAAGCCGAGAGAAGCAACCCCCCTCTCTCATTATCGTCTCTACATACGGTCGTGTCGGTAGGAGGATTAATTTCCGCGCAGACTCCCAGGCCCGCATCCGTGTAACCCTGGATTCGGATTACTCCATGTGGTCTTAACCCACCCACATATTCGCGACCTATCACATTTATTACCCGAAACCACGGATTTCACAACCCTCGCACCTGGTAGCATATCTTTCCCCTAATTCTCCGGTACGGGTGCCGGCCACTTGGCTCTCCAGAGCTTGCCCCAGAACTGGGTAGGGATAACGCCGATGATGGTGGCGCCGGCGATGATGGCGGCCTGGCAGCCAAAGGTGACGGCGGGGCCGTTGAGGTGCACCCAGTCCAGCTGAAAGTAGAGCACGGTGAAGCCGCCGACGACGCGCCAGAAGTTGATCCAGGCCGAGGCCAGCGCGGCGTGGTGCGGGAAGCAGTCGAGCACGTACGCCGAGATGGCCGTCATGCCGCCCAGCGTCGCGAAACAGGTCATTCCCTGCCCCGATCCGTGTTAGTGGTCTTTTCTAGCAGTCTTTTCTTCTTCTGATCCCCGCGTCGTACAGCAAGGGGGTTAAACATTCTACCGACGGAGAAAGCCACTTACCCATCCGAATGCAAGACCGACCCAGCTCAGGTGGTGTTGCAGTGTTTCGCCAAAGAGGACCAGTCCGCCTACGCCGATGATTACGGGGATGTAGACACCGTTCAGACGGTTCTCGGGCGAGTGCGTGCCGCCGTGGCTCTTCATGTAGCGAGTGGCGATGAAATCGTTGAACCAGTGGCCCCAGAGCTCAGCCGCGACGGTGCCGATCATCGGGGCGAAATGGATCATGGCCAGCGAGACATACGAGAAGCCGTAGCCGCCAGCTTGGACTGGTGGAAGCACAAATTGCGAGATTGTGGACACGAGGCCGATCGTCCACATGGTGAGGGGCATGACGAAAAGGGCGGCTGAACGGGTCGTCAGCTGGAGACTTTCAATCGAAATATGCTGACTTACTTGGAGCAAACAGGTAAGGCCGAGCAAGCAGCGAGTACTGGTGCTTGGTGACAGTCCAGAGGCCCGGACGGCCTTTCACGCGTGCACCTTCAATGCCGAGGAGAAGAGAAATATGGCGGAGCATCGACCTGTCCTTGGGCTTCTCCGACGCGTTTCTTTCGTAAAGAGTCTCATCTCCGAGCAACACGACCATCAGCAGACTCAGCCCGTAGAATCCGGCGAGGACGCCAAAGTCCTGGCGCCAGTTCAGCTTTAAGATGAGCAAGCTGGAGAAGAAGGGACCCAAGTACGGCCCGATCAGGAATGACGCAGCCCAGATGTTGACCTTCCGAGCCCGTTCATGGAAGAAGAACATATCGTGAATGATGGACAAGCCAATAACTTGAGGCGCAGCACCAAAAAAGCCCTGCAGCGTGCGCATCGCCGTGAAAGAAGCATAGCTGTCGGCGAAGGTAGCCCCGATGGTAACAATGAGGGACAGGAGCTGGGACCAGAACAGAACCGGAAGTCTGATAAGTTATGTCAGTGACTTTCCTGAAGTGAGGGTCGCTTTTATTACCGTCCGTAGCGCTGACACAAGGGCACCGCGAAAATACCACCCGGTCCTTGCATGAATATTCCAGGGCTCATAGACTGAGAAACCGCCTGCACAGACATGTGCCTGCAACATCACATTAGTTGCACGTCTTGGTGGGAGATATGGTTACGCACCATTCTGGGGCTTGCAACTGGAAGACGACAGAGCCCCAGGTCAAAGCCCAATCGGACAAAAGACAACCAGGGATCAGGGCACAGAGCACAATGTGCTTCTTGGTCCAGCTCCAATTTAGGGGATCATCTGGGCTTGAAGAAGGCTGAGGGATAAGTACGGTCCCGTCCTTGCCGAGGATGAGCTCCTCTGAGTTGGAGGTTGACAGGCCGCGCTCAAGCTCCGACGGCGCCGGGGCGTTGAGCCTGGTCGACGTTTGCTTCTCTGCTGAGGAAGCCATGGCAGAAAGCTCTGGTGTAAAGAGAGACCTGGTACCAAGAAGAGTGCTTGCCGCGGACGGCCTGGGGCGACTGGGAGAATTTATGATGAGAGCCAAGAAGCATCAGTCATATCTTGAATAAATAGACGAGGCGAATAAGAAAAGCTGAAAGCCACCAGGTATAGTCGGAAAAGTTTCATCTTGAGGTTCACCGAAAGGGTCGAGATAGTGTGCATGATGGACCTATCAGAACCACACACGGCAGAGATGGCTTGGTGTAAGACCAAAGTATCGGAAATGATCAACGCTCTGGCTTCTTCAGCGCAGCCTATCACGGATGTTGAGCTGACTTCGGCTGACGCTGACTGTGTCCGAAGGTGTGCTGTCCCGGAGGGAGGCGCCGTGCGCCCTGTCACTAAGGATGAATAAACCGTAGGGCGGCAGGGCTTAAGCTGTCAAGGGGCGTCGGGAAGCCGACGCCAGTCGGCATGGCGATCCGACGGAAAGGGTGTTCGGTTCTCCAACGCCCTATCATCGAAAATTGTCGGGCCAATCACGTACGGCGCGCAGCCGAAGTGCATGGCGACTATTGGAGAACCAGGGCGAGTTGCAGTCGCTGTAGGGTTTAACAAGCAGTTGCACGAGCCTCTTGGCGAGCTCGGAATGTTGGGGCCGTGACTACTTGTGGTGGTCAAGGTTCTCCGCAAGCCGGCCCCTTCGCTCCTCCCATAGGCTAGAACATGCACCCGACCAGGATGCCACATGTTTCATATCCATGCAGTAACTCAATGGAATTGACGTGCTCTGTCCCGATGCAAGGGAAAAAGAATTCAGTCCGGCCATCGGCTCTCCCAGTTTGCCATTCCTGAAGAGTTTGCCGCCCTTCAAATACCCAAATGCGAAGAAGTCATCATCGATCCCGTCTTGATCTCACTTGCCTACTTGCCTGCTAAGCAACTCAGTGGCAACACCCACCATGTCCTCAACGAATTCAAAGCTACTCGGCACACGCGCGAACTCAAATGCCACAACCTGAAGCCGATCAAACTTTTCTAAAAAAGAAAAAAGAAAGAAAGGAACAAGGAAGAAGAGCAAACCAGCATTGTTTCGCTGTCTCTCAACAAAAGAGTTCGATTTATTTTGGAACGTCAGAAGAAGTCAAATGTCTCTTTCGTTGTCGATATGGATCAAAGTACCGTGCGGGCCGGCGACTTCCCCTCCATCTACAAGAAGCTGCTAAAGTATTCGTATAAACAATCTAGCAGGCCCGCGCTACGTGCGGATCTTTTGCCCAGATGCAGCCTTGGTGTGAACGTGGTTTCCCGCACCCGCCTGCCGTCTGATATAAGCTGGGCTCACATCATCCAGTTCTAGCTAGCTACGTGCAGGGCACAATGGAAGATGAATAAGCTGAAGAGCATGCTCTTAGCGAGCAACTATGCCAGTGAGGGCATGCGGTGTCGAGTAACAGGTGGATATCGAGCTAGACTGATGCGCGAATGCGCATTTGATGAGAAAGGCGGGTAAGCCAAGGGGTATTACACAGTCTGCTGGGTGAGTTCCCGCGCTGACGTGTGGTGGTGAGAATATAGTTGGCTGACCGAACTTTCGGCTCATGGACAGCTAATCAGTACCGTCAAAATTCAAGTCGATTATTCTTGCAAACTTCCACTGTCAGATCTACGGTCCGGAAGGTATTGGCGACTTCATGCCCCTCCTTCGCACGGACTCGTATCCATCGGATACAGTGTATCCGCTTTTTTTTTTTAATATGCACAAACGGAGCCGCACGCTCTATTAGTTCCATGGCATAATCACCAAGGCTTACAGTGTGTATGTACCTATTGTACCTGCAGCAGCATATTCTATTGGCCATGAAATACGCTCTGTAAAGTTTACCATTAAGGTTTCTCTCATGCTTATTCTCTAGCGAGTATGAATAGATGTTTGATTGTAACAGGAGCCACCACAACTGTTGCTGAATCGTCATTATGAGCACATGACTAGGACAGCTATGCTCTCAACTTAAACGAGATTTGCATATCGAACGAGAAAGAAAAAGAGTTCTCGCAGTGGTTGGGGTGTTCCCCGCATTAGTTGCCAGCAAAACTTTCAGCCCCTCACAGATTCGGCCCGCAGTAAAGTGATTGACAGGCGGTGCACGTGCCGTCATGAGTGCGATAAGCACTCATTATCGGGCAGGGTCGATATAGTTGGGCAGGCCGTTTCTAGATAGGTGTTTCACTGATGAGCATAGTGCAAGCTGACCGGTGGCTCTATGTCTGCCCCGCGTGGTGTGAAGTCAACCTTGCGGTGGACGGGGGCAGTGCAAACAGTTCTAGATCGCCGGGGGTCAATCTGAAGCGGAAAGTGCTTTATGCGCAGATGGGCGGACGAATGAAACCAGGCCAGATAAATAGACACGGTGTGCAACCCCGGCCAGGTGATGTCGGCCAAGAGGCTCGTCAATGCGCTGAAGCTCCGTCGCCAGATCCTCCTCAATGCTTGCGGCGCACCCCGCTCGGCGTTATCAAGATGCGCTACGTGTAGGCGTTATAATTGCAGCTTCGCCCGTCTTGTGGTGCTCGTCTGTGGCCTCTTTTGCATGCCCAGTGATGCCAAGGACGACGCATCCGTGCTAACCGGAGCTCCAAGACTCTTCGCCTCTGATCCAAGCTTCCTTGCCCATTTCGCTGGTCCTCTTATTTGCTCTCGGCCCTCCTCAGCTCTTCTTCTAAGCTTCGCCTTCCCAAGCTTCGTCCTCTCAAGCTTCGTTCCTGAGCCCAAGCCTTCGAGTCATCCACCACATCAGCAATGACTCCGGACAAGAACGACAGCTCTCCGATCCCTGGCCAGGGCAGCCAAAGACCTCGAGCAGGCTCTGAGCATGAAAGTGTGCGATCCATGGTGCGAATTCTCGAGAGAAGGGCATCCGAGGCGTCGGAGCATGCCGCCGCCGCTCAACACGTCCGCCAAGTGAGCGCGCAACACGCTCTGGTCGCCGTGCCTGCAAGCCCCGTCCAGACTCAGCTCCCTGCTGAGCCTGTGCCTGGATCCGACGAAAAGCAGGTCGTCCAACCAGAAATCCAACAGGCCACCCCTGCTTACAGCGGAGGTGAGCCGTCACCCAGCTCGCCCAGCCGCCAGTCGGTCGATAGCTCCCGCAGCAAGGTCAACCTGGAGCCACGGCAAACCGGCGACGCCATTGCGCAAGAGGAAGCATCAATCGGAGTGACGGACCACTACGGGCCGGACCCGTTCGGGCTGGCGGCGCTCAAGAACGAAGCCGTGTCGCGGCCAGAGATCCGGGCGACGCGCGGGCTGTGGCAGCGGTCGCGGGCGCGCAAGGTCGAGTCGTTCTACGAGAAGCAGAACGAGCTGATCGACGAGCTGCTGCAGAGCGCCGACGAGGAGCGGCTGCACGAGGAGGACCAGACCAAGAACGGCGGCAAGGTCAAGTTCGCCGTCAACGCCTCCTTCGTCGTCAACTTCTGCCTGTTCTGCATCCAGCTGTTCGCCGCCGTCAGCACCGGCTCGCTGTCGCTGTTCGCCACGGCCGCCGACGCCTTCATGGACCTGGTGTCGTCGATTGTCATGCTGATCACGTCGCGCCTGGCCAACAAGCCCAACCCGGTCAAGTACCCCGTGGGCCGCCGCCGCATCGAGACGGTCGGCATCATCCTGTTCTGCGCGCTGATGACGACCGTCGCCGTGCAGCTGATTGTCGAGTCGGCGCGCGCGCTGGGCGAGGGCGAGCGCACCGACGGCCACCTGAAGATTGTGCCGCTGGTGTGCGTCGCTCTTGCCATCGGCGCCAAGTTCTGCCTGTTCTGCTACTGCTACGTCTACCGCCGCTACCCCGCCGCCCACGTCTTCTTCATCGACCACCGCAACGACCTCGTCGTCAATGTCTTCGGCCTGACTATGTCCATCGTCGGCGAGCGCCTGGTCTGGTACCTCGACCCCGTCGGTGCCATGTGCATCGGCCTGCTCATCCTCTTCTCCTGGGTCTCGCAGGCCTTCGACCAGGTCTGGCTGCTTGTCGGCAAGTCGGCTTCGCGCGAGTTTATCAACAAGGTCATCTACGTGACCATGACCCACGACCCCCGCATCAGCAAGGTCGACACGGTACGTCTTATTCTCCCCAACCTCAAACTGCTTTCTGCTAACCCCATACCCAGTGCCGCGCCTACCACGCCGGTGAGCGTCTCTACGTCGAAGTCGACATCGTCATGGACCCGGAGATCTGCCTGCGCGATTCGCACGATGTCAGCCAGACGCTGCAGCGCAAGCTCGAAGGCCTGGCCGATGTCGAGCGCGCCTTTGTCCACGTCGACTACGAGCACGACCACAGCGTGCACGACGAGCACAAGCCCCTCTACGAACACCGGGAGCCGCGCACCTTTAAGCAGATGCTCGCTGGCCTGATCCGCGGCGATTGAGACAGCCATCTTGAAAACTGAACCAAGAGAACAAATTGCCCAAGGTATACCTGATGGATGATGACGATGACGATAATCACCACTACATTTTAGTTCTGACGCTTAGAAAACCCCCCTCTCTGAAATGAAAGTCCTGCTTTTCGGAGGAGTCGGGTGTCCCGCTGGGCTCTTGTCTGGCGACACGCCCGGCTCCTGCATTTCCCCGAAAGCAGTCCTGACTGTGCCCGTTCCACTTCTTGCTCGTGCAAATGGTGACGATCGTACATCCATAAAAAAAATGCGCTGGCAACAGTGGGCCTTGAACGCCGGCCGGATATCCCCTGGCTTGTAAATCCGGATAGTCACGCGCCACGAATCGGCAGCTGAGCCAAGACCACAATGGCTGACCTTTGAAACGCCCGTCGGCATACGCCGTACTGCAGAAATGCGGCTCGGCTGGAGTTGGCAGGAATCTGGTGGTTGAAACGTTGTCGGTTTTGCTTCATCTGCCGCCCGTAGCGCTTTGATACCGCCTGAAGCGCGCATCTCAAGGCACAACTACAACATCCAAAGCCTGTGACGTAAGTCAAGAAAGAACGCTTGTGTACGTCGCAGCTTGCGTCACTTGGCGAACGGACGTAGGAGAAGAAAGGTAGGTCCTGAGGTCCAGCTGGCCGTGGTAAGTACGCCTTGCCCAACGCTTTTCAGCCTCTAGCATTGCTCAGACGGCCGCGCACAGCTGGTCTGGCGCTGGCAGAATTTTCAAATTTGCGGTCAACAGGTTCTCGAACAAGAGATCTGCGGAGTACATGGGCTCTGCGATATAGATCGACAGGCTTTATTAAATCATACATGGGTAGCTGTTCAACTTCTGCCCTGCTTCGACTCACAAGGCGTTCTCGGCTCGTCCGCCTCCGGCAAATGAATATTGGAGATATCGTTCCAGAAGGCCTCAGTTGCAGATCATCAGATCTAGCCATTCCCGGAGATCACGAATCTTGCGAGCTTTCAAAGATGACTGGTTCATCGGATGTCTATCAAAACTCATATTCGATTGAGGTTGCGCTACACCACAACAACAGAAACGTTTTAGTCGAGGAATCGTTGGAAGACATTAGGGAAGCCTACCTTCTCGATGAAGGGCTGTATGGGGAAGAAGGCGTGGAAAGCGATGAATAACATTCGTAGTTTACTTAACAATGATTCTATACCATGTTTCGAAGCATAGAGCAAATAAACAGAGAACATCTTTGGATAATGCGCAATCGAAATGCCATACGCTATACCAGCTATCAAAAATACACCCGGGCGGCAACTTATTTTTTTGACAATATCATAGACTTAAATGCCGGATCCACCAATCAACTGCAAGCGCTTGTCCACGACCACAACAAGGGCGAGCCTTTTCTTCGCCAGCATGAGTCAACTAATCAAGTTTGAGTTTCCCGTATCAACCAGACTGCCGGATTGGACGACTCTCGGATCAGTATTCATGACTTCTGGTATTAAGTGAATAATTCTTTTAATAGTCGTCTCGATCCATCCCTTGCATTAGGCGCAAATTGCACATCCGATCGACAATCGCGTTTTTGTGATGCAAGAGGCTAAAATTATATCGTTCCACGAGCCTATGAGATGATAATAACGGTCTGTAGGAATGCTAGGCTGTGACGCTGTGACTCTCGCGCGGCCGAGCCCCCAAATTCACCAGTCGTTGAATCGACTTGAATATGTTCTTTTCGCGGAATAAAGATGTGGCACATTCAGAATATCATTTAGCGTATTCGAGGACGAAAGTGCATATTCCGTTAACCTCTCTTTTGAATTTACAAAGTTTTAAGGGCTATTAATAAATTTGTAATGTCTTTCAGCTGTGCTATGCCGCAAAGTCTCCTGCATATGCAGGAGTTGTATGTGTAACCGAACTTCCCCCTTCATCCACTGAGTTCTATCTGAGGGTAGCGATGATATCATTGATACCTCGCGTATCATTGGTAGCCGGGATGGATGCCGATCTAAGCCTCGCTGTGCTGGTGTGGCAAGGCTGTGATCATACTCGAGAGTGCACAGACAGCATTAAATGTTTCACAGAATACTTTGGAAGTTTTACACAACCCAAGGCAACAATGGTACACAGCAGATCACTGCGGCTATTGTACACAGACTTGAGCTTACCACCTGTCGCTTTTCTGCCGTTCCATCTTTAGTGAGTGCCAACGTAATCCAGCCATTTACCAGCAGACACATGAGGCTGAGCCCTGGCTTATTTCTATATGATCGTTCTTTCCAGAAAGTATCTCTGATGTTGCAATACTTAAACTCAATATCCAGAGATTTCTCTTAAAAAAACCAATCAACATGAACGATATTGGATCAAGGTTGGTGAACTACCCCGAGCTTGTGATTGTGAAGTAGACTGAGAAGTACAGCCTCAGTTTAGTCCCTTTGGAGTCGCTCTACACGTATGCGCCACCCCCAATGTCGGAGAGAAACGATGCAGCAGAAAGAGTGTCAGAGGACATTGCCCAGAGTTCCAGACCCGCCTTGCGCACCGATCGTCGTACATCTCAAGACCTGCGCACCTCATTGCTCACATCCAGCCCCGGAACCCTCGATCCACAGGAATCACGGGACAACCAGGCGCCTAAAAATCTCAAGGAGAGAGTTGGAAAGTATCTCAACTCAATCATCAAAACCAGGCTCCCGAAGGGTTGGCGTTTCGGGGCCCTGCTCGCGGTTATCATGTCTTCTTGTGTTCTCACAATCAACGTCGCAGTCGCCATTCTTTCATGGGTTTGGACTCGTCACCGCGGATACACGTCGAACAATAGCACCAATTTACACCGGAAAATGTACAACTGTCGATAACTTGGGACTCGTCGTTCACTTGGGCATCAACATTGTCAGCACTCTCCTGCTCGGCGCCAGCAATTACTGTATGCAAATTGTCTGTGCTCCCACCAGGAGAGATATAGACAGAGCGCACGAGAAGGGTGCTTGGCTTGATATCGGAGTACAGAGTATCTCTAATCTCAAGCACATCAAGAAAGCCAAGCTATATGCATGGTTGACCCTTGGATTATCCTCTGTTCCTCTTCATCTCATGTAGGTTATCTCTTGTTCCAATGAGTAGTTGTCGAACTAATGAAGATAAAAGCTACAATTCGACTTTCTTCACCTCCCTTGGCATAAATGCGTACGATGTCTATTTTGCGACCAGCGGCTTCGAAAAAGGCGATGATTACGACCTGAATTTATTTCCCGACATTTATCATTCGTCTGCCAATAAGAGTGGGGGTTGGAGCGATTATACCAAGTACTATTTGACATATTCCTCGAACCCCTCCCTCATCCAGAGAAATGCGCCATTGTTTGAGCGTCTAAACAATTCAGACTGCATGCAACGGTATGGCGAAGACTTCATTTCAGACAGACGCAACTTGATCCTGGTCGTATCGGATGACGCCAATCGGACAATGTCATGGACGAACACGGACGTTGGCGGACTGGGAGGTCCCGGAGAACACAACAGTGTGAATCACACCAAAGCCTGCGACGACTACTACTTCACGGAGCTACCGTCCATACCTCTCGGCCCCATGTTCCTTAGTTGTTTTACCAAATCATCTCTCATAGGCGTAGGAACATACGCCAACGAAGTCATTGCCACGTCTGGGATTAACCGACCTGATGCTTACTACTGGATCTGCTCACACGATCGATACACCAGCACAGACATGTGCAGCGGCCATCTCTCGGACTTGAGAGCAGATGCACGTTCCTGGACCGTATACGGATTGCCCATCGAGTATTGTCTCAGCGAAAGAGTTGAACCGCAGTGCAGCTTCAACGTCAGCTTGACGCTCTTGACTGTCGTGATTATCTTTAATCTAATCAAGGTCTCTTGCATAGCTCTCGTAGTCCTCCGAATTAAAGACAAGCCTCTGATCACGGTCGGAGACGCCGTCGCAACATTCATCGAAGAGCCTGATGATTCTACGCGAGGCCTTTGTCTGGTCAGCAGAGGCATGGTCGACAACCAGCATTGGAAAAGGCAGAGAGAAGATTTGATCAAGTCTCCTGATACTTACAAACCGGGGGGCGTTCGGTGGTATAAAGCAGCAAGCAAGAGAAGGTGGCTGTCAAGTTTACTCATGTAAGTCATATCCAGCACACCCCTCATTCTACCACTCACAGTCTCCAGGGTCATTGTCGGTATTGGAGTCATCCTGGCGCTCTTGATCTACGCCATCTCTGATCTCCGTCGCCGCGGAGACAGTGACTTGAGATATCTCTGGAAACTTGGACTGGGCAAAATCCATTCCGCCACCCTAATTCAGGGCTGGGCAATCCCAACCACCGGTGACTCAGCCGTCACAGGAACGGTGCTCATTGCCAACTTACCGCAAGCACTGCTGTCATCCATATACCTCGTCTTCAACGGCCTGTGCACCAACATGCTCTTGGCCTTCGAATGGAGCAAGTTTGCGAGCGACAGTCGCACCCTCCGCGTGTCTGAGCCGCGCGGCGCCCAGCGGTCCACCTACTTCCTCCAGATTCCCTACCGCTTCGGCCTCCCTCTGACCATCCTCTCTAGCCTGCTGCACTGGCTCGTATCACAGAGTATTTTTCTTGCCAAAGTTGACGGATTGGACGCCCGCGGTCTGCCGTCCAACATCGGAAACGTTACGACTTGCGGCTACTCTCCGTTTGGCATGATTTTCACCTGCACGGGAGGGCTCCTTCTTGCTCTCTTTGCGGTTGCTCTAGGGATGCAGAAGCTCAAGCCGGGCATGCCACTGGCTGGAAGCTGCAGTGTCGCCATCTCGGCTGCTTGTCATGTGCCTGATGGGACGTCGGAGCTTGAGCCGCTCATGTGGGGAGTGATCCCGAAGCACCCTGACGACGCGCATTCTGGAGTTGAGCACTGCGCTTTTGCAAATGAACGCTTAGAGAGACCTCTGCCCGGAAGATTGTACGCTTGAAAGGTCTTTATCCATTGGTCTCTCTGAAATTCTCAAAGTTTCCTCACAAGGGCTAGAAAGCTCCCCGAGGTAGCATTTCCCGTAACTTGACTGCCAGGAAATGGATTGATAACTAGAGATAGGGATGATGATATTTCACACCTGACCTACTCCTCAGAAAAATGAGTGCAAAAAAGAGAACAAGATAAAAGGAGTGTCGCCGGATTGGGGTTATTCAATTCTTTACTTCGCCCAAGATTCAATGTTTGCGTTCTCCAGCATCTCTATTGGCTCAATGTAGTCTTGGATCCTTCTTCCTTGGTCCAAAGGAACGTCACTGATGTTTTGCTGCTGCATTATTTCGTTCTCCCTTCGTTGACTTTGGGCAAATGCACGTCCTCTGGTGGGGGTTTTGAGGAACGACTGCAGCGTAGTCTGTGCTGGGCGAACTTCAGAGGGATTCACTTCCGAAAATTCATCCTTTGAATTCTTCAGTCTGTTGTCCGAAAGATCCGAGAGAGGTAGTGTACGGCGCTCTCGATCTGTTTAACAGGTTAGCAGGCCATAACCCTGCGGGAAGAACTGCTGACCAGACTTACATTGAATGAGATAGATTATATCAGAAATGTTAAAGAATAGAAAGCGGACGAGGGACGAGAACAGAAAAATTGGAAATAGCAATGTTGCCCATGCAAACCGTATTCCCAGTTTGCATACTTTTCGAACGCGGTACAGAGCATTCCTGCGGTGATTTTTCTCATATAGAATTATTTGTATCTGCCGTTCTGGATCTTCCTGGGCGATACCGTACCCCGGTAGATTGCGTCCGGGTTCGCGCGAGACTTCGTAGGCAAATGGATTGGCCGAGTCGCGCTGTGTTGTAATTGAAGCCCCCCTCTTCGGCCGATGGTCGGGTCTCATGCTTCTCAAAGCATAGTACACCTCGCTGATTTGGATGCCGGGATACTCGAATGCCACATAAGCCACCCAAAACCACGCCACTCTCAAACGTGCACCAAAATACGCTAAGAGCCATGCAGTGTGTCCCGTTTCTCTAGGCTTCGGGGGTGTAGCTAATGCTTGTTTCGGAATCATGGTTCGTGCAAGGATACTTCTGTGGATGATTGATTTTGAACGTGCCCTCCGCCATTGTTCGATATCACAGGCAACCGCTTCGATGGCTGCTCCAATCGTACGCTCATACATCCTTGCGGTTGAGTCCGCACCGAGGATCATCAGACAGGTGACAACAAGAGCGATTGCAGCAGTGACCGCCATTTGTGTCCACACTGGTTTCTCAGGGGCTCCATTCATGCTGAATATGCTGGCAGCGAAGCTCAAAGGAAGGAACACCACAGTGACAACTGTGAATATCCGTACCTTCTCTGCTCCAAGAAGGTTGACGTCATTTCGAAATGATTCTTGCGTCCTCTCAAGTGATGATTTCCAGGCTTGTATGCTCGCCAGGTAGCTTCTCAGCTTTCTGATGTGCCGTTCATTGTGCCCGAGGACCTTGTTGATTGTGTGTCGATATTTGCGTTCGTCTTCTTTCGTCCATCGCGGCTGTTGCTGACCACGCGCTGTTTCTCGATTGTTCCAATTCTGTACTTCTTCCAGGATGGCGCCAAGATCTTCTTCCACTTCCTGCAAGATGTGGTGGAATCTCTGCCAGTTACTCGAAGACGACCAATATTCTTTGCTTCCGGGTATTCCGAACGTCAAGGTACCATCTTGAATCCCTAGCTCCTTTCTTGTTTCATCCAGTATCTCTTTCGTTGAGGTGGTTATTTCGTCGAGCATTCTGTCAAAGAGAACAAGCTCCAACACTTTGCGTTGCTTCCAATGATCTTGCGAGGTCTCCGGAAGGCTCTTTGAGGTAATTGGGCTGATGTGATCATCGAGGGATTTGGCTGGATGAATCTCTACGACGTGGCAGGTCCAGTAACGGTCGAAAAAGTCACCTACAAACCTAAACCCCATTGCAGCTCGACCAATCCTCTTGCGTCCTATCTGCGGAAATTCCGTGGTGTCGAATCCAGAAGCCCGTTGTTGATCCTTTGCGCTGAAAAGCTGGTAAAATGAGAGGTGGAACTCAGTTTCCCAGCTGTTCCGGAATGCTACTGTATCCTCAAAGAAGTACTTTTCCCAATTCATATGTCGGTCAAAGAAATCAGATAGTGGTTCCCTCTGAGATCCTGGGGTCGACAGGTAACAGAGAAGCGCGGCAGACTCCTTGTTAGCCAAAGGCATCCAGATGAGCCGTTTCTTTGCATCTTGTGCAGTCCTTCGGCCATCGATATCGGCCAAAAAGTTTCGCATAGACTTCAAGTGCAAGGATGCCGTCTGGTATTGTGTCTTTCCCCTCCTGGTATGCTTAGACCGAGGTACATCAATGGCCCCAGCAACCTTGCTGAACAGATCTCCCAGCGGCCAGGATTGGTCATATCTGTCTCTGTCTCTCACAGCAGCAGCAAGCATGGAGTCCGATCTGGGAAAGGCCTTTTCCAATTCATCCACATGTCTCTGGATTGGTCTGATCTCCGGGTCAAAATCCAGAAACTCTGGGTAGCTATAGAGCCACTCGTCTGCCAATTCAACTATGCTTTTCTGGTCGATAACATTATTGAACGGCATGGTCTTTTTCATCCTTAACGCGCCAGCAGATAGCCGTGGATCTGTCAAAAAGCGGGGAATCTCCCCTAGCCCTTTGATCTCAGACGACGGCTTTCCTTGTTGCAAAGGCCAACCTTCGCCAGGTTGCATTATGATGAACATCTGCTGGGGGCCCGGAGTCTTTGGCACGAGGAAGTCTGACTTCCAATCATCCTTCGACTCCAGCGGACTATCCTGTGGGACCTGTTCTGGGTGTTCCAGTCGCTCCCGTCCGTACAGCAACAAGAGGAACGGGATCTCAAAGCCGACATGCCAGTAAAAGTCTCGATATCGTACATCAGAGAGAGTCACAGGCTTCTTCGTCGTATCATCCAGTTCTCCAGCAAAAATTCCGGAAGGGAAGCAGCTTCTGAATAATACTTCGGTGGCGTTTCGAAAGATGTCGCGTGCTCGTCGCAGATTGTTCAGCCGCTGGCTCTTTGACGCCATAATCAATGCTAGCCCGTAACGCAGAGGATTATCCCAATCCTCCTCGCTGTTGTTGTGATCATGGTATCTCTGCGCCTCGACAGTTTCTTTCCAAAGGGGAAGTCGGGAATCAGCGTTGAAGAAATCGTGCGACATTGCGTAGAAAAGAGAAGTGTCGCGCGCATGGAACAGAAACCTGCTTTCTCTGGCCGAGCGTGTCGTCGCAAGCATACGTCTCCCAGAAATCGGATTATCTGTTGAGAACCTTCTGAGGATATTCGTTTGGGCAGACGCTGACGAGAACCGCATCGTGGTTTCTTCTTCCACTTGTCCGAGGTACGAGTCGGGAGCCAATTCGTCTGACAACCCAACTCCTTCAAGTCCTTTTAAGGCCTCCCAGATCCACACATGGTCTTCAAGACGATAGACTGCAACACCTTCCTCGATCGATCTTTTGAACGCAAAGTGAGTCCATCGATTGTCGCGTCTCAGGGCGCTGACCCAGGGTTTTATATGGTCCTTGAGCAGAATGCGGGTGTAATCGTCAGGATCAATACCTCTTTGGGTCAAATATGGCGAGAAGACTTTGGAGAACTCGATGACCTTGAGGAACTGGAAAGGCGTATTCATCAATGTCCTCGAGCGTGGGCGTCGAGAGTTCACAGAATAGGCAATTGGCCTGCCGGATACCCAATAGTTCGATCGGAATCGGTCTGGTGTTTGAGCCTCCAAACCCTCCCCGGTATCATCAGGCTCTGGAACAACAGTCTTCCCAAAAGCCCAGGAAAGATGTCCTGCGCAGACGTCATAAATACGTCTCCGTAATTCCTCTGCCTGCGTGCCGTATTTGCTTCTGATGTGCTCAGAAATTGCAAGAAGGAATTTGAACGCGAAGCTGGAAAGAATTAGCTGGAAAACATTGTCCTGTAGAAGACTCACAAGCTCGCCGAAGTGACCACATGATGGCCTGATAGATCTCCGCACGTAAGAGCTACGACGTGTTGGGTTGCACCGGCTCTGTCTTGATTTTGCGGACTGGTATCTAAGAAACTTCCTTTAGGCGAAAGTAGGTTCCAGAGTTTGTCTCTTTTGCGAGTTGGTTCTTTAGCTGCAGAGATGGACATTTCTTTCTCATGGCCGTAGCTGTGGTCCCAGACAGGACCATCGGGGATCGGAACCGCGCAGACAGACAGGACGTGCTCCAAATTTCGCCGAAGGACAAAATCCAGGCGTGAGTCGGTGGAAATTTCCAAATTCTGAACCCATGTCTTGGCCAGAACAGTAGCAATATCGGCTTCCGGTGCTGGTATAACGGCACATCCCCAGCCATTTCCCGTCTTATGCATTAGCTGAGGCCGATATGCCATGGTAATTCGAGCTGTCCCGGTCTCTTCTAAGGAAGATTCCAGCACGGACTCAACACTGTCAGGTCCGTTTCCATGCATGTTTTTCCATCCATTTCCGTCGATCTCCCATGCATTACCATTGATGTACATGGCCATTATGACACCAACAGCTTCAGGGGACCTGGAAGATGCACCTTTCCCATTCGGCTGTGAAGCCTCGTCTGAACTGATTCGGATCTCTTCCTCTGTCTCTGTACGAAACATGCGACTCTCTGCGTCCGCTGGTGAAAGTTTCGGTCGAGTTGGTGGGGTATAGTCAGCATTATAGTGCGAAGAGCTTTCGTTTGCTTCTTTTGTTCGCTCAACCCCTCCGACCTCCGCAATCGATGATGCAGAATTGTCCTCATCTGCCAGATCGTCTGGTGGAAATTCGTGTACAAGAACAAGAGCTCGATTGTAGAGGCCGGGAACTACATGGTAGGCGGCGGACGTCTGACTTTCGTCATTGAAGTCGTTGGTGCTTTGCCAGTCCAGATCTCGAATCAGAAATTCCTCAACGTTCATGCGAGAACGCGGAAGGGCACAGGTCCGTTCCCTCCGCGATCGTGTCAAGGTATATTCCTGGATCACCGTTCCGCCACTGATGACATACTGTAGAACTATTTCCAGGCCATCTATTTTGGCAGTGAATTGCGGCCATCGGCTGTAGGCAAACTCCAGTTCCGGTCTCACATCATCAGGAAGATCAAGCCAGAGTCCTATTCCTCCTCTCGGAACATTGCGGGCTTCAAGAAGGGCACTAAGGCGGCGTGTAATGGCCCATGGCTCTGGAGTTCTTTGGTGATCAACAGAAAAGAAGCCAGACTGGCCAACTCCGAGGTAGCGTGTGATTTGAATGAGTTGCCCGTATGCGTTGACCGTAGCTGTGGTTCCGCTGTCCCCGAACGATACAGAAGAGCAAATGGAAGGAGACTCAGGTTGCGTCTGCTCTGGAGGTTTGATGGTCCAGATCTTCGAAGTTTCTGACGAAGCGGGTCCTTCAGCTGCTTGAGAGGCGTTTGTGCCTACCAAATCCGCATGCTGTGTTAGAAAATGGTTACAAAAGGCTAAGTCAGTTTGTGGATACTTGCATTCTATGAGATGCTTAAAGTTTGGACTGTTTTCATCAAACGGGGGTTTTTGAAACCACTGAGAGAACTTGGGAGGCTCCTGATCCTCGTCGAATAGCCAGTCTAACAGCTGTTTGCGCTTGGGTTGGGAAACCGGCAGCTCCCACTCAGGATCTACGTCTGTTGATGCAGACATGTCAAATCCTGCATTCCGCTGCCAGCTCGATGTTGGAAATTCAGATGAGATCTGGTTTGGTCAAGCTTCCAGTAACGAACTGGTTGGGTTTGAGGATGGACGAGCGATGCGCTCATCATATTGTCTCCTTCAACTACAGATTCTACGTCAGTGGGGGCCAGCCTTGTGTTTGAAGTATTGGAGTGCTCACGAGAAGTGATCAGGTAGCTCCTTTGTCTCGGCTGTGAGGCTCTCCCGCTTCGTAAGCTCTTGTTGACTCATTGTAGAAGGTGGTCAGCGGAGCATTTGCGCCACCGGCTGAAAATTGCGCAGTGCCGATTTATTGAAAATCCTCCTATTACTGCAGGTACACGATCCGGCCATCTGAGGAATGAAGGTACAAGCAGCCGGCCCCATCTCCAATAACTTGAGTCTCTGCGACCAGGCACTGAAAGCAAGTTGTATGCAGCGTGAACTGAAATGATGCAGGCTTCTGGTGGCGCAAAGGATGGCTGGAGATGACGAGGCTTTGCGATGTTCTTGCAGTTGGCGCTGACAGAGTTTAGGCTGGGCTCAACAGGGGGGTGGGCTTGTGACCACCCCCGCAGATGACGCTCGACTACAGGCAGCCATGTCCAAATACCGTCTGTATTTCTTTTTTTTTTTCGAAGCTAAAACATCATGATCTCTGGAAAACAGGCTTAGCAGATTTAGATGAAGGATTGTAAACCCGAACAAAATACGGATAGGCTGATAACCCTTGGAGCAATCCCGGAGTTTCCAACATGGCCACACTGGTTTGGTACCTCGGTCCTGAAGTCTCGCACAGCCACCTTCCAGTAGCTGCTCATATGTGATGGTATCCACTACAAGAGATTAGATAGCTTCGCTAAATTTTTTTTTTTTAAAAAAAAGGAAGTGTCCGGGACAAACTGTATCTGAGTCTGATCCGGAACTTTAGCCATGTCGGCGCCCTCTAAATAAAAATAGAAAAACCTGATATTTACTGCTCCTTGAATGTATGAGAGTTCGAAGAGGGATTTTCTGGCCCTGAATTCTGTATGTGCATGCATAAATACCTGTGAGAGTACGATTTAAGGTGGTAGTACCGGCAACGACTTACACTGCAACCTGGGGGTCTCGACGCCACCGCTCCACCTCCGCGCGCCGCCGCAACGCTGTGCGACTCATTCCCCAAACATTTTTTTGCCCGCCGCAAGCCCCGCAACACCCAGGCCCCACCAGCGCAGCCGCTCTCTGCCAGGCCACCTACCCTACGACCTTCTTTTCCCCGTCTCCGCGCCCGCGTTTTTCGCGAAGGAAAACTCCACGCACCGCGTGTACCGTCATCGCCACCGGGCACAACAACTCCGCCGCCAACAAGAGCCGACCGCAACCATGGCCGAGTCCTTCTACGACGAGATCGAGATCGAGGACATGACGTTCGACCCGGCGCTGCAGATCTACACGTACCCGTGCCCGTGCGGCGACCGCTTCGAGATCGCGCTGGCCGACCTGCGCGACGGCGAGGATGTCGGCGTGTGCCCGAGCTGCAGCTTGATGATCAAGGTCATATTTGACCAGGTGGGTGCCTCCCGCTTCATATTCCTAATGGGACAACGCGAAGGATGTAATTTCCGGAAGAGAATGGCAGGCTGACAGTGATGGGTTTGAATAGGACGATTTGCCGCAGGACGAGGAAAAGGATGAGGGCGCGCAGCCTATCGCTGTTGCCGCTTGAAAGACAAGCGGGACTGAGAGAGACAAGAAATTGTGAACACTCTTGATTGGCTTGGCTGGTATGAATGGCCAAAGGACACCCGCGCCGAGGAGGAAGCAAGACTGGGGAGGTAATAGTCGGAGAGAGGGTTTGTCTCCGGCATGCGACAATTTGCCGTGGATTTTGCAAGCGGTTTGCGAATCATGTTGGGCCCCGTCTCAAATGATTGGAAATTCCCACAGTTATAGCAGGTTGGCACGTCGAAGCTCTGCTATTGGGAGAAAAGCCTGCTCCTGGTCGCTAGTATGCGAAGAACGAGGTACTTGAAAGTAGGCTCGGGGTTTGGTTCATCTGTTATCTCAGATAATATGTGCAAGTGATAGCCTTGCTGTTGCCAAAAAGCTCCGCATGAGTCCTCAGCATTCAATTGGAGGAAATTGGATAGCCTTTTTGAGTTTACAATACGTGTAGTGTGACTCTTCCTGATGATGGCCATGAAAATGTAATAAGGTGCGCGTGTGCAAATCGTAATTATTGGGACTGTCTTACTGTCGTCATCGTAGATGATGACACTGGCCTTAACAAGGCCGAATAAATGAGATTACCATTGCTCGGTAGCTATGTGTACAATCAGCTTGCCTTCCATCCATCCAAAACGAAACCCTTTGAACTCCCTTCACATGCACATCTGGTCTTCGCTCTCAAAACATGCCCCATTTAAGGGACTTCGCCGTCAACCGACACATCAACGCCCAACTCCTTCCGAATCAGCCCCGTGAGAGAGCTGCCATCCCGAAGGTAGATCCAATCTCCAATGCCGCCATCGGCCTTCTGGTGCATCGACTCGCCCTGGACGACCCAGTCGAAGCGCTTGGGGCCGGTGACGGGCGACGACAGCCAGATCTGCTTGTTGGGCGGCTGCTTGTTCAGGACGTAGGTGCCGACGCCACGCTTGTCGACAGTGAGGACGCCGGCCTAGAGCAAACGAGCGATCAGTCAGTGAATCGTACTCGGATGGCGGGGATGAATAAGGTAGCTGTGACATGTTCGTAGCAAACCGGCCGGAGCTCGGGGGAAGCTCAAGCAGACGCGGATTCCGTGGAAACAGGGATGGTGTCTTACCGAATACTCCACCTCAACGCCCTCGCCCGCGTCCTGCTTATCCTCCAGCTTCTGTTGCAGCAGCTCGAGGTAGCGGTCGGCGTGCTCGTGGTACTCAGACAGAGAGATGTCAGTGGGTTGAGTGTTCGCAACTGAGTCCGAAGCTTCGCTCTGCTTCGGCGCTGGGTGCTCGGCGTCGGGGATGATGCTGCGCGAGTTCGGGGAGCTGGAGAGGCTGCGACGGAGCAGCAGGCTGCTGGCAACGACGGGCGAGGCGCGCGAACGGAGAGCGGAGCTGGCAGCTGGGACAGCAGCACCAAGGCGAGCTGCGGAGGTGGTGCCAGTGAGGCTTGCGCGCAGGGCGGCGCGACCGACGACACGAGAGGCAGCTGGGAGAACCATGATGGGAGCGGATGAAGCCAATTGAGGGGGTGGTCAGTGGTGGAGAGAGCAGCGGGAGGGAAGTGTGTGCAGTCACCATGTAGCTTTGGTGACGAAAGAAAGCTCGGGTGCTTGCACACTCACACGGGCCACATGCTGCCCGCAAAGGCATCTCTTCCCCGCCAAACGCGAGCCAGCCCGCTCTCCACTTGCACACCCCCGCGGCATTGACACGACAAACCAAGGCGCTGACTGCTGGTCCGCCCGCAAACTGCTGCGCTGTGACTCGCTGCGCCTGCATTAAAGCTCCGGGCTAAGCTCTAATCCTGCCAGATCGGGCAGTGGGCCTGAAAGCGGGGTTACCGTTGCCGCAGCCCTAGGCGCCTTTCTATTTTCCCTGAGGCGGAACGTCACCGCCATTGCAACCTACGCCTCCGCCGCCATGATCAACGCCGTTCTAGTTTTCAACAACCATGGCCAACCGCGCCTAACCAAGTTCTACACCCAGCTGGTATGCGCTGCAGCCCACTTGTTCCACCAGATCGCTGACGCGCGACACGCGCTGTAGGACACAGCTGTCCAGCAACGCTTGATCTCTGAGATCTTCACCCTGGTGTCGAATCGCCCCAACTCGTCATGTAACTTTCTCCCGTACGTATCCTTGCCCTCTTACATCCTCCCCCACCAATACCAACCCAGCAGCCCACGCTGCCTCCCTCCCACGCCTTTTATTCCCCCCCCCCCCCCCCCCCCCCCCCCCCCCCCCCCCCCCCCCCCCCCCCCCCCC